ATGGGACGCTGAGTCGTCTCCTAAACGCCCTTGGGTAGCGTTCTCTTAATGACTGATAAAAAGGTGTTTCCAGAGTTGGACGACCTATTCCAATATCTTCGTATGGCTCACCGTCACTGTCATACTGGATCTGTTTATGGTATGAAAAACAAAAATCAATTTTGAACAGATGTGCTGCTGATGAACATCGATTTTTTTTAGTTTTAATTCTCTTCGTTGAAATTTTAGAGTTTAAAAAACGAGAGAGGGCGCATTAAAAAAAAAAATTTTAGTTACACAATCTACAACTACTAGGCTATATTGGCATTTATTGCTTGAACTATCGAACTGGTTGTAGAAAGAGGAAAATCAATAGGCCGACACAATAGTTAGGAAAAAGTTGTATTAGATCCGAGTACCTATCCTTTAATACCCCTATTAAAAATGGAAAAAGTATTCTAATTGCAATTTAAAAAGCTAATTAAATATGTGAAGTAATGAATAGTTTATCTATATAAATATTTTTAATGTATATGCAGAATTTTCCTTTATTTTACATACTGTATTTTATCTCTTGGTTTTAAGGGATATTTATCGCTTAACGTAGTCATAAATCCACTTGAACAGTTTTCTTTGTAAAGATTAAATGCATTCAAAAGCTTTTTTGTCATTGATTATTTTTTTTCTTATTCGGTACGCAAATCATTCAACAGGTAATAATATTTTGAAAGAATATAGCCACGATTTCTTGAAGTATTATTTTTGTTATTATTATTATTATTATAACAAATATTAAATTATACTTTACTTACTTTTGGGTTTTCCAATTCTTCCTCACTTGATAGAGTCATATCTCCTATTTAAGTTTTTGGAGTAGAAAGGAAGACAGACTCCTGACAAAGGGAATAGAGTATTTGAGAATGCTGCCTGCAGTGAAATGCGTTCAATCAATAAACGCGGTAGATAGATTGATCACCTGGCAGATGTTGTGAGAAGCATGCAGGGCGGGACTGGAGAATTAGTAACTTGAATACCTAACGCGCCACTATAGAAAATATATGGAAATAATCTGCTAGTATTCCTCCTTCCTTCGAATCGTGTTCAGACGGATTAGGATTGGAGAAATTGAAACTTATAAGAGGCTTTTCTAACAAGTACTGTCTATATATTTTAAGAATACAATAAGATCCTTTATTGTACAGAAAGCGAATGCGCACGTTCAAGTTTCGGCGCGCACTTTGTCGTCTGCTACGTTCGTTTTTCATTGCGTGACGTCACAAAAAATAGTGCCCCAAAGAGTTTACACTCTTGTAAATTATTAAAAAAAATTGTCTTTACTTTTCAATAGTGTAATTATGCTTTTTACAATCTTTCTATGCAAATCTTTATAAATAATTACATGTAAGGGTATATGAATTTTGCAGTATATATTATTGATTTTTTTTAGCAGAAGGTAATAGAGAAAAGAACATAGCGAGTGGCCTTACTGATGTACAATATTTTTGGTGTTTAGAAACAAACTAATATGACGACCAAGAAGAGGACAATATCTAATACCAACCCTCGTCGGGTCAATAACGTAAAGTGAGTATTCTAATTATGCAAATTTAATCATTAATATTTATGAATAAATAGACAAAAGAAACAAAAAAATGCCAGATTCAACATAAAAGAACCATTCGGTAAAGCTATAATTGGTTACTTTTATGATCATGCTACTACGGCTGGACACGTTCTGTAAGTTATTGTTAATATAACGTCCTTGAAACTAAATAACAGCCCTAAAAAATCTTAATAAATTTTTTTACAGGCTGAGTGTTGCCAAATTCTTTTCGGTACTAGGTGTTGTGATTTATATTGCTGTACCTACATCAATTTGGTTGGATTCCTCTCTTGCTGCCGAATTAGTTTTCTTAAATCATCTTCAATGGCCCCCATTCAGGGATTTACGTCATCCGGAGAAATACGGTCTGGAAAAGACTTTCCTTTTGCAAATAGACAGAGATAATGATATGCAATTAGGTGCTTGGCTTGTTCTTTCGGGAAATCATTCGGAATTGTATACAGAGAAAAACTATACACTAGCTCTAAAATCAGGAATTCCTACTTTTCTTTATTTACACGGAAACGCAGGGACTAGGGCAGCTTGGCATAGAACAAGACTATACAATGTTATTGCTAAAACGGCTGGTTATAACGTTTTAGCGATTGATTATAGCGGCTTTGGAGATTCTAAGGGTAGACCGTCGGAAGAACAAGTTATTGGTGACGCTTTGGCCGCTTATAAATGGCTTTTGAAGCACGAAAGTAAAGTTTTTATTTGGGGACATTCTTTAGGAACTGCCATTAGTCTTGGTTTGGCTGAACGTTTATCATTATTGAAAGAGTCGTACGAGGGTATCATTCTGGAAGCTCCTTTTAATCGCTTAGAAGATGCGGCAAAACATTTTCCACTAGCCCAACCATTTATGAGAATTCCACCGATTGCGGATATCTTTTTTCAAGCTTTTGCGAAACAGAATTTACGTTTTATCAGTGAAGAAAGAATAACTAAAGTTAATTCACCAATTTTAATTTTACACGCCTACGATGATGGTATTGTTCCATTCGAGTTAGGCGAAAAGCTATTATCAGCAGCTAGGGCTTCGAATAGAAAAGTTTCATTTAAAGCATTCAACGCTGACTTAGGCTATGGTCATAAGCATATTCATAAATATCCGAATTTAGCAAGATTAGTCAAAAAGTTTGTGTCTAATTGTTCAAATACGTAAATTTATGTTTTTTCAACCGATAAAAAGCACGAATCAATGCAACTTTAAAGATGATTAATAAATTTTCCATATATATTCTCTAATCATTGTACTTTTTGTTTGCTTTCACGATAACGCTAGAATTAATGATACTAAATACTAAAAGTGCTTGAAATACTAAGCGCCAAACTGACTCATTACAATGCTATTCCATGTATTTTTCCAGGAAGATATTTTTAGATATTGTTAATAGGAATGTGCTATAAGTATTCCTACTATAAGCAATATTTACCCACCTACGTACAATATATACGGTCAGATATGATATAATTAAGTATTTTTTAAACTAAAGCTACTTTTAAACAATTTATAATAAGCGCCAAATTGACTTCGTATTGAATTCCTGGTAGTCATTCAGTGCGGGCGTAAAAAATAACTGCGGGATTAACTTTTCCGCAGACGAAAATTCGATTCTATCTCATGCAAGATAAAAGTAGGATGCCTTGTTTTATTTTTATTCAACGCGACCAATATTATTGAAGATGAAATTTGCTGAACATTTATCTGCTCATATTACGCCTGAATGGCGTAAACAGTATATTCAATATGAGGTATGGATAATTTGTTTGTTATACGGGGTTTAATGACCCTTTTTAGGGATATAGAAAGGATTGATTCTTAAATTTTTCAACTGTTGAAATATCCATATATCGAAGATTTTAAAAATCTACAAAAAAATATGGAATTATATAAGAAATTCCTTTAATTGAATGCAGATGTTCTTATATTATCTCGTTTATGAATCTGTATTGTAATCTTCGATTAGTTTTTTTTATCTTTATAGATAACAGATCCTATATTGTCTTTGATTTTATTTTCTCTGTGATATCTTACAGACCATGAAGGAAATGATCTATAATGCGGTTGAAGAAGCTCCATCTGCAGAAGGTTTATCTCGTTAAACACACTCAAAAAACACTCGTGATTTTGTTTTCTCTTTCTATATTTTTCCTATTAGCAACGGACCAGGAGCTGATATCCCGATATTTTGCCAAAGTTGAAGAAAACTTCTTTCAATATTCCGATAAAGAATTGTTAAAGATTAATACGTTCTTCTCCGGTAAACGTTATAGACTAAAAGAAAAATAATGAATAGCTTAAAGAGTATAGGTCTAACATTTATTTATACGTCTTTAGAAAAGTTAGCTGAAGCTTCAAGAAAATTTGCAACCTTGAAATCAGAATTGACAATTCGAACGAATGAACAAATTGAATCTCCTACAATTAGAAAGAGAAGAAACTCAACGTTACGTCCTCTCGTTAAACAACCGCCTAGTGCCAGGAAAATTCATGATTTAAAATTGGCTTTTTCTGAATTTTACTTGTCATTAATTCTACTGCAGAATTATCAAACATTAAACTTTACGGGTTTTCGTAAAATATTGAAAAAGTTTGATAAAGTACGTTATAGTGATTAACAGAAAAATGAATAGTTTTTCTATAAATAACGTTAATTTAATATTAGGAATTGCAAACTTCATCGGGAGCAAAATGGAGAATTGCAAATGTAGAAACTGCACCATTTTACACAACAAAACAAGTGGATCAGTTGATAAAGGAAACAGAGGTAAAGTAGAGATTAAATACTAAAATTATCTAATAATGCATCAATTAACATTTATTTTGTTATTAGTCTGTTTTTACAACTCAATTGGAAGGTGGAAATCGTCAGAAGGCCATGAAACGTCTCAGAGTTCCACCATTGGGTCAAGAGCAAAATCCATGGACAACTTTTCGAGTAGGCCTCTTCGCTGGTTCATTTATAGTAATGGTTATAACAGTTGTTATTGCTGGTAAAGTATAATTTATTTTTTTTAATAAGGGACATTCTTTCTTATTTCCTTATACTATCAAGCAACGTATTCTAAAGATAAAGTATTAATATAGGTTTTCTATTGGCAAGGATAAATTGGAATTATATAAATTTTTATAACATGACAAAAGCTTATTGCACGATAAACAACGGTAAAAAAAGTAGTATATTAAGAGATTAAAAACAATATTTACGTTAAACGTATGATAAAATAATAAAAAAAAAATAAATTTTAGTATCAATTACTGTTATGGAAAAGAGAAATAACAGTCAATCAACATTTAATTGTGACTTTTGTAAGTTATGAATAGTAATAAGGCAAATATATATATATATATATATATACATATATAGACTGCATATATTTATATTAGTTTTAAATTTATCTACTTTGTTGGTGACATATTTATTGATATTTATGTATTAATTATGACAGCTAATTTCGTGGACTCAAAATCTCTTGCCCATTCTTGGGTTCCAGCTTTACATATCTATAGAGGGACGTTTCTTATAATATTGTGTTGCTTTTTATTGGGTTTAAATACTTATGGATGGCGTTCTTCAGGAGTAAATCATGTACTAATTTTTGAACTGGATCCAAGGCACCATCTAAACCATCAGCAACTACTAGAAGTTTGTGTTTGTTTTTTTTCATTACAAAAATTTGTTCAAAAGTAAGATAATATCGCTCTTATTTTTTTAATTTTTAAGGTATCCTGCTTCTTTTCCGTTATATGGTCGATAAGCGTTTTATGCTTTCTATTCAGCCATTATATTTTATTGCCTATGTTTGTTGCTCCTCTTGCCCTGGTAACAGTATGTTTATTGTTAATACTCAATCCATTTCGGGTATTTTACTACAAAGCCAGATTCTGGTTACTTAAAGTTTTGGTTTGTTATTTATATTTGCTTATTATTATTCTGTATTTATTCTAAAAATGATTATCGAATTTAACAGTTTAGAATAGTAACAGCGCCATTTCATCATGTTGGCTTTGCTGATTTCTGGCTTGCAGATCAATTAAATAGTTTGAATGGTGTATTATTGGATTTTGAGTATATGATTTGCTTCTATACCGCTCAAGTTGATTGGCTAGGAAAAGAAATAGTAGACGGTAGGAAATATTTTCTTAATTTAAAACCGCCTAGTAGAGCGCTTTAAACACTTTTCTCAAATTTCTTATTTTCTTTATCGTTATTTCAACTCTTTTTAGATAACTCAGTTTGTGGTACAATATCTTACGGAGTTAGACCTATAGTAGCCTGTTTACCAGCTTGGTTTCGTTTTGCTCAATGCCTAAGACGTTACAGGGATACAAGGTTGATTTTTCCTCACATAATTAATGCTGGAAAGTATTCGACAACATTTTTTGTTGTTCTATTCGACACCTTAAATAAAGCCTATAAGAGTAAGTGATGCATAAGTAATAATATTGATATAATTTACTATATTACATAAAATAGCCAATCATGCGAAGGAGTACAATGCATTTTTCTACTTGTTTATTATCGCCAAAGTCATTAGTACATGCTATACTTTAACTTGGGATATTAAGATGGATTGGGGTTTGCTGGATTCTAATGCAGGCGAAAATAAGTACTTAAGAGAGGAAGTTGTCTATGCTTCAAAGGTAGTATACCCTTTAAGGTAAACTTATTCCATATTTTAACTACGAATTGTTAAACGTTACACAGTATTACTACTATTTTGCCATAATTGAGGATGGATTGTTACGATTTAAATGGGTACTCGCCGTTATTCTAATAGGACAGAATTTTGTTCATAAAGAAATAGTAGCATCAATAATGGCGTCTCTAGAAGTTTTTAGGCGTTTTATTTGGAATTTTTTTCGTTTAGAAAACGAGCACTTGAATAATTGTGGTCAATTTAGAGCTGTAAGAGATATAAGTATAGCACCTATAGATGCAGACGATCAAGCTCAATTGGAGAGTATGATGGACGAAGAAGACGGTGTTACAAATCGCCATAGGGGAGATACTCGTAGACTTATTACAAATAGGTAAGCAATCAGTATAGTTTTTATTTACATATTGTTATAAGTGTGTCATATATATATATATATTTATATATGCATATCCTTAAATATTTGCTACAATATTGATTCGCACTGCCAGAATTGGCATTCAAGCTTTACAGTGGAAACTGAGAGATTATCAGCGGTAGGGATGAATGTCTTGCTCTCTTCTTTTAAACGGAATGACCTTTAGAACGCACGCAATAGCACGTTGAAAAATTTTCTGTTTATAGTTACTTTTCGATAGAAGAAAATCTCAGAAAAATTTACCACAATCGGCCTTAATGTTAATAGAAAAAAAAATACTTTCTAGTACCGTAATCACATTTTGCCCGGGTCCTATCCTCTATCAATTTTTCAACTCTTCTATCCTTACCCCCTACCCTATTCCATTTCCTAAATTCATTCGTTTCACACTTAGATCATTTCTTAGAAAAGTCATCGTGCATTATACGTAAAATTATACTTTTTCAACCATAGAAACTAATCTAACCGCGTAATTACTTTTGTATGTTAGATAGTTTGAGGGTTGTGCATTTTAATTAACCTTTTACTTCCGTTTGATATTACTAGACTAGTATTAAATAGACGAATGAGAGGGGAATGTGTATGTCTGTCTATGTGCATTTCTTTTTTCTATTCCTTATATGATATCTTCTATTATCGTGTTATCGTTATTAGCACTGTTACTATTATTTTTTTTGTTGTTTAGTAAAAGAAATTCCTTTTTTTATTTATTCTAACTAATTACCAGGAAAATTGAATTACTTAGGCAAACTATGGAAAGAGATGGGTTAGAACTTAGTTAGAAAGCTAATCATTTAATCCTACTACAACAGATTTTTCCACTTAAATTTATTTTTTATACTAGACGTGGAAATTGATTTAGACTATGGTCATATAACTATTTCATCTTATTTTCCTTTTCTAAACAAATTACAGATCTTCGAAGAAAGAGACGAAGATTCTAGTTGACAAAGACGACGATGACGACGAAGACGACGACTAAACCGATTTTATAGGAGCGTAAATTCAAATAACACAATTTAAATTAGTTTAAATATACATCAATTCCCGTGTTTTTATAGAGTAAAATATTGTTTTATTTTTGGCTTCATAGGTTATAGATATCAGTGTAATATGGCCAAAAATTTTAGAATGTATAATTATACATTGGATTTTGTCAAAATGTTTTAAAAAGAAAGAATTTGATTTATATGACAGTTTTTTTTTGTTTTGAAATGTTATGCAATTTCTTTCCTTTTTTTGTGCTAAAATGTTCACATTTTTGCCATTGATCCTCGCGATCTCTTAATAATAAAAAATTGCTGTTATCTCATTACTAGTTTACCGTAATTAATATTAATAATAATATATAATAATAATAATAACAATAATAGGCTCTATTTCTTTTGCATTTATAAATTTTTTCTGGGAATAAACCATTTTTACAGATAGGCTGGTAATTGCACCATATGCATACTTGTTTGACTAGGAACTCATTATTGTCAGATAAGAGCCTGGTAGAAGGTCTTGAAACAAAGCTTTACGAACTTCTTACCACGGTGTAATAAAAAGCTGTGAAATAGCTAGTAATTCATGTAATAGTTTTATATATATATATATATATATGTTGGCCTATTTGGAAGATTATATCTAATATAGAAGTTGGAAGCGGGTATATTTATGTATACTTTTAAAATGTATACTTATACGTAAGACATGCTGATATTCAGTGTATATTCATTATATGTAACATTTCATAAATGAGACAATGTTGACATAGTCTGTCCCATTAGCTAAGGAAATGTATTAAACGTCGAGACGTTGCAAACAAATTGTCACTCAATATCCGACCGTTTTCGCATCGCCTATAATTAATGACTTTCTGACTTTGGCGCTCTCTTTCTCGTCTGCCTCACTCACTCCTTCGCGCCTCGTCATGCCGGGGAACGGTAAGCATCAAAGTTTGACTTATTTTCAACTAAATGTCTAAATAACAGTTGCTGTTTTTATATAACTTTTTAAGACTTTTTTTTTAGAGAGATATCTAAGTTGACTACTTCTTTCTTTCTTTCTTTCTTTCTCTCTCTCTCTCTTTATCTTTTTTTCTTTCTTTTTTACTGTCTCGATTTCTCTTTTAAGTAGAAGGTTTTTTAACCCGACCTTTTCAATGTTTTGCCAATAGAAACTCTAGGCGATAGCCTAAATGAAACTTCACCGTTAACTATCACTTGGATCCACCTCGGTGCCCTTTTATTTTTAATCATTCCTATTGGGGTTGTTTGTAACATCACTGCTTTAGTTGTATTTTGTCTATCTTCTTTAAGAAAATCTAGTACTGGACATTACTTAATGGCTTTAGCCGCTGCTGATATACTTTTTCTCTTGGCCGAACTGTTAGCTAATTTGAATAATTATACGGATTCTCAAGGATTCTTATTAAATGTGGACTTTTCTCATAGATCAAGAATAGCTTGTAAGCTTATATATTTTTTACGATACTCGTCAAAATTTACATCTACCTGGTTAACTGTCGGCATAACTGTTGAACGCCTATTAACTGTTGTTGTTCCTCTACACGTTGGATCAATATCCACACCAACTGTAGCTAAATTCATGCTTCTTATAGGACCAATTATAACAACTACTATCTGCATTGGAGGAGCTCTTAGTATTGATATTATTAAATTTAGTAATAATGAGACAAGTTTAACATTATGTATGGTAAGCGACAAGAGAATGTACGAATTATGGAGTTTAATTGTTCTTGGAATTTTTGAGATGATTGTTCCCAGCTTAATTGTGAGCATTTGTACGATTATAATTTTAATTCATTTAAGGAAAGCTAAAAAAGAAAGAATGGGCAGATTAGAAGGTCAAAAGAAAAGTTTAACAAACTCAACAAATCATCATAAATCTAAACAATCCCAACTTACCTTTATGCTACTTTTAGTGGCAATAACTTTTGTTCTGATACGATTACCGAATCTTATCACCTATCATAGTGATAGGATCTTAAAAAGTTTTAATAATGGTACAAGTCATAAAACAAGAGAAGAAAGTTTCAAATGGCTAGTTGCTATAAGGATAACTAATTTATTCGCAGTGTTTAACCATAGTATCAATTTTTTCCTCTACTGTCTGGGAGGATCAGCATTCAGGTAACTATAGAAAGACTACAGTAGAGATTGCTTCTTTACACTAATATCTACTTTTAAAAAAATTTCAGAAAGGAATTATTAAAAATATTCTGCAGACGACGGCAATTGAACCAGTGGCAGTTGCAAATGTCCTCTTCTGCGTCTAAACAAAGTGGTCGGAAGAAATCAAGTAAAGAAGCACAAGTTTGAGTAAATAATGATATATACGTCTGCTATATGTGTATATATGTATAGCATTCAGTGGACAATGCCTGTATATACAGTATACACACATACGAAACTATGATAATGGTTTAATGATATTAGGGGAAAAAGGCTAAAAGTTACCTCTTTGTTGTATTCTAGGAATATATTTTTCGATGGAGATTGAAAAGTGAATATTTCATCATATTGTCTGTTATTATTAATAAATGCTAGGAAACCTTAGTTATTGCAATCTTTCATCTCTTCTACTCCGTAAACAAATAGGAATATACAGAATATTTACAGTCCTCGAAGCTAATTGCGAAAAAAGGTTAAATGAGATGTTTATATATATAAGTAATGTATGGGTTAGGAAGAATACTTAACCTATTCATACTATGTTAAGTAAATATATTTTACATATGTATTTAAGCAAATGGGTAAATGGACGAATGAAATTTCAATTATAGTTAACCACATATTGCTTTTTATTGAATATATACAATTACATGAAGTGGAGTGTACAATATATAATAAACGGAATATGTACAAAATGGTCATTTGATAGGTAGGAGTAAAAATCAGGTCAAAACTTGCCTTTCTAGACAATTAAAACATATTTATATTTTTAATGCAATTAGCACCATAAATCAATTGAACATATTAATATATGAACACACTATGTAATAGATAAATTACGAATGTTCAATTTTCTTTCATTCTTACGTAATATTCTACTTATTAAAGTATATAATGTATCAAAATAAACAAAATCGTAATAAATATTAACAGACAAACAACTAAACAAACAAAAGAACTAAGGAAACAAATATATATATACTGTATATATAATTCAAAATATCAAAATTCGAATCGTAAAAGAAATTCTATATAATGAGAGAAATACATTTTAAAAATAAGACAATAAAAGATGAAAAAGGAAAAGAATAGTACCGTTTTATGTTTATTACAATGTGCACATTCCCGTTTGGATTGAATGACTAGTGCCACCTATAGTTTAAACTTTGACTATTTCTTCATTTTATTTTCTTCATTATTATAAATGTTGTATTTCAGTAGTTTGGGAACAAGACGCTTTCACTGCTGAATACTTCATGGAATTTCCGGTTGATTTGGCGCTATGACATGATAATAAGGGGCACATAAAAGCTAGAATTGCAGCACTGGATGCTAAGAAATAAGTCCATCCTAATTCGCAGTGTCCTATAAATAACACGAAAATATATTGAATAAGAGACTAATTTGTATTTGTATATATATAGATATATATAGATATTTTCTATATATATATATATATATATATATATATATATATATATATATATACATACTGCATATGGTAAAGGAATCATTAAGAAAGAAAAAGTATATTAACCTAATTTATAATTACGCGCCTCATCTCCGCACACTTGCTTCACTTCAGAACTACTCCATCCCAGTGGATAAAATACAGCGCATGTGGTCGCCATTAATACGCCTGCAAAACAGTAGGAAAGAATTATAGAAATGTGTAGGCAAATATGTAAAACATTAAGTAATTAACGCGATTCAGTGTAGTTTTCTAAAACTCTGCATGAGTCGAGGGCCGGAGGGGTAATCAATTCAAATGCCTTTCCTTATTGGCTACATTCGAAATTCTCTTCTTTTTATAATAAAACTCACTAGTGTTCGTAAAGAAGGAAATTTCCGTCGCTTCCTGTCTACCCTCTTATTATATACGTATAAACCATACACAGTATATATATATATATATATATATATATATATATATATATATATACTGTATATATATAAATATGCAGAATATACAATATATTATTTATAAAGGGATAGATTCTATAGTACTCTTATAGTGATATATTATATCTAATACCCAATGAATTTAACAAAGCTACCTGACTAAATACACAATACTCTCTCCAACACGTAATTTATTTTTTTTTACTACAACTCTTTTAGGCCTATTTTATGCAAAGGAAAAAGGTGCGATCTCGAAACGTAAATAAAACCTAATCGGTGAGCAACGTATAGTAAACTAGGTTGGGGGTAGAAAGACAGAAGAAAAGAAAGATTAATCCACGCAATGACGAACTTTTAGCACCTGTACCCTTTCCTTCTGCCCTTCTATACTCAATTTTCCTAAAGGCTGATTCAGCTAAGGGAAGAAAGTTAGAAGAATTTTCTTTTCTTCTTGTTTTTTCCCTGTGAAGCCAGCAAACGAAGCGTACACACTAAATGAAATGAGAAAAAGAGAGGCGGAGAGAGACAGAGAGTGCTAGACAGACAAGGGGAGTAAGAGAGGGAGAGAAAAAAAGTTGAAGACAATATAATATTTCTTTTATTGGGTTTTAATCATGCTGACGATTACTGTGAGGGATTTGATATGGTATAATACGATGAGATCTTGCGTGAGATTCAAGCTGCTTCTAGGAAACTTTGATCAATCCTACACGAAATAGACTATTGTTAGGCTTGTCCTTTTAAGCTCTTTTATAGGACTCTGGAAAACTCACGCAACCGTATAAATGGAAAGATATATAGATAGACAGATAGGATTGGTTGTTTATAGAGTATTTATCTCTGGTATATAAATTAGAGAGATACATTTGTACAATACTAATAAGGCCTACTTGTAAATCCGCTAGGGTATAGTTTGCAAACACATCCCAACTGTAAGACGGATGTATAGACAAACACTAAATAAATAGGCAGCATGCCAAAGTAGATCTAGTTTCGAATGGGAGAAAGCTAGAATTATTGTTCCATGCAAGATTTGTTTCGAAAACTTTGTATATAAATAGATTTTTTCAGCCCCCCTCCCAGCCTCCTCCCTAGTTTTCTGCAGGTTTATGATTATTAGAATTTATGGATATGAATATTAATGGATTCTTTTTTCTAGCATTAAGATTTTTAGATTAAAAGGAGGCGAGAGAGTGGAGGATATAGTAAATGAAGTGAGGAATAAGTCGAACTAGCAGTTTAGTTGACCGATGGGAAATGTTGTTGTCGGACGATAGATTATGCGCTACGCGAACGTGACAATGATAAACGACGAAATAATACCGCTGTCTATGATAAATCCGTCGAAATAAACACAAACAACAAGAAGGAAAAGAGATTTCAACGGTAAGAAACGAACGGAAATGATAGAAAATTTAATTAAGGAGAGAAAAAGGATGAGAATAGAAACAATAAACGATACAAACCTGAAAATGCTTGGAATAAACCCGATAATTTGGCCGCTTTATTCGAAAGGGCATCTCGGATACAGAAGGCGAACATACCCATAAAGGCTATAGTGGCCGTAATAAAAGTTGCTGAGCCGACACAGACGACACTAATCTTCCACCAATTGCTAGGTATATCCGAGAAAGATGCATACATTCCACAATCGATTGTCACTTCTAGCCGTCCGCTTGTTAATTTTAAATAGTTGCATCGCCTGAATAAACCTAGATTGGATTCTGTTTCATTGATAAACTTTCCATTTAGCCAGTAAGGCATATAGAATCCTAATGAACAGCAAATTGCACAGGCAACAGACAAAATCACCCATATAATTCCTACGTAGGTTAAACTCTTGGCCATTGTTCTCTTTACGTAATTATTATTATTGTATAAAGCACTTGCAGTCATTACTTGTATCCAACCGCAGTCGCGCCCAACACGAAATGTTTCGCTTAAAGATCACAACAGATAAAAAGTGCACGAAAGCGCCATCTGACGAATTTTACAAAAACTAATTTCAAGCATTGGCCCCTCCTCTCTGTCCCCCTTCCCCTCTCTCTCACCCTTTAAACTATATTGTATCATATATAAGTTATATGAAGTGGAAAAAAAGTCAACTTGAAATACTTTGTTAAAGAGTAGAAACTACAGTCAACTAGTGCCACCTATAGTATTCTATATTTCATAACCGACTTTTTAAGATACGAATATAAATAATTAATAGATTACGAAATGAATAATAAAAAGTAAAAATTAAAGCGAAACGTTATTTAATCTTGCTCTAGAAAAGTTTTTATAACAATTTGCTATAATTAGCAAACTAGTTGTAAACGATAAAAAAGAAGGTAAAAGTTTTTCTTTTTCTCTTTTACTCTTTCCTCTTTTTGTCTATGTAAATAATATTAAAATTAGTTACTTTATCCATTATTTGAATAATTAAAAGAGATAAAGGGTAATATACAATTTCATTTTTATAAGGCTTATATTGCCTTGAGATATTTTACGTATGAAAGCAACTTATGGTATATATATATAATATGAGAGAGAGAGAGAGAGAGAGATTAATCATCACTATCTTTTTTTTCTTGACACAAATGTAAAAAAATTAAAAGCTTGGGTCGTTAAGTTGCTATTCCACTATACAAAGTATATTCGCTATAGCTATATATAGTTTGTATATACTATATAAATCCATTTTAGTGTATAAAGTATATATATTATTATATTCTATAAAAGCTATAAAAGAATTGTATTTTTTTTTTAATGCAAATTTGGATAATCAATAAGGGTTTTTCTTAAAACGACAATTGATTAACAAAGTTTATTATTATACTATAAATCAGATCATTAACGACAGTTTCGAGTAGGCAGCTGTTATTTTATTAAGAGATATCGAAAGAATAAGGAGAAGGAGACGGAGAAAGAAGAAAAAAAAAATGGTCTATATACTATTTGTCTTATATTCATAATTTTTTCTTTACAATATACATTATCTATGTCTTCAGGGCTATTGTGAAAGAAACAAAGTTTTATTCATATGCGGTGTATATAAATATATAAATATATATACTAATATATATATATACTAATATATAAGATTGAATTAAAAAAAAGACATAGATAGATAGATAAACATATACAGACAATAAGATAAAAGGAAATATGAATTAGAGTATTTAAAGAAAAGGATATACTTTTATTTTTTGAATAGATTGAATAGAAAATGCCAGTTTTATTATATTTCCATTAAGGACAATATTGTGCGCTTGGAAATAACAGTTTCTCTACAGTAAATCTTATCTCTTCTTCCATAAAAATTAACAAAATATATAGTATGCAATATGGACAGACACACAATATAATTTATACATGTATATCTATATGCATACGTGCGTTTTATGTATATAGCTTTAATTTATGGGTACATTAATATATTTATTAGATATGTACTGCATCTACCTGTGTGTCACTAATGTTATAAAGCTCTTTTGTTTGAAGGGATATTATAATGCATTGTATTATAAACTGACTTAAAAAGTAGAGCTAGATCATAAGATGCGTGAAAGGCAATTAGTTATAAAAAAGATTCGTTTGTTAATTATTATCTGATTTTTAAAATATCTTTTATAATCTACTGATATTTAGTTTTTCAGAATAAGTAGATTTCGTAAAAAGTTTTTTTTTAGAAAAAAAAATATATTTTGTGATATTAATAAATACAAATAAATAGGCTTTTAATCTTTGACTTATTTACGAACATAAATAATATTAAAGTATATACTATTATATAAATAAATATATAAATATATGCCGTATATATATATATATATATATATATATATACAAATGCTCTACATACATATTCATCTTGTAGAAATATATATGTAAAGATAATACATCGGTTGTCATAGAAATAGCAAGCAGAGTCAATAGAATCGCGTTTCTATGACGTCAAAGTGCGTATGTGAAAAATTCTTCGCCAGAGATGACGCCGACATGTCAAACAACACGACGTCTACGACGTCAACTTTTTCTACGGCGTCAAAGATCTCTCAAGGTGTATATATTGGCCTTTTAATTCTTTTGGGAGTTGGAGGAAATTCTGCAGTTATTTTTGCTATATTTAAACACTTACGCTTTAGAAGTGTTACCAATGCCTTTATATTAGCCTTGGCCGGATGTGATCTGCTGAATTGCTCGATTTCAATGCCGATTGCTTTAGCAGCTTTAAGTATGAACCGTTTGCCTGATGTAGCATGTCAGTTCAACGCAGTTTCAACTGTTTTCAGTGATAGTATGAGTGTATTTATGGTAACGCTTATTGGAATCGACAGGTTATCCCTATTAAATAGACAAAGAAAGGTTAGTAAAAAGTTCTGCTTTGGGCTCATCTTCCTCTGCTGTATAATTTCATTAACTTTCTCGATGCCTTCCGCCATCAATTCGGCAAAAATTAAACATCATCAGCCATTCATACACTGCTCCTACCTCCTTTTAGGCAACCAAAATTTGGAAAGAGTAAAACTTTTAAGAGGCGTCTTTATCATCATCACTTTTGCTCTTCCATTTGCTGTTATGCTCTATAGTCTTAGAAAATTGTTCAAATTGGCAGGAAGACCGTCAGTCTCAAAGATAACTCCTGCTTCCGTTCAAGCACAAAATCTAAAATTTGAAGGTGAAGTTCGAACTGCAGGAACTGTTCTAATTATGATAACAACGACGCTGTTGCTCAGGTCACCGATTATTATAGCCTCTATTTGCCAAATGATGAATGTTCGTATAGGGCCCAAGGCCGATTCGACTCTTATTTTAATAAATTGGACAGCGAGTGTAGTTCATCCTTTTACTTATGCCATACGAAATCCGCTTGTAGCAAATCTCATCAGGGTGAAAAAACCTCCTCTGACAGTACCCCCACCGGTACCCGCTGCAGTCATGGATAGATCTCGACGATCCTCTCTAACTTCGAAAGCTACAGGAGAAGTGAACTCGTGGCCAGATCTTATTTTTCCAACATTACGCAAAATATCTAATATCAGCGTCGACACAAGTAAAACGGTTACTAGTAACGTTTGATAAGCTTTTCTTTTTTTAGCCTTATAAGCAAATGCTCTGAAGCGTTTTCACGTGTTTAAATAATGTGAACACAGCCCTAAGACAATATTAAAACTTTTGAATAATTTTTTTTTTTGAGGTGTTCCCATAGTAACTTGAAGTATTAAAAATAAGGATATTTTATCTAATGCAGTACTAATAATTTATAACTTAAAAGTGTAAGTACTATAGATCCGGCTCTTACTTTCTTTGTTTCTTTTTCATATACTAATTACTTATTTCGTTTTGTAAGAAACATAACTATTGCCATGCGTATACATTTTTTTTTATAATACTTATTTTGTTTGCTTCATTTATTCACAATATAAAGCGTAAACAGTTGCATTTACAAATAAACTATTATTCGAATATGTTTCGCTTACGTAGTTGTCAGTTTTGGAATCCCATAAACATTTGGAACCTCCTTGTAAACTTTGACAGAATTTTTCACCTAAAACTAACCAGCAAACTATTTTATGCCTGTCACTAATTACTTCTTTCATCTCGTTTTTTATAATATCGGATAGCTGTTTGACAATATTCGCGTTATCTCTTCCGTACGTTTTATCTTCTAGGAAACTTTGCATGACATCTCGAAGTGCCTTCTTTGCTTTAGCTGTACTAAATTTCTCTTCCATTTTCGGCGCCATTCTATAAGTGTTCTCTAACTTTAATGGTTTTTTCGGTAAACTCTCTACAATTGTACTCCCTCCTGTTGAAAGAAATGTTGTTCTTGACATTCTTCGTGTCATCCGACGCTTCTCCAAAGAAGATAGAGATATTTTTCGTAGTCGTCTTTCATCGTCTTCATTAACGCTCAGTGAAACCTGCGTATAGTAGTTTTTTGCTTGCGTAGTTTTTATCTTAGAAAATCATTAAGTTAATAAACCATTATCTAATTACCTTTTTGTTCACTTTATTTCCGTCTTGCATTTTTTATTCCAGGAGTCAAGAGTAAGAAAAATAGAGTATGGACTTTTAAGGACTAAGCTTAGTAAATCTTTAAGATCGAAAATCACAAACAAAACGGCGTAACTGAGGGATTATAATTCTGTATAATGCCTATATAACAAAGCGAACTGTTCGTTTATCATTTCTATTGGAGGCGCCAATCTATACTTTGCACAAAACTGGTATATAATTTAGAATGTTTTGCTAGCTCTATAGCCAACATGGCAGATTTAGATCCGCGGTGTCTTCGGGAAAAACTTGCCAAATGGGATGCTAAAACCGATCCCACAGCGCCATTGAGCGATGAACAAAAGGATTCCATTATGGACTTATCAACATTGGCTAATCATCGTGCGTTACCAACTGAAGTTTGTATTACATTCATATCTCTATTGTCGAAATTCACCGCCCAATGGAATTTTTTTCAGCTGCCAGTAGATGATTTCCCAAGAATTATCTCCGTACCCAATTCTAATTCAACAGAAACACCAATGGAAAATCTTATGGGAGAAAAGCATTTTCCAGTAAAAAATTTCCAAGAGGTTTTCATTTACGTTCAAACTGCAATAAGAATCTATGTTTTCTTTTTATCTATTAGTATTTTTCATGGATGTTAGCTATCAGTAAAGGTATAGAGGATGAAAATAGTAGAAAAAGTTCAGCATATCTCAAAGCACTTCTAAAGCAAAAGGAAAAATGTACCGAAACCTTATTACAAGTTTCTCATACATTAGAATGTGCTGAAGATTTGAAAGAAAAATATGTAAGAGTATCAACATCAACATCGGCTTTACATTCCGCTTGTGAACATTGGTTAGCAGAACAACAGCGTTTATCTAGAAATGCTGATGAAATTGCCAACGTATTAGGTTACTTTAACGAATATGATAAAATTTCCAAAGTAAGCTTCTTCAATAATTTTATGAAAGTTATTATTACAATTAATATTTAAATTAAACAGAAACTATCGTTACCCTATGTGGCTGCAACAACAGAAAATTTAATTCCATTATTAAACAAAATAGACGACTGCATTGATTTTATGAAAAAAAATGTATGTATAAAAGAGTATATTGAGTGACTTTTCTTCACTTTTTTCATTCATTATTTCCTTTATATTTTTTTTTATTTGATAGCCTAACTTTAAAGAATCTCAAAATTACTTATTAAAGTATACTAATCTGTTATCTAAGGCTTTATTAAGAATAAAGACTTATGTTATTCAAGTTTTAACTGAAGCAACTCAAAAAGTTATGCCTGATATACATAAGGTATATTTTTTTATTACATCCCGTTTATTTCTATATTGTTTCTTATTCTTTATTTGTTGTAGACTGTTCCTAATCCAACTGATGACGCGTTCACTTTGTTCTATGGTAAATTTAGAACAAACGCTCCTCGTATCAAGTCATTTATGGAACAAATAGAACAACGAGTAAATATATCTGAAGAATATGAAAATTTCTTATACGATTGTCGGAGCTTTTATCTTCAACAAAGAAACCAGCTTTTACAACCTAGTGTAACTGCTGCGGTCACTGATTTAGCAAAGAAACACGCAAGAGATCAATGTGCTTTGATGAGAAGTGGCTGTGCCTTTATGATACGTTTATGTGAAGACGAGTATCAATTGTTTTTTCACTTCTTTTCCAAACAAGCACCTATATTGCATGAATCGCTGGAAGCATTGTGCACCCTTTTGTATGACGTTCTGCGACCATTTATCATACACATCAATCACCTTGAAACATTAGCCGAACTCTGTAGTATATTAAAAGTTGAAATGCTAGAAGAACACACTATCAGCACTGGGGATTGCTTATTGGCTTTTGAGAACGTTTGTAATCAAATGCTACAAGATGTGTTAGAGAGACTCGTCTATAGGGCTCAGAGTTATGTTCGTAGTGAAATTTTAGGTTACAAACCAGCTCCCGGTGATTTAGCCTATCCTGATAAACTAGAAATGATGCAAAATATAGCTCATAGTCACAGAAAAAAATTAAAAGGACACGAACGAACATCTTCAATAACTTCAACTGCATCGTCAACATCAGCTGAGGTTGCTAGAATAAATACGGGTACGAGTAACAATACTACTAGAGAAGAGACTGAGTCAAACAATTCATCACCCGTTGGTTTTTCTGCAATATCCTTGGAAGGTTGGTTTTACTTAAACTTTTGAATATTAATCAATATTTATTTATTTATGTATTTATGAAAATTACAGATACGTATTCAGAGGTAAATGGAAGAGTAGTTGCTCATCCGAATATGCCAATAAGTCCTGCAGATCTACATGGTATGTGGTATCCAACTGTTAGGAGAACTCTAGTTTGTTTATCAAAATTATACCGTTGCGTTGATGTACGTATGAAATAATATTCCGAATTGCAACAATTTGTTGTTTGACTACAAACCTAGAATTTCAATGATTACATTGTTTTTATGGTTTCTTTCAGAAATCGACATTTCAAGGTTTATCGCAAGAAGCTTTAAATATGTGCATTGAATCTCTAGTGGGAGCATCGACTATAATTAGTAATAAAAAGGTAAAATTTAATCAATATTCCTGTCAGATGTATTTTTCAAAAAGTTTCAATATATCTGTACTTTTTTTTAGACAAAATTAGACGGTTTATTATTCCTTATTAAGCACCTGCTGATTTTGAGAGAACAAATTGTACCTTTTCATGTTGATTTTTCAGTAAAGGAAACGGCTCTTGACTTTAGTAAGATAAAAGGTTGGAAGCTACTTTTTTCTTTTACCTATATTCAGTATATTAAACTTTTATCATTGTTATTTTAGATGCTGCGGCAGGTTTATTATCGGCTCGATCAAAGTTATTTGCACTTAATAGCAATAATGCTCTCCTGAAATTTATTTTCGATGTAAGATTATGATTGACGACAATAATTAGTTTCATTCTACATGTTTTTTGCACTTTAACTGTACTTTACTTTTTTTTATAAATTATAGGGAACGCCACAAGTTACTGAGACGTTTATAGACTCGAAGAAAGAGGTTGATACTCAATTGAAAAAGTCATGCGAAAATTTTATAAATCATGCTACTCAATATTTAGTAGCGCCGCTAATGGCATTTCTTGATAAGGTATATTTTACTATATTTAATTATTTCTTATTAAATCACTTGTTCTTGTTTTCAACATAATTGAGTATATAAATCTTATAGGCTGATCGATGTCTTAATATGAGTAAAGATGGAGGTCCAGATGTCAAGTTGCGTAATCAACCTTTTGCAACACCTCAGGTGTTGAATGATGTCGTTGCTGAGACTTACAAAAAGCTTAAAGTCGACAAGCAGCAATTACAAGTACTAGTCTTTGCCATCTTCTTTTCTTTTATACTAAATAGTCATTGACAAGTTTATTGTTTTCATATAGAAATCGATGACTCTTTACCTAGCAAATCGGGATACAGAAATTATTCTAATTAGACCAGTAAAGACGGGGGTCTATGCAAAATTTCAAACTCTTCACTCGCTACTACAAGATCATTATAACGAAGAAGATAAACAAATAATTGCCGCGCCCTCTTTAGAGCAAGTTAATTTGGTTATGTCAACAACGCTCCCTGTTTTGAATTCTAATACTTGATAAGATTATGCAATGAGAGGATCAGTGCTTGTTTATTGTGATAAAAGACAAGTTAGAATGAAAAGATGTCGATATTTGATGTGCTATCAAACTCTTTCTTTCGCTCACTTAAAAAATAAAATATGCATATTTATGAACTGTTTATAAATCAAGGTTATATTGTAAAACGAAACTATACCTTTACACAAATGTTTAAATCGTATACATGAAACTAATCTGGAGAAAAAGCGGCCTTATAATAAATGTAAAACCCTTTTATGAAAATCTAGTTAGTTGTACTACGGTTTCTTGTAAATTTCTCATAGTAGTTGAAGTCTAATGAAACATGTTTATGAAGGTCAAAAAGAGGATGATTGAGAAGTAAATGATAGTAGTGTTAGAGGATAAATTGAGTAGAGAACGTGACTTTGGGACTAACAAATTATATGAAAAGATGAAAGAAAAGTAGAAGGCGGTGGGGGAGTTTAATCGAATCAGCTGTAAGCCAGGTAAGATTGCCCACATTCTATTCCACAAGGTTTTTCTTTTAGAATAGATTATAAAGGATAATACCTACATTGAAAGAAGTAACCAAAGAGTTAACAACCTTGAAATTTTTCTTTAAACTATTTCCGTTAAATAAGGAAGAAAGAGACCAAAAGGATGATTGATTTTTACAATAATCTGACAAACTATAAATTATCGAATAGGATAATAAAAAAAGATGAAGGAAAAAAGGAAAGCATTTTATTTGTTATTATAGTATAGAGCTTTCTCATCTTCTTTTATTGTAAGCCTTTGAACCGGAAGTAAACTGGCTTTAATTACCTTAAGAACTAAAATTTAAATCACATTTCCAATACGAAACCTTTTGTCAAAAACAGTGTAAAAAAACCTTTAAAAAGCTTTTGATGTATATATTTTTGTTCTTTATATGTCCATTTAAAATATATGCTATCTATTAACTCTATCATCATACTTGTAACTTTTAATGATACTTCTCAACGTCGACTAGTTTGGAGAAAACGCCATCTAGTGTCGAAGAGATAAAATATCATGAAAAGTTAATTTCAAGTTTTTTGTAATATTTGCATCTTTGAAGAATAGAAGCTTAAATCATTTTTAGTAGTTAATAGTGCAATTTATGCTCATTATGTATTACTTATCAACTCTATGATAAGAGAAAGTAGACAAGGAATACAAAAAACATTCGCAAAATCAATTTATATTTATACTTAAAATAATAATTCTTTTACAGAAATCGCTCTCTGTCTCTCTCTTTCCCTCCCTGAAGTTTTATTATAAAGGAAACGAGAAGAAGAAAGAGAGGTGGAAACTGAGAGAGAACAATTAAGAAATATCTAATTTCTCCATAATAACAGAAACTAAAATTTATAAGAAATGTGCAATAATTGAAACATTAACTAATGATAGAAAAGACTGTTTTACAGAGTTTCTGCTTTTTAATCAAAGGTTTTCTTCAATAAATCGAAAGATATGTGCTTCATTCCTGAACACTTCAGGTCCAAAGTCTATAATGTATTTATAAATATCTTTCACTTCTTTGCGATTGCTCTTCAATTTATTGTATATACTTCTTAGTTTCTTTTCGAATCTTTTATCGTTAAAAGTTGAATAGTAAATCTCTCTTTTAGTTTCGGTGGCTACCATTAATTGTATTAAAAATTTTAATTCCCTATCTCCTTTAAAAGCTCCACAGCCCCAATTTCCGGTGGCTAAAGCAACGCTTTTTTCATGTGGTTCATGAAAACCAACAAAAGCTTTATTCAATTCCCGTTTTAGGTTTGCATGTTTATATTGGTCACTAGGGTCTCTAAAGGGTAGAGCATCAATGGCGATTGTTTGAGAAAAACGTTGTTTCATATCTTTGCATAGTTGATATGTATGTGTTTTATCGTCCGATTTTTCATCAAATTTGAAAGTTGACGCGTATCCTGTAGTTTTATTGAAATTTTCAAATCCGGTAATAACTAAGCAATCTGTACTTTCTAATCTTTGGGTAAATAGTCTTGAAACAATCAATTCAGGATTCTGTAAAAACATTATCTCTTCTTGAACGAGTCCTCTGCCAAGAACACCTCCTCCTATATATTTATTCGCAAAATCAACTACAGCATAATCTGATTGATGAATTTCTTTGTGTGTAACAAAAAATTTTTCTGAACCAATTTTAGCAGAACTTGTTTCCCAATTAGGAATCATATCACTCGTAACATGGCGTCTGTCAAATGTTATGTAAGTTTCCATGCCACCTTCGTCCTTCCTATCAATAATTCGATCAAAATAATTGAAAATACACCTCAATTTTTCCAATTTTCTTTGCATGTCTGGTCCTTGATCATCACAAAAGAAAAGATGAGAGAAATTAATATTTGGACAGTTATCCTGTTTTGACTGCTCAAAAGTACAACAGAAAGCATTAGCTAACAAGCATGCGATGCTGTATTGGCCAAGCGTAATGCATTTTTTTGTTCCACTCTTAAGATAGGGAATTTTATAGTTTCTCAGCTCCAGAGCCAACCGAACAATTTTACCAAGGGTTTCCCTCCTTTTTGAATATTGCTTCAAAAACTCTTTTAAAGCTTCAAAATTCAAACTTGTACCGTTAATGTCGTTAAAATACTTTTTCACGGCCTTCTTAAAACTACAAAAATCATTAACATTTTTTAATTGATTTGTAATCTCGGTCCACCTTCGTGACTCAGTGGGCATTTTTACATAATCATCATGCCTATAATTTTTATCGGCTCCTGGCATACATAAAATTTCATTTTCACAACCAAATTGAATAGGAATTCCTTCCTCTCCTAATTTCCTTAAACTCTGCTCGTTATTATCGTATTCATCGCTACTACTATCATCTTCATCCGTGTCATCATGACTATCGATTGGCTGGGTTTCTTCATCAGAATCGCTTATACCATGATCCTCTCTTGTTAGATATGAAGAAGTTGCCATTGTAATTTGATTGTCTTCACCGGATCTTATTTGTATTTTCGTTTCTTCCGATGGTAAAATTCTGGGGCGTTTATTTACGTGATCTTTAATCGAAGTTTGTTTGAATATCTTTCTCTTACTCATATCATATCGTCATCAGACAAAGATGCTAATCAAATCGAATCTAATAAAATAGTTTACCTTTGGTTTCTGTGGAAAAACCAAATACCGGAAAAGGAAATAGGCCAGCTGGTCTAGCTACTTTCTAAGAATATTGGACGCTACTACATATTAGATTATTAATATAAAAGAGAAGAGCTAAATGAATTTGAGATAAATAAAAATCTTTTACGGGATAAAAACGTTATCGATAAATTAAGCTTTTTCATAAATTTATTCTATTAAAGGTAAGTAAACTATCTTAAAAATTATCGCTTCAAATTTTTTCATCATTGACTATTAATCATATATTTAAAGTTATATTATTTATAATCCATGAATGATATTTTTACGAATATTTGAAAAAAACTTTTTTAAGTGAAAAGTAGATTTCTCAATGTGCCGCCATTTTTAATCGCGACATACTACTACTTAGGCAGTCCACTGCGAAAGCACGTGTTTTGGAGAGTTAACTAATTTTAATTTCAGGCAAAATGGAATTTAATGAAAGTAAATTAGCAAAGTCTGTAGAAATTATTAAAGATTTAGTAAATAATAAATCTGAAGATAAAAAGCAGTCTCTTTTGAAGGATTCTTCATCAATTTTTGTTCAAATTGTTTTTAAGAAGATCCCCAACGTTAAGGAAAATAGACATATAAAGATTCCTCTGCCTCATAGACTCATAGAGGACAATGCTGAAGTATGCTTGATTACTAAAGATCTAGATAAGACAAGCAGAGAATATGAAGATACAGAGGAAAACTTCAGAGAACTGTTAAAAGAAAAGAATATAAGTGAGGAAATCTCGGCAATAGTTCCATTGAAACAAATTAAGTTAGAACATCAGACGTACGAAGCAAAGCGTCATTTATCAACGCTCTATGATATATTTCTTGCAGACTCTCGTGTGTATCGTCTATTGCCAGCCATATTGGGCAAGGCTTTCTACGATCGCCATAAGTTTCCGATCTCTTTCGACTTGGAAGCGAAAAATTTAAAGAAAGAATTGCAAAGAGCATTATCGTTCACTTTTTGCGAGCTACATGGCAAAGGCCAGAATGTCTCCATTCCAGTCGGCAGCACAGAAATGAAGAATATTCATGTCGCTCAAAATATCAATGCTATATTGAAAGTTATGAGCAAAGAGACACCGGGAGGATCTAATAACTTTCGAATGGTTAATTTGATATCTAGCAATTGTCCATCCCTACCTCTTCACGTGGATTACGGTAATAAAGCTGATGTTATTTTGAGTGAAACTACGAATGAAAAGAAAGTTGAAGAAGATCTGGAGGAGATAGATACCCAACTTGATAAGAAAGTTAAAGTTGGAACTTATGGTGATATCGACGTTTATGATATGGAAACCGGTATGATTCTGAGTACAACCAAGAAATTAAAAAAGAACTTAATGAAGAAGAAAGGTCTAAAGAGGCTCAATAAAAAAAACAGGCCACTTTTAGAGAAAAAAGATAAGGAAACTGGTAAAGAGAAGAATGTTAAAAAAGGAGTAAATAAAACCAAAAAAAAGAAATTAGATAAGAGTAACGCTGAGAATGTTAAAACCAATAATGGGTTAAATGATCAAGTTAAGAAGAAAACTTTAAAGAAGACTATGAAAGATGTCAAAAAGATAACAAAAGAGAAAAATATGAAGAAAAAGGAAATTAGTAAAGTTACTAAGGCTAAAGTAGAGAAAAAGAAGTTAAAATCTAAAAACAATAAATAATCAATTAACTCTTTTGTTCAATAGTTTTGACTTTATATAAATGATATCTCTAACAAGAACTGTTTTTTAGTGTTAAATTCAATATAAAGCATCATCTTCTTGAGTTCGTAACTGTTGGAAATTGATTAGGAAACATATTTTGATACTTTTTACAGCACTGTAAACTTTTCTTGTTCTTATTATGCAAAAAAAGGAAGATTTATATTAAAAAAAAATTCAATGACAGCCATAAATGAAGCATTTTTTAAGATTCAGGATAATTCCACGGAAGCCAACATTTCCATTTATATGGAAAGGGTATTCTCCACGAAAATGGATATCTAAAACGAATAACTCTTTCATAGTTTCTAGGGACGTGCACAATTTGACCACTGGATAACACCTGAGGCCTAGGTGGAAGGACCCATTTTTCAGGTATATCTCCAGCCCCCATGGACTTTGCAACTTTTAACATCATTGATTCTTTCCATTTAGGATCTCTTCTGGTTAAAACTGAAATTTTTTTATCATCTTGAGTAATCGTGGATCTTCTCCATACCATGAGATCACCAAATACATAATCACCATCTTCCGCTCGACGACGGAGCATTGTTCCATTTTTTATTACATCAACATGATGCTTCTTCATATCTTCAACAAATACTTTATAAAAATGTTTCTCTTTCTCTGGGTCACTGTGAATTAATCGACCCATATCAATATCTGAGTCATAACGCATTACACCACGTGCTCTATAAAATCCCATTAAGCTTCCATAGTCTAGCCAATAGGTTTCATTTCGTTTTTGTAGAACAGCTACAGTAGAGTGAAGGATGTGAGTTAAGGCATTAAATTTGGCTTTATTTAGATAGCAAGGATCGCCGTAAGATTGAGTGAATTTAGGAAATGCATAAATGTGCATAAAAGCTAAAAATATAAAAGAGCCAATAAGAATTTTTTTTATTAAAGACGCTTTAGTTCGGCCTCTAGGTTTACAAGATAACATGTCTTCTCGTGTTTCTTGAAGAGTCTGAGCAATTTCCAAGTTAAGCCAGCTTTTCATTTCTCAAAACATTCACGTGAAAAACTGGTAGTACGCTACGCCATCTACAGGAAATTGAATTTCAATTGACACGGGGAACTGTCACATACATGGTAATGACCAGATTATGTGGGATGACTCGTTTTATTCGCTAGTCTTTAATTATCTCATTCAGTCATTCAAACAAACATTCCCTTGATTTTTGAAATCAGTACACTTTATCTCTTTATTCAGTTATTTATTCAGTTTATAATTATAAGAAACTGCATTAAAAATTTCAAAAGTATAACAATATTGTATTTTGATTCGTTTAACAAAGCTTCAACCTGATTAATAATTATAACAATCACAGTGTAAAAAAGAGATCAATTATGTCCCTATTTGTGTGGATAGTTCCATGGTAACCAACACTTCCACTTATATGGGAAGGGTATCATCCAAGAGAGCGGATACCTATGTCTGATAACTCTCAAATAGCTATTTGGAACGTGAATAACATTACCATTTGATAATCTTTCTTTTTTAGAAGGCAAAATCCAATTGGAAGGTATATCTCCCATCCCAGTTGAATAGGCTAAATGTAAAAGCAATGTCGATGGTTTTAAGTCTGGATCGATTCTCCTTAGGACTGTGATGTTTTTTCCGTCTTTTGTCAAAACAACTTTTCTCCATGTTGACAAATCTCCGTATACATAGCTACCATCACGAGCTCTACTCCTAACAACGTATCCATTTTTTATTAAATCTACATTATATTTTGAAAGCTCTCTTTTTAATTTCTTATATACATTTCTTTCTTTATCCTTATTGTCATGCATCAATCTTCCTAAATCGATGTCATGATCATATTCTAAAATCGACTTTCTCCTATAAAATCCCACCAAAGTTCCATATTCAAGCCAATAAGTTTCATTAAGTTTTTGCAGTGATCTTGATAAAGCTCCAAGAGTATGCGATAATGCATCGAACTTAGCCTTTTCTAGAAAGCAGGGATCATCGTAGTTACGAGTTAGTTTCGGTAAAACTAAAAAATGAAATAGAAAAATTGACAAGGCAATTCCCATAATTATCTTAAGTAAAGTGTTATTCCTAGAAGTGGTAAGGGTATCCCTTAAATGCTGTTTATAATCTTTCATTATTATGGTTTAAGAAATTTTTTCATAAAGCTGCGTTTCGGAAGTTTAATTTCTTTTTCATCGAGAGATATTCACTAATAATTGAGCTTTTCCTTTACGTCGATATGTTTATCAAAAGTATATATTCTCCTATATCCAATATTTCTTTTTTTCTCTCTTTTCAAGTTATACATGTAATAGTATATAAACTATCTACAGAGCGGATATCAAAGTCTCGCTCCTATATGAACTAGTATAGTATTTTTATTTAAAAGTGAATCATCTGGCTCTAGATCACGTGACTCACTAGGAAAACTATACGTGAGCCATTGAGACGAGATCTAGTACTGTCGGTTAGCAGTAGATAATTCATTCGAAATGCTAAAATAAAGATAAACTATCAAACTTATACAACTATAAGAAAGAGACGTAGAACTACCTACTGTTTACATTGAATAAATAGCAATAACGAATTGTATAACTAACTTCCCTTACTAACTTCCCTTAATAGTATTTTTAAAAGATTAAAGAGAAAGAGAGCAGGAAACCTTATTCAATTTTTTTTATATTATGAATTCCTCGATTTTCCTGAAGAGTGATCTATTTATAGTTGCCGGAAACAATAAGTGTATGTGTGTTTTTTTTTTGTTTTTGTTTTTTGCTGTTCAAGCATTTTTTTCTAATTTATGACTTAACTTTTTATTTTTGCTGATTTTGACTATAATATTCACGTTTTGAACTTTATCATATATTTAAATAAAAAGAATAACCGGTTTCAGTGAGTTTGTAAAGATGCAAGTTCTCCTTCAAGTCATTCTCCTGTAAATTTTCTTTGTAGATCTTTCACTATACCTACACTTTAAGGGCAGCTCATATAGATTCAAACACAAATTATATATAATAATTAATTGATAACGTATGGTGAAACATTCTAGTTATCTTTATAACCTTGTCACAGTTTAATCAAGGCCTCTTCGTAATTGGAAGAATGAAGAATGAAAAAAGTTTCATAGTTTTACGATGAAGTTCTAGGATAACTATAAGAGATTTCCAACAAATCATTAGTGCATTCGCATTATTGACGTTTTTTTAAGAGGGAAGGCTTGACAAGTAAATCAATTATTCTGCCAGTGCTAACAGTCAAGAAATTACGGTCATTCCTAACTTGGTAAGACTACATAAAAGTGTATATACAAGAAAATTCAGTTTAGCTGAATGAAAATATAGTTTGGGATCGCCCACTATTGGTTTAAGCTGAAGCCACACCTTTTGATTCACGAGAATTATTTTTCTCTAACCTAGATAAATAGTTCACCTGTTATGCTATATGAAAGTATATTGTATCAATAGATTTGAGATAGCGCTTGCATATCTCATTTCTCCCCTTCTTATTAATCATAAATGACTCTAAATAAAGCAAAAGTAGACAGTATTACTTCATGAAGTATTCAGCTATATTATAGAATTTAATTTTATATGAATCACCCCCGTAAGCTTTGTTTATCAGGGAGAGTGTAAAGTGGCGTTTAAATATACTTTGTCCTTATGATATCTGCGTTTTGTTGGCTTGGTAAAGAAAAGAAATTATGTTCATTGAGGTTTATTTCATTTAACGTTATTTAGAAATCCTATTAAACTATCTTAGGCGTCTTTTATCCTAAAATTATGTCATATATTGATTTGATCAAGTAGTCTAAGTCAATGAACCATTTTCCTTAAAAAACCAATAATCCAGCACAATAGAAATGAAAGTCCATATAATGGGGCGTTTCTGAGTTTCATGTAAGAGAAAAAAATTCAGATTGTCAAGCCTTCCCTCCTCCAAATCGGTTCTACAGATCATTTCTCTTCGAATTTAATTTATAAATGCTATTTATAAATCTTCCTTAGTGTTTTGGATTTTAGAATGTTTTGAAAGCAAACATATTTAAAGTATAAGAAAAAAGTAGGGCAAAATAGAGGAGAGAGAGAGTGAGAGAGAGAGATTATTAAATGCTTGACCTCTAAACGCCTCTTATGATTGAAAATAAAATACATAAGCGTTACAAACAAATCCCATAAAGCCAACTATTCTCCTTTCCTAGATTATTACTGAAAGATATTTGTATATACTAACACGGATGTCCTATTTTTTTTTTTATAAATAATGAAACATATAGTCTTTCTTGAATCTAAATTACAGGATTTGTTTATTCAAGTTTTTTTTTTTAGGTTATCTTGAATATAACAAATAAAGAAGTTTTTTAAACAAAATAATTTAACATAACTTGTATTTTTTCTAATTATAGTCTGATTATTGATTATCAGACTAAGATAAGAAACTGAAAAACAGTAGTATAAATAACAATTAACCTTTGAAGGTTATGATATAATGTTTATGTATTAATTTTGCCTTTAAATTATTTTATATGTTTTATTTGTGCTTATATATAGCAAGATAAGGTATGGGTACATATTTCTTAGATAAAGAAACAAATGAGTTATATTACGTTCGTCGATAGTTTCAACTTGGAGTTATCTGAAGAAAATAATAAGTTCACTGTGTTGTTTTTAAAATTGACCAATATACATACATACATATTTGTATATACAGTAGAGATAAATTGTGGACCAGAATATGACTACATCATTGTTAAGCGAAAGACTTTCTGAATAAATAAAAACAATTAAATGCTTCGAATTGCAGCATTTGTTTAAAACATATCATATGAATGACATTCTCTAGTCTCTCCTTTTGTACATTCCCACCTTATCAATAATCTAATAAATTGAACTTTCGTGACCTATGCAAAAATATCTTTTTTAAAGAAAAAAAGACAAAATTCGAAATTCTTTAAATAAAAGAAGATTATTTATCCTGTTTTATAATGTTATATGCTTTAAACTAAGAAATGTTGTTACCTGTTTGTAGTTAATTAAGTATAAAATGTTGTAGGAGGTGAAATTTAGAAGAAAAAGATAAATTCTGATTGAGAAGTTGATTTCCTTTATCGATATCCTCTTCAGATTGATAATATTAGATAAGGAGAGTTAATAAAGTAACAGAAATTAGGAAAAAAAGTAAACCCTTTCCAAGATTATAAAATTTCCACTGTTTCTGTTTTTTCCCACTTTAAAATCGATTGATCTTTCAACAATTACTATTTATTATCTCAGATAAAAGAGACAACACAAAAAATTTAATAAATAAATCATTTTTCAGGACAAATTGTATTTAATGCAAAAGATATATTCCTAATACAATATCTTTTATTTTATGCCACTATTCTCTTATTTACTACTCCTTACTACCTTTTTCACATCATTTTTTTAAACAGCACCATCTAGTGATTGTTAAAACCATCATAATATTGACAATTGCTTAATAAGTAACTAAAGGCATATTTTATCATATTAATTATTAAATCGTTAAGAATTTGTAAAGAGAATAAAATAGAATTATTCAAAAAAGAGATCACTACATCATAATCAATATAACAGTATACTAATTAGTCTTATCGCAAAAAGAACGCCCACAAATATTTCGAACCGTAATTGTTTTTAATCATTCTCCATTTTTATTATTAAAAGAAGTCAGTTAAAAAACAATTTACACTGATATTCTGCAAAAGGAAAACCTAATATAGAAATGATTTTACGCTTTTTAATAGCGTTATGTTCATTTTTTGTATTAATAAAAAGTAAATTAGATCAATTAATTATCGATTTAATTCTCTTTTGTAAATTGTTATTTCTTACAGGTAATCTAGTATTTGGACAAGAAGATTCGAAAGGTAAGTTATTGATACTTAACGATCTCTTCCTTTATTTATTGTCTTTTCAATCTGTTATAGAAATAGAGTATTTATTTTTTACGCCAAATCATGATGACGTCTACGATTATGCGTTCTTTACAACTGATTTCGAAAGACTAGTTATTAAAATTAAAGCTGAAAATGATGCTCATTTATTATTTCCCTCAAATCCTGATTTTAACAAGTTAAAAACTGGAAGATATTACGAAATTATTATTGGCGGTAGCAGAGGAAGGAAACTATTTATGAGAAATGAAACAAGTCAACCAATCAACGATTTTATTCCTAATTTATTAGATAAGAATAAGTTTTTAACCTACTGGATTACTTGGTCAAATAAAACACTTGTTATTGGAAGGGGTAGTGAATTCGGTAAAAATCAAATAGGTAAAATGATTGATGAAGGGATTAAATTTCAAGTTGCTGGAGTTGCTCTAAATACTGGTTTTGGTTCTGATGGACAATGGAAAGTTCTTAAAGACTATAGTAGGTAAAAACAAGCAATTATTTACATATGTATATATATACATTGGTTTGTAGCAAAGGAAGTATTTTTAAAGACTGGGTCAAAGAGACCATTATATAAAACAATATGGAGAAATTTCATTCCTGAACGTACTACGCATACATTCTATTTTAGGTAACTTTTTAGGTTATATTAATATACTTTCTATCTATATTCAACTCTTAATATACGTCCAGAGTAAAAGCCTGCAGCGATGTATTAATTTTATTATCGGAAGAGGAAGATCAATTAAATAGTATAAGGGAAATTATTATTGGAAAGGATAATATGAAAAGCGGATTTAGATTTAATAGAACTATGGATTATACTTTTATATCAACTACACACATTCTATCATGCGATGAAAATAGGTAAAGATTAAACTCTATTAATTCTTATAGTACGTTATTAAATTGTTCTATTTTTTCAAAAAGAGACTTTAATCTCTATTGGAATGGTAGAGAAGGTACTTTTGAATTGGGTTCATTAAACAAAAGAGGAAATATTCTAAGTTGGACGAAAGATTTTGATTTTAAACCTAAATATGTTTCTGTCTATTCATCTGAGAATAAAACTGCAATTTGGGATTTTCCAGATTCCAGAGGTTCGATTTTCTTTTATGAATTTAATTCTCTCTAGTTGGAATATTATACGTCTCTCTATTATAGGCGATCAATGGACCATTAAAACCGATAGGGATACCATCTCAACAAGTTCATCCATCGATGTACAATATAAGACTTTCTTTCCATTTGACATACGATCTTGTAATACAAATGTTTCAATTGATCTCTTTAATGAACCAGGTTAATGATAATTTACATATCAATAATCTAAACTACAAATTTTCTCAATAACTTTTAGATGAGAAAGTAAAGTTTCGATTGAAAATTAGCTCTGTTAATGGAAAAATATCCCTAGATTTAATGTTTTTAGCCAATAATACGGAATATAAGAATCTGTCTTCAGATACTAACGAAAAGGCGTTAGAATGTTTTAAATATAGATCTCTATGGTTAAGTTGGTCTAATAAAAATATTACCTTTGGTAAAGGATTAGATGAAGACCAATTTGTAATTGCTACTTGGAGTACTGATGAAATATTTCGACCTGATAAGCTTTATGTTAGGAATGTAGATAAACAACAGGGAGGATATATTCAGTGGAAATTCGATAGAGATAATGGTTAGAGAGCAAATAGTATCAATTTAATATATATGTAATACTTTATCTCATATGACAGCGCTAGGAGAAAGGATTCAAACATTATCCACACAGAGGCCTATCTATGATGAAGTTTGGTTAAATGTTAGATCAAAGAGGCATTACGTTGTATTTGGATTGAAAGGAAATGCCGAAGCTCTTGTATTAGCAGCAAGATGGCAAGGAATAGCTTCTGTAGATGTTTACGAAATAGTACTTGGATCTCGAAGGAATACAGGAGTCCAATTGAGGAAGGGAGAAGTTGTTATTGAAAGCCGTTGGATAGGTCAAGTCTTAGATCCATCAGTATATAGATATTTTTGGATTGCATGGTCGAATGGAGTAATTTATTTTGGGACGGACAAGTCTCCGGGTCTAAATATGTCAGTATTATCAATAATTTGTCAAATTAACATAATTCACAAGAGTTTATTATCACTTTTAAAGTATTTTCAACCATCGAATGGAAAATGCTTTCGAAATATCAGCCGTATCCTTTTCAGGCAAAAATACTCAACAAAATATCTTTTTATCATGGAGTATTGAAGAGAAATCTGGTAAATCTATTAGAAATATAGACGATGTGTACGTCTTTATATAATACTTTAATCTTTTTAGATGATGGAATTTTAATAAGAACTCAACCAACTAAGCCAAATTCAAATTTAATAGACAAATATAAATCATCATGGATTCTTCTCGGTTCAAACATTGCTGTATTTTCAATTAAAACTTGCCACTCTGCTTCCATAAGTTAGTATTTAAAAAACATAATTACTTTAGTTAAAAACCAATTACGTAATCAATAAATTAGTTTTAAGCGAACAACTTAAACAATCTGACAAAAATTCTTACGAATTCATTATCGATGATACCAATGGAAAAATATCAATTAAAAGATTTGAGGGAAACGATAGTGTTAATATTACAACAAAATTATTTGGATATCCATTATTGAATTGTATGGAACCAAGAAAGTTTTGGATTAGTTACTACGATAAGGGTTTCAACTCGTCAATGTATACTGTTAAATTGGGAAGAGGTTCTACGACGTCACAAAATACTCTTATCGAAGGAGATTTTCTAAAGGTTTGTAAAGTTTTACCCATATTATATATGGTTGAATTTATTTCAATATTTTCAATTAGTTATCAATTACTGCTGCATCTTTTGCAACTGGAGAAAGAAACATTGGTGAATGGATTATTAATGAACATATAGGTAAATAGGAAATTAATATATTCTATTCTAATTTCAACTACTTTCTTCCATTAACTCTTAGTTTCGTCGTTTTATCATCATTCCTCAAATCTTAATTCGTATGATAGTTCACCTTGGATATCGGTACCTAATAGAGGAGGCTTAAACTTTAGAGTAAAGTCTAAGGATATAGCGTCCTTAGTGATTTCGACTAATAGAGATATTTCAGAGGAGTCATTTGCAAAGGAATTTGAAATAAATAAAAGAGGAAGAGGTCAGTTATTTTAATCAAAGTTGAATAAAACAAGAGTTCGACTAAACAGTTCCTTTATTTCATTCATAATTTAGTTAATTACACGTCTGGTGGACTTTTCTTTTTATCACCTCCTGATGGAAATGTTGTAAAGGGTCTTAGTACAGATATTCTTTTATCAGACACAAGCTACTCCGACTATTGGCTTATGTGGGACTCTAATGTACTTTGGGGTGGAAAGGGTCAAAATGTCGGCTCTGGAGAAAAACTTAATATTATCTTTAAACCAGATAGAGCAGGTTTAACATCAAATAAAATAGCTTTGTCATCTAAAAATAATACAGGCGATTGGATCTTTGACAATGATTTGTATTACGGTTAGAGCATTTTCCCTCTATTATCAGACAAATAAATCCATTTATGTATACTTTAATTTAGAGGATGTGGCATCAATTATCAATTCACCTTTAGCTCCTGCATTTAATATTATAGTATCACTCGATAGAGGTCAAACAGCAATAATTGTCGCTGTTAGATCCTGTAAAGAAGCCTACCTACAACTACATGAGACAACTGTTGATATTCTTAATGCGTTTACGTATCAGGTATTATAGATATATATTTTATATTTAATAAGAAGAATATTCCTTTTTGCATAGATTATCTTTGGAGGAAATGATAATACAAAGATACAAATATTTAAAGCAAATAATTTAGTAAAGGAGAAAACACAGGTTGATATGTTATCTTGCGATGAATTCCATTATTTTTGGATAACTTGGTCAGATAATATGCTGAAAGTTGGTCAGGGTCCAAATTATGGAGACAGGCAGCTAATAGAAACGCCGATACAGGAAAGAGAACATTTAATAGCATATAGTTTCTTTGCTGAAAATGCGGTTGATATGGCTATACCTCCGTCCTCTTGGAGGATTCGAAAAGAAAAAGGTGAAATTTTACTCTAGTAACATAACAGTAAAATCGAATTAAGCACTTATCAATTTTCAGATCATTGGATAACTGTAGTAACTAAAACCGCTAGACTTGATGAATTCTGGTACTCAATGAAACATAAAACATCTTCTATCTTTAGGTTTTTATTCAATTTTATTTAAAATATATTACTATTTAAACATTATAATTCTATCTCTGAAAACAGTGCCAAAAGTTGTCAGGGAATTCAAGTTGTTTTAATGAAATATAAGGGTATTGTAAGCAGGGATTCACTAGTTGTAAAAGTTTCCGTGACAAGAGTTACCCTATCTTTGAACGGAGTTGTTATCTTTGAGAAACGAGGAAGAAGATTTCTCAACTGCTATAATGAACAAGCCTTTTATACGGATTTTTGGGTGCAATTTCAAGTAAAAGTTAACGTAGTTCACTTTACATTTAAGTATCGATTACAATCCAACAGAAGAAAAAAGAAGACGACTCTGAAATAATTCTATTCGGAAAAGGCAGATCTGTTGGTAGTGTGGTTTTAGCTCATTACGAGCCCGATAAGAAACAATTATGGAATGGTATAAGAGGTATTGGACTCGCCTCTGGTATATACGACAATACAGTTCAATGGAAATTGAATGGCTATAGAAGTAAATTAAATATCTAATCAAGAAACAATGACTATTTAATTAATAATACATTATAAATATACTTAGATCCCTACTACTCCCTCTGGACTGGTGTACCTTCAAACAATTCAAACGTTGTATACCTAGATCCCAGACAAAGGAACTATATAACATTTTCTTTGATGGTTTGTCAAAGCGTTAAACTACTACTTTTGCGGTCACCTCCATTAAATACGAATTCGGATAGTATTGAATTTAGTAAGCTTAGTAATTAATCTATTCAAATATAATCAATTATTTTATTAGGTGTTGGAAATACTGATAATATTATCGTACGCTTATCAGACCAGCAAAATCCTTATTTTATCAGTTCAAATATCTTTTTAAGTTGCAATGTTCAGCAACAGTTCTGGATAGAATGGGAATCTGATGTTTTAAAAATTGGTATTGGAGAGCCATTCTTAAGAATTTTGGATGATATTACAGCAAGCATAACAAATTATACTGCTTTTGCATTGCAATCCTCTTCTCAAGCAGATCAAGGACGATGGTTGTTTGATCAACAACAATGTTTGTTTTCTTTCTTACTAAATTATACAGAATTTGAAAAGATATCTTATTCAAACAGCCAATCATCTCCAACAATTAACTAAGCCAAATATGAATTTAAGAGATTTATGGGTTCCTGTTAAAGAGAAATTTGTAGTTTTGAATGTAATTAGTGAACACAAACTTCATATTCTACTTGCCGAAACGTCGCGAATTTATGATAGAAATGCCTATCATATTGAAATATTGAAAACTAAGATATCAATCAGGTAGTTACTGTTGTTTAATCAATTCAATTTAAATCATGTATTTGATTTTGCCGATAATAGGGAAGGTTTATGGGGCCATATAAAAGCTAGCAGTAATATAACAAGTGTACTAAGTAACAAGTGGCCAAGGAGTTTATGGATAGCTTGGGATAGGAGTAACCTAGTTGCGGTTGGGACCGGAGGAGTTCGCCATGAACATGTCCTGGTAAAGTGGACTGATGCATCGATAGTAGACATATCATCGGTAACTGTAAGTACTTTTGAAAATGCCAGAGCAATCGTAGATTATGTCAACGAAGACGGAACATCCTACCTAATAACAGCAGAGCATCAAAATTTTGAATATGCAGGCATAATTTTCCCCAAAAATACTGACCTTTTACAATTTGAAGTCTCATCGGAAGAAGCTGCAGTTATTAATCTAAAAAATGAAAGAATTCAATCTGACAAGAGCTACGACATTCGATTCGAAAAGTATCAGTTAATTGTAACGAGCGGTAGCAATGTTACTAAATCCGAGGTAAATATCCTTTCATTTCCTATTATATACATTAAGATTTTTCATTGATGATAAATATTTATGTTTATTTTTTTTTTAAAAAGAATATTCCATTTAGCCTACATCCTTATATCCTTAGACCATTTTGGATAATATGGGATAAAGAGATATTAAGCATAGGTACGGGAAAATATTCGGATGGTCAAGAAATATTGACTATAAAAGATAGTATGACTGCTTTTAGCCATGCTAGATTTAACGGGAATAAGACAGATTGGCGAGTGCCAAAGGAAAATGGTATATTATCTATTTCCATATATAAAGACAATAACTAGGAGAAGATAACAGTATTTTTCATTTTTTCTCTATAGCTGCTGAATTTTTCTCGAGATCTTATGTTAATAAAATACTGACCTGGATTGGTTATAGATCTTCGAATAGTCAAGAATTTAGCGTAAGATCCGGTCGAGAGATATTCATGATTCTGACCAGTACACCACTCTCCGATAGGCCACCATTTATTAAAATTATCCTGGGAGCAAATCAAAATAAGGAATCCAAGTTTATTTATACACAAGCTGACGGCAAGTCTTTTAATAGAACATTTCCCCAATCAAATGTTATAAGCCCGAGTCAGATGAGAAGATTCCTACTAACAACTGATGATAAACGAATTTTACTCCGTCGAATGGATACAAATCAGGAAATTATATCGGTAACACTTGAAGATAAGGATGCATTTTTCATGAACTCTATTGGAATATCTGGATTCGCCCAATGGCGGTTTCATAATGACCAACTGCCCCCATCCATATCTACTACACCTAGAACCACTCCGAATCCAAACACCGTGACAAAACCCTCAGATATCCCAACAACAGAGAGTCCAATATTTAAACCAGATGAAAATACAATCCTTCTTGAGACCAAATCGTCAATGTACACAAATGTTTCTATGGTTTCAAATGCTTTCTATGGATCTATAATGTCGTGCAATCAAACAGAAATGATTTTGGCTCGTTTTCCTAAATTTTTAGAGCGCGACTATGTAAAAATCATATTTAATATGGATTTTATTGAAATAATTTGTCCTGGATGCGAACTAAACAACAAAACCTACAACGAATCTAATATGTTTAGTTGTACTAATTCACTGAATTTCTGGATAAAACATGAACAGTTGTCAAGTATAATGATAGGACGAGGAAGAATCATTGGACAGGATATACTAATTAATTTGAATGCTAGACTTCCTTACGAACTAAAAGGGATCGAATTACGTAGTAGTAGTTTAGCTAAATGGAGATTTCAACGCTCATCTAGTAAGAACATTAGTTCTTTGGTTCTTTATTTATTTCATACAAATTTTTTCAGTTATGGATGTTGAATTCTTATCCAAGGATGGAGTCACTTCCACAATATATGAAAATCATAGATCCTTTTTGATCTTTGCCGTAAATTTTCAACTTCCGAATGAAGCGTATGTCCGTCTTACGACTGATACTGCAAATGGCCCTCTCAGTTATCGATTCAACATATCGAAAGAGACTGTTCAAGTCAACTTTCAGGACGAAATCGTAGCAAGTGCGCGAATAAATCTCTATGCGTATAGATATCCTTTAAAGTATATGTGGATATCATGGTATAACAAAGTTTTAAGATTTGGTCGTGGAAGCATTGTCGGTGATGGAGTGATTTTAACAACTGATATCGCTCAAATACCGCAATTTTCCAGATTTCATTCTTTTAACTTCTACAGTAAGGCAACAAGTAGATGGAGGTTTACAAACTACAATGGTAGGTTGATTCTCTGTAGCATAATTTCTCTAATACTATATTTTACAGATGGAGATCTTATGATATCTACGAGAGAAAGGTCGTCATCTTCAAGAGCACCTTATGGTTTGACTGGTTTAAATGCAGGATTTATCTGGAAAGTTTTAGGTTGCTCTGATGCAACTATCGAATTTAAAGCATATCCTAATTCAGGAACTTACGGAGTACACAAGGTCCGAGGAAGAGAATTATAAAAGATTATCTTTGGTATTATTAATAAATTCTATTTTTTTTCAATATAGATCAATTTAGCTCCTGAAGGTGATACAGAAAAAGTGCGCATTGATCTTATGAACTCTATTGGAGGTGGTGTTGTTAAGAACGTTAATACTTCCATTAGCTCAGTGCTCAGTTGCTATTCTCTAAGATCGTATGAGACTCTTTCTTTTTCTTACAAAAAATTATTCCTTTACCTTATTTTAAAAACATAGGTACTGGGTTCATCTTTTAAATGGGACTTTTATTATGGGAAGAGGTGAAGAAGTGCTAAAAAATGAAATTTTAAGGTTACATGAACAAGGAGCAGGAGCCTCTTGGAAGGAAGTTAGCATCGGAGCTCGAACAGCGGGTCAGACTTTCGATATATTATATATCTTCTCCAAAACACTTTTAACTGATTTTCAATTTGAAACAAGAACTAAAAATCATATAAAAGATTATTGGATAGCAGCAAACGAACAACTTTCCTTCTCCGTTCTAGCTTGTGGAAATGTTAGACTTATTTTATCACCTTTTCCAAGAACTGTATCCCCAAATTCTATTGCAATTATAATTGGTAAAAGGGAAAAAAATGATACTCTCATTGAAATAGGTGATGTAGGTCGGAGAAATGTTACTAGTATCGTAGTTCCTGATGATATATTAGTATGTTTAAATCCGAGTGCATTCTGGATTCATTGGAATAACGGACTAGTACGTTTAGGGAAAGGATATGTTCTGGAAGAAAGTTTTCTTTTGGCTCACGATATATCCCATATACCGGATTCAACGGAAGTGAGAAATGTTGGAATGTCGACTGATAAAGTTCCCTACGGAGAATGGCATATTAAAACATATTCAGGTACATAATAATGAATATATTTAACTCAAGCACAAATTTTGATATAATAATCTATAATCCTAATAGAAACACCTATGTACAAATATATCACTCATTCAAGAACCACTTTTAAAGACAACTTCTTTAGATTGCCGAGTGATTCAAATCAACTGATATTTCGTATTAGAGCTGAAGCTAATGCTTTCATAAATCTATCCGAAGATACTCCAGGCGATCCGGGAAAAGCTCACTCCGTTCAAATTGGTATAAGCGTAAATAATAGAATATGTACAATAGGAGAAGTTGGACAAGATCCAGATTCTAAAAACACCGGTAGAATTATAGATTCATTTAGATTTGTTCAATTTTGGATTCAGTGGAATTCGAAAATGATTGAATTTGGATTTGGAAGTGATTTCAATCAAATGACTATAATGGCTTATAATATGAAGACAGAGACTGATTTGGATCTGATTTCTTTTAGAACAGAATTAAATAGAGGAGAATGGTTTATACCTTACAATTTATGTAATAGAATAGAATTTAATGTGTAAAGCTTAATAGATTATTTATATTTTACCTTTTTTCAGTTAGGAGCTCTATTTTTAAGACTGTAAAGGCTGTGGATTCTAAATTGTATGATAATATTTGGATTCGTCCAAGAGAATCAGCATTAACTTTTGAGGTACAATCCGAAAGTGATGCTACTGTCTTACTATCGCCTGCTCGCAACTTTAGTAGACAGAATGACTATGAATTGACATTTGGAGCTGAAAACAATACGCGAACAATTTTAAAGCTGTTGAAGGATCACTCTATTCTGAGTAATATCTCTACTAAGAATATTTTAAGCAGTAATAAGTTCACTCCTCTCTGGATAAATTGGCTAAGACAACAGACCTTAGGCTTTGGACGCGGTCTTATTTTAGATAAGTCTATAATTGATGAATGGTCATCCAACGAATCAAACAGTCATACTATAACGGAACTTTCATTTTCTTCTCTAAATCAAGCCGATTGGCTAACATTTAGAGATGTAGGAAAGATGATAAAACTTAGCTTTCAAAATACAGAGGCACTCTACCCGCTAAGAAAGAATATTGTTCTTGTTATACGTTCATGCTCTGATTTAGAGATAAAGCTAAGATCAATTGATGAGGAAGAGTTTAAAGTTATTGTTCGTTATCATTTTCTAATAGTAGTCAAGCATTCGCATTGAAACTCTTTTTCTTTTTTATCACAGTTTAAAATAACCCAATATGATGTTACTATTAACGGACAGTCGATAACAACAACGACTAGAGACTATCCTGGTTTACTATCGTGTTCTGAGCCGGCTCCAATATGGCTTGATTGGTCGGGATCGCAGCTGGCAATTGGAAGAGGAACAGTTGTCTTACAACAAGTTGTCCTAACAGCTACTTGGACAAAAAAATCATTGGATATTATAAAATTTGAATCGGCGAATGATGGAATTTATAGTGTAATGAGGTCGTTAGTTTATAAAGTGATAGCTAGAATAAAGAAAAAAAAGACCTTCTCAATTTCTGTACCTGGAGAGAATTTTATAGAGTTGAAGGTACAATCTGGCGAGGAATTTAATGTTATCCTTTCACATATTCCATCTTTATTGAAATCATCTTCGTATAGAATCCGATTTCAGCGTTTTCGTGTTGAAATTTATAAAAATGAACAACTAAAACGATTTGGTCCATTTTCGTTTGTTTCATCGAATCGATATAGAGATATTACTATTGGTTGGGAAAATGGTCTTATACAAGTTGGAATTTCAAAGACGATACCGTTAATTTACTGGCAAGATTCTAATCCTTTACTTGTAACAGAGGTGTCTGCTTATTCGAAGAATGGACTCTTCATATTCAGTAAGGCAGGAGTTAATACAGTTCATGGATATGTTGAATCCCGAGATAAAGGCAATAGAATTGTTCTCAATGAAAATCAAGATATTTGGAGATTTGACGTAGCAGCTTGTGATGATGTCTCCATCATATTAACAAGGGGAGATTTGTCAGATGATAACATTGAAATTCGAATAGGAACGAATGATAATCTAAATACTGAAATAAGGAGAACTGTTGGAGGAGAAGTAATGAATAGAACTGTAACGCCGAATATCCTCAAATGTGAACGTCTAGATGCATTTTGGCTGTCATGGAGAGGTGGTTTAATTGAATTAGGACAGACAAATAAAAATAAAGTTTTGGTATCATGGAAGTCTGATTTAAATAGAAATCATCGATCTCTTCTATTAAGGATTCATTCAAAAAATTCTGTTTCATCCTATTGGCAATATACATACAACAATGTTCAATTAATATCATTTTCTGCTCATCAGAGATTTTATTCCTGGACATGGATAATGGTAAATGAAAGACGGAACTTTGTATTTTCTGTTAAAGCGTGCACTGGTGTTATCTTGTACTTGAGTCAAGAAGATAGAATCCATTTTAAAAATTCTCTGAGATTAGAAATTGGTACCTCTTCCTCCAATGAGGCGAAGTTATTTCGTGTAGATAACAGTACGGCAATAGCATCTTCTTCAAAAAAATCTTTACTATTCTGTGCTGATTATAGAACATTTTGGATTGAATGGAATGATTCAAAGTATTTTGGCGTTGGTCAAGGAGGAGAAATTGGAAAGAATTTAATATTAGAGGCTAATAATCACGAAATACCAATCCATTCTTTAGGTTTCGCCAACAAAAAAGATAAAATAGACTACGAAATTGTCAATTCATTCGGCAACACTTTAAATATCGCTCCAGTTGATTCAGATAAATCTGATTTTATTCGAATGAACGTAACAGAATCAAAAGTAAAATTTGGCGTAAGAGCATGCAACGATGCAAATATACGAATGTATTCAAATTTTGAGATTGAAAATTCAACTTTCGAAGCCAATTTAGGAATTGAAAAAAACACCAAAACTTCCTTACAATCAACAATTGAAAGAAAAGTAGAAACAACTCCAAAAATACTCGATTGTGAAATTGATCGTCTCTTTTATATTGAAAATAATGGAAATGAGACTACTATATTCAAAGGAGATAAGATGATATTTCTTAGTAAAGTTAAGGATCGCAGTGAATTTAAATCAGTATCATTTGGTGTAAGAGATAAAAGAGCTATATATTCTATAAGCTGGGATGGAGGTTAATATACTTTAAAAGACTATTATAGGATTAAAACTTCTTTTTTTCCTCCCTTTTCAAACAGAAACTGCTGCTCGTGTAAATACTGTTGGCGATAATAATAGATTAGGTCAAGTATGGATTAGTACATTGGGAAAAAATAGTATCGTCTTCTACGTACAAACATCAAAATCTATTAATCTTTTTGCAACCAACATTCCAAACTTTTACGAAGATTTATCGTATAGAGTATAAATATTAATTATAGTTTCGTGAACATTTGCACTTGTAATTATTCAAACAGATATCAATTACAAGAGATGAAGAGAGTAAGATAGAAGTCTTTCAGAGGATGATTAAAAGCCCATTCGAAAAATTACTATGCATTAAGGATACACCTCCACTTTTGGATGAAAACAAAATAAGAAGTTTCTGGTTTGAATGGCATCATAAAGAATTATCATGTATAATAATATAATATATAAATATAGATATATAGATTATTGCTATTGATTCTTCCTTTTCATTCTTCTATCTCATATATTTCCAGTGGGAGTTGGTGAAGTAACAGGAGAAAATACGATATTAAATTGCAGTATTAACAATGCAAATGCCGTTAACGCCATCTCTTTTCATTCTTCATCCACAAATGCAACATGGTATTTTGGTAATAGCTCTGGTAAATTGGTCATTCTTTTTCATTTTGCCTAAGCATATATTTTCCTTTATATTTACAGTACCAGTTGATAATTCTCCCATCCCAACATTACGTAAGAGTCATTAAATTTTAATACAAATTTGACTTTTAAAACTTCACTTTTCTATCATTTTTTACAGCACCACTACCAAATATAATGCAAGGTATATTAATAGCTTAAAGATACAGTAAAATTACAAATATAACATCTCTTCACACCCACACACACAAACACACACACACTCTCTCTCTCTTTCACTCTCTATCTCTGTTTCATTATGTTAGACAACCAAATCTATGCAATTACCTCGAATGGAAGAGAAAATGGCTTGGCCGTATTTACTGATCAAAATTCCCTCGTATTTGAGGTTCAAGCTTGCATGAAAGCCATTATTGAAATGGCCAGAGTATCAGATGGTTTTCAAAGACAAGAATATGCAGAAATAACCCTGGACTACCTTCCCGATAAGGCTAGAATTGAAATACGCACAAATAATAACGGTAAACGTGAAGATATTACAACTGGTAACCTGTTGGATTGTGACATAAGCAAGAAATTTTGGGTAAGTTATTTTTGTATTATTGGTAAAAGATTCCTAAACCATACTCATCAATTTGTCTCTATTTGAAATAGATAACTTGGGGTTCGACTAAAAACGGATCTGATTATACTGGCTATCTCAGAATGGGGAAAGGAGTTGACGTTGGAGAGGAAGAAATATTTGAAAGACTGCATCCGTTTTTCAAAAGTTTAAACTTCTTTCAATTATATGGAAAGGAAATATCTGATGGAAAAGGAATTTGGAGAGTATTAGCAAATTCAGCAAGATCATTTAAAAAGATGACCAATACAAACTTTCAACGAAACGTATTTCAACAATCTGTCTATGACACAAGGGAGTCTGTAATTGGAGTTCAAGCCAGTAAAGATGCTTTTATTCTTCTGACCGATGAATGGACATCTCAGTCTGTTTTATTTGAAATTGGGATAAATGTTAAAGATTCAAATCTAGTTTCCATAGAAGATAAAAGAACAGGAATTACAGTAAATACCACGGAAAGACATTTAATTTCTGAAAATAAGACTGAATACTTCTGGTTCAGGTTTGCTCATTAATTATCATTTAAACGAATTATCTATATTCATTATTATCAGATGGGAAAAAGGAACGGTAACAATTGGAAAAGGCTACAAAATTGGGCAAAAAGTTCTTTTAATTCATGATAAAGGTGACACCGCCAGTGTAGTTGGGTTTGGTTTGGCAACAAAGGATACAACCGGATTATGGACTATTCCTAATGATTTAAGTATTTATTTCAAGTTGATTTGAAAATCAATGAATTTAAATTAATAAAAATGAATTATTTCAGATCAAGACTATACTATAAGAAATCCTAATGATAATGAATATCGGCATTCCTTAATCACTCATATTGTGAAAACTCACATAGAATTTTCAATTAGATCCATGTCAGGCTCAAAAGTTATGCTTTTACCATACGAACCTCAACCACTTCATTTGGGACCACTAAAAAAGTTAAATAATAGCTATGAAATTGTATTCTCTCCATTGGGAAATAATTCTATAGGTTGGAAAACTATATAGACAAAAACTCTCAAATAATTCATACTCATCTTTATAATAGGGATAAAATTGGCTGGATCGTCGCAATATCTAGGTCTACAAAGTTTTAAATCATCTATTTTATCGCCTCAAACATTAAGAAAATTTTGGGTATCATGGAGTGATTCCCATCTTCGAGTGGGCTCAGGTTAAAAATATTGCCTATTCAATTATTATCTATTAATACTATTATCTTTTCATTAATAATTTAACGTTATTGTTCCCTTATTCCAACATAATCTATAACAGGTGCTTATCCAAACAATGAAGCTATAAAAGTTGCAAGAAGTTCGGTATCTGTAAACTCAATTTCCTTCGCCAGTGATGCACCGACCAATGCTTCGTTAAATGAAATTCGTTTACCTGTAAATTATGGTAATTTATTCATAGAAAATTTTGAATAGTCTAAGACTTTTTCCAACAGTTCCAGCTTTGGATATTTTCAATAAGGAAAGTCCAGTAGTATATGATAAAATATGGAAAAACCTGATTGGAAAGAAAGATATTGTCTTTACTATTCGAACTTGTAAAAGATTTTCAATTGTCCTGAGTGAATTCGCAGTTGCAAATGATCAAGCGATAGAAATTGTGATAACTTCTGGAGGGAACTCGGAAATAAGATCAGGAGTTAATGGAGCGATTATTCTTAGAAGAGAGGTAGGTAATGTCCTTCAGTGTTCTGCTTGGAAAACTTTCTGGTTAAGTTGGAGAAGGAGGTATGTTGCACTTGGACTGGGGCCTGATCCAGGTTATGAAACCTTATTAAATACAAGACATATAAACATTACACGGATAACGGCAGCCAGTTTTGATAGTCCGGAAGAGATATCTTGGAAATTTGACGAACAGGAGGAAGATATCATGGAAATATATTCGCACAGAGATCTAGGCGATAGAAATTCATATCATGATATCTGGTTCAGTACTATTAGAAATGAAGTTGAATTTTCGGTTAGAAGCTGTAAAACAGTTCGAATTGCGATAACAGATGATCCTCTTCTAAACGAATTAAAAAAAGCTACTCAAGTTATAATCATGAATGATAAAGTAGTGTTCAGAGATCGAGAGGCTAACAAAACTAAATCAATTTCAAATGTTATCAATTGTAGGGAGTTTAGAACCCTAATTATTCAGTATAAGCCAATAACTCAGGAGTTAATTCTTAAAGCACAACAGTCTAATCAAATCATTCTAAAAGAGAAAATGAAATACGTAGAAATGAATTTTATCCGAATAGGATCGGACGAAGATGCACAATGGAGATATTCAAAATCTCAGGGAGTGGTTCATCAAGTTAAAACAACTTCTTCGACTATTTGGCAAGTTTTACGTTGGAATATCGAGAAAAGAAGATCTATGGTATTTGATGTCATAGCTTGCGCTGATGCTCGTATGGGCTTTTATTCGACCATATTACAAGGAGTTGTTACAACTGGATTTACAGTTATTTTAGGTGATGATGGTAATAGAAAAATCTATGTAAAAGAGCAAAATAGTATAATAGGAGAAGCAGAATTTAAAGAAGATCTTCTTAATTGTAATTTAACAAGGCGTTTTTACGTTAGCTGGTCAAAACATGAAATTCTTGTTGGAAGAGGAGATATCATAGGAGCAAATACTCTTGTAAAAGCCAATAGACGGCAAAAAGATACTATACGATATTTGTCGGTTACATCTGGTACGCTAGCAGCCCCTGTTGATACAATAATATGGAGATTTATGGATTTTGAAGGTATAATTTCAATTTTTTTGATAAAATTCTAACTATTCTCTTACTTTTAGGCGATGAGTTTACATTCCCAAATACAATTGGTCCGTCAAACGATCGTACAACTATAAACATAGCTATACCACCTCATAGGCTTTCGATGGACTTTAAGCTTCTATCTTGTAGAGGTGGCGTTCTGAATTTACATGAATCTGACGAATTTAGTGTACCAAATTATCAAATAAATATCAACATGGAGGGAGATGGACTACTCCGATTGTATAAAAGGAAATCGCAAAAATTGGAACTATTAGATGAGACTGTAGTTGATAATCTCGTCACCTGCTCCACAGCAAGATCATTTTTTGTATCTTGGAAAGATGGATTATTTATTATCTCATCCTCAATGAAACAACATGGCGATACAATTTTCATTGAAGTGAAAGATTCTTCTCCTTTACCAATATTCTTTTCACAATTACGTTCAGATCAGTCGGATAGAATATCATTTTATCAATTACAGCGAACAGTAGCTCAGGAAATAACGTTTAAAAGGGATTTATCTACAGCAGAGAAGGACTTAGGTAGTTGGTTCACTCCATCAACAATGACTAAATTGGTATTTGGATTAAAAAGTTGTAACCGAGTTAGCATCATATTTGCACCTTTTGTCGGAATTTTACGATATCAGACTTACGAATTGAGAATAGGTACATCTTCCAATCGATATACAATATTCCTTCGGCACAGCGATAAAAGTACAACAATTGCTAGTCAATCAACGCCTCGTATTCTTGATTGCAATGAAATGCGTTATTTCTGGTTGGAATGGAAGTACAACGCTATCTCCTTTGGAAAAGGAACAATTGTATCACAACAAAGGTAACTTTATTAAAAACACTACTATTATTCAAATAATTAGAATTTTACATTCAATTCAGAGTTATAGAATTTCGTTCAACTGAAAATATGGACATTAAAGCTCTAAGATTTGCTTCTCCAACAAGTTACACCTTTAAATGGATGCAATTTAACAGTAAAATCTTTATCTTATCTTAACTAATTAATCCTATTTTAAAAAGCAAACTTTTAATAATATTTAGGCGAAGTTCATAGAATACAAACTACGAATGACAACGACGGTCCATTAATTGTTCCGTTTAATAAAAATTTGCTTATCTTTCAACTTGAGGCCGATTTAGGAGCGAGTATAGAATTAGTAAATATTTCGGACAGTACACAATCTTTGGCTCAAGCAATTATTGGAAATAGCAACAGTGATAACTTAATCATTAAAGTTCATGGTGTTACCAACGTTACGGCTAATATTCCAGGACTTATTGCCTTAAATAGATATAAAACATTCTGGATGTCTTGGGATAAAGATTCTATAAGATTGGGCAGTGGAGAACCGTACGAGAATGAAATAGCAAAAACCTTATTCGGTCTTGAGGATGCAACTGGATATATTTTGAAAACTATATATGAAACCTACGCTTCCAGATGGCTAATATTTCCATCCGACGGTAATAATTTTGCAATATACTGTGTATTTTTAGAGTTAAATAATGCTTTTCCTTCATTCAAAATAGTTAATTTTTTAATGGCGTACGGTGGGAAAAATCGAATTTTTGGTAGTATTTGGTTAGGGGTAACAACATACGATTCCTATTACTTTTCGGTAAAGGCTAATGAATATGCAAAGTTGAATTTAGCATCAATTATTGGCAATATAAAAGAAAGGGATTATACTATCACCATTGGAGCTGACAGTAATCGTAAAATAGAAATTGCGTATAAAAATGAAATAAAGGAGACAAGATTTTTCAATAATCCATTAAATTCTTTAACTGAAACTTCATTCTGGTTGAGCTGGGTTGATGAAAATCTTTCGTTAGGTTTTGGTACTTCAATTGGAAATTATCAACTTATCTCTTGGAAAAGAGATAAAGATGATATAATTCCAATAAATGGAATAGCATTGGGAGCTGGAAAAGATAAACCTATAGATAACAGCTGGAAAATAATTCGTCCAGATTACGGTGAAGTTGTTGATGTTTTCACTCCGAACGTATACAATTATGATAAGACATGGTTCATGCCGCAAAAGGAGTATGTAGAATTTGGAGTTCAAATTTGTCACGATGCCCACATCGCTCTCAGTCAGGAAGCAGGTGTAACGAATAAAAACACGTACGAAATAGTATTGGGTGGTGGGCGAAATACATTCTCAGAAATTAGAAGAAGGCGTCAGGGCTCAACAGCTGTTCATGTAAGAACTAGAAATATAGTAAATTGTTATGAAATGAGGAAATTTTGGATAAAATTCTCTAACTCCGAACTATCAGTTGGAGCTGGAAGCTATAAAAATAATTCTGAACCTTTTATGGCACATAACGTTAACGCCTCTCTTAACATACCATACATATCCTTCTCAGCTGGATTTGGTAACGATGGAAGATGGCAAATAGCTCAAGATGACATTCGATGGATGCAAACAAGCACAAAGAAGAATGAACTTGTAAAGTATGTTGGTGTAACAAGAGTAGCCAGAGAACTCGTACAATTTGGTGTAAAAGCTTGTTCGGAAGCTCAAATATCTTTGTCAACTATTCCAGGTGAAACAAAAACCCTGACTTATTCAGTGAGAATGGGCTATGATAATCAAGTTCAAGTTTTCAAAGATCTTACTCTAATTAAATCAGTGAATTATGAAAGGTTCTTAGAATGCGATCAATTTATACCTATTTGGATATCATGGGATGGGGCCAATATAAGATTAGGCAGAAGCGAAGAACCTGGAGATAATAAGGTTATTGAAGCATTTTTAGGTGAACAGGCGAACGTTAACGGTCTCTCGATGATTAGCAATGTTGATGCGTCATGGGAATTTTTATTCGAAAATTCTACTTCTCAACTTCCTCCAACTTTACCTCCAGTAACGCCTATTCTACCAGAGGGTGAATATCTTGAGCTTCAAAGTCCCAACATTTATCTTTACGGAAAAAGTAGTTTTACCGTGTCTGAAGAATATATCACTTTCTTTGTCCAGGCTAAAAATGATGCATTCCTAGCTTTAACATCAATACCCGGAGACTACGAGATCGCAGCATATGAAATCTTAATAGGCGGAGCAAAGAATACAAAAACAGAGATAAGACCGGGAATAATGCAACCAGCTGTTAGATCTAAACAAACCCCGAGAATATTAAATGAAACCACGCCCAAAGCTTTTTGGATATCTTGGAGAGATAACATAGTTCAAGTGGGCGAAGGAACAGAAGTTTTCAAAAAAACTATAATAACTTGGTTCAATCACAGACAACAAACCATAAGATCAGTTGGAATCACAACAGGATTTGGTAGTACTGGAAAGTGGTATTTCCCAAGAGATATGCCATTATATACTGAACTATCTAGAAAAATGAACGACGTAGCATTCAGTATGAAGTCAACTTTCAAACATTGGATTTTATTTGCTGTAAGAGCATGCCAAAACGTAGAAATAACCTTTGGAAGAACAATAGATGATGGAGGTGTTTATATTCTGTACGTAGGTAGGAACAATGAGAAAACTGAACTAGAAGATGTAGCTGGTAATAAAAAGCTCGTGTCTGTAAGTACACCTAACATATTAAGTTGCACTGAGAAGAGATTTTTTTGGATTAGCTGGATAGATCAGATAAGTTTTGGTACTTCTTCAACAATAAATGAAAAAGTTGTACTTGAATGGGGTCATTCCTTATATAATATTACATCGGTTACAGCTATTAGTTCGGATGATAAAGAATCCGAATGGGCCATTGATCATTTCACTTCATCGACGCTCAGTGTTACTGGAACGTCTGGATTTTCAATGTCTATGCAAAAGCGTCCCTGGTTTAGTTTCTTAGTCAAATCATGTGGAAACGCCCAACTTGAATTTAAAGTAGATAATGCAACAGAAAAAGAAACGTCACATAAACTTATTTTCGGTACCGATAGAAACAGCAAGACAGTTTTAAAACGTATAAACGGTAATTCGGAGGTGATTCTTGCTCAAAACTCTACAGATAAAATATTAGATTGTAGTGAATATAGACCTTTCTGGGTATCGATTATTGCTAAAGATAGGGATAAGAAGAGATGGATCGTGGGAATAGGAACAGATATAGAACAAAACATAATAATAGATGTTGACGAAGAGTTCCCACTTGAAGTCACTGATGTTCAAATTGCACCTGGCTTTAGTTATTGGCAGTTTGAAAGGCGATCGGAAAGGAGTTTAATGTGGAATTCTGGAAGAATTAAAAGTTTCAATCGAGTACAGCTGCACACTGTTAATAGAGATTCAATTGTGTTTGATGTTTTCACCACAAAATATGTTTATCTCTTGCTGGAGGAATACGCAAGAGTTCCATCTTACAGATCATATCAAGTGTCAATAGGAGGTACTAGAAATGAAGTTATTGAAGTTAGAAACGGTATATCTGGACCAGTTTTACATTCAGTTCCAGGAAATCCCAACCTTGTGTCTAGTCAGAGATGGAATAACTTTTGGATAAGCTGGAAAAATGGTTTTCTCGAATTTGGAAAGGGTACTAAGGTTGGAGTAAGAAAACTAATGTCCTGGAAGATGGCACCGCTCTATAACATCAGAGTAGTTTCTTTTTCAACTGGACATGGCTATATGGGAAAATGGCGATTACCTCCAATTACTGATGGGGAACTTATATCCACAAGAACTCATAATAGCTATCATTTAGATAGATTCGTGATGATACCCCTCCAACCATATATAGAACTATCTGTCACAGCTGGTTATTCAATACTACCCTTCAGTTCTCCCGTTTGCCACATAAGTTTGATTGAAAATCCTGAAAATATAACCGATCGTTATTATTTAATAACAATGAAAAGCGCTGCATTCGGTGGTTCATACGTCAAAGTACAAAAGATAATCGATGGCAAAGTTATAAAAGACCACAATGAAACAGTTAATTTGGTAAATTCACAGGAAATGAAGAAAATTTGGATAAGTTGGAAGAGTGGAGTTATTAAGTTGGGTAGGGGGAGCTGGGGGTCTAAGGAAGTTATTACTTTTGATGATTCTGAAAATTGGATTAATACTAATGCTTTATCGTTTACTGGAGATATATTTTCGCCGGCAACTTGGCTGATATCTAAACATCTCTCCTCTGAGGTTTATTCATATCAAAGTCCAAATTCATATTTGCCAGATACACACCTCACTGCTCCGTCTGATAAGACATTTTTATTCTCGGTAAGATGTAGATACGGAGCTAGACTTATCTTATCACAAACTGCCACAAATACTAGAGAAGTCATTTATGAAATAATAATTGGTGATTATATAAATACTGTGACAAGAATTCGCAGGAAAAAGGAGAGATTCACTAATATTGAAGAAGTTCGAACACCCACACCAAACATCTTAAGTGATGAAGAGAAACGTCCTTTCTGGTTAAGTTGGAAACACGATATAGTATCTTTTGGAAGGGGTCATGTTGTAGGAAGGGAAACAGTGATAGAATTCATTGAAAGCTCCAATGACATGCTCCCAATTAACTTTTTATCACTAGCTTCAAATGGGATTGTAAAGGCTGAATATTTCTTTGGAACCGACCAAGGTAAGAATATTTTAAAGATTTCTTTTTGTCTTTAAGATTTCATACTTCAAAATTTCATTCTATATAGAAAAAATCTTTGGATTACAATCACCTGCAGTTTATGATCAGTATAATAATCATCGTTTGAGAATAGACAATACGAAACAGACCCTCTTCTCAATACGTTCTTGTTCTCAGAGTCATGTAGGAATTTTTCAAAAAGATCCTACAAGAGCTCGACTTGAACTGGAAATTGGTGCCAATGGCAATAAGGATACAATTCTTAGAGACCTTCAAAGCAATCGGGAACTAAAGGAAGAAGTTACTCCGGATATTCTTAATTGTAGAGCGTTTACAAAATTCTGGCTAAGTTGGATAAATGATTTGAAATTTGGAGTTGGCGAAATATTCTATGAAAATACAATTTTAACTTGGACTCCAACAAACAATAACTTTTTAAGCGAATTTACTGAATTAGCTTTCTCTGGTGATCGAAGGTTCGAGGCTGAATGGAAAATTCATTCAACATCTAGTTCGTAATTGTGCTTTTGTTTTAACTATTCGCCTTAGAGAAGCTTATTATTACTTTTCTTTCAGATTATCAACTACTGGCCAAGACGCTATCAGATATCAATGCACTACAAACATACGTTACTGTACCTATAATAAACGTTTTGAATTTTGAGGTCAAATCTGATGAAATTGTTATGCTAGGCCTCCATCAATGGTTAGGAGTTTCAATGGGAATGTATAAATTATCTCTTGAAAAGAATGCTATAGAATTAAAAGAGAGTTCAAATACCTTGAAGAGGATAGATATTGATAACGACCAATTGATATCGGCAGATGAACGTCGGCCGTTCTGGATTGAATGGACGAAGACTAGGATAAGTGTGGGAAAAGGAGAGTCTGTTGGGGGTGATTTAATTCTTAATTACAACTCAAGTGTCCGAGATATAAAAGCCATTTCTCTAACATCGACTAGAAATGACGCTGATTGGTTAATAGATAAAGAATCTATATCACCCTTTCACACAATAATAGCATCAAATACGTTAGAATATAAAAACGGTTGGATTATTTCATCAACAAATAGTCTGGAATTTAGAATCAGAGCTAAAAGCGATGCGTACATTGCTCTAGCTGAAGAAGTTGGAGTAGTTCCACCAAATCCATCGACAACCTACGAAATCATTATCGGAAAAGACAATCAACGAAGCGTGATAAGGAGAAGTATAAATTCTACCGATTTAGAGGAAAACCAAACTCCTAATATTCTGAGTGATACGCTATATAAAACATTCTGGCTGTCATGGGAGGAAAACAAGATTCAATTAGGTATAGGAAATCGAGGAGTTTCTCAGCCGATAATAACTCTTAGAAATGCGACAAGACGTGTGAGAAGCGTTCACTTTGCCATGAGTACTTCCTGTCAAGATATTTGCACTGGAAAATTTCGATTCGAGAAGTATAAGGTCAACTCTATTACTGTTCATACACCTGACTCGTCAGTTTATTCAAGATATTGGGCTAGTATTGAAAATAACTATGCAATCTTAAAGGTATCGGCTGAAAGGAATGCAATAATTCTTCTGAGTAACGGTGAAGGTATCTCTGGAAATTCTTCTTATGAACTTTCTTACGGTAGCTTTGATAATAGTGCACTTATGATAAAAGAGCAGGCTGATAGTTTTTATTATCCTTTCGATATTAAAATTCTAAATAGTCCAATACCGACTACAATATGGATTAAATGGGATAAAGAATCGATAACTTTGGGTAAAGGAGGTGTTTTAAATTCGAACGTATTTGTTCAGCATTACTTCCGTTATCCACCAATTGTTGTCAGAGCAATAAGCGTTAAAACTGAAGATAATGAAGGAATTTGGAATTTAAACAATCTGGAAGAAGATCAACTAGTTTCTAAAACATCAAAATCTAAGAAAAGTGGTCCATACGAAGTAAAGACCAAGTCATTAACAACAAAAATAAAGACATGCTCACAAGCAAACATTACTTTTACCGATAAAGATTCAAATATTATGGCATCAGCTATTTTGAATACTTTTGATCATAAAAGTATACTCTTTGTAAGAAAAAACAATGTATTAGCGGAAGTCAAGAAAGTGCAAACTCCGAATTTATTCACTTGTGGAGAAAAACGCCTGTGGATGACTTGGTCTAAAGGACTACGTATTGGCTACGGAGAAATTAATCAAAATCTATTTTTAGCGTATACATCAAAGTCACTGTTATCATTTTCTAACGACATCGCAACTATAACGTCTGCTGATTTGATAACTAATTCAGATGCTGTATGGACAACTTCAAGAAGCGAAAGTAAGTATACTATTTGTTCTAATTATGTAATAAACAGATTATATATATTAAAGCATTTACTATAATTACAGTTAATTATGTGCAATTCTCAATCAACGACAAAAGCTCTTATAGCAATCAAGAAACAGTTCGAGTTAGCGGAAGAAATAATATTATCGCTTCAATTAAAGGTTGCAAAAATGCTTTCGTAGCTTTAGCAAACTATGAGAACAACTTACAAAATAATACTTACGAAGTGGCTATTGGCATCAATGGAAATTCACGATTAGCCGTACGTTCAAGTATTGGAGGACGCAACGAAGATTCTATAATTGGAAATTTCTTAGATTGTCAAAAGTGGAAGAATTTTACAATTAATTGGAACTTTACTCAAACTCTTCAAAGCGTTGAGTACAGGCTACAAGTGCAAGGAAATTCAGATGGATACTTAATAGATTGGAAAATTCCTAGTAATAAAGTTCACGATGTAAACGTTATTAGATTTACGTCAGAAGACGCTCAATGGAGATTTTACACGGATGATGAATGTATGAGATAACGTTTCCTAGAATTTTATTCCATTCCTATTGTGTTTCAGATATTTCTGGACCAAATAAAACTGATCCAAGGCCGACACCTTTAGTGACTAAAGCTACAACTTTATCTATGGATTTTACTACACAAGATCAAACATCTGCAACAACACCTACAACGAAAACCACAACTCTACCGACTTCGACTACAATAAAAACGACTACTTCAAAGCCAACGACTCCAACAACGCCAAAGAAGACAACAGTCTCAACAACTCAAACTACAACGAAAAAGGCAACAACTCCAACAACTCCTAAAAAGACAACTACTATAATTTCTACAACTCGTACAACAACAAAACGACCAACTACAACGAAAAAGCCAACTACAACAAGTATAAGAACGACTACCTTTAAATTATCGACAACTCGTATAACTCAAACAACAAAATTATCAAGTAATATTGGAAATTTGCTCTAATTCCTTAATAATTAACACTGCACTATTTATTTTTAGCGAAGCCGATAGATCAGGTACAGCCAACTAATAGAAAAGGTTTATCAAGTGGTTCAAAAGCAGCTATAGCAATTGGAGTTATCATCTGCTTAGTCCTTATTGTAATTATAATTTTAGCAATAATTCGCTTTAAACCAGAAGTTGGTGAGAATCTGAATAGAAAATGGCAGAACTTGAAGAATTATAGCCGAAGTGACGGAACAACTCCAATTAGAAATAGTACACAAGATTTTACTGAAGATAGTAGTTTGTCAGTTAGTAATGACTTTATTAATCCAGTATATAAAGCCAATAAGCCTGAAGGAGAGGCTATTCATCTTCCAGATATAAAAATGTCGGCAACAAAAAGTGTAAGTTTAAAAGATGGAAGTCCACTTTATTCAGTGACATAACATTTATGATAAAACAATGAATCTAACCTTTATTAATTTCAGAAATGCTCATTAATAAGTTATATAATATATATATATATATACAATACAGTTTAAGTATTAAATACAATTATATTATTATATAGAAACGGCGTCACTACATAAGTTATTGCTATTCATTCTATTTCTTCACTCTCTCCTTTCTTCCTCCCTATCTATTTCCCCTGGTCTTTTTCCTTTCAACTGTATACCATATTTAATTATCTTTTCTAAACCGAAAAAAGAAAATTTCTAGGATTCTATACAATAAAAATCTTGTTAATTGCATTGAGAGTCGGCTTTATTGAATATATATTACATCTCAGATCAATAATAACGTAGGAGACTGGAGGCGCTTCATCAAAGGCGTACTCGGAAGAATAGTTTTTCTTTCATAATTCAACTGTCACTCGTCGCTTCGTTGTAGTCCAGGTCTATTAATTATGTGATAATTTTTGTTTTTTGCTTTATACATTATATTTAATTTCTTATTTCTTTCCTAATTTTATGTAAAATACATGTTTTAACTTTTTTAATAGATTGAAATCTATGGAATGAATATATCGAAATATTGAAAATAAAATATATATTTACCAGTTTACAATGGCATCATCATCTTGGTTCTCTGCTTCTTCCTTTTTAGTTGCTATCGGTGGTCTATTATTAATGTTATTATTCTTCTCGAATTCTTTAGTATTAATTTCAATGGCATACTTTCACAAGATTCGAACTACAAGTAATTATTCAATAGTTTCGTTAGCAGTAACGGATATGTGTATAGGATTAATCGCACCAGTCGCCCTTATATTCTACCTAAAAGAAAATGACGAAGAAATGAATAAACTTTGTTCTCTGGCCTTGACAATTTCCAGAATTATTTGTGGGTTGAGTATAACGAATGTTGCGGCAGTTGCCTTCGACCGTTATACGGCTATAAAATCACCTTTAACGTACAGTCAAGTAGTTTCAACTTTTCGTGTTATAATTGTAACTATTTTCTGTTGGATTTATGCCATTACTTTATCTTTTTTGCCTTTCATTTACTCAAAATTAACTAATAACTGTAAAGAAAACGACCTTCTCCTTGTAATTTCGCTTAATCTTCTATTTATTCCTCCAGTTATCGTACTTATTGTAGTATATTTTCGAATATGGAAAATTGTTACCGTTCAGTTAAGAGCTATAGAAGCCGTAGAATCAGCTGTTTTAGGACCACTTGAAGCCCGTCAACGTTCTAGAAATAGGAAATGTATTAAAGCATTAACAATCCTTTTATCTGTATATATCTTTTTTTGGTGTCCATTTAGAATTATTGATATTTTACAAGTTACAGAGATTGGACCAATCTCTAATAACATGTCCATGCTATTATCAGTATTATCTTTGATATGCAGTGCCGTTAATCCATGGATATTCGCTTTTAAAACTTCAGACTTTCGACCAGCTTTTGGGAAATTGTATAGAAAATTTATTAAATCGTGCGACTGCCAAGAAATCGACTCACGCTCTTCAAGTATGACAACATTCTCTGGTTACGATCCACAATTTACTCCGAATCGTTCAGAAAGGAGCAGAAGTAGTATCACTGATTTAATATACAATTTTACGAGGAGAAGATCAAGGATATATCCAAGCGAAATATCCCAAACTTGATCATTTTTGTATGTTTCTGCTATTTGTTTCAAAAGTCATATGAAAGTTTTATATGTGAAATAGAAATGTATCTTTAACCTTGCTCATACTTTTAAAAAGTGCATTTATGATTATAGGTCGTCCATTTTTTATTTATTAAATGTTCCCTTCTCAAAATACATGTAAAAAAAATTTTCCAGGGTAGTACGTACAATATCGTTACAAAGAAGTAGAATATAATGGGTATATATAAATGGTAGCTCATACACGGCGAGAGCGAGAGAGAGAGAGAGAGAGAGGAAGAGAAAGAGAGCTTGATAGTTCCGCTACATTATTAGCACTCATAATTTCTATTCAAATCTTTTGTATGTCTTCTAAAATAGATCAAGGACATGTAAATTGTTTCATTTATAGCTTTCAAGATGAATCAATGCAAAAGCTATTAATGGATTTTTATTCAATATATAGCATAATGTGTATTTTATCAATATGGAAACCTATCATTGATCTGGTTGCGGTGGTCTTTCGCTATAAAAATTTATCTCTTCGATCTCCCTTTTACTATAGCCCAAGCTCAATAAGTATTTATCTTCATTGGCAAAAAATTCACTTATTGGGCAACGTCTAGTAAAGAATTGTCCAAATTCTCGTATCCATTTGTTAGCAACTATTTCAAAAGAAATTAAATTATATTATTATAATCATTGATTATCGAATAAAATATTTAGATTACCCCATTTTTGTCCCAATAAAATAGGACATCCAGCATGACTTGTCCTCATATCCATATCACCCCCTTCCTCAAAATTATACCAAAATGCCGCCGCATTCTTGTAAAATTATTTAGTTTTTAGCATTCAAAAAATTTACTTTTTCATTAATACCTTAATCGGTGGTACAGCAACCTCAACGTCTGGAAATACTGTTGCCCCACCAGCATGTATAGTACTCAAATAGAACATCCAGGTAGCTATACGGTCACCAGTATTCAGTAAAAATTCGGGAACTGTATTTAAATCGGATCTTTGCTATTTTGTTTCGAATGGAAATAGAATAAAAGATTAATAATTTAATTAAATCATCAATGTATTAATTAATTAATAAATTAATTTTCACCAGGTAAAAATCTGTATGAGGCTCGTATTGTCCGCCTACGCCGTAATTAACAACTTGAAACGGTTCTGCATCTGTCATGATATGTCTAAAAGTTGTACTCAAGCCTGTTGCCCTTGCAACTCTATTTGATAACTTTGTAACACCTATACCATCGTAATTATCCCAAACCCATCCTCTATATTTAAGTAAATTCGGATTAATATGATAAATATATTATTCAAAATACTAATATAATAAATGAAATAACTACACTTTTCCAATCCTCTGAGTTGTTAATTCTGGTTTTGAAGCTACACCAACTTGAGCTCTCTCCAACTATTTAACAGAGTTCATTTAAGTTTATTCATTAACACTCTCTTTTAACATAATATATTCTACTTACTGTTGGTTTTGCCAATTCCTTAAGTAGTTCGCCCTCCTTATCTGATATTATATCGTGAAACATAGATATAAATGGACTGAAGCTAAGGATTTCTTGCTTAAAAATTTCGTAAGGACATGTTGAACTTTTAACGTATCGGCATCTTAAATGTTTCGCATATTTGCTGTTCTTTTGGAATGTTGTAATAACTCTTTATACTAAAAGTATTTATATATTAAATATATGCATACTTGCTTAAATTGTCCTCTACACATTTCTTCGTATTTAACTTTCCACTCGGGTTCTGTCTTTCTCCATGAATATTCATCGTGAATAGAACTATTTTCTTCTACATCAATTTCCTTATATAATTCATTATAGTCATCAAGCTCAGCTTGAAAAAATTCCTTTGATTCATCACTCTTAGCTAAAATGAATATACGTTTATATCTATTAGCTTATAAAAAGAAAGTACATACCCGTCTTTATAGCAAAACTATAAATATCTAAAGCTTTTTTTCCATTACCCATCTTTAAATAAATGAATTATTATTATAACTATTACAATTATTACTTAATAAACTGACCAGTAGGAACATATCCACAACGAGACTAACAATATCTTCTATACGTCTATTATTACTCCCATCGTGCAGTTTCTCAATACTTTTATTAAACCATTGAACAGCTAAACCTAATTCTGAATTTTCCTTAGACGATTCACCCAATCTATAACAATCGTCAGAGTTTAACGGATCAGCTTTGAAACTAAAAAACAAACATAAAAAATCAATGTGTAAAATATCAAAACTAAACTACCTTGTATACAAACCCTTTAATATTTCCATTAGCAAGGTCGTTTGTAGATAGTTGATAAGTTCTTTGTAGTCGGATAATACCTGCTGCAGCTCCTGCAATATCTGTTTCGTCTGGAAAGTTTGCTGTTTAAAAAAAATTCATATTTAGAAAACGATTTAACTGATAATAAGATAAATAATACTATAAATTCCATTAACATACCAACAAGAGATTTATTGTAATTTCCCACTTGAGCTAATCTTTCCAAATTTAAAGCATATTTCTTTATCAAATAGTAAGCGTTTAAAGGATGAGATAGATATTCATCAACTGTTTTATTAGATAACAGAGATTTCTTTATTGGTTCTTCTTTAGATAATTCAACGAATCTATTATTTATAAAACAATAAATTCGATATTTTTAAGAGAAAATAATTATCTTTAACCTTTCTAAGTTATTTATTTTATCCTCTTCCGATGTCACGTAGTCACTAACAGTTTTTAAAAGAATTTCTTCATTCTCAATTATATCTTTTAAATGTGTTAATGATGTAAAAATATCCGTGCAATTAATGGATAAAAACTGATAAATTACTAACAATAGTAAACATTTCATTGTTAATAAATGCTCAAAAAAAACAATTTCTTTCAAATCATCTAGATTCAGACTTTAATAATACTCCACTACCTACCCTTTATGCATCAGTGAATTTCACTATTGAACTAGTAGGCCTAACTCTACATTGATATTGAATATAGTAGGAAAGAACTTCAATAGTAGAAAAAAGAAAGCAGAGCAAAGAAATAAATGGATTTTTTATTTTAGTCATAATAATCTTATTCAAATATTTGAATTATTGGGAATAATGATAAATCTCCCAGATTCTACTTTAGATCTTCCCCTTCCCCCTCCTCCTCCACCTACTCAAGAAGATATAGCGGATAAAGAAATACAATTGAAAGAAAGATTGAATGAAGAGGAGGCTGAAGATAAACCTATATCGGATGAAAATAAACTTCAGAAAAAAATCGTCTTATCGAAACAGCATCTTCTCTTTCTTATAATCCAAGTTATCAGTTTCGTTATTGGATTAATAACTTTATTTTTATCTTCGTTTAGCCTATCAACAATAAGATACGATCCCATTATTAAAGTTTTCTCCGTAGTTAATCAATCAGCTAATTTCGACGAGTATTCTTCATTAGCAATTGCCAACATCTTGGTTATAGTAGGCACAATATTAAAGTTATTTCTAATAGTTTTCGGCTTTTTTGGCGCTCTCTGGAACATTGGAACTATCTTAGAAGTTTATATCCTACTCATAAACATCGTTTTCATGATGCAAAGTTCCGCTATAGTTCTAGCATCAAAATTCCATACGCAAAATACCGAAAGACTTAACGAAGGCTTGCATATTCATCTTGCAGAATATTATAAATCTAAACCATTATTACGCAATGGCGAATTGCAGTTGGATGATAATCTAGTGTCAGTTGCATGGGATACAGCTCAATTTCATGTAAATAAATTCATAAAATTCTATATAAAATATAGTTTTAATCATTTTAGTTAAAGTGTTGCGGAGTTAGGCAATCTATAAACGACTATTCTACTGATCCTAACTCTTTCCAACATAGTGAATGGTCCAGCAATACTATAGATCCCGGTATAGATTTTAGGCCTAGATATCCACCGAGTTGTTGTGTATCGTCTAACGGAATTAGTTACCCGTTTGAGAGGAATTCAAGATCTTTAGGCATAAAAGCCGTCTATAATTGGAGAAAATGTATGATAGATGGAGATCCAGAAGTCACTTATACAACATCTTGCTTTAAAGCTATAAGAAATCGAATACAAAGTCATATACAGTATACTTTAGGCTCTTGTACATTTAATGTAGCTGCCCTTATACTCTGCATAATATCTGCTTTAAGACTTCTAAGGATTACTCCCATTTAGATATAGGCGTTACGGCAACAAACAAAAATACGAGTTCGTAACTGCGCGTGTAACATGGAAACACATCAACAAAACAAGTTAAAGACTTTTTATTTGGAATTCAATAGAAAATAAACTTTAAAGCTCCTAACATTTATTAATTAAGCAATTTATTCCATTCCTTTCTTCTTCTTTTTTTATTTTTATGTTTTTTCAGCTTTTATGTTTTTTAAACAAAAATATTCATTTGTTTTAAGGAAAATAGACTTTTTTTTTAAATCACTTCTATAGTGTCAAATGCAAAAGAAGAAAAAAGATAAAGAGGAAGAAGATATTCTCCTTTATCTACAATTTTAAGATTAAAATATCGCTTTTGCTCTCTTCTTTCTTCTTCATAAAATCTATAAAACCTATTTTATAATAGATATCTTTGATTTTAGATTGACTTGAATCCAAACAGCAGTGAACTCCTTGTACACCATTTTGTTTTAGATAATTTTTGACGGTTAAGAGTAATTTCTGCATTCCTACACACGATTCTTTATCGGCCAAATGGTGTGAATTGGTAATGAAATGCAAAAATCCAGGATATTTGTCGCAGAGACCATCGTGAACTTTCCCACGATTATTCAATCTCTCGATAGTTGACTAAAGTATAATGCAATAGTAAATATATAAATAGAGATATCTATTTAAATATACACTTATAATAAATACCCTTTCCATTTCAGTAAGTTGCTCCTCAGGGAATAATTGTAGGTTGTACTTCTTTTTTAATTCTACAATATAGCTTTCTTCGGCTTTTTTCATAAAATCCTTAATATTTATAGTTGCTAGAGCGAAGCTGATGATATTGGTGAAATCATCTTCTAGAATGAAACATAAAGAAGGTTCTAATTCGATATGAACGCCAACTACGTGATCGGCAAGCATATTAGGAAAGTTTGGAAACAGTTCCTTGTCGCTTTCAAAGAACTTGTATAATTTTTCCTATTAAAACAAATAGGTTATTTAATTACGTAACGGCTTAATTGATTTATATTCAACTCTTTTAATACCTTATCAGATTTTAGAAAGTTTCTTACGGTAAATACTTTTGGTACTGAAGATTTCCTAGGAAACAAATCGTATTTTCCTTCAACATTAAGTAGTCGTCGAAATTCACCTTGTAATCCTCCGTGCTTTACCCACGGTTCAGGTTCATCTCTGCTAAAAGGTTCTCGAGTTTTCCTCCCTAATCCTTTTGTATAAACGCACATATACAAGATATATATATTATAAAATTAATATATAAATTACTAATTATGTACAAGCTATTTACCGTGCCAAGTTACATAAGAATTAATCATACTGAGAACATTTCGTAAATCAGAAACATAATTATAGATTTCGTACAAAAAAGCTCTATTCGGTATTTTCAATAATTTATCCATCATGTCGCAAATCTAGTTGTAATTATTAAACGAAAATAAAAGGAATAAGCGAATTATTAAGATAAAATATAAATTAATTATTTGTAGTAGGAAATTCATTTTACCTCCGCGTGTTTATCATGGAAATCTAACGCCCTTCTATGCCAGCTCCTACCTTCCGGACACTGAATTAATTGTATATTATAATTATATATAAAGAAGAATTTAGCTTATTTAATTGAATAATTATCCTTACTATTGGTTTTTTAGTTGATATTTCGCGAGAATTTGATTCTTGTTCATTTACTGAATCAGCGTTATTTAATAACCAGCTAGCTTCGGTTAACAAATGAATACCAACTGAACCATACTCTTCAGGCAAATAGAAAAGTTCGGCTAGTAATAACAGATCGTCTTCGTTAATTAAATCATCCGAGAGTCTCTTTTTTAATTTCTTTTTATGTTGCTCAAAATCGGTATTATCGAATGATGCTGGTGTTATACCTTCCGTTCCAACTGATGTATATATATATGGAACCCACGCTTTAATCGCTCTTTTTAAAGCTACATCTGGATGATAGTCAACAGTTTCAGAGCTCTTCGCCGGCTCTTGTTCTGTAATAATTCATTGATTTCGCGTAAATAAGCGTAAATACGTAAATTAGATAGTATGTTTTCAATAAAAAGAAAATTCAATTACCTTTAAAGCTGTCGTCCATTAAGGGTAAAGATAGCGGATCACACCATTGGGCCAAGGTATGAAGAGGTATAAAATTGACTTCAAACTCACAATTCGGATTACTTAGAATTCCCTTTAATCATTCAATGATATGTACAATTTTTAGTATTTATTAAAAACATCAATACTAGAAAATATAGATTAAAAATGGCATTATGCTTAACTTACTGCTACGAATTCCTTAATACCAGACTCTCTTCCTCTATAAGGTCCAAGATATATTCTTGTTTGATCGTAATCATTTGCGTGAATATTGTCCCAAATTATTGGTTTCCGTTTAATTTGTTCTTGTAGCTAAATGATAATGATAAAAACATTTTGCTAACATATTTGTTTACATTTATCTCACCTCTATTATGTTATCCACAGTAATATACTTGGATACAACTTTAGGCCCGGTCCATAAAATAAGAATATCGTTGTTTAAATTTGAACCTATAGTTTGTAAATATAATGAGCTCTTCACATCAGGATCAGCTCGTGTACTGCAATATTCTGTAAAAACAATTAACAATGTAAATTCTAAGATATTACATTAAAAAAAGTAAAAATTACCTGTTGGACAGAACATGAACAGATCGCATTCCTTAAGATCGCTATATGCTGCATTTGTAATGTGACATTGGGCTTTGGCGAAAGTTCCAAATTCATTTTCATCTTCAGGGAACATCTTTGTTTCTATATCATCAAATAATAATGCGAATGCTGTACATCCTAATTTAGAAACCTGTATTTGAGGTAAAATTATTTATTAACAAGTAGAATATGTAAATTTCTTATAGCATACTTGATGTAGTTTGGCTTTTAGTTTGTTTAATTCTTCATTATTACTATAGCTGATGTCTAATCCAGGAGAGAGAGCGTATATAAATTTAACATTATTCTTCTGAGCATATTGGATTAAAGATGCTAAATCGTCTATTAGAGAAAAACCATTTGTTTTTATTATTAATTGAAATAGAATGAAGAATCCATATAACTAACCGCTTTCTTCTGTTGTATATAACTCCCTCCAATTAGCTCTATGCTTTAAATCTTCTTTTGGAGCGTATAAATAAGTATTAAGTCCGATTTTGTTCATGCTAAAAAAACATCAAATATTATAATTATACAGTCTAAAAACTTGATTAGCTTTCCAATACATTACCGTTCAAATAAAGATTTTCTTTGATCCGATCTCCATGGTTTTCCATAAAACCCTATAAATGTGAAAATGGTTTGTATTTAATAATTATATAAAAAAAATTCTCTAAAAAAAAAAACAGAGCATCAATAAATTAGCATTGAAACACAAAAGGCCTTTAAATTTAATACAAATACAACTTCGTTAGCAGCAAACTGAGATCGAAGACTGCAATCAATAAATTGACTAAATTATCTTTCAAAACAAAAAATATGTCTTGAAACGATAAAAATATGGCTAGAATGCTGTATTATTTATTTGTATATATTTAAAGACAAGTAACTATAAATTTTTATTCTGCAATACTGCAAGAAGAGGGAAGTTGATGCTTAAATTATATTGTAAACAATTATTATTTCGCCTACACAATGATACCACACAGATTATTGAATATTGTAGGTGATTGTATAAGATTAAATAATGTTCCTGCTGATAAACTTAATCCAATATATTACCTTCACATACTCCACAGAGAAAAGACATTTCAAAAATTTTCCTTATGTAGAAATTTGAATTAATTTGTTAATAACTTGCTGCAATCTTTCGAAACACTCTCTCCTTGACTCTGTAACCAGTTTTCTCTACTCCGAGTTGTTGAACTTATTAGTTTAGTAAAATATTTCTTTATTATGTGGTTACTGTATTTATTAAGTTGGGTTTCCCTGTTCATCCAAATATGCTTTTTTACATTGTCAATAGGTATGATATTAGATTGGTATATTCTGACTTAAATACACCGAACTATTTATTATCGCTCAATATAATTTTTTTTGTTCAGCTTGTGGTTTGTATTATCTGGCGGAATTAGTTGAGGAGTATTGTGTCATATCTGGAAAAATTATAAAATATACTTTAATTGTAAGTAATTTATAAGAAAATTTAAAATTTTTGCTTGATTTTTCTATACTCTACAGATTGTAACAGGCATTCAACTTCTCTTTCTCTTGACCGAAGATTTGCCTATGCCTCTAATAATTTGTGGTATTGCTTGTAATGCTTGCTATGGATTGCTATTGAAAACATTTCCTGTTTTTGACTTAACTTCCGTACCCTTCGTAGCTAGTGTGTGTAAGTATTCAAAAATTCAAGAACATGTATCACAAGATATAGAAATGACTACCTCTAATCTTTCCAGTGCTATTGCTGCTACATCATTATTTAGCTTTCACCCATTTCTCCAAAGTTTGGTATGAGTTTAGTCATGTGTTAGCCTATTTTACTGTTTGTTTATGGATTGTACCATTCGCTTTACTGGTCTCCTTGTCTGCAAATGACAATGTTCTACCGATAACTGTTTCTCAACCTAATGAAACCAACCAAGGTGATGATATTGTAAGCTCTATATTTCGAAAGCGTGGAAAACGTATGGGATTATTAAACTTTTTAAGGAACGCTCAAGAATCTATTCTTCCTCAAAAAGTTAAAAAGAGTTTTTGAGACTTTACCCTTTGATTCTCATAGTACAAAAAATATCAACAAATACATTATTTAAATAATCCAGGTCAAGCGTGTATTATAATTATCTGTAACAAGCAAAATACCAAAAATACTCTACATACACCTGTCTGGCATTCTTTGTCTAGGAGCTGCTTTTATAATGTTGTCAACACGAAGTACCATTTCAGCTGCCTCAGCTGCAGAGAGGAGAACCTGCCTTTTTACTTGAAAGCTTTCAGTGATTCCAAGTTTGACCATGTCACCCAGATCACCGGCTTCCATGTCTAAACCAGCTGTTTTTCGACCTTCGGTGTGTGCTGCTTGGAGACGGGGAATCAACTCTGTTGAATCGTAACCTGCGTTGTCGGCGATAATGGTGGGAAGTTGACGAAGAGCTTTTGCAAAAGCGGCCATAGCCAATGCCTCCTTTCCAGGTGTTCGCGTAGCCAATTCGCTGACGGCATTAGCCATCAGCATTTCGCTGCATCCGCCTCCGAAAACAGTACGAGTTTCTTTAACTGTCTGGGACAATACGCACAAAGCATCGTGTAGAGAACGGTCAGCTTCATCAAGAATTTGTTCGGTGGCTCCTCGTAATACAATAGTACAGGCTTCGCCCAATTTAACTCCGGAGAATTTAAGTAATTTATCTTCACCAATCATCACTTCCTCAATAAGATCGCATTCACCTAATTTTACTTTGTCTGGTGTATCGAAAGTAGATGTAATTTCAGCACCAGTAACTAATGCCAATCTTTCTACTCCCTCAAAGTCAGCGTGTTCAATAGCCATGACGCCTTTATCCGCAAATAATTGTTCAGGGTAATTATAAATTAATTGCCTATTAATGAAGACATTGCATCCATGGGCTATGATTTTTTCAACTTTTTCCTTCATTTTTTCTTTCTCAGCCAATTCTAATTCGGCAACCTTAGCTACACCATCTACTCTTACTCTACTTCCGAATACTTTAATTTTATCAGTATCCATAGGTGTATTGGCTACCAAAATCTTACACTTTTCGACACGTTTTGGTTGATTAACTCCGATCTTTTTATCCAATAAAAAGCCTTCTTCTAGATAAGATTCACCCAAACCTGAGCCGAGTTTCTTAATAATTTGTATAGCATTCAAATCTATATTTCCCTTCAACCTTAAAACGGCATCGACCGATAAATTGGCGAAGTGTTCCTTGTGCTGATGCAAAATCTTGGAGCTAAGAGTTGTCCTAGCAATATTGACGAGATCCTTTTTAAATTTATCGGCATCACTTCCATTATCTTGCGCTGAGTTTTTTAATGCTGAACGAGCAGCCTCAGTAGCCTTGCGCCAACCAGCAATGATGGTTTGCGGATGCATTTTTTGACTAATCAATTGTTCGGCTTCCTTTAACAATTCACAGCAAAGAACAACTACAGAGGTCGTACCATCTCCGACTTCATCATCCTGTACTCTGGATATATCCACAAGAACTTTAGCAGCTGGATTGTCAATTCCGAGTGATCTTAAAATTGTGGCTCCATCATTTGTTACTTGGATAGTTTCACGCTTATCACCAGTTTGTAAAATCTTATCCTAGAATAATTGATTGAAATTTATGAAAAATATTCAAATTTTCATTCGAAATATTACCATTCCTTTGGGTCCAAGCGTGCTCTTTACCAAATCGCCTATTGCTATGGCGCCGACGAATGATGACTATAACAAATAAAAAATTGTCAATCTTAACGAATCTAATGAAATTAAATTCTTACCATGCGAGCTATCTCAGCTCTCTCCTCCTCAGCTCCAGCTTTCAGAATTTGGACAGGATTTAGCGAGTATGCCTGTAAAATAAACATGCATTATCGCTCATAATGAGGCATGCACCTTTTTTCAACGATAAATTATTATTTTCACACGATAAAAAATGAGCGCTTAATCTTAAAACATCACCCGCAAACAGAATGAGGCTATAACATATACAAACCATCGCTATTTATTTGTAATTTTTAAGTATGCGGTACTAAAGAATTTCTCTCAGGATTGACAATCTCGCGATTCTCGAAGTCTCTTTTTTTCCCGTTTCGAGTGCGCATGCTCTACCGGAAGCTCTGATCGCCGGTTGACACGTCGTTGGAGTCTTTGCATATTTATTTCACTAAAATCGAACGAAATGGTACGTATCTCTTAAATGATAAAACATTAGCATTTTTAAAATATACTAATTGCAGGATATTGGTATCGATTCTATGACTCGCTATGCGAGTCCTATTAATCCGGCCGTATTTCCATACTTAGCAGTAGTTCTTCTTACAATCGGCCTTTTCTTCATGGCATGGTTCTTCGTGTACGAAGTAACGTCAACAAAATTTACTCGGGATCTTTTTAAGGAAGTGCTCGTTTCATTAGTGGCATCATTTTTTATGGGATTCGGAGTTTTGTTCTTGCTGTTATGGGTTGGAATTTATGTTTAGACAAACTTTATAGTTTCAACTGTTGGAAGCTGTTATAACATTCAGAATACAATAATTAAATTTATTCTCTACAAAGACAAGTAAATTTTTAACCAACTTATTTAAAAAAAAGCATTGATTTAAGGAATAGAAACTAATATATAATAAACTGTATATAGTAAATAAGGCATATCTTATCCTTTTAACTTTCCTAAAGGAAGAGATGATTAATCAAAAGAGAATGTAGCCTTTAAATCAAAAACAAAAAAAAGGAACTAAGTACTGTTAACTTTTTTTTCAAACTACACTTCTAACCGTGAGTATTTTGTTTTGAGAAGCTATAGACCAAAGTAAAAGAAAAAACAAATAATATAAATGACCAGTATACTGAAATATAAATAGATCCAAACTGTTTTTAATATTAAAGATAATAAGTCTTTTTGTTTTTGTTGTAAAAACCTTTGCAACATTGAAAGTTAGTAAAATCTTAAACTTGCCCTTGTATTTTTTTTTTCAGCAGTAGACTTTAGCATGCATATAACTATAACAAACTTGATCCAAAGATAAAGAATATATATGGCATTGTTTCAATAGACAGAAGCAATTTATTAGTAGAGTTGTCTTTATTTTGCAGACATAGCTATAATATACTTAACATATCTGTATACTGTATATACATTAACTTATGTAAAAAAAAAAAACAGTAAAATTTTTAATTTGGCTTCGTTTCTTTTGGTCACTTAATCAATTTGTCCCCATGTTCTGTGTCACTTGACTGGACGTTGTACTAACAGGAATATACCTGGAAAATATTAAAATTATGAAATGCTCTATAACAGTATGAAAGGTGTTATTTTACTGATTTTTTCTTACCTTGTATATCGAGATATTGATGTAAATGTTTCCATAACTGCAAAGAGAAAATGAAGTAGTTAGCTTTGTAAAAACTAAAACAGTCTTATATAAATAGCTACTTGAACGGCGTATATAGGTTAAAGTCCTCCAGACGGTCGAACGCCGGTGGGGTTGAGCCGGCGAGGGTACTGCAGCAGGTGAAGTTAAGTCTTCAGTCTGTTCGTTAATGAGTGCCAAATAAGTTGCGTTACGCTTCTGCATAGCCTCCTGCAATAGTTGTTGAAGAGTAGAAAAACTTGGGCGTTGGTCTGCCTCTAACCAACAACGACCCATTATATCGTAAATGTCATTAGGACAGTTAGCTGGTCTATCTAAGCGTCCTCCATCTCGTACAAAATTCAAAACCTCTAAATTTGATCTTCCCGGATAAGGTTGTTGACCTTGCGTCATTACTTCCCAAACAAGGACGCCAAAAGCCCAAACGTCTGACATAGTCGTGAAAACACCATCAATTAGCGCTTCGGCTGCGAGCCACCTAACTGGTAACAAGCCTTCTCCAATCTTCCTATAATAATCATTCTTATAAATATCCCTCGCCAAACCGAAATCTCCGATCTTAACCAATAACCTTTGACCATTTGACATACTGACTAAACAGTTACGGGCAGCAATATCCCTGTGAACGAAATGCATCTTCTCTAAGTAAGCGCAGCCTCTGGACACCTGGATACATATATCAATTTTGTCGTTTAAGATAAAATCATCATTATTACGAGAATTTCTCAAATATGATAAAAGATCCCCTTTCTCCATCAGTTCTAAAATGATCATATGACGATCGCTGTCTAAGCATACACCAAGCAGTTTGAGTACGTTTGGATGCTTAAAGTGAGACATAAGAAACGCTTCGGCAATAAAATCTTTCTTATCTGAATCGCCGGCATCTTTTCGTAGAATTTTAACAGCGGCAATCTTATCTGATATTATTCCTTGATATACTTCACCAAATGCTCCTGAGCCGAGAAAGGTGGTTAACCTTATATCGGCACGTCCTATATGGGGTAAAGAGGCGAATTGCTCATCTGTTGGTAAAGATCCTAGTACATATAGATCATTCGTATTCTGTACAGCCGTTGGTGGGAGGGAACGCAGAGCTGCCAATTCCAGCTCAGTTTGTTGCACGGATTTCCAGTTAAATTTCTTCTGTTTTCTTCTCCGAAAATACAAGGCTGCAATATTAATGAAATAATAAAATAATTCCAGTCTCTAGGGAATTTAAATGATAAAGCGCTAGAAAGTAACTTACCTAATAATACCATGGCCGCTAGACAAAAGAATGAAGCGATGCACGTTAGGAGAATGAAAAATTCGTTCCCTTTATGAATAAAAGTAGTTGTTTTTAAGTTTTGCAATTAAGTCTAATATTCAGCAAAAACAATTATAATTACTGTCATATTGGCGTGTCCTATCGGGAGATTTGAGAGATACACTTAAATTTTCACCGAGTATGTCATTCCAACCCAAATGATTCATAGCTCGAACTGTCAGATTATAATCTCCATCCTCCAAAGGGCCATACCACCAAGTTCTCATTCCAGAATATAATAGTGGCTGGCAAGAACCTTGGCATAATAACTCATATTCTTGTATAGCGTAGCCTGCACTCCAAAATGATAAAGTCCAATTAATTAAAACCAGTCCATTGGTATCCTTGTCAATAGTAGGCGGTTGTAGGAACCAGGGAGCAAATTTTAGTTTTTCAGTTTCAAAGATATGACTTATAGTATTGGGTGGACAATTACTATCCAAAGATTGAAGATTGAGAGAACAAAGAGATTTTCCTTGTAACATGGTGGGTTGGTTGGTAAGGAAATTCTGTACATTAATTTCTTTTGTACCATTTAAAATTTCAGGAATGACATCAACAAGACCTGAAAGCGTCATATGATTCGTTTCATTTCGCTTTTCATTCGTAAACAATAACTTAGTTATTATGGACCTACAGATACGCTTTAAATGCCTTAAATTCAAAGAGTAGGCAAACGTTCTAGATCCCAAATATGTTATATCGATTGTAGGAGACTTATTAAATTTTCTTATTGGAATAACTGGTGACGTAACTAAACCATATTTTGAATATTTTTCCAATATTAGATGACTACTTTGATTTGTTTGTAGACCGCAGATGTTAACGTTTTCTCTTGCTTCGCTTTTAAGGACAGTCCCCAATGGACAATCTAGAACGGAACCTTTTAACAAACAATCGGCAATCGTCTGATTATATTCATCGTATATTCTAGATCTTTCGTATGCGCTTCGTTGATCAGGAACCCACAGGAAAGCAACTCTGTCCTCTTCGAATGATACAGCACACATCTGATTGTTTATGGTTGGAGGGCCGGGTAAAGTTGTAACGTTAATCGAAACAATATCCGATGTAAAAATCCTTGTAAACACCTTTATATTTAAAAGATATGTTGTCCAAGCGTGTAAACTGTCAACAAAAACTTCATCTCTATCAATTAACCGCAATTTCTTTAACGTTTTACCCGATTTATATTCAATTAGGGAAACATTCGTGTTGTAAATAATTGTTGAATCGGGGCAAAATTTTGGTATTATCCAATTGGCGGCGAAAGATGATCTCGTGACATTATATACTTTTACATTGTTAAAATTAATGCGTGGTCTTAGGCATCGATTCGTCAACAACGGTTGAAACAATCTTCCGCTGACTCTAATATTTTTTACATTATCCTTAATCCTCTCTTCTTTTACTTTCACGGCCGTAGAATTAAGGTTGAAACAAGATATTTGATTGTCTCCTTTAGTCCACCAGAAACATTTTTTGTCAACAGCCATTGATGTAGTGAGTGCAAACTCCTCGAAGTCTTTAACAAAGCGGCACGAGCACCAATAGATATCGGAAATAATCAGCGTTGAATCGATAGAAACGACGTAAAGACGTTCGTCCAGCGGATCGAGCGTCATAGAAGGCAGTAATGAGCACTTGGTATTCGGGCAATTACAACTTCGATTTTTACCATTGCTGAAGATAGTCTCCTTTAGCTGGGGTTTCAGTGTAAAGTCCCCAAGGCAAAAGCTATCCGTTCTTATTCCTTTATACGTATAGAAAAGCCTTCCTATTCTAGGTAACACAGCCACAGATCCTATAATAGACGAGAAACGATAAGCTTTCGTCGAAGATAAGCGGTCAATAGAAAGTATTTTTGAACCACACGACCAAAAAGCAATACCAGATAACCAATCATAAGTTAACGAACTGTTTTCAAACGCCTGTATTTTGCTTTTTATCTATAAATATTATATAAAAGAAGAATTTTTAGACGTTAAATTATCTAGGATTATTAAAATATATAAACTAATTAATAAGTAAATTAAATGAAATTGTAAACTCTTCTCTATTCCCTTTAGAGAATGACATCTAACCGTTTGACTATAGTCGAGGGCGTTTATCCGAACTATGGCGTTCCTATACAGATTTATTCTCCATCCAACCCAACTATCGTTAACAGAGTCGATCAATTGATCCTCAATTCGCTCCGTTTCTTTCAAGCCTTCCTTAAAAATTAGGCTGTCGTTTCGAGTGGTCAATGAAAGACGTTGGAGAGCAATTAACTCTGAAAAAGGTCCAAAAGATTCCTACCGTCAATAATACATAGAGAAAATAATACTAAGAAAGAAGATGCAATTAGCCTAGTTAGTAAGTTCTTTAAATTCTCCTTTATAAATCATAAAGACAAAAGTTATTAAAAAGACTGTTTGATGAAATCAGCTGACTTTTTTATTAATAGAAACATGTATATTTCTATCAATTGATACTTATTTATGTACTGTGCACTAAAGCTTATATTCGTTACAAATTACATTTATATAGTATATTGGTGATAGACTTACGATTGGCCTTGATTTCTCGTCTCACAGTAGATCCACAAATCTTCTTCAAGTTACAAGCCTTCACTGATATCTGATAAGTCGAACTATCTGCAATTACGTTTAGAATTTCTTCGTAAAATGACTTTTCTTTAATTCTTTTAATATTCAGTCGACGATATGACTTTTTGTTTTTTAAAATTTCCACAATTAACTCTTCAATATCCTTATTATTAATTGGAATTCTCAATTGAATTCTTATTATTGAATAGTTAGCAACAATTGACGGTTCGCAACTAATTACTGGACGTAACTCTCCAGGCGTCGTCACAGGCGTCTCGAAATCTTTGATTGTCCAATTTGATTTTGCCCTCGATGTTAAACTGCGAATTTTCACTGTTATATTATCGTAACCGTACTGAGTTGGTAGTGAGAATTCGGCATCTGTAGTCTTTAAAAGTGCAATCGGTTTGTAAATGTTAAATTCAATGTTGTTTATGTATTACATATACAAAATAAATATGTTTCTCCCTACCCCCTACCTTTCCTCTTTACTCCCTCTTTCTCCTCTCCACCTCTCCCTCTTATTTCAACTTTGTCTAATTATCTTCCTTAACTAATTAATGTTCATTATCATCATCCCATTCTTTTCTATACTTAGTAATTAAATTTATAAGTTACCCTACCATTAACATGGATACTTTTCTCACTTTAAATGTTATAATGAAACACGATTTTTTTTATTTAAAACCAGTCAAGCGCTTAGCAACTTGATAAATTATCATCCTTTAGGATTTTGCTTTCTCCGAAGCGATAGGTTTATCTATAGCTATATATATTTTCTATACAGTATATATATATAAACATCTTCGTGTAACAACTTAATTGTCATCTACAACTGTTCGTTAAGATTGCAAATTTTTCGCTTATTTAATACCTTTTAAATTGTTTAGTTTTAGTGATAGATAAGATATTAACTATAAATATACTATTACTTTCAATAGGGAAAAGTGAAACTGTTAGAGAAACGAAGAGAGGAAGAGGGGAAAAGATAGAAGAGTAGGAAAATGAAAAGGAAAGTTAAAAGCATACAAAAAGAAAAATGGAAAGGAAAGGGAAGATGAGAACGGAAAACGAGGAAAGAAAATAGAAGCCATTCTCATTCTCAGGATGAGGCTAAGGGTCGCAGTTGTTCGTTAATATAATAACATAACAAATATTAGCAATCAAGCCGTTAAGAACGTTATAGGGGTCGTTGACTAAAGGCCTAATTTAATAAGAGAGAACCTCGCTTTGAGGTGTATATATTACGCATATATATTGTATAACCGAGGATAAATATTTTCACACGCATTCAATTTTCTTTCGTACGTCTTCCTTCTACCACCCTTGATATCTATTCAAGGGTGCGGAAGAAAGTAAATCAAAGACTTCACCTACCGTTCTATTTAGGATGATTTGGAGAGACGAGTTGATGCCTACTTGGTACTCGAGGTCGGAGCAATTTTCGCAGCGAATAGCTTTCCAGAATAATGTGACCTTTATAAATTAAAAAGCTATACTTTCATCTTTTATAATAAAAAAAATTTAGATCTTACATTTGGCCATTTACCAGAAAGTTTTATGCTATCCTCATTGACTTGGTCCGGAATTAAAGACGGTACTGCAAATTCGTAAATAAGAAAGTTTAGGAAACCAATTTGATATAGACGCATGACTCGTTCGAACGTCGGCGCCCGACTGCAACACTCAAAATTTTCATCACGTGACTCGTCAATAGCCAATCAGTATTCTCTAACTCTTAAACACTGAAATTTCACTTGCAATATTATGTATAAGCAACGCCAAGAGTAATTGAAACTTTGAAAGATTAAAAAGATTTAATGTTACAGAAATGCAGACTGCTATGATGTGTTATAATCTTTTTACTGCGCACATCGTGGGATTGCAGCTGAAAAAACACCGCAATTCTTGAAGTCGATTGGAACGACTACCGATTGTAGTGTTTAAGCGACACTCTTATTATACAATAGTTCGAATATAATAAGGCGTATTTATTTTCGTCTGAAAATATTTGCATTACCTGTTGACGGACGCCAAACTGTGAATGCAGTGACGCCATAGGAAGAGATATCTATCTTAAACTTGCCATTCATTCTCAAATCAACGCCGTAGATTGTTTGTAGCTTTTTATCGGACATAATCAATTGACCATTTAATACCTGAAGATGGTCTATCGATCTGAAAGGAGCCGTTATTAGTAAATATATATATAAATATATGTACAAGTATATATAAATATAAATCCGATAGATGGCGAAAGATGTCAAGTTGTGTGGTCATGATTTTTTTCTTCCAGAGCTAAGAGATAGGTAAATATAGAAGAAAATTGCACCTATTTCTCTCGGTAGACATTATCTTGCTAGACAACGCATTAGTGTCTCTTTTCATTAGATCAACACTGTCGTTTTTCTTCACCGTCCAATATAAGACGTCATCATTAAAAACTATGGCAGAAAAACGGCTACCGGAAACAACTTGTAATTCTTCGAACGTTCCGACCATTTTTCCATTAAACGCCGTTCTTCCGATCTGCATATCAAATACTTGTTCTACTTAAGAAGGAAGGACGAAATCGTCCATTTTTTTTTCATGTTTTATACATACCTTATATTTTTCCATCCAGAATAACCAACCAGCCTCTGGGTTAATTGTTATAGATAAGATTTTGTTTTGTGTTTTCAAGACAACTTCAGAACGATCGAATGTCAATAAACTTTTGCGGTAGATCTGTTTGGAAACGATCTAGCCAGTTAATTAAAGTAAATTAGACACAACTCACAGTTCTTCCGGAAGTCCAATAAATTGTGCTGGCGTACGGATCAAATAATACTCTCTCTATTCGCTCTGCAGTTTTGATTACCTTTGGAGATGTTTCATTCCGATTAAATGCCCATAGCTGTCCATCATGTGTACACCATACCAAATAAGATGCCGATGCGAAAATCTCATTAATAGATTCTCCTCTCCAATCAGTAATTAGCGCCTGATTTAATGTTATTGAGTCCGTTAGATATAGGCCCGATCTTTTCGCGAGAATAAGGTGATCTTCAACGCCTGAGGGGAGGAGTACTCATTGCTTGTATATTTTATGGGAGGGGAAATGAAAAAAATGTTCTTTCTTATCTTAACTTACCCTGATAAAGATACCAGGCAATGTCAGTCCATTCGGTAGTATATAAGTCAGAGAGATTGGTCGCCGGTCCTGCAAGAATCCTAATACCATACTTTTTACCCTTGACAAGTTGATTAGCGAAGGTGTAGCTGCTTAAGTTATCAACCAACCCACCAGCAGTAGGAACTCCCAAGATTTCTATCCGGTATCGCCATTTACAGAAGCAATTAGAACCTATAGAAGAGAACACGCTTCATAACATCAATCACTAAATGCGAAAAATCAAAAGAAGAGATAAAAAGGAGGCAATAGGCGTTAAAGTGAGCTGATAAAGGAATGGGTAAAATACGTGAAAGAAAATGAAAGAACAGGAAAGAAAGAATTATTGAGAGAGAGAAAATTCCAAAAAGAAATTATTTAAACATAGATAAGATTTGAAAAGAGAAAAGAATAGAATTATAAAATGAATACCAATAAAGAGAGAAGAATGCTTACCACAGTTGCATGCAACGGGTTTCCAACTACAAACAACTTGTCTTTCTCCAAATAACATCCAGGGTCTAAATTTCACTTTTGAAATATCTGTGATGGATTGATTCGTATGTATTAGTTTTTATATATAGTATACACAGACGTATACTGTATTTTTATACGAATATGAAATATAAATATATTCCTACTTAGCCAGTAGCGTCTCTTTAGTAAATGTATATGATCGGCTGTATCCATCTTTATGATGTGAGAGGAACAATAATGGTGACGGCAAAGAAAGTGATAATCGGAAAGGTTGTAACCGAACTGTAAATCTGTTGGAGAACAGCTTCCATTGAAAAGCTTATCGTAATTTTTTAATAGACTTTGCGGCTGTAATTTCCCACTATAATCCGCAAAATATAGACGATCCTTGTGGTTTTTGACCAAAAATATTATAGTCCTATTTGAATCGAATATATCAAATGATGATAGTTCCATATTGGTCCATTCGTAATCGTAAGTATTATTCGAGTTGATAAGGGAAAAACGACGAAGATATCCAATATTTTGGTCCAAACAGAATAAATAGCTAGAGGAAAAGAGGAAAAAAAAGAAAGGTAACAGGTTATATACAGATAGTTTATGGTTCGTTTTTATTGCCAACTCTATCAATTATTCGACTCGGAAACTATTCATGGAAAGGTTATACTTATATTTATGTATATTTCTCGGAAAATAAATGCTATTATACAGCTTTAATAAATCATAAATTAACTAGAAAATATAAATATGCGACAAACCCATTTATTGGATCAATTTTCATTTCGACAACGTTTAATAAATCAGTTGAAGACGTTAAAAACTTTTGGCAAGATGACCAAGCAGTAATACTGCATGAAAGGATCTAAAGGATAAAGTATGTTTAAAAAATATAATAAAGTGCCAGAGTAAACTATGTCAATTGCTAATAAACAGTATGAAAAAAAAAAATTACGTTATCTCGTGTAGCTGCGTAAAAGATCCCATTCAACCAATCAACGGTTATGGCCGTTATTGATGAATTATTGAAAAGTGGGTGGTCGTACTTTCGATATGTATCATATGTTTGATTATAGAATATAACTCTATCACCACTGGCTAACAGGATATAACATCTGGACAGATTCTTATATGGGCAAAAACTTGTTACATCTGCAAGCATATTTTCTTAATGAATATATAATGAGATAGACTAGTGCTTACCAGTTAGGTGATTAAAAGACTTGAGTTTCTTTTGAATTTCTAAAGTCGTCGCTGACTTCAAAATAACTGAACCGTCTTTATTAACCCAAACTAATTTTCCTTGGCTAGTATCTATCAAAATAAGACTATATGCAGTTTTTACATATAAAAACAATTTCCTTGCAGGCGTAGAAGTTTTTTCGTTAGTGTAATTTATGTATAGAATTACAGACTGAGGAGAAGGAGAAAAAAGAGTAGGAGAGTGAACGATGGGAATAGAGGGGGGTGGGGTTGGGATGAGAGGGAAGAGGAGAAGAATAGATGGAAGTAAAATGATGAAAATTGAAAATGTTTCTCAAGATAGAACGCTTACCTGTTCTAGTAGGAATTGAGATTTTGCAGGTGAAACGTTTACTCATATCAACCCTTGAATATGTATCAAGAGTAAGAATATAACTTTTATTTGTTTCAAAATGTTCTTGAGTAATTTCATACTGAATTGTTGAATTATTCGAAATTGAGACCCTTTCCCTTACTCTTACGTCATTACCATCGTTTTCGTTTCTCATTTCAACAATAAATTGGGTTAATTTCGATGGTGCTCCCCATAAATGCAGGCTTATAATTGATGCTCCACCTCCGTGGCTTTTAACTTGACAATCCAAATAGGGCTATAATATAATGAAACAAAAAAGCAACTACAATAAAGATTATAAACAATTAGATGCATATTAATTAGAAAAATTTAAATAAATGAGGTAAAAGGGTAAATGCATCCAGTAATTAACACGCTATCGTTATGACCTTTGTAATTGAATTTCGTCCAACGTTTCTAATAGTAATTTGAATCGCAATTAGAATACAAACTACGGCGCTAAGCTGCGTTAAATTCTTATGGTGATAAGCTATGAAATAGAAAACTAAGAAATTGTTAGTATTAGACATTATAAATACGCGTGCATGATATGATTGCGTAGCATTGCAAATACACTCATCGCCTGCAAACATAAACAGAATCATCTTAAATGGAGCACAGCTGGAACGGCAGCAAAAGTTCGAAAAGTACACAAACCGTCATTCTTAATGCCACGACGTACATCCGCCAAACTTTTTTTTATTTTTTATTTTTTTTTTATTAAAAAACAAAACTACTTATTTTTATCAGAGAAAATGTAAGGCATATCTTCTTAAGATATCATTTAATCTTATATTTATATGTATTATTGTAAAGAATGAAAAATCAACAATTTTCCCAGTTCCGTAACATTTTTCACCTCCTTTGATTTATCAAACTAACTCTTTTCTTTCGTTCTTTTCTCTTTCTCTCTCTCTCTTTCTCTTTACCCCCTCCCCCTTACTCATCTCGCCCCCCTTCGTCTACCTTTTACACCCGTTTTATCCCCTGAGCGTGCCTGGTTCTCGGTAAGACGAACAGCAACAGCTGCAGAAGAAACTGCAAATTCGCTTCTACTAAACGATATTTGTTTCGCACTCTCCGACTGTTGTCACGCGTTTACCCGCTATCGGTTATTTACTCTGTTTATTTTAGCAAACAAAAAAAATCGGCTGAGCCGACTTGTAACAGCTTGTTACTATCGCAATAAAGAATGATTTTGGATTAAAGAGAATGATGAAAGGGGAAAAAAAGGGAAAATAGCAAAAAGAAAAAAAATAACACATCCAAAGACCGTCGGCGGAATCCAAGAAGAACCAAAACATACTTACAGACGTTCTCTTATTGGTAGAGTCGGTTAAACTAATATCCAATAGTTGTATTAGGAAGGTTATACGTAAAACGGCGGTCAACATTCTTATATTTCATATCTTTTACATTCAATTTGTAAATTGCCGCGTCAAGACATCGTCTGAGTTAGCTTTTCCAAATGTTGTTTGGTTTGCGCTAATTGGACAATCTGCGCATTGCCTGTAGAACCCGGATTTAACAGTAGTTTACTACTGAAAATAATGCCTGGGAGTTTTTTTTTTTAATATACAAAATACTTTATGCAACTATAAAATGTTCTTTTTACAACAGTTAATGTTAATGTTCACAACGTTTTTAATGTTTTATACAACATATCTGTACTATGAGATTACAATGTTAAAGTTTATATAGTGGTACCTTGCACAATATATATAGATAATAAATGCTCTAGTTATACATATATATATATATATATAAATTCATATATAAATACATATATATATATATATATATATAAATTCATATATAAATACATATATATATATATATATATATAAATTCATATATAAATACATATTCTTATAAGCAGCTATATAACATGAAAAAAGTTTGTTTTTTTTCACTCAAAGTTCATAAGTAGTTCAATAGGACAATGATCACTTCCTTCAACATCGTCTCTAATTACACTATCGTGCAAATGACATTTCAATCGTTCTGATATCACAAAGTAATCTAAACGCCTGAAAAAAGATTAAAAACTATTTAGGTAATACAAAGAACATTTCCGCGTTTTTTCCTTCTTTTTTTAATTTTATCTTTTTCCCATTTGGCGTTTGGTTTGGTCATGTTTTTCTTTCAAATGATAAAATAATAATTACCATCCAACGTTCTTCTTTCTTGCGTTACCCATGTAAGACCAATACGAGTATGCGCCTTCTTTCTTTGGATAAAAATATCTAAAAGAATCGATAAATCCAGAATCTAATAGTTTAGTAAATTCTTCCCTTTCTGCATCAGTAAAACCGGCTGTTTTATTACGATTCGATTTAGGATTCTTTAAATCTATGGATATTAAAGTAATGTTAAATTTAAAAGGGTTTCACTTCTAAATAATTATCTAACCAATATCCAAATGGGCGACATTTAAATCTCCACAAAGTATAATAGGCTTAATTTTATCCAAATTCACAAGATATTCTCTAAAATCTACGTCCCACTCTTTTGTACGATAATCAAGTCTCTTCAGACCTCTACCCGAATTAGGAATGTCTATTTTAGAATAAAAAAAAAGAATAAATTTAAATCCTCTTTTTTTCTAAGAATATGATAAAAAAAAGACAAACAAGCTGTAACGAAATAGAATTTTTCGTATTCGGCGGTAATTACACGTCCTTCGCCATCATGTTTCTTATCACCTACAAAAAAAGGAAACAGTTTCTTTAGTAACATCTAATTTTTTTCAATTGTGTTCATTTACCTATTCCGTAAGTTAATTTAATAGGTTTAACCTTAGAGTATAAACCTGTCCCTGAATACCCTTCTTGGTCACCAGAGGAAAAATAGGTATTATAGCCTTTGATTTTAACTTTTTCAGGTACCTTTGCTTCGTCGCATTTTGTCTCTTGCATACAAAATACGTCGGGTGTATTCGATGTAATATATTCATGACCTTTTTTCTGCAGGTAAATGGTTTTTTTTTATGTTCATATATTGCTTTATATTGTTTAATGGAAAATTTGTAATATTACATCGGCCCAAGCTCTAAGCCCATTAACATTCCACGATGAGAATTTCATATTCCATTTAGGTGCACGTGCGACATCTCCATCTTCTGGTTTCACTGAAGTCGAAGGCTTTTCGCTAGCTACCTCTAGTGAAGGTTTTTGATTTTCGGTTTTTGATTGTTCGGTTTCAGAATCTGAAGTAGCAATATCTTCCCTAAATTTTTTTTCTTCAGGTTGTTTAGCCTTCTTTGTTGGAGTTGACTATAATGAATTATTGGATATAAAGTATAATTTTTAATCAATTTCAGAATGAGATACACATACTTTTCGCTTTCGGGGCATTGTAGAGAATAATGTGTAGCTTGATTCCTTAAGATTATTATTAAATACCGTCAATTTCTGCTGGTTAGTCAATAATTTTATACCGTGCCTAAACAAGTTAGTAAACATACAGCAAATGGCCGCCAAACACCGCTTCCGGACACAAGATTGAGCGGGAAGGTTTTTTCAAAACTGTTTTCGTACTTTCTCTAATAAAGTATAATTTCGCTTTCAAAGCAATAAATGTATATTAAAGATATGGAATTTATATACTGAATTAACTAAGCAAATTAATGTTTAATTTTACTCAATTATCATTACATATCCCAAATTTGAAAGTATAGTAGCATTTTTAACAGTAACGATTAAGAAATACCAGTGTCGTATTGCATGATAATTATAAAAGCATTACATAGATTATTTCATTAGATATTTCAAAATAACACATTATATAGAAATGTATCTGCTAATCAAACGAAAATAATCTAAAATCTAAAACAAAAGGTGAATGAATGAAGAAACTAACTAAAGCTATTGTTCAATTGATACAAGAAATCGTAAGGAATTTTATTATTCGTAAACTATGATAAACATATAATTAGTCGTCTCTAATCTTTCGATCAGCTACATTCAAACTAACAATGTTGTGTAATTTTCTTGCTCTCAATTTAGCCCAAATCATATGATCATGTAAACTTAGTATTTGTGCTGCGTGAATAGCGGCTGATTCAGCTCCAATTATAGTTGTACAAGCTAGACCTAAGGACAGAAAAAAAAAGGGGTTTTGTAAAGTCAATATCAATTGATTAGATATTTTTTATTTTCTAAGTACCTGAAGGTAGTCTTAGCGAACTCCAGATATCTTCTTGGCCCCAATCTGGCTTAATTGGAGGACAATTAATGACTGGCCAAGTCGCATTTCCGGATAAAACCGGCCCTAATCCATTACTTCTACCGGCAACGGCAATAAAGACCGTTGGGATTCCTTCTCCTTCAATTTCACCCAATATATCTAAAGTTGGACAAGTTGCTTTATGGGCCGACGACACTCTCAATTCGCATGGGACTCCAAAAGATGAAAGAGATTTTTTTATCTCTTGGCAATGCCCTAAGTCCGATGGCGAACCCATAAAAATAACTACTCGGGCATTAGGCTTTGGTGTCAATTGTTCAACTTTATTGGCTACCCATTCAAAATTACGCTTGACTTCGTTTAGAGCTTCGGGAGTAACATCTCTAAGATCTCTATAAACCTGCGAAAATTAAAATTAAATTACATACAATGATTAATTATTTTGTAATTCTTAGTTTACAAACTTGTTTATCTTTCATCAGCCTTTTATCCCCCGATGGCCAGAGCCTCCAAGAGTCGCTGTCAATCAAATCGGCAAGGACTAACTCTCCTTCTTCAGTCACGCCAAATTCAATTTTCATATCGATAAGACTACAATCTAGAGATTTCCAAGCATTTTCTAGAATTTCAAAAATTGTTACGGTAGATACGGATAAGATAGCTAATTCATCTTTTCCTATTTCAACTCCATTAAATTTAAATTTGGCACAAATAATTTGTTCTGAAGACCATTGAGGATCATGATTTTCATCATCCTTAAAAAAATATTCTAATTTTGGTGGATTAAACCTAAAGCCCTCCTTAACTCCTGTATGTCTACGTAGAAAGGAACCAGTAGCAATTCGACGAGTAACAAATTCAATTGGAATCATTGCGCATTTTTTGGCGATAAACGCCGTATCGCTATGTCTTTTGACAAAATGAGTCTTAATACCTGGATTGAAAAGGAAATAGAAATGATTCCTGATAATTAAAATTGTTGAAGAGACGTTTTCATTATTTCAACTTTACCTGACGAATTTAGCAATTCAAAGATTTTTACAGCAGTAGATGTTGAAATTGCAGCTTTACCAGCCATATCATTGGATCTCACACCATCTCCAGCTGTTATTCTATCCTTGGATAGTATAAGAGCATTTCCCTTCTGTTCAGGTAGATCATAAACGATTTTCGTCTTTCCTTCGATAATTTGATTACCAATAGTTAGATTCGTTGCAGCCATGTTGCCGAAGCCGCCTTATTTTTTGTAAAGGAAAACAAGAAAACAGGATAAAATAATCTAGTTCTATGAGGAAAGAGTTCACTTACTGTCTGAAACTGTTTCAGGAACAATGGATAAGAAACTTGACACTTGTATGGACACAGTTTGAACTTCACTGAGTTTTATATACCCGACCAGTATTAAAAGGCAGAGTACTTTAATCCGCGATTTAAAATAGTTCTTAGTATCTTATTGAAAAATTTAGTTCCAAATAAACCTTTATACATATTAAAATCATTTAAATTTAATAGATTAAATTCTATTATAATAGTTTTCGTATACCTAACACATATTCATTTTGTAGTTTAAAAAAAAGACAACAGCGTACGAATACAGTTAAAAGGTTATCATCAGTGATAGCACATGCACGGCGGTAATTACGAAAGTGGAACTCCAATAGAAAGAATTCTTTTTTTATACTTTTAAAAAGTCAATTAAAAGGTATTTTAAGTGAGAAGTTTCAACAACACTTGAATAATATTGTTCAAAACTATTCATTCAATAATAGTTTTCCTTTCTTTTCTTTTTATGATATTTTAAAAGTTTATTAAAATGGAAAATTTACACAAGAAATACAAGAAATCTGTATTTCATTTAATTGTATTTAAAATAGACGATTCTGTATTGTATTCTATTTCAGTTGAAGTATTAAATTTTCAAAGCTGCTAAAGTTCGAAAGAAGAACAAAAGGGTACGAAGGACAATGAATGAAGAAGGTGAATTAGAATTAAGAGAAGCCTGTGGTATTTTTGGATGTGTCGCTACAAAGAATCAACAAGTACCATTAGATGTTCCAACTGTAATATCATTAGGTCTAGTAGGCCTTCAACATAGGTATCTCACCCAAGTTAATGCTACGTAATAAGTATTTACGCAAGACGAAATACGTAAAAACAGGGGTCAAGAGAGTGCTGGAATAGTAACGACCTATGGGAAGGACGTTTATCAGATTTCAAAGGTTAAAGGGATGGGTCTAGTGAACCAGATTTTTAAGCCGGAGTCGCTTGAGAAGCTGAAAGGAAATATCGGCATAGGTTCTAATTCTGTGACTTTGTTTTATCTTTTTCGTTACATGTTACCCTAATAAAGAGAATTCATTATAGGTCATACTCGTTATTCCACTGCGGGAGCATCTCAAATCGATAATTGCCAACCATTTATCGTTGAAACGATGCACGGCCTTATCTCAGTTGCACATAACGGGGAATTGATAAATGCTAAGAAACTGAAAAGAAAAGTTCTTTCCAGTGGTATAGGCTTATCGACGGGATCCGATTCCGAAGTCATTACTCAACTTCTATCTTCTTCCCCTCCAAATGGGGAGCCCAATGGGCCAGATTGGCCAGCAAGGTGTGTACGTCAAAATAAATTAACTTTTAGGCCTAATTTAGGATTTATTTCAAATTCTTGTGAAAAAGAATTAAATGGCTTATGACAAAAACACCTACATCATATTCTTTGGTAGTTATGCATAAAGACGTTGTATATGCTGTTAGAGACCCTCTTGGTAATCGTCCACTTTGTATTGGAAAAGTGCTACCAGGCACTGGAAGTTTACCTAACATAAGTAAATAAACGTTTGAATTGATTAACATATTTTCCAAAATATTTAAACTTTTTTAAATACAGATGAATGTGCTGATCAGGAGGCTCACGGCTGGATCGTATCGAGTGAGTCTTGCTCTTTTCAGGCTATTGGTGCTTCTTACTATCGTGAAGTGGAACCAGGCGAAATAGTTGCCTTAACTGAATCTGGCGTAAAATCGGTCGGTATCGTTGAAAGACCTGACAACGGACTTCCGGCCTTTTGCATTTTTGAGTACGTATATTTTTCCAGACCGGATACCCTTTTGGAAGGTTTGTAAATTATATTCAATAACGGTCTAAAGAAAACTATATTCTTAAGGAAACTGCTTTATTCAGGTCAAATGGTTTACACTGTGAGGAAACGTTGTGGGATGATGTTGGCGCATGAAGCCCCTGTGGCAGCTGATTTAGTATCAACAGTTCCCGAGTCTGCAACTCCAGCGGCAATGGGCTTCTCAATAGAAGTATTAATGTCTATTTTTACGCCTAATTCATTTCTAATATCCTAAATTTCGCATAGTCAGGAATACCGTACGTAGAAGTATTGTGTAAAAATCGTTACGAAGGTCGTACTTTTATTCAACCAAGCAGTCGATTGAGACAATTAGGGGTTGCAAAGAAATTCGGTGCTCTCACAGATAATTTAAAGAATCAACGAATTGTTTTAATTGATGATTCTATCGTTAGAGGCAATACCATGGGTCCTATTGTTAAATTATTGAAAAAATCAGGTGCTAAGGAAGTCCATATTAGAGTTGCCTCACCTCCGTTAAAGCATCCTTGTTATATGGGCATCAATATCCCAACGAGAGAGGAACTTATTGCTAACAAGATGGACGAAGAACTCTTAGCCTATCATTTCGGTTAGAAAACATACTGTTTTAAACCTGAACTAACTTTTACCGATATACGTAATCTTCTCTGTTTTCCCTTTATCAGGAGCAGATAGCGTACGTTATCTTTCGGTGGACGGATTACAAACGGCGGTGAAAGAAGGTATCAAAGATAAGGGCAAAGCTGGCCATTGCGTCGCCTGCTTAACTGGAACTTATCCTGTCAAACTGGAATGGTGATGATGTGTTACTAGACGATTTTTTTTATACATTATATTGCGGATAATAAAAATAAAGCATCTTCTATCACATAAAAGGACGTATCTAATCCTCCTTCACACAAATAAGGCACTTTACTGACTGCATGTACTTTAAAGCCCATATTGGGAAAGAACACTTGAGATAAGAAAGTCAATTGATCTTCGAAGGTTTTCCCTTCTAATCGCAAAAATTCAGATGGTCGATGTCCAAACCCAGCTGAAAGTAAATAGGTGACGCTTTTTACAGATTAAAGATAATCAATAGGATACACGTACCTTCGACGAATGGTTTAAAAGGTAACACTAAAGCGATTATCAACCGGCCATTGGGCTTAAGAGATTGTTTTAATTGCGACAAAAGTGTAGCCGGTTTATCGCATCTGTCTAAGACATTTAGGCAGGTGATTACATCATACTTTTTCTCTTCGTCAAACCAATCGTAGGCGTTTAGGACTGTATAACGTTTACTCTCCAATCTACTAATCATAGGTTGAGATATTTCAGTTACAAAGACGCGATCGAAAAACTGATCCATTTTTTCTGTAATCTTTCCATCACCAGCACCAATGTCTAGCAGGGCTTCGGCATGAAAGTTCTCACTTACACTCAGAAATTCCAAGAACTGAGCTGAGGAGTAAACAAACATCGAGCCTCGTCCTAGAAACCTGCAATAATTGTCGTTTTTGTGTAAAGTTAATACTTTTGTTCTCTCTATGACCTTTTTCCTACCCATTAATTGACGTTTTCGTAAGAAAGAAGCCTAAAATACTCTTCACTATCAGATGGAAAAATTGTGTAAATATCCAATCAGATTTTTCGTAACAATTCTCTAAAAATTTCTCTGTATCCGAATCTTCATTGAATTGTATAAATCTATCGCAAACTTCAGCTGGTATCATTGATTTATTTACTTCATACCACTGTGGAGGGAATGATGTCCAACGCTTTGATTAAACTTTAACATATTATTTAAAATACAAAATATTTCCGTACGTGGGAATGATCACTATTTCTTTGTTCATTATCGAACATAATTTTATCATACATTGCCCTTGCTAGCCCATTCCTAATAAATGGTCTCGAAACCATGCTGTTTAGTCAATTTTTTATACGTAGCTGAACGAAAACTTTACCGGAAACAGATATCGAAACGAGACTACAAACAACCAATAGATGTCGCCTGTTGAAAAAATACAATGGTAAAGAGAAAAACTTCGAAAGTAGGCCTAGTAAGTTTTTTCCAACTCTAAAAAGGAGATTAATTCATCGAGTGAGCGAAAGGGGTTTCGGGGGATGGATAAGAGATCATTAATCTAAAAGTTTCTGAATATTAGCTATTATTTTGATTTTAGTCAGGTTTTATAATTAGAATGTGTCCAGAAGCGTCTCTCTACTTATGGATACTGCAAACATTTTACGGTCGATTTATTTTGTAAAGAATTTTTCAGTCAATATTATAAAAATGGAAAAAGGGGAAGGAAAATGTACTGGCGCGTTGTGTGTTCGACTAAAAGGGCGAGAGAAATGGAAAAGAGAGAAAAGAAAGAAATAGAATGAGGGTGAAAGAATGAGAGTGAGAGAAAGCTAATTGATAAACTGAGCTAGATGGCGCAAAAAGACTCAACATATTCGTATAAATCTTATTCTATAAATGACTCCCGGATAATGCTGAACGGATCGAATACTACTAAAGAAGCGGAAAATTATGAGGAAGTGAAGAAAGCACTCAACTCAATTGTCACTCCAAGTTTGGCTGCTTTCGGAACGATTGGCAATCTAATAAACGCTTTCGTACTAGGACGCCTTAGGCTACGTCGAAGGGATGAAAGTGGAACAACGTCCGGTTTCCTGTTTTTGGCTCTATCTGACCTCCTCATATGCTCGGCCCTATTACCAAAGGCTTTCGTTTCTCCTTCAATGGCAAATTGGGGCGGAAGATGTTTCTCACTTTACTATTGGACATATAGTGGAGCAGTTATCAATTCGGGTATATTACTTAGTATTTGGCTAACAACCAGCATGACTTTACTCAGATACGTTGCAATTTGTCATCCAATGCTCTCATGGCCGAGGAAAAGTTGGCACGCTTACATTTGTTATTCCATAGCAGCATCTATAGCCGTCTCTCTATCATTTCCGTCATTTTGGCAGCTCAGCTTCAACGACGTTCATTTGAATGGAAGGAGTACAATAATACTTGATGTTGGTCCGGATTGGGCAAGAACCACATCGTACGTTTACGCCCAGTTGGTTATAGGAGCTACTATACCTTTTATAATTTTAGTTTATTGTAACGCTTCTCTTATTTCCGCGCTTCGCCGTTCATTAAAACTTAGAACAATGGCAATGGTCTCGCAGAGTTCATCAGTGGCAGCGTCGTCAAGAATCACTCTAGTATTAATTGTATTTATAATGATGTTTGTTGTGTTGGTTTTACCCTGTGACGCTATGAATGTAGTGCTCGAAACGTTTCGTCAACTTGATACAGGCGTCGTCCTCTTAGCTCGAGCAATAGCAAACTGCCTCCAGATAGCTCATTTTGCATTCTCCTTCGTACTCCATTGCTGTTTGAACGCCCGATTTCGCCACGAATTATTGGCGATTATTTTCTGTGAGAAGACTGCTTCACTTGGAGTCGGTGCAAGTGTACCTTTAATTGTCCGAAAGAGGAACAACAACAATCCGGTCACGTTGGCCAACGAGACTTTGATGTGATTCACACGAATGTATATATAAACATCAAACGGAAGGAAAGCTGCAGCGTTGTTTGCTGACATAATTTCGCTTCGTCGCCGTATTTATTATACTATTTTAAAACTCCGGAGAAAGAATGGATTGACAATAAATACGAAAAGTATGAAGATATTATCTATTTTATTATGACGCATCTCTCTCTATATTCATTTGAGCAATTGCACAGATAGGGAAATAAATGTGCATGTATAGATATTTCATACCATAATATACATTCCATATATATATATATATATATTTGTAAACACACTCAGTTATATCTATAAAATTCTTCTTTTCATTAATAGAATGATTATTATTAATATGAGGAATTATTTTTCGTCACCTGTGCTCATTTATCTAATTAACTCTTTTTTCTTTCATTGATTGACCTTTTTCCTTAATTATTTATTGGGGAACTTTTTTTATAAAGTACATTTAAAAATATCTTTGACATAAAAAAGGATATTCTAACAATAGTTTTTCATTTGACCTTCAAAAAAAGGAGCAATATGAAACATTTTCTTTTCACTATCTTTCTTTATTCTCTCTCTCTTATTTTTTATCTTCGTCCTTTAAATGTTCGTTTTAAACTAGTATTTATAGGGAAAAAAATCCAATTGTCGATAGAATTGTAATAATTAAATGATAATCTAATAGAGAAACTAACTGACAAGAAGAAGGGAATGAAGATACTTTTTTTATCCACTGAAAATAGTATTTTTTCCCCCACAAACACCGTTCTCACAGTCAGAGTATTTCTAGTTTTGTATGTTTAAAAATAAATTTCACTTCTCTAATGATGAAAGAATTCTTGGTAAATCAGTAACCGAGGTGACAGTAAAGAACTCTATTATTATTCTTTCTTACACCGGCCGTAATTGGCTAATTTACGTCGACAAAACAACATATACAACTAATTTGTCATCTCGAAATTCGATCTACAACCTTTTTTTTTCCATTTACCTTTTACATATTTATTTTGTGTTTGTATAATTTGGTTATTGAAAATAATTCATTTTACGATATTTTTATTTATGCTTATAAGCAATATATACTGTATATCTAATAAATAAATTATTAATATTACCTTTCATTCGTCTCTGTTATTTTGTTTTTCTTTTATATGTTATATTAGAGCTCATTAATTGATTAATTTTCCATACGTTTAATAACTCTTTAAAAAAAAAACCTCTTATAAAATTTCTTTAACAATGGATGACCTCCTTTCACTTCTTTTCCTCTTATCTTTCCCTGTTCTTTATCTATCTTTCTCTTCGTTTTTTCTTCTTTTTCTTCCTTGTTCTGTTTGTTTCTCTCTTTTATTTTTTATTGAATTCTTGAAATTCATTTTTATCCATATATCTATATATGTGCATACACGATTGTATATATATATATATATGTATACACACACTTATATATTTATAATATACAATAAAGGAAAATCAGTTAAAAAAGTCTATACTTCTCCTCCTCTACTTTCTATATGCAGTTTATATATACCTTTTCATATAAAAGCCTAGATGTTTTGTACCTGATTACTATTTATTGGTAAAAAACAATTAAATATAGGTAGTTGTATTGTTTACAAGTACATAAACGAGCAAATATGGCTATCGATGAGATCCTAAAGATTTTCCGCTTTCCGTAACAATCTTTCCTTGTTTTTCCACTTTATCTATTTCATGTGTTCTATTCTTTCTATACGCGTCTCTTACTCTTTTCTCTAGTCTCATGGATTGCTAGTAGAAATATAAATTCAATTTCGGAAGTGATTTGATCTTTTATTTCTTTTCTTTTCATTTCGAATCTTCAATAGAAGCTTCTAAGCAATAATTGTAATAATAAAAAATATATTGTCCAAGATACATTATACAGTAAATGTATCTATCCCTCTCTCTCTCTCTCTCTCTCTCTTATATATATTAGTATAAAAGCTTTTTATATACTATATAAGGTATATAGTCCTATATTATAAACTATATGATAATAGTCAAATAAGCCAGTTAGAGTTTAATAAATAACTCATGAGATTTTCAAATAAACAATATTAACTATACACGACAATTGTTTAATCATTAGTATATATTAATAATAATAGATATGTTGTTTATTATAGTTTACATATATCTTTTGGACGCTATGTGATGCTATAAATAGAAAATCAAACAGGAACACAAAGGGATAGGAAGTAGGTTCATAATGGAACTTAAACGATCGTAATAACTAGGATTTTTGACTTTCCATTAGTTTTTCCTCCGATGATGTAATATAGATATACAGTATATACAAATATACAGTGTATATATATATATATATATTTACACATATTTCTTTTCGTTCATCTTCTATATCTTTGTATTAATTTAAGAAACAAACATTTAGAAAACATACAAACTAGCTTGATTGCTGACGCAATACATTTTCATAATAAATACAAACAATAAAACATTTTTGAGCGATATTAATTTGATTAAAGGATTTAAGTTGTTATCGAATAACTGATGTATATGTAATTAAATCCCGTGTGAACTTACATGATGGCATTATGGGTATTCGATATACTTCTAGGAATTAATTAACAAAAAACAATTAGTACTATTCTTAAATGCCGGAAGGTTATTCAGTATTTGTTCTTATTCTTAATCTCAAATGAGTTTATTAGAACGAATCTAAACATTTCGGTCAAAGTAAATAAATAATCAACTCACTAAAAGAGATTAGTAAACAGAAGAGGATAAACGCCTAACAGCAGGACGGTTTACACGTGTATATTAAGGATAAAAGTAAAAATGGAGAATATTTCGATCCAGATCAAAGCTGTTTTTCGTTACAAAATCTGGATGCGGTAGCCGGCGGTGGAAGAGAAATCCGGTCAATGTTCTTCAAAGAGGAAGAGAAGACAAGTCTTACATTGTCATTAACTATTCTATAGGAGAATCTGGAATTATTCGATCGACTGCCGTTACTTCCGGTTCTATTGCATCCGCACAATTTAGCTAAAGCTTTCCGAAATTGTAAATTAATAAGGAAATATAATAAAAAGTTACAGGAAAAGTTCAACATTTGAGCTATATTGGTCAAACCCCTTACGGCTATGAAAGTTTCCACCTGTTGGACGGGATTCAGTAAGAGATGAGTACAGGCGTCCATCAAATCCGATGGAAAAACTAGGCATATAAAGGCGACGAAGATGGTAATTAAAGTTATAGTTATACGACGGCTATTTGCTAAGTGACCGGAAGCGAAGGCATTAGTTCTCATTTTTTCCGAATTTCGTAAGGCCCTTATTAAAGCTACATTACAAAATACTAATGTTATGGCAGGAACGAAGACTGCAACCACCAAACGAAACCATAAATAGACCAAACCATAAATATTCCCATGTGACATTTCGCCCAGATCGACCAATTTCTTCTCAGAACCTTTATCATTGATTTCAACCTCCCTAAATTGCCAGAACGTTGGAAGATTAATAATTATCGCTAAGATCCATACGACAAGTACAGCGTAATAAGTTCTCTTAGCATTGACCAATTCTCTATAAAAAGATCTCTTGAAAGATAGAAAAGAGAAATTGGGGATATTTTTGGGGGAAACAATTCTTACCTGGCTTTAAAAGGATAGCAAATTGCAAAATATCGAAGTAATGCCAATAAGACGATTAGCCATGTACTCACGCATCCAAAAGTGGATATTAAACCAGAGCAGTACAGTTGGTAGTAAATAGTAGTATCGTTTTTATCAAATAATACAGTATTCAATCCTACAAATGCTCTTGGTATCATTGCAAAACAAAAACATAAATCTGATAATGCTAATGCGACAAGTCCAGTAAATATAGTCCGTTCTTGTATTTCAACTGAGCAGCGTATCCTTTTCTTGGTCAGAACCAATAAATTTAAAGTATTACCAATAATACCGATAGCAGCAATTGCCGGAATGACGTAACGTTGAGAGATCTTATCGAAGAAATGTTGAGAAAGGAATGTTGAATTTGTTTCGTTCATTTTTTAATCGTAAAAAGGAAAATAGTTAGTTAAAATAAGACAGAGAGACAGAAGGAGAGAGAGAGAGAGAGAGAGCGAAGGCGAGACGGAATATAAGAGAGGAAAAAAATGAAGAGAGTTTTGCTATTGTATTTTCTTTTAAGTTAATCCATCAATGTTTTTTTCTTTCTTTATCATTCAAACATTTACTGTTGAGTAAGATTGCATTAAACAAAATATGGATATACATAAATAATAAATATGTTTATAAATATATCATGCAAAGGATATAATATCAGTGCACATGTAAATTTATGTATATTTACATCAAATATATTCAGAATGTAAAGAATAATCTCATATTAATACTCTAGAGTTATTTATTCTTCTTCTCCTAATAATCCTAACTTATTTATCGTAAAAGATCGTTAAATGCTTTAAGGTTAAAGTCTTAGACACTGTGGATTTTCGATACCGTCATTTCTTATATAGACAGAATAGGGTAGGATTTTCTAACGCTTCTCTTCCTATTTTCCTAAAGAAGTCTTATTTATGACTTGACTATAATTTATCTTTTTCTATTTACTTATAAAATAAAATAAAACTATTGTTTATTTTTATCAAAGCTTAACAATAACAATAGGAGAGAACAAGAACAAGAAGAGAGAAGGAGGGGAAAGAATAAAGATAAAAGTTAAATTTTCCGTTTTATTCGGTAAAATAATAGAATAGGAAATTTTTTATTACTAAAAAAAATCACCAAGATAAAGGGATACAAACAAAAACTGGTAGGAAAAGTTTGTTTTCATTTCATTATAATTTCGTTTGTTTATATTGGAAAAAATATGTTTTTTAGGAAAAGTTATTGACGCTTTTTGTTTATTAAAACACAATATAATTATACTTATATATGTATATATCACAGTAGAGCGCTTATATTATATAATAAAGTTCTATTGTATTAATAAGTTTGAAATAATAAAACACAGTTTTATTTCATAACTATCTACTCACCGATTACGGATTGTGATCCATGAAAGGCTTCTCTCAATACACTTTCGATCAGATACTGTATTGTTCTTTGGTTTTTTTCCACTATAGGAAAATCGAATGACCGACTCCCTTCCCTACGACTGTTAGGGTGATGTTCTATTCTACGCTAGATGGCGTAGTTTATCGCAATTATTCGATCGGGTGTCTAATCTTAAAGTCCAGTCTTTTATTACTTATTTATTTATTGTGTGTATTTTTATAAGCTAGAATCAATTCAATGGATTTTTTTCTATATTGAAAGTGTTTTGCTGTCCCCACAGAAAAATTGTTACCAAACCTATAGCGACTGCAAAAAATTGATGGGATAATACTTTTCATTTTTTGTTTCTATTGATTATCGCATCTTCTATCTAAAGGAAGAAGATGAAAATTATTTTTGTACCGTTTTTTAACACATTATTATTATTTATGTTATTATTATCATCACTATTTTGAAGTTTTTCGATAAAATATGCCTTGTAATTAGTTTACATTTTGATCTTTAAAGGGAGACAAAGATCAAATTGAAAAAAGGAGGTCAATCGGTATATTGCAATGTTTTTTTTTTCAGTTACTCTAAAGAAAAGCTAAAGTTTTACACGTGAAAAAACGAAATATAAATCTGCAAGTTACTTTTATTACACTGCTGAATAAATGTACAAGATGTTTTTTTCTCTATTTTCCCATTACTTTTATCCATCTTTTTCTCTCTCTCTCTCTCTCTCTCTTTCTATCTATCTATCTATCTGTCTATCTATGTATCGGTTCACTCAACCTCTCTCTCTCTCTCCCTCGTACACTCACTCATGTACGCTCTTACTCACTATCTCCCCCCTCTTTATGTCTAACTTCCTCTTTATACTTTTATGCATATTAATGACATATAATAATAAATTATAAATGAATATTTTTATGCTATTATTATATGACCCAACGTTAATTTACAGAAAAGAGAAATAAATAAAAGGAAATTATATCAGAATAAATTCTCGAATGTATATTAATTAGTCATGATATGGAATGCTAAACCAGACTTCAGCTAGCTTTCGCATCATCTACATCGCAGAGAGCCGTGCACGTATATATATATATATATACAGATAACTCATATATATTTATACTTAAAATCATATCTCTCTATACAACTCTTTCTTCTTCTAAACTTACTTAAATGCACTTTTACCAGAATAAACGGATATAATAATATTTGTAAGAAAGACTGTCTGATAAACGTCTACTGAAGATAATTGCAAAGGCTATCTACTTCCTTTATTACTCAACAAGAACTATATATTATATATTCATATACAATATTATATAATATAATTAGTTTATTCAAGTTTTTTTTCCATCTTTGCAAAAGGACTTTTTAAAGATCGTGAGTTGATTTTTCCTCAATCATTAATACTATTATAAAATATCTATATTCTAAAAAGAAAGATAAGTTACAACTTTTATACGATGTTGTTTTATTTGATAAAATTTATAATCAATCATTTATTTATACGAAAAGGATACTTTTTTGTATGAATAAAGACTGTAAAATAAAATGAATGATTTAAATACGTAAATGTAGTATTAGATGTTTTAGCTATTTATTAAGTAAATATATATATATATATATATATATATATATATATATACAATATATCTAGATATAAGTTTATGTAAAGTTATATAATAAATGGGAAACGTAGGCGTTATCGGTGAATATATATTTTATTATGTCAGTCCGTTATTTTTCATTACTAAAGCTTTTTATAATAAAATCGTGCAATTAATAGGTATATATTAATGATATGGAGAGAACTGTGTATACTATAAAAAATATTAGCACATAACCGTATAAAGTATATAAACTATCTTTTATGAGGGCGTATATTATAAACTACAATATTGTTTTTATTTTTATGTTATTATACACCATTTCAATATCAATATAATCACTATTTTAATATTATTATCTCTTATTCCTTCAATTTCTTTATATTGCCTTCATATTGTCTAATTATTTGCTAAATAAATACTTTATCCTTATACCCACTTTAATGAAGTATTGTCTGTAATAGTATTTTCTCAAGCTTTTATATATATATATATATATATATACGTTTATTAAAGCCATAAGAGTTTTAACTATTATAAAAGCAGTAGAATGACTATGGATGATATGACATAGAGAACTAATTATTTGCTGTGGAAGCGTTCAAATATACTAACATTCTTAAAGCTAGTCTTATTCCAGTACCCCATCCAACATTGCCTCATATTCTTTAATTGTATAAACGGAAAGCAGTTCACTCTTCAATAAATAAGGGAAAAATACCCTTTTCAATGCTTTGAAGGTGAAAAAGTCATAGTTTCTCGCTTGTTCCCTTGACCTGGTCATAATGCAGACAAGACCAGAAAAAGGAGAAAGAGAAATATAGAGATAGAAGAAAAGATCTTATGAGCAGGTGCGGCTCTCCTTGACCGCTTTTTTTTGTTCTCTCCCCACCACCCCTCTCCCCACCCCCCTTTCCAAAAAAAATAGTATTTCTTGAAAATGGGGTAATAATAAAAATAAACAATAAATGTGAATGTTTGTAAAAAAGAAGGTGTATAAAAAAAACAAGCTTTTCTCACATTATCCTCGTTACTGTAAAATTAACAAAATACTTTGATTCCCCTAATGATTTAGAAATAACGAATAAACATCACTAAGAGGGTCAAAGTCTGTGGCTTTACATTTGAAAAAACTGTCGTTTTATTCAGGCTATATACATTTGTTTTTCATTACAGATGACGTCATGCACTTGACTGTTACATCGACCTTTTACGATGACCATAATGTGACAACACCGTCAATTCTAACCGATGAATATTCTTTGTATAAAGAAATATTGCAATTTGCTACTCATACTGGAGTCATAATTTTATTGAGTGTACTTATTGCTGTCGCTTGTATATTCGTTCTGTGCGGCTTATTAATGAAAGCCGAAGCTCACGTCAACACATCAGTTAACAGAAACGACGCCTGGCTTCAGCGTTCAATCATGGATGAGGGCGACTTTTAAAAAAAACGCTTATTTGGGTGTGGTCCTTTATCTACTTAAAATATACATAGTATTCTCAACAAGAAGTATCAAACAGGCATTTATGGTATACAATATATATATATATATATATATATATATATATATATATACAGTATATATATATATTTGATTGTATATTCAGTATATATTTATAGCAATTAACTTTTGTATATTCAAAAGTAAAGTGTATTTAAACAATTAATGAAAAATAACGAATCGTCATAATTAATATTCAAATTATAAAAAGCAACCGACAAAACGCGAATATATCGATGTTCTTTCTTTATCGTTTTTATTCGCACAGGTGTCTTCGTTCTCTTTATTATCTTTTCTGTTTTATTAAGTTGCATGGAGATATTATACACGCTTGATTGTATTAATATTCGATAGAATCTTCTTAAGCGAGTATACATTTTATTCCTAACGTTCTCGTTGAAAATTTTTTAATCTATTAATTTTTACAAATAAAAAGAAAAAAATGAATCTATGATAAACTACTCTTTTCTTTTATCAATTTGTCTTCTTTACTTTGTTTTTTTCTTTATCTATCTCCTTAATGCTAGCTCATAGTATTTCTTTTTACTGTGGATTGTTTTTATCATTTTCTCTCTTTTTTTTTCCTTTCTCTCTCTCTCTCTCTCTCTCTTTCTCTCTCTTCAAAACTTTATATTCTTACTTCTTTATTACGAAAATTTTTCCAGTACATAGAATAATACATTTTAAAAAGAATAAGCAATATCATTCATTATTAATAGTATAGTTCTGTTACGGTGCATTGTTTTTCCATTATATCACTCAGTATTCCTTTATGATATTTATGGTATAGAATGCACCAGATTTTTTCCTTCCAATAAAAAAACAGTGTGAAATTTCCGAGACTTAAATGACGCAAGTTCATCTATAAATTAGGTTTAGTTTTACCTCCTCCAAAGAGGGTTTTTGTTTTGCTTTTCAGACTGACCGTAATAATGTACTTTATGTTTATCCATTGTGCATAATTGCCTATTGAATTAATAGAAAAGCATTATAGAAAAAAAATAACAAATAACATAGTTTTCTCCTCTTTACCCTTCTACCTACTTCAAACGCTTTTAATGAATAAATAAAAAATTTAGAGAGAAGAGAGAAATAGACAGACGGAGAGAAGTGATTATGTTTTAACTGTATTAATCGCGCCATCTAACGGTGAATGGCCTATAGGCTTTAATCTGAAAATTACCCCTTTTGATCTGGATCTGTAAAAATTGTTTATCGTGCATATTAATTTCCTTTCCCTCGCTTACAATTTGCAAATTGTTCGTTATTAAGTTAAGGTCACACCAGATCACTAATGTTTTTTACACGCGTAATTTGCGTTCTTGGTACACAACATCATTAAAATATAAGAAACGACAAATTCTCCATTTTTCAGTTTATTCAACGCACTTAAAAAGATTTGTCACAGATCTTGGACTTAAATCGTAAATAGATTGATAATTAGAGAGTCAGAAGAGAAAACGTTTAAAGGAATAACCAGCTCTCTAAGCTAATGCTCTTTATCTACGTTAGACAATCTTATTACCATGCATTACTCGCAGGCTGCAGATATGTAATTTTTTAAATTAATAATGTTAGAATATTGTTTCGTGATTTTCTTTAATGTAATAAGCATCTGCTTTTGACTAATAGAAAGATATAAGTTCTTTCATAACTTGCGAAGCGGTCGTAGTTCTATAGGCTGAGTAGAATTCTTACGTAGTTGAGTATGATAAAGATGGGCGCATGTGGTGCATACTAATTGACAGGTTTTATCGCTGTCTTGAAAGAAACACGCATTACTTCAACGTCAGCTTTTATATCTCTTTTGCCCTGAGAAAATTTGATAGAATAAACGAAATATGGAAAGGTTAATTGCTTCTCCTTACGAAATATCTCTTGAATACACAATATATTTAGATCAAATAAGTTTACATTATTATATACAGTGAAAACTCTATTGTTAAAAACGTATAGGTAGAAACAAGCAATCAATAATAAGCTGAGTCGAATTGCTTTTAAAGTTATCTCTCCAAATTTATCTCTTTCTTGAATGAGAGAAGAAAGTATATTTTGTTTCGTCTGTTCTCTCTCCCTTGAATTATCCAAAGGAGAAAGAAAAACTAGAATCGCCAGGAAATCCCCCTGCACCTCCAAATGGAAACCCTGTTCAAAATGTCAAGATTTACAATTTATAAACTTTCAAATCATTGTCTAGCTACCTCCATTCCGGCTACCACCTCCTCCGAAAAATGCTTGAAAGATAGTGTTGGGATCGAAATCGGATTCTATAAAGTAAATAAAGTTTATAAATCTTATAATTATTGAAAAGTCAAAAATAATTACGGAATCCTCCTTCATCCAGATCTTGTCCAGTGTCGTATCTTTCTCTTTTCTTGGGATCAGATAATACAGCATATGCTTCTCCTATTTCCTTAAACTTCTTTTCTTCTTCTTTTTTAGTTTCGTCATCGGCTGATGAATGTCTATCAGGATGATGTCGTAGCGCCCTCTTCCGATAAGCTTTTCTGATTTCGTCATCAGAAGATGTTTTACTTATACCTAGTATTTTATAATAATCTTTCCTTTTTGACTTTTTTAGTTCTAATTTAGCATTTTGTAAGGCTTGTTTATTTTCCCTAGTTTTTTGCATTTGAAAAATTTTTTCATAATCAACAACCGCTTCTTCATATTGTTCTTCATCCATATAACATTTGGCTCTTCTCAAGTAAGCCTTCAAATATGATTCATCTAAAGATATAGCTTTACTACAATCTTCTATTGCGTTCTTGTTCTTGCCTAATTTTGAGCACACAGTTGCTCGATTGCAGTATAATTTCGAATTTGTAAATACATTTAAAGGGTCAATGTTCAGAGCGGAAGTGTATACTTCATAAGCTTTGTCAAATTCTCCACTTTTAAAGGCAGTATTCCCTTCCTCTTTTTTTGCAATTAAACTTTTGGCTTTCTGAAAATTTTGATTTATTTAATTAAATTTATATTTTTTCATCATTAATTTTCATACTTTGTATACTGTTTTAGCTTTTATATGATCTGGGGCTAATTGCAAAACCCGTTGAAAATGAGAAAACGCTTTGTCAACATTATCCTCGTAATACAAACATAATCCTCTAACGTAGAGAGCATCGGCATTAAGATTATCTTTCCTTAACAAATCACTGAAAAAATTCCATTCATTTTACTTATTTCATACTTAAATTTCAATACTTACAAGGCAATGGATTGTGCCTCTTCGTATCTCTTTAGTAAAGCAAGACATTCTGCTTTGTTGGTTATAAATTTTATACATCCTGGTGAAATATCTATGCATCTATCCATACAATAAACAACTTTCCTAAAGTCACCGCATTCGTAAGCTTTATCAGAGGCTTCGAGATATGACAGTAATTTTTTAGCCTGTTCAAAATCAAATTTCAGCTGATCATTGTTTGGTGTTAATTGAGCAGCACGTTCTAATTGATTTATTGCAGCTTTTGGCTCCCCAAGACTTAAAAGACATTTTGCTGTGCGCACAAAGCCCTTAAAAAGCAATAATATCATGACTAAAATGCAAGTACTTTTATGTATTGTGATCATCACCTTGTAGAATTGGGGGTCTATTTGAGTTGACTGCCTAGCATCTTTAAGAGCTTCTGAGTGTTGGTTAAGCATCATAAGAACAGCCGCACGATTTCCATAATATGCTGCACAATTTGGGCACAAGGCTGTTAAGAATTAAACAATTTCCTAATCAGAGATAAATTAGAATTATTTCTACTGAGATTTTAAAAAATCTTTTTTTGTGAACTAACATTAACATATTATCAAATTAAATTACTTATAGCTTTGGAATAGCAATCTAATGCTAGGTCATATTGCTTTTCTTTATAGGCTGCATTTCCCTCTTCTTTCGTTTTTTCTGCAAGAACAGCTTTTCTACAAAAAAAACAATAGAAGGATATTATAAATAATTTTAAGGTAAATTTTTTTATTATCTTCTACTAATATCTTCTTGAAGAGAATACATAATGTTAATTATATGACACAGGAATTCGACATACACGTGCCTCTCCTCAATATGAACATCGAAAATTCTAGAAACATTGGCTATTCGAACTAAAAATGTTCATTATTTAGGTTTAATAAAAAATGTTTTAAACTAACTGTTCATCGGTAAGCTCGGAAACCTCCTTGTGCGCATCGACTTCCATTTGAGACTCCATTTGATTTCCTGGTTTTTCTAAAATTATACTTTCTTCTCCCATAGTCCGAGTAGTGATCGACCGTAATCAAGTTGAATCACAGACAGAGCTCTCGCCAATTCTCGTGTAACGTGATTAAGTAGACATAACCATCTTTTGCATTTCAAAAAGAAGGTTAAGTTCTTTTATGTGTCCACCATTTTGAAAATCTGAGATTGCAGAAAATTATTGGTAGCGTCTTAGGATTAATACTTAATTTTATCATTTTGTTTAAGGTAATACAAGTGTTGCCAGAACCATGGATGGTAAATCATATTTTGAAACTGTGAGAGGAACACAAACCATACTAACACTATATTTAAAACCAATGTGTTTCCCGTTTATTATCATTTGCGCATGTGTATAAGTAATTAGTTTGAAGGTTTCTACCTTATTAAATTTTCCTTAAGTAAATTATTTCAACCTATACAGTCTTTTAATAAAACAAAATGTTACAAAAAATGTTTCTTAAGAATTACCGTCAAGGATAAAGTTAGTAGAATCAGACTTGACAAAGCTTACTAATAAATATTTCAAGAATATTTATTAGTTAAATTTTTCTGTTTCTTTAATTATTTTTCAATATTGCTGTAAAGTTACTTTACGTTGGCGGTAAATGTTTTCTGGAACCGGAAGTCATAAACCGGAAACACTTCGCATATTCGTCAAACGGGACGAAAATTTTCAGCAGACTAAATCGCATAATTGTACTCAGTCTTAGGGATTCTCTACCGATATAAAGATCTCAGTCAAAGTCGAGTTCAATTTATTGGAATTTGTCATCCCTTGGCATATATTAGCGGATTTTCAATAAATAATCGTTTATTGTTTCTAAAATGCCTTGCTGGTACTACGATCGAAAAGACGTTCGACAGAATACCCCTTCCAGACTAAATGGAATAGATTCTGAAACAGAAACTCGGTATAGGAGAGAAGGTGCTAGATTTATTCTTGACACGGGAAATGCTTTGGGACTTCCGTATGATACATGTGCAACTGCTACAGTTTATTTTCATCGTTTTTATATGCTGCGGTCTTTTAGACAATTTGATCGTCATGTCATGGGAGCAACTTGCATTCTTTTAGCAGGAAAAGTTGAAGAAACGCCGAAAAAATGTAAGGATGTTATTCATAAGGCAAAAAAAGTTCTTGCCAGTACCCAATATGAATGTTTGCTAGGAGAAGACTCAAGAGAAGAACTAATGACTCTAGAGCAAATTCTTCTACAAACTCTAAAGTTTGATTTAAGTGTCAAACATCCTTACTCTTTTCTTATCAAATTTGCTAAACTTCTTAAGGCTGATAAAGCAAAAATTGAGAAAATGGTACAAATGTGTTGGACATTTATAAATGATTCTCTTTGTACAACACTTAGTGTTCAATGGGAGCCAGAAGTCATCGCTGTGAGTCTCATGTACTTAGCGTGTAGGTTAAGCAAGTTTACTATAACTGATTGGGCTGAAAAATCTTCTTCTGGACCCAAATCGAAATGGTGGAGCGCTCTAGTCCCTGATATGACCATGCCTTTAATGGAAGAAATATGCCATCAAGTCCTTGATTTGTATATGGCAAAGAATAAAGCCGAGGCACCATCACCACCTCCGCCGCCACCCCCAAGAAACGAACAGCCTCAGGGAACGCCTATTCCTTCTCTCGTTGCTAGTAGGCCACATTCTGTTGGACCATCATCTGTTACTTATCCTGCACCTTATTAGTTATTTTTTATATAGTTATTAGCTTGTTTTTACTTTAAATAAATTATTTGAAAACCAATAGATGGCGTAGTGTTAAAATAGTCACGTGATCAATATGGCAAAAGAGAACTTATGATGAGGAGAAAAATCAATGATTCGACAATGATATATTGAATTTTTATAAGAAATTCAAAACTAGAAGAAGGGAAAAGGTGATATGTCCTCTGTAAAGGTGGCCGTTCGCTGCCGACCCTTCAGCCAACGGTAAGAATGGATATTTTTCATTTTCCCTTGTTTATCCTATTAAAATTGATTTTGCACCGGCAGTGAAATAGAATTAAACTCAAAGTCAATAATCGAACAAGATGGACATACTACAACTATTATTAATAACAAAGTGAGTAAAAAAGAGAGAGTATTCTGAACTGCACAGCTCTAGGCCTATGCGTTCCACTTAAGGGATTCTGCATTATAGAAAGAGAATACACAAGATGTTAAATCGTTTATTTTTGTTAATTTTCTCGCAAACCTTGTAGATTCGGCCAAATTCCATTGAGGGAACATTGGGAAGAGAGCGATATAAAACCTTCACTTACGATTATTCATATAATTCATTTGACAAGCAAAATAGAAACTTTGCATCTCAAGAAAAAGTAAACTATATAGTCTTTATTTTATTGGCATTTACCTAGCAGATGAGGTTTTATTTTTACAGATTTTTAAAGATTTAGGTGAAGAAATAGTCGAATCGGCATGTCAAGGTTACAATGGTTGTGTGTTTTCTTATGGTCAAACGGGTTCGGGGAAAACTTTTACAATGACCGGATCATTAGAAAATGCAGGCCTAACTCCTCGAATGTGCCAAAAACTATTCAATATGCTAAGCGACGAGCAAAGTTCTTACAGAATCGAAATAAGGTCTGTAAGATGTTTTGCAGTTTTAATATTTAATATAAATATACTTACAGTTATTGCGAAATTTACAACGAAAAAGTTCGAGACCTACTGAGGGATTATGATTCAGATGCAAAGCCCCTGAGGGTTAGAGAACATCCAAAAGACGGGCCATACGTACAAGGCCTATCTAAACATAGTGTATTTACTTATGAAGCTGTTGAAGAATTTATCCGTAAGGGTAACGATCTAAGGTTAGTTCAATATTGAATTTATATATTTTCCTTATTATCTATTACGTCAACAATGCACAATAGAGCAACAGCTTCAACAGCTTTAAACGATGTAAGCAGCAGATCCCATGCAATTTTCACCATATCGTTTATACAAGTAAATACTATTTGCTCTTTCTGCGTTTTATTTTACCTTTCTTTGAACTATATATGAACTATTCAGGCCAAAATGGAAGATGATATACCAAGTGAGATTCATAGTAAACTTCACCTAGTTGATTTAGCTGGAAGGTTGGCAAATGTTGACAGTGTTGAACTATATTCTTAATACAAACGTTTTGTTTTTAGCGAGCGTGCTGATGTCTCTGGAACGAGTGGCCTGCGTTTAAAGGAAGGTGGAAGTATCAATAAATCTCTAGTTACTTTGGGAAACGTTATATCGACTTTAGGTAAAGATTTCTTAGACATAAATCCTAAGAGTAGGTCTACTTGACCGCTCCTAATAAAATTTAGTTAGTTGTTCATTAATTCTGATTGTTTACGTTTTGTTTGTTTATATAGCTGTGTTTTCTTGCTTTAATTTTAGCTGATTTATCTGATAAGTTTGCGAGTGTACGAAAGAATGTCTTCGTACCTTATCGTGATTCCGTCCTTACATGGTTACTAAAGGATAGTATAGGCGGAAATTCGAATACTGTAATGATTGCCAGTAAGTAATGGCGCTATTAAAAACAAATAACTATTATTAAGTAAACTTTAATTCATTACTAGCTATTTCACCTGCTGATTGCTGCTACGCTGAGAGTCTAAGTACTCTACGCTATGCTCACCGTGCTAAAAAGATCCTTAACCAACCAATAATTAATGAAGTATATTAATTCTAATTACTTGTTCGATTTTGCCCTCTTAATAGTTGGTACTTTTTATTTTAGGATCCAAACGTGCGCCTTATAAGAGAATTGAAGGAAGAGAATAATCGTTTAAGGGCTCTCTTGGCTCAAACTGGATCACCTGTAGATGTCCTGGAAAATCAGGTGAAAATTTTTCTTTTTTTTTCTTAATGATACTAATTAAAATTACTTTATAGGAACGACTCAACAGAAATGAAGCTAGAGTAAAAGTTTTGACCGAAAGGTGGGAAGGTCGTTGGAAAGAGGAAACATTTCGTATTCTTGATGAAACTGCTTTGGATTTGAAACGGTCAAAATGTGGTGGAATCAGAGTTGAATCTGAACAACCCCACTTTATTGGTTTAGATGATTGCGAAGGAACTGTACTTATTTTTCATTTATCTAAGAAACGAACAACCGTTGGAAGAGATGAAGGTCAACATAATGTTGATATAGGTTAGACATATATTTATGAATTTGGATAGCCAATTATTACAAATGCTTAATAAATTATTAAACAGCACTAAATGGTCCTGATATAGAGCAATTCCATTGCGATATTGAAATTCAAGATGACGGTCGAGTGACGTTATCGCCCAGAAACGGGGCAAAAGTTTTCATCAATAATCGAAGAGCTGTAAGCTGCGTGGCCGTTTGCCATGGTTGGATGAAATTTCCCTGCAAATTTATAGTGTTAATGATATCATTATTTTTTTCCCTAAAAGGATCAATCATTCAGTTTGGTCAACATATGTTTAGATTCAATAATCCAGCCGAGGCTCAAAAGGAGAATTGCAACGTAATTGACTTTTTCCAATATCATATAACTATTTAAAAGAATTAGTAAATTAAATTCATTCATTTTTCCATTTTTTTGTTTTCTTCCATTATTAGAATTCGAATGTTTTGATAAGTAGAAATTTTAGCTGGACTTCGTCTCCTTCAATTCCAGATTCAGGCTGCGAATCACAGTAAGTAAATATAAAACATTTATCTAGTTGCTCTTTTATGTACTGTCTAAATAATGATAAACAATATTGGATCGGTTATTTTCAGTTATATTTATTCGTTAACTGTAAATTCTAATCTTCTAGAATATCTAATTAATACTTTTCCCTTTTTAAAGAGTAGTAGAGATAACAATACTTTTATTATGTTTAATTGAGAATGTTATCTATAATTAAAGGAATCAGAGGATAATTTATCATAAAACAACAATTATCTTGAATAGCTTATTTATATGCATAAATTGTAATTAGCTATACATAAAAAAAGAATTCCTTTAATAATTGACATTGCGTTATTTAGTTTTTATAGCTCATTTTTGGGTAAAAACTGCATACTTTTTATTTTTAATTTGAATAAAAACCGTGAATAAAAGACACATTACGATACGACAAATAGGCACTTTGCCTAACAAATTAGGCTAATCTAACCGATGATTTCTAGCCATTTGTTAAATAAATCTTTAAATTTATTTGCAGAAACGACAACAATCGTTCGTTTTCTGCATCTAACCCTTGTTTAAGTGTACAAGATCTGGGAGATAGTGATGAACACCATATAAGATCCGAAGCGGATAGATTGTCGAAAATATTAGAGCAGGAAGCGCTCAAAGCTGAGATTGAAGAGGAAAAGAAGGAGCTTGTCAATTTAAGAGAGAGTGCCAAGAAAGCTAGAGAAGAAGTCAAACGTTTAAGCGCAAATGTAGAAGAAGAGGCTAGGAAAGCCTTAGAACATTCTGAAAACGTTATGATGAAACAAGAACAGACTTGGAAGAGGCTATCAGAAGAGAGGCAAAAACATGTTAGGGAGGCTAAACAGGAGCAAGTAAGATTATTAAATTATCAACCTTATGCGATAGACTTATTTTTATTTATATAAGAAAATAACAATTTCCTCTATTTAGACAAGATTAGAAAGAGAGCGTCGAATTGAGCACGAAATCTTTTCCCAAGAGATGAATGATATAAGAAATATGGTGGATCAAGAGATTACGGATATGCGAAATCTTATGGAGTTGGCAAGTATTACTGAGTCTGAAAGCTCAATGTTAAGTGAAGAGGAGATCAAAACGATTATGCTTCCCTTACAAGTGTCCAATAGGCCAAAACAATTAAACATTAATACGAAAACATTAGAGAAAGACGATAAAAAGGGCGATAAGAAAGAGGAATTAAGTCCTGATTCTTTAAATGGCCTAGATATTAGTACACCTAGCGATAATGATATAGCTACACCAAGCTCTTTAGGCAGTCTTACAGAATACAAGTAAAAAAAAATACCCAATTTACTATTTAAAGCTCGTTTTAATAATATTATTTTTTGTCAATTAGGTTAGATTTAGGTTCAGCCTTTGACGTCACTCCAGATGCTGAGGAGGAATGTCCTACTAAACGCAAATTATTTTCGGATTCCCTGGAAGGCCGAGAAGTAACAGTTGAGGTTCTGAGCTGTTTAGTTATTTTGCTATTAATATGGAAATAATCTTTACTGTTTTTATTTGAAAAGGTTATTGACGGCTACGATTGGTCTCTTCCTGATGAATATTTAAAGAAAACAGCTTCAATATGTTTATCAGACACAGAATCTGAATGTTACTTTTCCACGTAAGTTTTATATGAAATTAATTTTATGTTAGCTTATATTTTTTATACTTTTCTTTATAGGAAAGAATATTTATCGGAAGAAGAGGATCTGGATGATGATATGACAACATGCTTAACAGAGAGTGTTGTTTCCGGAAAGGCTTTTCATTTGGCAGAAAAAGTAACAGAATTACATAACGCGATTTGCTCAGCGATTCAAAGGAAATATGGCTCTGTGTTATCGGACGATGGAATGGAACTATTTCAGAACATCATACCTAATTTATTCTCAATAGTGAGACCATTGTTTGAAGAATTAGAGAGACAATGCGAAAGAGAACCGGATTCTTGCCTCGAATCTCAATTATCGACTCACGATCAAACTTTATCGACTTTAGATTCTATACTACAAACTCATGAATCGGTTTGTCAATTGGATACAGCTATTTCTAGCAATAATTGGTCGTTTGCTTACGATAAATTAAATGAATCGAGGAAATATCTAGGAGAAATCGAAGTAAATTCTGAGATTGAAGTTGCCTCAAAAAAACTTTTGCAAACTGAAGCTTGCGTTCTTCGGGAAAAACTTTTTTATAATCTAAGTGAAAAATGGGACGAATATTTTCGTTTTAAAATCCCTTTAAATCCAAAAGTATTTAAACGACAAACAAAAAACACATCGCTCCATATAAAAAAAACCACTCCTGATTGTATAGCTCACTGCATTGAAACAATGCATAAGTGTAATCTTCTCAAAAAGAGACTAAAAACATTTAGCGACAAACTACTTAACTATTTTATAAAATCCATTGTATCAGATTCATCAGTGAAGGTTGTTGTTGAAGATGAACCAAGTGCTATGGTTTTGAGATTATCATCAATCGGTCATCGGTCATCATCTGCTCCTAATGCTTGGAGTGTTCTAGAAAGTTTACAAACAGTTTTTTTCTTTCTTCATAGACCTTTTAGAGGGTGCTCTATCGGTCAAGAACCTTTAACTCAGGCCTTTGGAGATAATATTTGTCCTTTAATGTTTGAAGAGTTGTTTAATAATTGCCTTAGACATTTAATGCCAGAAAAAACTTGCGATTGGGCTACTTTTGATCAAATAGTATCGGAAGCGGAAAAATTTCAAAACACTCTGAATGTTTTAGGTTTTTTAAAGTTAAATAACGAAGAGAGAGGAAAGAAAAATTTGTTAGATTATTTTAATAATGTTTCGTCGTTATTCGTTCAAGCCCGAAGTCAGGAAGTTTTAAGAAAAGTTCATCAATTACTTGCTCAGGATATGAAAAAAACGGTTCAGGTTACCGCTGAACAGCCACTCGGAAAGGATTTCTCCTGTTTCGACGATCTAACTCTAATTGAAAGTACAATTAAACCCAAAAGTCAAATTCGAAGACCACATAGCTTTGTTGAAGGATGGAAAGGGCCAGAGGAACCGTGGAAGCTCACTAAACCAACGAAGGACCTCGAAGTTTTTGTCAGTGAAAATAAAAGAAGAGTTGCACATGCCTTAAAGCTCCCAAAGTGTCACGTTAGCATAGCTATCAGACATATAGTGATCTTATCTTATAGCATACTAAAACAAGCTGACGAGAATAGTAGGGATGGAGCTACAAATTTAGCTGTAACGATACGTCATCTGGCGGAGAGTGTTTGCGATTTTTTGCCTAAAAATTTTATTGTATCCGACGCTTACCTGGCGGCGTTGCATAATAATAATTGTATGTATTTCGCTCATCATCTATTGATTATGGACGCTGTATTATTAAAAAGAATGAAACAATATAACGGTATGGCGGACGTAATCAGCCGGATTCGAAAGTTGGGAAATCAATTTTTTGCCGATTACATAGAATACGAAAAAGGAATATTAACAACTTGTTTAATGGAAGCAAAGGGTTTTGTTTGCGCTGCCGACGATGATGAACGTATTAGTAAATCTCTTTCAAATACTCACCTGAGATTACATAACGTCTCAACAGTTTGGCGCGATAGTTTACCGATAAATACTTTCTTTAGAGGTCTAGGATCGTTAGTTCAATTTGTTGTTCTGCACATAACTACTTGTTTGTTAACAATTACGGAATATTCGTTACAAGACTGCTCGACACTAACTATAAAGCTTTGTTCCTTCTTACAAACTTGCCCTCAGCTGTTTTTTATCGAAGAGGCTTCGAATGCTGTCGAAGTCGTTTGCCACGATCACGTTTCCAGCTGGTTGCGTCTGAATGAAATTGTTAGGTTGTTGGACGCCAAGTTGGCAGATATCGAGGACAGATGGGCTTCTGGTAAAGGCCCGTTAGCGTTACACTTGAATGCAAACGAAGTAAGACAGCTGGTAGAGGCCATGTTTGAAGAAAGTCCTAAAAGGCGAGCTTTACTGAAGAATCTTACTTAAATGGAGGAGAAAAGAACAAATTTATTTTGAAATCGTTTTATTGTTTATTTTCTATATATTTTATTTATTCGATTAATGTCTCAATCCACCTCTTTTATTTTTTTGTAGCTTTATTACAAAAGTATCCTAATTTGTTTTTGGTTATGTTTGTTACAGTTAACTTAACTCCTTCACGGTTAATGCATTTTAGCGACGAGCGTGTTCTTTAATTTATTTATTGACTATGTTGACATTAAATTGATTGACATCCAAGTTAAACGTAATTTATTTAATCAAATTGATGATATGCACAATATCGTTGTATAGGTAAAGAGTTAACAAGGAGAGAATAACAAAAACAAAAATATAGAGAACGGGGATGGAGGAGGAATAGAGATAAAGATAGAGATAGTTATATTTAAGTATGGGAAAATAGGTATAAACTGTATAGATACTGTCTCTCTTTCTTACGCTTTTTTCGTTCGACATCAATAATTAACGAATACGGCAGGTAGTCTTGTTCAAAGTCTACAATTAGTAAATAGACACGTGCGTCTCATCTCATTGAGAATCGATCATCGATTGTGATGAAAGGAAAAATACCATTCATTGAGTATCGGGAGCCGATTTCGTTCTAAATAATGACGTTTTTTCGATAATTTTTGGTAATGGCATTTTATCTCGGAAAGGGGACAAACTGGGAGATTCTGTTGGAAGAGGCCTCTCCCTAGGTGAATCAATTCTTATTGCCCCTAGATTTCTTCGAGATCTTATTGATTGAGAAGCATGCTCGTTTTCCGGGGAAGTAGGTCTAAAAAAAGGTTTTTTTATTGTTATATCTGTTAATACAACGTCTGGTATAGGCGTCTTTGATAAAGGTAACGTTGGAGAAATTGATGTATCACCACCTATTGGATCAAGTTTCTTATTCGGATGACGCCTTGGTCCACCTTGGGTTTGCTTTAATTTTCGTAGAGATTCCAACCTAGCCTCTTCCGTCGCTGAATTTTTAGAATCAGAATTCGCCCGAGCTCTTTGCCGATCGAGAACATTCGATTGAACTTGCGTATAGAACGTCTCGGAACTCACCTGAGTAGCAGATATATCAAAGGAAACAAAATTAGGCATAGGAGAGGACGTTTGATTACTCCTTGGAGTCAATTTTTCTTCTTCAAGCTCTTCGTCCGGATTCAAGAGAATTGTTTCTAAATCCTCTTCATCTTGATCATCGCAACTTTTTATCCGGCGTCTAAAATGATTTCTATAAGCGGATGCTGGACGTTCTAATCTCGGATTTTGAGCTGCCTCGTTCATGGATAACATCGTATAGCGCACTGCAAAACCTAGTTCAATATACTCTCATAGTAGACGCGTACCTACTGTTCACTAATGGGTTTTTATGTTATTTCTATTCTTAAATGTACATGGTAATTCACTTGTATAAATCAATGGCTTTTGGATTAATTGTGATTGGATGAATAGGTTATCAGTCAACTAACAGAAGCCGTTCCTGTCGAATAACAAATTGGACTCCAAAACTCTATCCTCTTCAGCTAATCGATCAAATAAGGGTATGCATTATGTAGAAAGCACTGCCCTTCATCGAATAATCAGTCTCTTTGTTGGCGTTTCGAGATATCTTATAACGCCCTTAACTATAGTGCTTTTTAATGTTTATTAATATTAGTTAAATTAATGTTTGAATAGGATCGAAATAGGGTTATCGATTGCAACAGCGATGAGAATTTCTTTCCCCATTGTTGATCTGCAAAACAGACCACCATGTTAAGATAAAAGCAAGAGTAACATGTAAATAGTAAACAAAGCAACAGTTGTTAAGGCCCTTTGCCTTATTTATCCAGTGCTCATTGGTCAACCATGTATAAATATACTTCTTCATGAATATGCATACAATTAACTTATATTTACATTCTTTCTTATTTACATTGTGTGTTTGTGTATATATATTTGTATAAACATAGTTATTGAATTAAATTAATTTTAAAACCTTTAGGAGAGCCTTTTCATGAAGATCATACATTGTTATTACACTGTATACTAAACAATATCTTAAAGTTATTCTATGTAACAACTGCAACAAACTATCTATTTCCATGGGAACTTTATAAACAAAACGATTTATCTACCTAAAACATTTTTTACTAATTATTCTAAGACATTAATTATTCAAATAAAAAAAAAGTAGAGAAAGAGAGAGAGAGAGAGAGAGAATGTGTGTGTGTGTGTGTTGTGAAAGAAAGAAAGAATAAATGAATGAATGAAAAGACCAATTATCCACTTTTACACAAGTTTTTATTCTTTATAGACTTCACCAATAAAAGTGCATCTTCAACTTCTTTATTAGGCCTACGAAATTTCGATTTTAGAAGTATTTCTAAAACTTCCTGTTTATCTTTCTTTGGTTTCTTTAAACGAGCAAACATTATTAGGGAACCATAAACGATTATTGAAAAAAGTAAAGGAGTGCATAGGCCTATTAAAATTTTAATCCAATTTTTTAGAGTAGGTTGACTAGTTGTAAAAGGAAACGTTGCGAAAAAGTCAGTTTGAAAATTAATGTTTTGTATTGACACTCTGAACCCGATTGGCCTTCTCCTAATGATCGGATCTCTCACTAAAATTCTATTAGGATATTCAATAAGGCAATGGGAGAGATCGAATGATGCTGTAGATTCTGTAAAAGTTGAATTTGGACAGAGTTTACATAATTGTTGACCTTGATAGTCTTGGTATGTATTTAAAGGGCACTCTAGGCATCGATTTCTACCTTTCTCATGTTTATAATATCCTGGCTGACAGCCTATACATAAGAGCATATATTCGTCGGGTTCATAACCCTTATCACAATCGTATTCAATAGATAATGGAGACTTTATAACACCATTTTGACCATATTTATTATAGAATTTAGACTCATAGGAAGAATTTGATAATTCAGTAAAATTGTACAAATTCAATCTCAGATTACCAAACAAACTGCAAACTATGCAATAACGTACTGCAAATATCCATTCCAGGTTGGTCCATGAAAAATTGGCAAATGGATATTCCATCTTGACGGATGCGTCGTAACGAAGTATTCTTAGAAGATGTCTAATGTATACGTTATAATCGTGATCTTCATCTGTCCTTTCATATCTATAATAGTTTTGCAGCGTGGAGTACGCCTTCCACATACAGTCCATAGTATTAAATATAATTGATCCCTTATCCGGTTTTGATACAACGGATATTCTTTGAAGTTTCCTGTAGTATGTATTATCGCCTATATTTGGCCGATATAGATTTCCGGTCAAATTGTAATAGTCCTCACCGAACAGAAAGAATGTTTTAAAAGTTTTAGGATAACAATACTGTACATTAGGTTTTGTCGGGTGATTAATTAGTCTACAATTAACAATATCATCAGGCCAACGTCGATTCAACAGCACTTCACCGTAATCTTGACCGCATTCCTTATGAATATTTAATTTAGATGGTGAGCCTATATTGTTTTTAATATATTCCGTCATATGTCTAGCGATATCCCAAGGGTATCTATCGAAGCAGGAATGAGTTAATAAGCCATAAGTTACCTTAAATCTAATAGTATTTAGATCTATCAACAGTATTAGATGATTGAACTCGTATGATTTACCCTTCATTACGGCTGAACAAGTGTAAATACCTGCGTCAGAAGCGTCATTAATCGTTAAATCTAATGAACGCTTGTTGCTATTTAAAGGTACTTTTGACGCTTTAAACCATTTTATAAAATTAGGTAGCAAATTTCTTCTTTTCAAGAATTCAGGTAAACAAGACACTTTTACAGTTTGTCCAATGGTACCGTAAACTTGGGAGACTTCGATTTGTTTGTACATACATTGATTCTTGTTAATTGCTCCAAAAGTGTTTGTTATTAAGTTTTTAGGGCAGGGAATACAGCGTAACAAACCGCTAGAAGATGAATATTCCCCAGGTGCGCAGGGGAAACAGTCACGTTTTTCTTTATCATAGTAACTTCCCGGCTTACAAGAAATACAACGATTTTCGTTGCTATCGTAATAGAACAACTGGGGACAAGAGAATATATCAATCTTCTCATTTTCATCCATTAGAACAAAGCTTTTCGAATTTTTCCACGTACTTCTTAATTTATTTATCAAACTCTCAACCTTTGACCTTAGTAGGCATAGTTTTATTGTAAATATAAATAATAATTTCCATTTGCGAACGCGTCTATAACTTTTAATTATTTCATTAATGTTATAATTATTTCTCCAGCAAATAGCCGTTATTTGTGACATTTTGCATAGGTGACGCCTCGTTAATAAACGTCTAATTTTACTCTTTAGATTTTCTCTTATAAGAGGATTACAAACTTTAGTCATAATCTTTAATCTTAATAACGACTGCTTTAGGCCTAATAAACTTTTACCAAACTGAACTTGTAATTCACTGAAAACTTTATACGTAAACCTTCCATTAACGTTCCCCTTCCGGTTCATACAATTAAAAATTATGGAACAAATAAAAGTTCCGTCATGCTTCGCTTCTGCCTTTTTTATCATTAAATTACCATTTTTCTTCCATTTTGAGTAAATTATCGATTGATCTTCGTTTTTTTTCGTCCATTCGACGCTTGATAAAACGCTATTTAACTTCCACGAAGAGGATAAATCAATTTGGCATTGGTTATATTCACTTTTTAAAAGTTTTATATCCTTTATGCAAGGTTCATTTATTTCGTTGCCTAAATTCACTTGAACAATTCTTAACGAATCAACAAAATCTTTGATTAATTTTAAATTACAGCAAATATGCAAATTATTATGCAAATTAATAAGAAAAAATATATTAGCATAAGAATTCATCAGTTTGTTTTTTTTTGTGTTCTTTTTGTTTTATGCTATTTTTTTAAAAAAAACAAACAAACAAATAAATAAACAAAGTTTGTCAATGTTTTGTTCTGTCTATATATTTCTTTCAATTAGCTCTTCTTCTTCGGTATCTTCATCCGTTGTATAGTTCAATAAAGGATCTTCAGTTTCAACTCGACTATAGCTAACATCTTTTAGAAGGCGTCTCTTACTTCTCTCTTTCCTTGGTAGTGGAGCTAGTCTTGGTATATTAGCCAGATTCTTAAGAAAGAAAAATATTCCAACGAATAGGGCCACACCAGCGACAGTAGAGAAACAAATTATGAATATAGCACCGTTTGATAACTTTAATTCATTCCTTACGTCTCCATTTGAGAAGACTAAGTCAGCTTTCCATAAATCTGACAATATAGCTGTTTCATTCTTTGCGTTATGACCACGACCCCCGTAAAGGTATAGTTTATTATCATACGTCCAAAAAGTAGGTGCATAACGGGGGCCAGGTAGATATTCAATAGATGATTTACCTTTAGGACCGTATAAAGCGTGCCTTTCGCCTTCTTTGAAACCACCAATAAATGTCCATAAATTACTTGTAGCATTGAATCTCCATATATCACTTAAAAGTTTATCTCTCTTAAAGAGAATGTTATTCTTTTCATCGTCTAAACCTTCTCCGCCAAACATCCATAAACTTCCATTTAAATCAGTCCAAGTAGCGGCTAACTTCCTAGCTCCTGGAAAATTTAATTTACTCTCCTTACCAAATTCACCAATACTACTTCTTCCAGTATGACCTCTAGAATTCGATATATTCTTCCATTTTTCATCGACTTTACAGAATTTCCACATTTCATTTGTTAAGCCTATTCCTAAATTTCTACTCCTGTCAATATTATCTTGAGAATTGCCGCTAAACATATATAAACATTGATCCTTTCCCTCCCATGATGCGGAACCATGACGTTTACCAGGTATATGATTATTATTGACTTTATTCCATTGAAGTTTTAATAAATTAAATATCCAAAAATCATCAAGAACAATATTATTCTCGGTTATTCCTCCATACATATACATTTGAGCATTTGTACACCATGTTACTGCTTCGGATCTACTTGAAGGCCTATTTGCTGATTTTATCTCTAACCAATCATTCTCCGATACATTGAAAATCCATGTATCATTTAGAAATTGATTTTTATTTTCACCGCCAAATATTACCATTGTCTTATCGGTTGTACCGCAGCTAGAATGAAAACGACGTTCCTGTGGAGCTTTCTCCCCGTTTTCAACCCTCTTTATTAACTTCCAAGAACTAGTTTTTGGATAGAATGCCCAAAGATCGTTCGATGATTTAGACGTCGATGTTCTTCCACCGAAAAGAAGAATCTATAGGGATTTTGAACTTATGTTATCAAGCAGATTTTGTTACATCGAAAAAAATTAAGGAATGGCTTATACCCTTTCGGTATTTTTATCCCAGAATACATTTGAACCAAACCTGGATCCAGGATAATCCGATGTTGGAGAATCACCGCCGTCCTTTGACCCATTTAACCATGCCCATGCTGTTGCAATCCAAAACAAATAACAAAAGCGTCTAATAAGAGACGTCACAAAAATTTTTCAAAATTTTTTTCTACTTACAAACAACTCCTTTATAATTTGCACTTAATAATTTTCTATCATCTTTATCGTGTGCCAAAATAGGAAAAATAAGAATGTAGAACGGAATAAAATTCATTGCTGTTTTCCTTAATTAACATTGTATTGTAGATGCAGGGATGCTGCACCTACATCACTTCCTGCGCGCCAGAATTCAAAATCACACATCTGCAGGTAATAAAATACTAGCCAACAGTCGTACAATTAGTTAGTATTTTCATAGTACATAGTCTTTTAGTTTCCAACGTAAATAGGTTTACCAGAACATTTATAAATATGCTGAATGATTAACGACTTTGTATGAAGTGTATGACTGTGTTCTCAGCATTAGCCATTATACCTGAGGGTCGAGTATTCACTCTATTCTCTTTACTACACTTAGACGTCTTTTGCCTAAAATTTTAATTAATTCATTCTTATAATAGTTCGCAGCTTATAATATAATCTCGCTATATTGCTTTTATATATATATATGATGAGATATTTGTATCAATGATAAATAAAGGAGTAATGGTGAACGCTTTACAGATAGTATGTATGTATATTAGTTACAAACTGTAACTTAAATATATAAATAGAAATAGGTTTATTAAGCTTGTCATGTTTACGGGAGGTAACAACAACAATAGAAAGTAATTTTGCACTCTCCTGACGTAATTTGTGCATTAAGGCACGGAAAATTCAGCAGGTAATTCTAATTATAATATCGATTGCGAATACTTTTTTTTTGTCGATGTAAAAATGTTTTTATAATATATTTACTCTTCTTTCATTTCTTTTAGATTATTGTTGTTTTACAACTGGTAAAAGTTATAAATAATGGAATTTTATAGTCTAATATAGAATAAAACCTTTATGGAAAGAGACACACGCGAGATATTGCGAATTAATAACTTGGATTTAGAGATATAGTTATTATTATTTTTAAAAAAAAACTAGTCTCATTTCCTATAAACTTACAAAACCAACAGGAAGTCTGACTAAAATGGCTTTATTAAGGCGAATTGGTCGAGAGAGATCGTTTCTCCTTCCCCCTCTTTCCTCATTAACAGTAAATACCCACTTTGTAAGGTAATTTTATGACTGCTTTCTTCTCAAAATGCAATGCTTATCTCTCTTTAATATCCTCTTCTCTAGAGGGGACTTGTTATTCTCTCTGCCTTTTAGCTATAGAACATTTCCACTCGTACTATATGCTCTCTTTATACCGTGCAGTTCTTTATTAGTAGTACCTCAAACCCAAATGGCAATTGATTGATGTTGAAAAGTAATGAATTATAAGTAATACTAAATATTTTAGGTAAATAGAATATAGATTATATATATATAATGAACAGGACGAAACAAGACTTCCTCAACATTAGCATAAACGTTACTCTGTTAGTTTATCTGCTTTTTCATTAACAACGACGAGTTGTGCTCCCTGGTCAGTTTGAACGACTCTTCCTAGTAGATATGAGGAATTTTGGTCAACAATGTCATTTGGTGACGAGGATAACATGGGCTGGTTTTGATTCAAAACTTCGTCAAACGATGGTCTATGTATTGTAACAGTTGCCCCTCCATCCTGATCGTATGAAACAGTTGGCCTTCCGACTATATCTTGCACTAGTGTCGAAGATTTCATAGAATTTATTTCGGCTGTTTTGGCTACAGCTATAGCACAGTCACTTTTTGAATGTAATAAATGGTACTTAAGGCCAGTCTCCGAGAATCCTTTCTTGCATCTTGTGCAAACAAAAGCGTGTTTACCCGTATGAGTCAGTAAATGTCTTTTAAGTAGAGAATCTTTATAGAACCCTTTGCCGCAATAATTGCACGTTTTGCTTGGTTGCTCGGTATGACTACGAATATGATATTTAAAGTGATTTGGATCCTTAAATCGCTTATTACAAAATTCACAAGAAAAAGGCTCTTCTCTCGTATGCTTTCGGGCGTGAACTTCTAAGTAATTTTTATCGCTGAATAAGCTTCCACATAGATCGCAAGGATATTTCTTGTTTAATCCGCTATGAGTAGCCTTGTGCCGAATGAGCTCCGCACGTCTTTTAAATGATTTCGAGCATAATGAGCAATTGTGGACGTATGAGATGTGTGCTTTGCAAAGAGACTCGTTCGCAAATTTCGCCGGACAAACAGAACAAGAAAACTGTAAATCGTCCTCTCTTCCTAACTTCTCCAGAAAAAATACTGTCTTCGAAAAATCACTTTCTTCTCCTTTATGACATTCATCGTAATGAGAGTTCAGTCGATGGACTCTGTTCAAGATAAAGAATAATTCAAAATATTCATTAAACTATGAGCTTTAATTTTTCTTCCTTTAAAATGAAAAATCATTCAACTTACTTGAATAAGGTTTTTCTACAGATTTCACAAAAAACGGCTCTCGATAAGGAAACTTCCATGCTTACCACTTCCGAATATAAATGCTCAGAAATTGTTCCAATTTCTAAAATGTTCCCTTCAACTTCCGTATCTAAATATTTAACATTTGCTTTCGGGGCGTCATAAGACTCCAGTTTATCAGCTTTCACATCTAATTTAGACGATTGAATGAATAATTCATTACCATCTTCCGTTTTAACAATAACACATTCCTTTTGAACAACATCATTAAATTGACTCTCAAGATCAGCGAAATACTTTTTAACGAATCCCGGAGCTATTTTAATTCTATATAGCGTTTTTTCACTAATTAATTCGATGACATTGAATTCCTCTACTTCCTCGGTTGCTTCCGTCTTGGACTTTTTAGCTTCTACAATTTGTTTTCTTCTATTTCTATACGTTCTATCATACTTCATTCTAAAAATGGATAATTAACCTTGTTTAGCATTGAAAAGATAAATCAAATAATTGAAATTTACTTATTTTGAATTTTCTTCATTTCCTTCTCTGAAATGTTTTTCATTCTTTCCAATTTAGCCCTTCTTCTAGCCAAAGTAGCCAATTTCTTCCGCCCACTAGCGCATTCTTTTTGATTGAAATGTTTATCCAGAGCAAATTGTTTCATAAACTTTAAACCGCAGTCTTTACACTCGTATGGCATATCATCAGGATGATAAAGTCTCATGTGATCAATATAGAAATTAGGTCGACTAAAATTTTCGGAGCAAAATTGGCACTTGTACGGTTGATCACCATTATGCCTCCTCTCGTGATAATCTAGAGTAGATTTATGTCGAAAAGAGCTGTCACAGTGTGAACATTTAAAGGGCTTGTTTTCTGAAAAATATAATGAATTTCTTTTTTATATTAAGCAGACGATATTAAAATCTTGCTATTTTTGCTAAATTACATTTTACTTTTACTACTGTTAATTAAAAATAGAATAAAAACCAATGAATGTAATGTTTGTATTATAAGTGTACTTAACAAACCTGTATGTATAACCATGTGGGCTGTTAAACGAGCTTCCGTAGCAAAATACTTCTTGCAAATTTCACAAATAAATGCAGGATTAACTCCACATTCTCCTAAGTGAACATTCACATTAGAATGGTTCCTTAAAAGGACTCCACACGAACAGCCGAATTTAGGGCCATTTAGGCAATAAATTACGTGGGTAAAGGCAATAGTTTGTTTATGAAATATTTCCGTGCAGTTTAAACATTTGTAGACAGAATTCTTTAATTTTTGAATGAACTTTGTGTAAGCTGATCGCTTCGTTCGAACTTTCTTTGATTTCCAAAGATTCGTTACTTGATGATTGGGATCAGAGGACCACTCGTGAATAATTTCTTTCCTAAATCTCTTCCCGTCCTCATTATCGTCGCTGGCAAGATGCATATCTTCTTCCTCTTCAACGACAACTATATCAATCATATCCCGAGAATCTTCTTCCATATCAATTAAATCTCCTTCTTGTACTATAACAGAACTTGTCGAGAGCGTTTCAATATCAGCACTATCTTTGGATTTTTGATACATATTTGCAATATTCTCCCTAGCTTTATATGCATCTTTAATTTGAGTAAAGCATATTTCGCATACTTTATTAGATGAGTGATGGGTTCCCGGTGGGAGATTGAGTATTTCTTCCAGGCATTTGCAAGCCTCTAGCTTTTCACCATTTGTATCATATAAGGGTACAACATTCTCTGGATAGGAAAAAGACCGTTTCAAGATATTTACACAAGACAGTATTTAATATTTACGATTTTCTTCCAGCCTATTTGAACAAACTGCACATAAATCTTCCATCTCTTCGAAGTTCGCCCTATTAAAACCATTTCAAAAAGGAAATTAATCGGTCATAATAAATGTGAAGAGACTATAATACATTAATTAGTTGACATAATGGCTTACGAGATCTTATATTTTTTAGATATGGAAAGTTTCCACAAAGATTTTCAAAATTGAGATTGATTTGTATCATACTTGGGAAAATTACAATTTCAAAGCAAGGTAACAAAGCGCGCTTTGTACGCCTCTGCTAAATATCTTTATGCTGTAATAAAGTGTTTTTACGAGAAAATCCTCAAAATTAAAAAAAAATTCAACGTATAATTTTAAGAATATTTCTAAGCAAATTTTTAATCAAACTACAATCGTTTTATAAATTAAACTTACATTTTTCAGACAGGACTTCACATAAACAAAATGGCTTCCATCTTTCTAACCTTGTCCTTCCTCTCACGTACTTCCTGTTATATACTGCCTCTTACAAAATTATCGAAAGGGTATAGCTAACAACAGGTTTTAATTGTTTTGGACGTAGAGTTCTTAGAGGTACCTAAGATACAACTCTCCTTCAAATATATTGAAAATATTTAGTACTCGTCCTCAAATACTAATAAGAAAGCTGTGTGAAAAGCTTCTTAATTAATCTAAAAAAATCCTGCAAAATTATTACCAAACTCAATATTTATCAAATTTAAAAGGAATCCGCCCCATTTTTCGTCTCTGTATAAAGTTTCTCAAATGTCGAGTGGTAAGAAGCTTGTAAGATCCAAAAGCGGACTAAAAATAGTGGAACAAAATGAAGAAAATATCAGTCCGTTCCATTTGAAAGAACCAGAATGGGTACCGGACAATGAAGTGAGATAACAATTATTTATTGTATTTTCGCTCGAATTAAGCCCACCAATATATTTTTTTTGTGATAAAACAGTGCGTAAAATGTATGGATTGTCAATCACTGTTTACTACATTTAAACGAAGGGTAATTACTATTACTTGTTGCAATATTTTAAGAAACTACTATATATTTTTTCTATTAATATAAAAAATAGCATCATTGCCGAAGATGTGGACGATGTTTCTGCAATTCTTGCACGAATGTAAAGGAACCTTTACCCAGAATGTGTTTTATTGATCCTGTGAGATTATGCAATGTTTGTGGCATGAAAACACAAAAAGAAAACATTTTTTATAATACCCACTTGAAATTTTTAATGGAAGGTTAATATATTTTTTGACATCATATGTATTTTAATATTAGATTATATTTTATAAATTGCCATAATGCAGGGGCCAGCTTTTACGTTTCCTATACATCCTCAACACCTTCTGACAATCGGGATAACGAACAAGTTTGCCGCCTTTCAAATGATCAAAAGTATATTCGGATCGAATCTAACAATAGCAATGCAGACGAAATGATCAATTTATCACTTATTGATAATGTTCAGATTTTAACTTGTGGAACTGATTCTTCAGGTAATAGTTTCTATGCTCACCCAAATAAAATTCCAGATTAATAATTACTGTTGAGAGTCATTGAATGTTATCTACTCTTATTTACATCTCTACTTACAGGCAGTACGACAGCGAATGGTTTGGCAATAAACTATAAAGAAGCTGATAATTCTTTAAGATTTGTTAAGCTAATTATTTGCGAAAACGATAAGAAGGCTTCTCTAAATTGGGTAACAGCAATGATAAAGGTCCCAAGCGTATACAAAAAAGAAATCGTTATATATTATTATTTCTTTCTCTTTCTTTATTATAGGCTTTTAAGTTGATGTTTGAAAGTCGTGAAAGTGGATGCATTCCAAGTCCGGCTACCCCAACAACACCAACTTCGTTGAAAGTGCTTGTACAGTGAACTATAAATTGCCAACATTTTACAATAAGGCATTAAGGGTTGGCATTAAAGGAAAACCTTTACTGTGCCGGTTACACCTATTCCTATTTGTATTACCATAATTCTATTCTGTTTCTCCTCTTGATCTGACTCATTTTTTTATCCATTTCTACACATATATATATATATATATATATATACTGTATATTCCATATATTTACTTGCTTATTACTTTTCGCTATTGTTAAAAAAATAGTATTTTTTTACAACACACAATTCTCACAATGGTTCGGGTTTATAAATAAAATGCAGAATATCTACTGCTAAAGGAATATAATATAATCAATTTTCCTATTTTTTTCAATTAGGGGAAATGACGTAAGAATTTACTCGATGATTTTTTTCAAAATGAGCAATCAATATCTCAACGATTCGCTTGACTAGACTCTTGATGCTTTTGATGATAGCTTTGAGAAAGAGATGTTATAGATAAAATAAGAATAGAATGCAATACTTCGTTAAAACTATGTAGACAAGACTGTTTGTACATATTTAAAAAAAAATTTATTTTATCATATCTTCTTTATCTGACAAATCTAATCAACATTCTTTCTTGATATAAACCTCGCACCAAAGCTTCTAAAATGCAAACTCTCTCAATAGAAAAAGTCGATTAGATAATTAGTAACAATGAAGATCAGACTTAATTTGACTTGTTAATGGACTCTTTTGTAACATATTTTTGGATTATATATTCGTTGTTATGAAAACACGTAATTAATTACATATTAACAAACTTTAAATGAAACACAGAATATTTCTTGTTGATTAGATTTAACATTGAAATGACCTACAATTACTACTCACGTATCCCTATAATTATTGGCTAGCTTATAATGAAATTACCAATATAACTTGTAATATATACAAATTATACACTATAGTTTTATAACATTATTTGCATATAATATTAATTTAACCATAGAACTTGTTTAAATTGAATTATTCTATTTATTTATAACGCTTTTCAAAGCTAAAAGTATATCTCTGCCAAATTGATGACATAGGCTTATAGGTGGCGTCGTCTGCTAATTGTCTACTTATAAAAACTAGAATCGAAAAGTTAATTGTTGACTGTATAACCTATTTCGTATTTTTCGAGTAGACGTGCAAAATCTCAGTAAGATAACGACATTATCGGCCATCTAATCAAAAGGTTAGATATCTGCTTAACAATACCAGACGTAAGACTTTCTCTCTTCAAGCAAAATATTTACTCAATTTCATAGGTGAAAAAAAAACATGTCGGAAAATGTAGTCATCTGTGTTGATGCTAGTGAACAAGCTGCTGATGCATTTGCGTGTAAGTCTATTTATTATTTGATGAAGTTATTCGAGTTGAAAATGTGTTGAAATCACTAATGTTTATTTTTGTTTAAAGGGTACGTGAACCATATCCACAGGGCAGGGAATAACATATTCCTATTACACGCACCAGAGATCGAAAGCTTGGCCATGTCAAGTAAGGTTTCCTCTTTTAGTTTTATTCACTTTTAACTCTTATCTCTTCCAATTTTTTACTGTGCTACTCATCGAAAATATATATATAAAACGTGGACAGAGAAATAGGAACATTTAAAGAGCAGAGATAATTCTCAATTTTCACATAAAGTTATCTAAACAGGTGCTGGTAGTATGAGCTTTTCCCCTGGAGTTTGGCAAAATTTGTACCAGAAGGAAAATGCTGCCTCAAAACAACTAGAACACGACTACAGTCAACGTTTAAAAGAGGCTGGACTTCCAGGAAAATGGGTAACAGTTAACCATGGTGGTAAACCAGCAGAAGCAATCGTAAAGGCTGCGCAAGAAGTCGAAGCTACTTTGCTTGTCATGGGAACCAGGGGAATGGGAACGGTTCGAAGAACCATTTTCGGTTCGGTTAGCGATTATGTTCTGCATCACGCTCATTGTCCTGTTGCTGTTTACAGACATTAGAATAAACGTTGTAGATTACAAAAGAAAAAAAAAGTTGCTTTTTTGTATAGAACTTATTCAACTATATTAAGTAACGTCGAAAAACGATAAATAGGTGTCTCTGTAGTCGCTATTGATCTCTCGCCGTCTTTTTTTTCTTCAAAGCGTCTCTGGAAATGTCGGTGAGCGAACCGTGTGGACCTATTTGCCTGGCAATTGATGCTAGTGAACAGGCGGAAGAAGCCTTTAATTGTGAGTATATTGGAACTGTATTAAAGGAAACTCCGGATCAAGTAGAGCTACTTAGTAGCTTATTTATCTTATTGAATAACAAAAAATGGTGTATACCGCGAAATCCGCGTGACGTTTGATAAATATCAATCTTTATACGACCGTTGCGGGAATTTCTTCCCTTTCATTTTAAGCCTGATAAAGAAGGAAGGAGTAGAAAAAAGAGGGTCACGCTAAAAAAATCTTAGGTCGAGTGGAGCAAAGGAAATTTTTCCTTGTAGTTTAGCTTTGTAAAAATCCCGTTACTACAATCTATAGAATAGCAATGATCTTAAGACGTACCCGAACGAGCAAGTATTGTTCCATGTATTTGAAAAATGTAAAAGAAATATTACGGCCCTTTCTTCTCTTCTCTCTTCCGTGTTTTCAATTCCTCCCTTTTCTTCTATGCCTCCCATATTTCTTCTTTATATCATAGGCCTTAGGGGTCGATTATACATAGTTTGCCTTCCAAGTTCGATCCAGCAACTGTTTGTTGGTGGGGAGTCTGCTTCTTGAATAATTCAGCGAGTTTAATTCTCCCTTTGTTTATTTATACCGATTGTTTGTGAAACGTTTATATTGTATTATTATTTCCTTCGCATTATTTGGCCAAATATTTCGTTTTTGACGCTTTTTTCATTTATAGTAACGTCTAAAGTCGACAAGCATGTAAACGAACGCTCATTTTCGTGATACTTAATTAAAAAAACGTCATATTTCTTCTTTCTTCTTTAATTAAATTGAAATGATCAGTGTACGTGATACGCTGAAACACCTGATCACTTTTTTTGATAATAATAACGTAATCTACTTCTTACTTAAGTTTTTATTCACTTTGCGGAATTCTTTTTACTACTAATGCGTGAATAGTACGACAATCGAATTCCGACCAGATTCCTTGTTTATCGATCGCTAATTAATGAACTAGCAGGGCGCCTTTTAATCTTAATCGTATTTCATTCGTCTTTTCTCTTTAAGAATAAACTGTTAACAGGATTTAGTTTGTTTATTGACTATCTCGAAAATTTATCTACCTTTTTGCTTTGAGAACAGGGTACTTAAAGTTTATCCATAAACGAGACTACAAACTGATTCTCATCCACGTTCCTGAAATACTGGATGGGGAGAAGAAACGTAAGTATAAACGAATATGACATATACGTTTTTTTCGTCTTGCCGCCCTATATTTATAGGACTATGCTCGAGGCAACCGGAAATGTAATTATTGCGCTCTTATCCGTGTTTATAGCAAAGGATTGTATCGGCATAGAAACCGTTTTCCGTTAATGTATTTTATTCTATAGGAGTTGGTTACACGGCGTCAGGATGGGAAGAAGCTCTGAAGAAAGAGCAAGCAAAAGTTATCGAGCTGGAACAAAAATACCAAACGAAAATTCTCGAGAACGGTGTATGTTACAAAATGAAATAGACTACTAAATTAACTGATTACTACATTGATTTCTTTTTATCATTTGTAGTTATCTGGGAGAATTCGATCAGAGCAGGGAGGTAAACCAGGCGAAGTGATCGTACGTGTTGGGGAGGAAGAGAAAGCCTCTCTGATAGTTATGGGAACTAGGGGATTGGGAAAAGTTCGACGAACCATAATGGGATCCGTCAGCGACTATGTTGTTCACCATGCCAAATGTCCTGTTCTCATTTGTCGACAATAACATCAACTATCACTATCGCACATCTAGTACTCCAAGTAGACATTTTCATATTATAATTATCTCTTTCGATTATTGTTTTATTTATTATCCAATATAATGTTGTATTTGGTGATTTATTATTAATAGACCGTTTAAAAGAACCAACTTTGAGTTTCTTTTGGAACGACAGTCACTGGTACGTTAGAATGATGAATTACGTATTCGCTAACACTTCCTGTAAATAAAAACGGCACTTGCGTTATAACACAAAGTTTTTACTCTAATTAATCGAATTATTTTACCAAGAATTGTTCTTCTGACTATTCCATAGCCTCTGGTACCCATTACAATTTGCGAAGCATGATTATCGTGCGCCGACTTAACGATCAGTTCACCTGGTCTACCAACTTCCGCTGAAACACTTCCTTCCATTCCATAGTTTTTCAATTTTGTTTCATATTTTTCAACTAGATCCTTTCCTGCTGATTTTGCTTTTTCAAATTGCTCTGCCCAAGATTCAGCTATAAATGTTTACAAGTACAAAATGATTTAGTAATTCATATAGTTTTAACAAAAAATTAAAGATAATATGTTGCCCAAATTGATCTATCCTGATTTTTAGATTTAATTTAGAACAATAAAAACACATACGAGCTACAGCGTAATCAGGATAGTTCTCGCCAGCCGGATGTTCGATTTCCTGACAGTGAATAATATGAACTTTATTCGTTGACTTATGAGCATGGGCTCGGTACCCTGTAAAGGAAAATACAAGCGAATAAATTAAGATATTCTTTGATTTTTTTTTTGTTATAACCTACTAAATTCAGTTTTAGAGTAAGAGTTTGTTTTTAAAAATGAAGAATATTATTTAAAGCAAGGTCAAACAACTCGGCTGGCTCAGGGCTATAAGATGTTTCTCTCACTTTTGAACGTATGTTCTGGGTAATAAGGATTACCCTGGATCGGCTCTTGACAATACAGCACTTGCACTTTGTGCTTTCTATCGTACACATGTTTCGCGTACCCTAAGAATTTGAATAGGAACAAAAATTCTCAAGAACAAAAAACAACTGCAAATATTACAAAGGATAGCATTCTCAATCGTAATTTTCAGTACTTACATTCAAAAGCTGCTTCAGCTTGACGACTTGGGTCAACCGGTATAACAACTACTTCTCTCTGGAGGCCTTTCGGCACTATTTCTTTCGGTTGGTCAGGTGTAGATTGTGAGCTACCCATTGTATCATGTAAATTTTACGAATATTGGCTGAATGTGTCCAGATAAAGGAGAAAAATCGAAATATATTCGAAATACACGTAGAAAGGACGTTTTGTCCTTGAACAACAGCTGACCCCTAGCTATACAGTCAGCGCTACCTAGAATAAAAATGCGCTGTCACAGCTTTCCAGCGCACTAAGCCATTGTTTTATACTGTATATTAGGAATACAAAATCCATAAGTATTATTTATTTGTTAAAAAGATATCGTTTATTAATATATCATGCTTTATTCAGTATATCGTTAGTTTATAGAACAATTTACTATAATTGCATAGAGCTTGGGAGCTTTCGCGCCTTTTCAATAGTAATAATTATTTGAGAAGTATAAATTGAGTCGTAATGCATTTGCTGAAGGACATTATTGCACTTATCATCGATGATTCGTAGAATTTATAAGTTTTAGTCAACTTCTTCCCACTTATTATTTTCGCTGAAAGCCTATATTTATCAATTAATCAGTTTATTTACTTATTACGGAAATTCTATTTTACTTTTATGGTAAAAGTTTTCAGTTGGAACTAAAACATTAGACGATTTTTTAGTTTATATTGGAGAAAACGTTTATTCTGTGCTAAATCTATTATAGAAACGAACTTTCACAGATCTCCCTTAACATTTTAATTAATCTTTGGGTTTATCGAATCATTCATCAGGATCAGACACTTCTAGTACAACTTTATCGAATGAACCTTAATTTAGTTTTAGGACCTGAGTTCCTTTGGGATTGATCAATGGAATAAAGAAGAAGATTATAAATCGATAGTATAAGCAAATTGAATCCATTGTTTTAATATATGCTGCAATGGAGAGAGTAGATAATTCCATTAAGAAAAAAATTAGCATATTCGAGTTCAGTTTCGTGTAAGATAGACTTAAGGATAGTGTTTTCATAAACCCTTCTACTAAGATTGCAAAGCGCAATCTTATCTTAAATAAGTTAGTCAATTTCTTAGGAATCTTGTCTCCTACAGTTTACTAAAATTTTATACTTGATTTAGGTTTCTCCCAACAAAGACTAAATAAATACCTTTCAATTAGTTAATGAAAGACTTATCACGTCCAATTGTTTTAAGATATCGATAAAGCGAGCAGATCTAGTAAATAAAACTCGAATAATTCATGAATGAGATACAAAAACAACAGTGTCTCGTTTTATAATGACTTAATGACTTTTATAATTCGCTCCTCAAAATATTTAAAAAGCTTGAGAACAATTCAGAAAGTTAAAGCTGATATTAAAAAAAAAATATATCCAGTGCAATGGGAAGCAATTATATAATAAAACTTAAGTTAATTCTTATGAAAAAGCCATTTGAAGGACTTTAGTAGAAAATAGCCGGCAACTACAGTACAGAGGATTATTTCGCGTTGTTTCATCTTTTCATTTTCATCTTGTAGGTGAGTAATGTGTCTCTATGAGCAGGAAAAAAAATATAAGTAATACAAACAGAAGAAAAGCATTTCTTTGATTATATATATAGACAGTATTTTTGTATATAATATAAAGATAGTAAATTAATAGAACTTTCTTTATATTTTTACATACCTCTATTGTATTTAAACGTGAATGCATATTCATAACTAAGTCCTGTTCTGATTGCTTCTCAAATGGTTCTCCACCACCTCCAACATAGACTCTATTATCTCTGTTTAAAACAATAATTAAATAATTAAACATTGCTCAAAAAATCTTGAAGAGGATAAATAGCAAATAAAATATTATAAAATAAAATATATTATGATAAGAAGATAAATTATTAAACAGCAAAGTTATTTCATACAGAGACAGAGCGAGAAGAGAATTATATTTTTATAGAAAAAGACCTCGAACGAAAGGTTTTCTTTTTAAAAAAAATGTTTTTTAAAAAGAAATAACGAACAACAACTATAAAATAAATCTATTTGTTAAAAGAAAGCGAAGAAATCTCTATAACTTACTCAACACACACTTCCAAAAGGCTTTCACTTAACAGAACATAGAGTAGGAGGGATATTAAAAAAACTTTTTATAAAAAAAAAATAATGTTTTAATACCTGCTGGAGGCTGTATCTTTCGGCGTGTTGAAACCTTCACTTATTGGATACTGATCAGTCTCCTCCTGTTTTTCAATTTTGCTCATTGAAGAGAATTTAGATTCGCCAATACTTAAAGTTCTTGGGGGGGTCTCTAATACAATAGCTTCTGCCTGGTCAGGCAACCCGTTTAGATCTAAATGCAGTCTAGGTTCATTAGGCAGTCCAATATGTCTGTTATTACCTATGAAGTATAAGAAAATAAATCAAGTTTGGCCATTAGTTGTGAAAATATCAAATTATTTATAATAACAGACCATCTAACACAATCTTAGCTGGTACATTCATTGATTTTGATTCAAGTTCAACTTGAGGTCCTCCAGGAGCTGTGTCGCTATTTTCCTTGGTTAAACCAATCTTGTTTGGTACAATCATAGATTCATTAATTTGGACAGTAAAAGCAGGATCATAATTTATTGGTTCATAACCATCAAACTTAGGCGGCAAAGTATTAGCCGGATTAGACATCTGAAAGTGGATATTATATAGTTTTTTAAAATGTATTATTGCGTCATTAATAGTTTATTATTGCAGTAAGTACCATTTCCCACATAGCTTTCGGAAAAAATGAACTACACGAAACTCTGAATTCTTAGATAAATACTCGTATCGATTCCCAAAAATTTTGGTAATGATATACCAAAAATCAATAAGAATACCACACTGATTTCGTTAGACTGACCTCTATCTTGATAAAATATTAGCGAGACAAAATTCAAGGTTCTAAAGATAAAAATAGATTTCTACTGATGAAAACTATCATACACTTTCAAAATGGATGTAGACTATAATAGGCTTATGTACAATTTCCTATTTGGATGCTGCAAAAGTGAAATTGTACTCAAGTCTATAATACTTAAGATGTATACATAAGCCTAACAAAAAGTAAGTCTTTTATTTACCAAAAATCAATGTGTGTACACTGATAATAAATGTTATATCTGTTACTTTAAAAAAGAAAATGGATTTAGTAAGCGTTACATATCTCATATTTCCTGCGACTACTGATTTATTCGCTTTCTGGAATATTATAAACCTGTCTTTTTTTTGAATTTTTATATTTTCGAGGTTGCCTGTATTATTTTATTAATCACTTACTTAATTTCTCTGTTATATGTTATTTTAATTTTTGACAAAAAGTTAATTACCTTTATTATAAAAGCTGCACTGGTCTTTCAATGCTTAATTTTGTCTTATAATTTAAAATTGCAGTTTTGAAAGCATGCAAAGACGATGTATTGTTCACTTAACTTTTTGAGTTTACCAGTTATTTATTAAGCCGAAGTGAATATTTTACTTTTGTTCGAATAGGAGCGATAACACCACGTGTTTTTGGGAACAAAACATGCCTCCTAAATTAAACAAGAAAGAACAGCGAATAGAAAGAAAGGCAAAAAAGGCAGAAGCACAGCTTAATATAATGAATATTAATAAAAATGATAAGAAACATAAGGTATTAAATTAAATGATTTCATTATTGAAACCAATAAATATCATTTGAACATAGATATCATTTTCATCTGATGATGAAGCACCTCATAAAAAGAAGAAAAACGACTATACTCTTGATAATTGCCAAGACATAAAAATAGAAGAATCACAGTCAGAAAAACTGGCCAGATTACGAGCAGAAATACGTGAAAGGCAGAAACTGTCAATGACTAAACCAAAAATCTTTTTGCAAGTACCAGAAGTTAATCCCTATGCTTCCAGCATAACAGACATTTCTTCAACAACTCCAGAACATCTAAGGTGGAGTGAAGAAGAAGAGAGAAATAGTTCACCCCTTTTCGTCACAGATATTCAACATGCTGTTTCTTATGCAATTCAAGGAAATAAAACTAGCTTTCAACCCAGGTGGTGTAAATTTTTAAGATGGACAAAGATATCCAAAGTTACAGTTGTAAACGTTGAGAAAGTTGGCATTAAAGAATATAGAACTAGTCCATCACTTAAATTCCTTAAGGAATTTCCTATGGTATATTTTATATTTAAAAAGCAAACTAGCCAAAGCCAATTGAATTATGTCATACTTTTATCCCTTAGACTGCAGAATTCGCGACTCCTTATCAGTATGATAAATCAGTCGAAGAAGAGCTCTTTCGAGTTGCATACAGTAGAACAAGTCTTCAGAAGGCAAAAGATCTTGATCTAGTTAGTAATTATCAATCATCTTTATTATGTTTAAAAAGTATAATTAAATTTTGTGTAGTATAATTTAATGAGCAAATTTACAATTCTGCTTTCTTTGGTTAGCTGGTTTAAATATTTTACTGATCCTTATGGGACTTAAGAGAACAACTGTTTCTGCCTTTACTAACTTTTTGTTAATTACTTCAGACAGCCAATGAATTATCACAGAAAATTCATAAAAAAACAAGTATAAAGATTAAAATCGAGAATAATAAAGCAAAATTAAAGGAAAATGGTCAATTTTCGAGATTGGACCTATTACTTTCTCCCGAACAACTAGTCTCGGAAGGATATCCTTTGCCCTATTTTAAGAGTAAGCTTACACCTAAGAGTGTTATGGAGAATTTATTAGTCTACATGAATTTTCATTATAATTTAGCTGTCAAGACAAGGAATTTTGTGCAATCGAAGGATGATTACAAGCCAGTGACAGAAAACTCTCCCATGTTTGCAGTCGATTGTGAAATGGTATACTTTATATGCATATACTAAATATCTATTCAGATAATCAATAAATATGCCTCTCTTTCCCTCGTTTACTGACAGGTTCATTCAGTAAGAAGACAAAATGAATTAGCCCGTATATCAGTTGTTAACGAAGATCTTGAATGTATATATGAAACCTTAGTTAAGCCACCAACGAAAGTTCTCAATTTCTTAACACCGTATGTTAAATAAGTCATTCCCATTTCTCCTTAACTAGAGAGAGCACTTAGAATAAAAAACGAATCTTAACGGGCTTTACAAAACTACTTTACTTACAGATACAGTGGAATTACACCTAAACATCTTTTTAACGTGGAAACTACGCTGGAAGATGTCCAAAAACATCTAAGGAATATTCTACCAGCTGATGCTATCTGGTGTGGTCAATCTTTAGTTTCCGATTTATTTGCTTTGCAAATGTATCATCCATATGTTATCGATACGAGTTGTATCTTTAATTTAACTGGAGATAGACGAATGAAATCCGGTCTTAAACGATTGGCTGCTACTTTCCTTAAGTATGTTTTATAATAAAAAAAATAACATGAATAAAGCACATAAATATCTAAATATTAACAGTCATATATGACTAACTGTCAATTCATTTTTTTAGCAAAACTATTCAAGACCAATCAGAAGGTCATCATCCTACTGAAGATGCAGAAACTACTATGGAATTAGTTAAACTAAAATTAAAGGAGGGTTTAAATTTTGGTGATGTTCTTAGAATGAGAGAGGATATGGTAGCCGAGAACGCTTTGGTTCGGGAAAAGTCAAATGGGTGCATAAAAAATGCATTTTTTCAGTTGCCAGGGGTTTCTCTCTACGAAAGTTTCTTTTCTTTATTTAAGGACATGCAAAAAACCGGTAAGAGAAGTGGAAATATTATTTAGATATTTATTTTCTTATTCCCAAATTTAAAATAATTACGTAATAGCCAAGTTATATGAACGACAAAGCAAGGAAAGTCTAATGAAGCAATTGAAAGCCAATTTAGATAATTGCGAATTGGAATTTTTTCCATCGGATAAGGTGGCTGTCAAGTCCTTTATTTCGGAAGCTAATAAAGATGACTTTTCATGGATTCGGTTACAATCTTATGGAAATCTTACTGAAGGCGAAAAGATTAATGATAATGAAAAAGAGGTTATTTTCTTTATAAGCTAATAGTTCGCAAGTTTTATACTTATTCAAACTTAATTCACTTTCTTACAGTATCTTTTGAAGAAGACCGATGACAGAATCCGAAAAATCATTAAAAGCGTCCCAGACAAGAGTTTACTTGTTGTCCTTCTAAATGGAAACGTTGATAACGACATAAATAATGGCTTATGTTTACTGAAAATTATTGACAGGCAGGTCTCGAAATAAGACCTATTATTTTATTGATATTAATATTTTCCAATTCATGTTAATATTATGTAAAAGTGAACAGTTGCTTGATGAAAGAATAAATTATTTACAGATTGTAAATGATAACGTAACGCTTGAATAGGCTATTGCACTTGTTGTATTTGTTAGTTACTTGTTTGTCATTTCTATGGAAAAGATAATGCATCAAACATTTTTTTATTATAGAAAATTGGTGATGTAAAACCAATATACAAAGAAATTTTATACTTACTGCACTGAAAAAAATTGCAGTGTTATTCTAGTCTAACATTGTTTATATAGAATTTTCTTGTCTATTCCGTAAATTGATTCGTTAAAGTATTTTTATTGCGAAAATTCCAAAATGTTTTCTATTTTTGTTATTATGTTAAGAATTGATCGCTCAGCAGCATTGCAGGAGAGCGCTAGATATCATAGAATACGTTTCTCTTCTTGTTAGGGAATTATCATGGGAAAAAGTATCAGGACTTTTAATCTTAAGCAATAATCCGACTTGGGTCTGATTGATGAAAATTTGCTGATTTCTTTTCATTATACCGTAGTTAAGTTGATGAATTTGAGTTGAAATTAGGCATTAACGTGTATAATGCATGCAAAAGGAATTCCCCTGACAATTAGTTGTTTTAAGCAACTTTTCTAATCTCTTGGTTGGCAAAAGTCATATTTTCAATCATTCAATTTGCCTATAGTGATATTAAATGAAAGTTATAAGCTAAATAATGGTTTCCCGCGAAGTTGATGATATTATGTTATTATTGCTCTTTTGATTATTGTCTATCTATTCCAATTTTCGTATATTTATTTAACAAATTTTATGATAATAATGTAAGTTTTATAAAAATAAGCTTTGTATTAAAACTTATATAGTTAATTTACTAAAATGCGGTACTTCAATTTCCGGCCAAAAAACGCGTTGCTCATTGGCTGATCACTCGTTCAAAGAATTTCGGACGTTAGGTTTCCCACTCGATCCTTTATTTTATAGAATTCTGGACACTAGGTTTTGTTCTTAATATATTTATGGAGTATGGTTAGTAGATTTATTATTTAGAATTAAATTGCCTTTGACTTAGTATAGAAAAGATTTAGATATTAACTTTTTCTGATGATTTAATCGCATGGGTATGGGTGGTGTGCTTCGAAAGTATTCCATTTTCTTTATTCCATTTCTGTGATTGCGATCGGATTTTAACAAATCATGTTTAACTTTACAGCATAGACACGCTAACAAGATATCTCAACTTTCACTTGTAGCAGAATATGATGATGTAATAAGAAAGTATGAATTTTTAAGAAGTAGTTGGGATGAGCAGAACAAAGGTTAGCCATAAAAGTGCCCTTTAACTCCTTGAAAAAACTATTAATCATTGTTTTTATCTTACAATACACAGCTTTTATAACTTATGTTAAGGATGTTGAATCGAAAAGGGCAGACTGGAGTGAAAGACTGGGGGATAGGGAGTCTGTAGTTAAGCAACTTGAAAGCGAAAATGCGACTTTAGCGACAAAGCTAAAACACGCCAGGTTCGCTTTGATGATGAAGCTGTAAATATGATGTGCTAAACTCTTTATCTTTTTGCAGGAGTCTCATCGAATCTGAAACACACAGGCGACAACTTGCAGAACGTGAAAGGGATAATTTGGATCGACAAGTTAATTTAATCAGAGAATTACTAAGAGATAAGAGAAATAATAACACGTTACAATTAAATGAAGATGAACGCTCTCGCTTAGCCTTCCTAAATAGTACATTAGTTCGAGGTGAGAGTGTTCCAAACGCTCTCAGTAGAATAGAAGAATCGAACGATTCCATTCTATCGCAAGATATAAGTTATGATAAAACGGACGAGGATCTTGATGAATTGAGTGTCAGCTACTTACGAAGTGGGAAAAAGTGGAAAAGGCCTTCGGCACCACCAATGCCTGGAAGTAATGGATTAATCGAGGATTTCGCTCCTCCAATGAAAAAGGATCGAACCAGCAGAGAGTTGAAAGAGCCTGGACGTAGGAGATCAAAATCTGCTGAGATTCGAGCAAAAGTGAAAGTAGATGAGGAAGGTAATCTAGAAGCGGAAGCTGAAATAACGAGCGGAAAGAAAAAGAAAAAAATCCGTCATTCCTCTGGACCATCGCCCATTGTAAATGGACATACGCCAGGTTACTCACCATCGCTTAGTACAGGGACTTTGCGAAGGGCCCCGGGATCTGCTTCTAGCTTGACAAGACCGCACAACTTCCAATCAAAAACTCTCTTTGGTCGGGCTGAGACTTGCGGTGTGTGTGATAAGAAAATGAGATTTGCTAAGACGGCCTATAAATGTAAAGATTGTAAAGCAACTGTTCACACTACTTGCCGTGACGAATTACCGCTACCCTGTAATCCAATTAGTACTCCGGGTTCTCCTGGTTCTTCTCACGTTCCACTCACAAACATTAAATTGGCTGAATTAGCGCCGTATCAGCCACCATATGTCCCAGCAATCATCATTCATTGTATAAACGAGGTTGAACATCGTGGCTTAGCAGAAAAGGGTATTTATAGACTATCTGGAAGTGACAAAGAAGTTAAAGAATTGAAAGAGAAGTTCTTAAGAGGACGAGGCACTCCCAATCTATCTATCATCTCTGATATTCATGCTATTTGTGGATGTTTAAAGGATTTCCTGCGTTCCCTATCCGAACCTCTCTTGACATATCGTCTGTGGGAACGATTTGTTAAAGCAGCGGAAGATAGTAGTGATGGAGAAGCTGGACTCTATCAAGCAATAAGCGAACTACCACAATCTAATCGAGACACACTCGCCTACTTAATCATTCATTTACAGAAAGTTTGCGAATCACCTCAAACTGGAATGTCAGCCTCATCTCTGGCTAAGATGTTTGGACCATCAGTCGTTGGCTACTCGGTCCCAGAGCCGCAGCCAATGGAGATGATTGCTCAAACTCGACAACAGCATATCGTCATGGAACGCCTCTTAAAGATTCGTAACGACTACTGGTCAACTTTCATTAATATAACGATGGACAGCACTAATAGCAACGTTCCCCCACTTACTCCTCCATGCCCTCGTTCAGCTCGTCGTAAACCTTCAAAGTACTTCGGCCCATTGGAATAAAGAGAATATATCGCTCCCCAACAATCTTTTCTCTCTCTATCTATCTCTCTCTATCTTTTTTTTTTTATTTTTACATCCAAAATTTCATATTTAAAGCCGTTAAAACACCCTTTTTTATTACTCTAGGTTTAGCATGATACGTAGAGCTAAAAAAAACTCGAAAAATCTTTACAAGAAATAAGTTTGCTATATATATATATATAGTCTATATATTTTTATACGTGTCTATAGTGTATTTAACTATTAAATTATACGCTTTTAAATTTTTTTTTGATCGGAAAACTCCTGTAAACACAAACATTCAAAAAAGTTAAAATGTTAATACAATTATTGTAACTATCAAGAAAATATAAGTTATTACAACTCTATCTGCAATAAGTTAATACAATTTTTAACTTGAAGTCGCTTGTAAACGAACAACAATTTTCGTTGAAAGTCTCCCTTTCTCTCATACAGTAGGTAAAACATTACAAATTGATTTTTTTGTCTAAGGAATTGAGTTATGTTTGGATAACAATTTTATCGAGTCTATGCATGGTTGAAAAACGCTACAGGTTTATCGTTCTTACATCGGTAGAAATGTTAAATACTTTACGAATAAAATGGTTAGTTATCTCAAATTAAGATGGACCAAATCTGTAACAATTGTAACAAACATAACACAGAAGCATGTTAATATTTTATATCAACCTCATTATTACTGATATCTTGGATTAAACCAAATTAATCCTCTTTTATTTTATTAGACCGTTTAGAAAATAATCTATAGCAACGAGTAGAAACACCAAACAGGAGAATTATTGTAAACAGAGCAGCCAATGTTAAAAAAAGGTAAATATCCAACATAAGGAATTGGAATATATTTAGGTGGATTGCTGAAGATTTTAATTTTTCATCGCCATGCTTTACGATATGATCTATGAGATAGGATGCTCTTTTTATACTAATGGAATGTGCTCTCTTCAACCTATACATTTCAGATAGCTTTTGAGCGTTTTGCTTGTAGGAATTGTTGTTTATTACTTTCTTTATAGATGATACGAGATCTTCTGCTACAAAATCTTTGAGCGATAGTGTTTCACCATAATTGTTAGATTCACTAGCCTTAGCATTCATTATCTGATCGCCGAATACAGGTATACTGACAATTGGTACTGCAAAATAGACAGCTTCCATGATACTATTGAGTCCTGCATGAGTAATAAAGAGCTTAACTTTTGAATTTGCTAACAAATCGTTTTGTGGAAACCACATAGTTTCGTGGATATTTTCTTTTTTGCAACCGCCTAATTCTTCTACTTTCCATATAAAGAAATATTCTTTCATTAAAGACATCGCCTTGCAAAATTCGTCTTTCTTAGCCTTGGGGATAAAATTACAAAAAGATCCCAGTGAAACTAGGATAATGGGCTTTGAGTTGTATTCAACAATTTTTGACCATTTTTCGTCGAGAGGTTTCGGTTCTTGAGGAATTATATCGCCTACATCAACTGCATTAGGCATTCTTGGTTGTGAAAATGTTAGAATTTGCTCTTCCATGAAAAAGAAAAGCGAAGCATTCATAAAAGAGTTCGATACATCTAGCGTTGGTCTAGTGGGTAAGTACTTTCGAAAATATCGTTCATTCTGACCGAATACGAAAAAGAAATGAAGCAACATTTGAGATATAAAATTGATCAGTCTTTGACTAAAGGTCATAGGTAAATCGAGAGCCAATAACCTATTTGGAACGAACGAAGGCAAAGAGGGAACTCGTATCAAAAAATTAAATATAGGTAGTCCATATAATCCGTAGGGAATATTCAGTTTTAACGGTATAGCTAGCTGACAAGCAGGATAGAGAACATCGATAATTGCGAAATCGTACTGCTCTCTTTCAACTGACATCCAATTGTCGGTATTGTTCAAGAGTTGCTCGCATTCGGCTCCAATCGCTTCCTCGTGAAGACTAACAAGTCTACCCAAACCTTTGAAGACTTCCAGTTGCGATTTACTAAATGCAATGTCTATATGAAGTTTAGATGAGTATTCTGAATTAAGAGTTATAGACTCTTTACTGACGTTGAATATTCTTATTTGGGTTTGTTTGGAGTCTTTAACGAACCCTGGTACTTCAGAATTAGAGGACAACAAGACATGAGCTTCATGACCTTCTTTTTGTAAAGCATTAGAGAGTTTCGTAAAGTATATGACATGACTTGGAGCGTTGGCCTATGAAGTAGAAAGAAAATAAACGTTTATTAAATTGTATATTACAGCGAAGGTAACTTCATGATATCAATAGTGTACTTACTGGAATGAGGACAACTTTTGCAGCCTCCAGAGAGCATATCAAAACAACAGGACAGAAAAGAAGAATGCCTCTCATTGTTCCTTATATGTATATATATATATATATATATATATATATACTGATAACGACGTGTAAATAAATCTTAATTATGATAAGGAATATTTTATCAAATGCTTATATTTTATACAACTCAAGTCTTCAGACACAAGTGACATATTTCTCTTTTTATCTGTAACATATCTTACGTAAAAGGAGATAGAGAGAAAAAACAAAAATTATGAACAGAAAAAATGAAAGAAAGAAGGAAAAAGACAACGAGACATAGTTAGATAGATAGACAGATTGACAGACAGATTGATAGATAGATAGATAAAAATTGAAGGCTATATAAAAAAGAAAAAAAGTAACTACAATTACTCTTTAGTCTTTTTTTGTTTTATTTTTAGCTTTAAAGCACCTCGTTTTAATACACAGATAGTAAATAGTAAATATGCTAATTAGTATCATTAACATTAAAGATAAGAATATTGTAAGAAAAATATCAATCATCAAAAATTGAAATAAATTTAAATGATAGGCTGATGATCTTATTCTTTCATCTCCGAATTTGACAACATGATTAATAAGGTACGATGCTTTTTGAATATTGGAAGAAGCTTTTATCTTCATTCTCATTAATTCCGATATGTTTTTAATATTATTAAAGTAATCAGAATTATTGTAAATTTTAGTTATTGCTTCTACAAGTTGATTTGATTGTAGTGTCACCAATGTTAATGTTGTTCCAAACCCATTTTGTTCGGCCATTTTAGCGTTAAAAAGTTGATCTGCAAATATTGGTATACTAACTACAGGGACTCTGTAATACGATGTTTCTATAATGCTATTCAATCCGGCGTGTGTTACGAATACTTTCACTTTATTATTGGACAAAAGTTCTTTCTGGGGAATCCATTTTGATGTATAAACGTTTTCTTCTTCGCATAAACCTAGTTCGCCTACTTTCCATATGAAAAAGAACTGTTTCATTGCAGAGAAAGCTTTACAAAACTCCGCCTCTAAATGTTCGGGTATAAAATTACAGAAAGAACCCAACGATACAATAACTATTGGACGGTTAATACTATCTATTCGCAAAGACCACTCTTTATCTAATGGTTTAATCTCTTGAATGACTACTTCACCAACATCAACTGTATTTGGCATCCTTGGTTGAGGCGTATTAACGAGTTGTTCTTCTAAAAAAAACCAGATTGATGCCTCAGACATTGCATTCATTACAGTTAATCCCCGTGTATTTTCGTAATATTTATCTAGATATGTAGACGGGAATACGAATGATGCCATCAGTCTTGCATAGCCTTCTAATAGAAAGTTCATTAATCTATACTTAAAAGTCATTGGTAGATCCGTGGGAAGTACTCTGGAGGGAACAAATGATGGCAAAGACGGAACTCTAAAATTCATTGTTGATGATGGTATACTAAGAAATCCAAAAGGAATATTGAGTTTAAAAGGTATAACGATATGGCAAACAGGATAAATATAATCCAAAACAATAAAATCATAATGTTCATCTTCCATAATCTTCCAATTTTGTGAATTATTCAATAACTGCTCGCATTCTCCCGCTACAGCCTCCTTATATAAATCAGCTATTGGTAGCATAGACCAAATGAACCCAAAAGTTGAATTATCCAATGCTACATTAACATGTACCTGAGAGGCTCTTTTAGAATTTAAGGATGTCGTATGATTGCTTATTTCGAATCTTTTCCAAATTATATTTGAGGTGGAATCTCCTCCGGGAATTTTTACGGTAGATGATAATATCATGTGAACTTCGTGTCCCTCTTTCACGAGTGCCTCGCCAAAACGGGCAAAAAACAAAATATGACTTCCTAGACTCATCTATAAATGTCACCAATCAATATTCTCGTTAATAGGCTAAAAATAAGTGGAAAAAAAGTTACTTACCGGTACAAGAGCAACTTTTGCAGTATAGCATACTCCCGCAAAACCCAGAAAAACAATTAGAAAGAAAGTCTTAGAAGTCATTGTTAAAGGAACATTGAATTGAAAATATGCAGTATTATATATATATATAGATAGTTTTCTTTTAATATTATCGCATTTCTACATCTCACTGACCATATATGGACTACGTTTCATGATAGATAAGAAGAAAAACACGTTAGCATTGTAAACAATACCAAATTAGGTATAACTTAAATGCTAGCCTACTATTAACTATTGAATATATCATACTAATCTAATATTATCAAAATATAAATATAAAGACCAAAAGAAGATATAGATAAAATCAATGATTTGGACAGTAACGTTCAATATCAATCATTTTCATAATTTACAGTCATTAAGAATCCTCTCTTTTTCCATATTGGAAAAATGATAGATAGCATTATTAGGATAATAAAATGTGTTATTATATAGTAAATATATTGTATATAATCATTTGTAATAAAAACGACAAAGAGATGAAATGTTTGTTTATTATTAACGGAATAATATATAAATTTATACCACATTAGGGTCATTATTTAAAAAAAGAAGCGACATCTATCGGATTTAAAAACAAATAAAGCTATTTTTAATATGCTAATTAAGCAATTATAATGATTGATAATTAAAATGAATTACTTCCTAATTCTATTCTAAATTAAATCATTAAGGAACAAAGCATTGAATTTGAAAAAAAAAATGATTATTAATTAATAAAAACGATTTCTTGATACTAGGAAGAATTTTTTCGCATTTCCTCTAATGAAAGAATAAAAAGCATTGTTTGTCAAATTTGTAGATGGTTATTATTATTAATAATAGCTAATGTAGATCTCTAAGTTATCTTAATAAAAATTTGGCTTCTTGTTTAGTTTATTATAATGAATTGTATACCAGATAACCAGCTGTTGTGTAAATTATAGATAATACGTAATATATATACTTTGTGATATATACAATATTTAAGTGCTATTTCTTATATATATATCAATATATATACTGCATATATATAAAAAACAGCTAAAATCTATAATCCTTGAACAGACATTACCAATAGGCATATTTTAATAAATAACAGCAGATATCATACACTTTTTTATGTCTATGTTACTTAAAAATATATCATCTCTTCCACAAATGGATTAGAATATATCAGAAACCCTTTCATTTAGATATATAGTGATTATAGGAGAATAAAGCAGAAATTACGTATATATATATATATATATATAGGACTACTTAAAAGCTGTTACCAAATAGAACAAGTAAAACTAAATAGTGATATTTTGAGGAGAGAATATAAAATATAGATAGCATAATTAAGTGGGTAGGTAGGGAGGGAGAGGGTTTGCATATAAATCTTATATTATTAAATAACCTGTATTATCTAATATAGAAAAAAAACTACTTTTAAGAGTGGGTATCTCTGTAAGAGACTGATGCCTGAAGATTATTGTCTATCAAGAGGGGAATGGGGAAGAGAGGGTGGGAGGAAGGAAGGAAAGGAAAGAGGAATATGACATCCTATCCTTAGGGAATTTGGAATTTAAGTGCCATAACTGATTGATAAATATGATAAAGAATATCAATAATTTGTAGTGAATTATCATACAACTCTCCTCTCTACCCTAATGTCAGGTTCCTTTGTACTTTTTTTAGTTGATTTTCATATACTTCTCAGATTATGTTACGCTTTTTAAGTAAAACTCTTAATTAAATTTACTGATTTCCATGGAAGAAAGCGAGCGTTGACGTTATATTAGAAGTTAGAGAAGAATTCTTGGAATTATACCAACCCAGCCGCCTATGTAATATTAAAAAAATCAATTGAAACTTATTCAATATTAACTTGACTTCCGATTCGAAATAGAAGACTCTGATTATGTATTTTCTTTTGAAGAACAAAATTCAACGAATCAATGTAAGTACATTGAAATGATTTTACCTTATGTTACTGACCTTGACCTTTAAAAAAAATGGAATATTTTGAAGTGATGAGTACTTTTAAGAATAGAACAAAACTAAAGGTGAACCTTAAATATTCTAATATAAACAATATCTTACTGTCTTTCGATTATGTAGATAATAGCCTTAATAATTCATAATTCAAAAGACAAAAGTAAACAAAGTCTTAATTTAGTTTCTTAAGGGCAAAAAATAGATAAAGTAAATAAACTTTAGATTAAATAGGTCGCACAGTATAGATCATTCAACTTTCATCCGAACCATATTTAGCCACTACGACAAAATAGTTGGATGTCTGATCTAGAATTGACCCCAGTCAACAGATGTATTATAGTCTAACAAGCTGATTTAATTATTAAATGGCGTAAACATATGTTCCAAGGTCGGTTTGAAAAATAGAAGTATTTATTCAGATAATTAAAAAAAACTGTCCCTCTAAAAGGACTGGTAAAATCTGGTCAATTAAAAGCGATCAGTGAAATATCATCTTCGTAAGAATATGTTGTTATATTAGCAAAAAGAAGCTAACCTTATTTATTATACTAAATAACCTAGCGAACGTTACCCTTTCTCCAGTCATATTTATCTATATATCTAAATATTTTGTACTACGTGCATAATATTTTCATTTCATATAGACCAAGCGCTAGATGGATTTGTATAAAGGAACTATATACTGTATTAAAAAATTCTTTTTCAGATAGCGACATCTATCTTATAAAAAATAAACTATAAATAAAAACTTTCTCCATGTATGATATTTGTATTTTATTTTCAAGTAAACCTTTTGAACGCGTCAGTTTCAATCAATGTAAGTAAAAGTAAAAAAAAACATCACAAAGAATCAACTCGCGTTGCAGAGAGGTTTTACCTGAAGATTGTTATTTAAATGCACAAAAATTGCCCTCTTCCATTTTGAATGACTGGGGGTCATCAAAAATATTTCCTTATCTCAGATTCTTCTTTCTTGGTTTTCTTATGATAGTTTTTTTTTTGACATTATAAATATCATAAATATGTTATTAAGTGAAGTTTCGTATGCATAGTGCAGAAGATATGGTTATATATAACCTCTGATATATAAAGTACAGTATATATATATATATATATATATATTATGTATATCCATTTTTAAAAGGCAGACATGTTAAAAACATAATATGATGAGAAAAACATCTATAAGTCGTCGATACGAAGACTGTACAAATAAAATGAATGGGAAGGGATATCTATTCGTCAAGAACCGTTGTTCTAACGATTCTTTCGGTAACTGCGTAAGGATCACAGTTAGAACTTGGTCGTCTATCTTCCAAATAGCCCTTTTTATCTTCTCCAACTTGTCTTGGTATTCTAATTGAACAGCCGCGATTTGCTATACCAGCAGAAAAGTCGTGGATTGAACTTGTTTCGTGTAAACCTGTTAATCTTCTTTCATTATCTTTACCCTGGTGAGGATCGTACGCTTCAATATGCTCCTTATGCTTCTTTGACATCCTGTCAATTGCCTTCTCGATAACTTTTAGACCACCATCTTCTCTCATTTGGATGGTACTGTAGTTACAGTGGGCACCAGCTCCGTTCCAATCGCCTGGCATGGGTTTTGGGTCAAATGAAGCAACTACTCCGAAATCTTCGGCTACTCTGTGAAGTAAGAAACGGGCCATCCACAAATGATCTCCCATTTCGATACCTTCACATGGTCCGACTTGAAACTCCCATTGGGCGGGCATAACTTCGGCATTTGTACCAGCAATCTTGATTCCAGCGTATAGGCATGCTCTGTAATGAGCTTCAACGATATCTCGTCCAAAAACCCTGTTTGTTCCCACGCCACAATAATATGGACCTGGATGGGAACAATTGGAAATATTATAGCATTAGATCTTTATCATATATCGGAAATGATAGAAAAAATATCAACAAAAATGTGGAAAAAAAAAGAAAAACAAGCACTGTTGCTCATGAATATTTATGAGATCTGCGCAACGAGGGCTCCACGTGCATTGTAGGCCTATTGATATGTTAAATAGCGTATATAGTAGAAAATACCTTGAGGGCCTGGAAAACCTCCTTTCGGCCATCCGAATGGATGATTATCAATATCTAGCAATGTATATTCTTGTTCAATTCCAAACCATGGGTAGCTATCATGAGCTCTGTCCATTGCTTCCTTGCATGTACTTCTTAGGTTGGTATCAGCAGGTTGATAGTTATATTTTAGGGTTTCACATAGCAAAAGCTTGTTTTTACCCCTTCGAAATGGATCATTAAATAATCTAACTGGTTTTAAGAAAACATCGCTGTTCGATCCCTCAGCTTGACCGGTGGATGAACCGTCAAAATTCCAAAGTGGACATTCTTCTGGATCTTTAGGTTCTTTGTCCATTGTTCGGGTTTTACAGCGAAGACCCTCGCCAGTTCCATCGATCCAAACATACATAACTTGAACTTTCTCATCCTTTGTCTCCAATTCCATATAGTGTTTAAGAATGGATTTGTCAGTTTTACTGTGATGTGTTTTTGCCATTGTCTGCTTCAATACGACGCACAGCTGATCTGAAGCAAACTCATAAATAGGAGCGCTTTTATACACGGAAACATACTGAATATTCATGACACGTGATTATCACGTGTTTTAGGAAATGCTGAATTTTCCATGCTTTTTATTTAACGAAACGTTGGATAATTGAATCAATGATCAAATTACGTTACATATAGCACTTTTGGCTTAGTGATTAGACGTTAATCAACAAGATTAAAAAATTGATTTATTAAAAATTCCGTTTTTATTGTTCTGATCTTACCATTTTGTTATTGATTATTGAATTATACCATATGTTAAATACGTAACATATTTCTAAATAAGTATATCTTGTTCATTTGCGATAGTTATGCATGCATATGTGCATATATATATATATATATATATGTAGTAAACTTTTATTTGCTACCTTTCCCTTCTGCTTTATAGGCCTACAAGCCTTTGTTATAGACTATTGAGTCTTGATATTGCATTACGCAATATTTCATGAATACGATTTTCTTTAAAACGTTCTATTTTTAAAAAAAAAACTGATGCAATATTTCTTTTGAATAAATCATATAATTAGATTTTCTAAAAATCTTCCTGCTAAGCTAGATTGTTAATAATCTATCATAAGCATTTCTTATAAATATGTTTGCCTTCAAAGAAATGGACTAAGAAAGAGCAGAAAGACCTAAAGGCAAATTTAGGTAAATATTTACAAATTTCAAGTTTATTTTCGTCTAAGGAAACTGCATGGTTATTATGAATATGTCATGGATTGAAACGTTGTTTTCTTTGCTACAGATTTTTATTATACTCTCTTTTATTATTATATAAAAAAGCCTCTGGTGATATTCAAAATTTATAAAGACAATAAGATATTTCTAATCTTAAATATATATCTTTTGTGATAAAGGTTTAAACCCCAACCTTTCTCTCCTCCCAGACTCTCTTTTCTTCTTCACATCACGCCGTTGAATCGGTATTATCTTGTGTGATGTTTACTTGTCCTTCTCTTTTACTTGGCTCGTAAATATTATTGCTAAATGACATAGGCTGAAAAACAAAAACAGACTATAGGGTGGATAGCATAAACGGCATGTATATATGCATATTCTTTCTTTTTATTGTAAAATTAGGTTGTTTACGCCTTTCCAGTTGGTAGTAAGACAAAAAAGAACTTACTGCATCGTTGTTTACTCCCGCCAGTCGGCGCCTTATTATAAAGGCGGCGAGTAAACAAAGGCAAATGACCGCAAGTATAGCACCAATGCCAGCAATTATGTAAACAGTCATTGACCCCTCTTCTTTCACAACAACTTTATCATTTTCCTTAATAATACGCGCGTGAGTGGGTTGAGGTGTGGTTCTTGAGTCTGGGGACATTGTAGGTGTTGAACCGAACTGTGTCAAATTTGTTTGAATATCTGCAGCTACAAATTTTTTATCATTGTATGAAACAAATAATTTTCCGAAGAAAGTTAATTCTCGCAGTAAGGAAATTCCATTCCAAAGATCATGGACGTGATCAGCAAGGACATTAAACGATAAATGGATGCTACCAGAGGTTAGTGCCATATCTCTTATGTTATCATCTCCGATTTCCAGGATCTTCAGCAATTCTTGACGCCAAATACTAGTTAAAAAAAAAAGAGTTCAGACACATGTTGACCAATATATTTAAAGCCTATATTTGCACTTTTTTCGCATTAACTTACTTGCTAAATGTAGTTAAGTCGTTTTTTATTAGATTAAAGTCGTCTTGCATTATAATAGTAACACTAGCTCTCTCAACCTTACCGGTTTCTTTAAAAAAAAAAGGGAATTTTGCTTTCATTTTAATGTAAAATTAGAAATATTCATATTAAATATAAAACAGCAGCCAATCTTTGTCCTCAATGTCCTATGCAACTAACCTTTGTTACACGATGGTTTTCTGTCGCCAGCTGTCAGTAATGCTTTAGTTCCGTTTATCTCGAAACCCTGTTCAGTAACACACCAACAAACATGCATTGACATATGACATTGCAAAGGTTTGAAATTTCCATTTTCATCGCACTCAGGGACAAATGGTTTATTTGTGATATTGGAATTTCGGGAAAGCAGATGTATCCTTTCTGTATCAATAACCATGCGTTGACATGGTGTTGTATCTGGAAATCGAAAAATTCATTTTCATTTAAAACTAGTAACATTTCGTAATATGTGAAAAAATAACCTTCTGTGCAGGAGATCGGACCATTATATTTTACACTAATAAAAGTCGGCTTGCAAGTACAAGGGTCGGTATAGCATAGTGCTTCCGGAAACTTCAGGCATACGGCATCTTTGCATGCATCGGGACATATTTTTGGGGTTTCACCATTCTTACATAAATTTCCACCGCAAGACCATTCGCATGCTTCCAAATCTTTAAAATTATTTTTATTTCCACCACATCCGCTTCAAATAATAAAAATTCACTTATTTTAACATCGATTTTTGGTATTTTTTTAATTACGTATAGAAGAATTTTTCACACGTTCCCGTTTTCGTATTATGAAACCATCTTAATTCATGCCTATTACATTTTGCATCACCATCGTGTTTAGGCAGAGTACATCTGTTCACATCTATAGGTTGTTTTTAATAGGTTGGCGAAAACATATGATAGATACACTTAAGTTTTAAGAAGTATTAAAAGAATTTTATCATTTTTACCTTTGCATGTAACATTTTTCATAGAGTACCTTGTTTTAAAGGACACCTTACAATTATTACACGGATCAGCCAGACAAGTCACCCCGGACCTTCTGGGAGCACAACTGGCTTTTAGACAATCATCTTGACAGATTTTAGGTTTTCTATTATCAGGACAGATAACGGGAACAAAGTTATTGCGATCTTCAATTTGTCCATCAGCAGTACATTTGAGACTTGCCTTAGTCAGTGTACCTTCAACTGGTTTACCATCTTGCGTAATACACCAGCAAAATCCGCTATAACATTGCTAATTGAACAATATAAATTAAACTTTCTAAATTGAATAGTAGAGAATGGAAACCTTAGATTTGAATTTTTTGTTGATACATTGAAGCGAAATAACGTCTTGCATGTAATGGTAGCCTATAAAATTTAATTAATTAGATCATATAAATATGAATGTATGAAGATGTATAATTCCTACACATCTTCAGAAAGACTTACTGCTACATTTTGCAAGGCATTCTTGTTCAGTTGAGAATTTATTTTTTCCTGAAAGTGAGCAGTTTGTTGCATTTGCTAGCTTTTTACATCTGCTACTTTGTTTATCAAAATAGTATGTTTCATAATTGTAAAGAAACAAGTAATCGTTATATATTATGCCTCTATCTTTAGTTTTTCTGCATTTAATTTTCGGGGGCATGTCACAAACACTTGGCGCTGGTTGAACACATTTTCTTGCGCATTTTTCATAACAGCAAATAGTACCGGATAAACAGTCACTATTTTTAGAACATTCATGCGTGCAGCCTGACGTTGACCGGTAATAGATGATCTTGTAAGTCGGACAATTGTGATCTAAAAATTTCGTATTGTATTTAAAAGATTATTTAAAACTTGTATAATTTGTTTTATATTACTCCATAATTGGTTAGTTGATATAAATCTATCTCTATCGTAATACCATAAGTCGTCGTAAATGATTCTATTTCCTCTTTTCTCTCCAATTGCAGGATCTAATCGATTGAATGAAATAATGTAAATCAATGGTGGAAATAAAGATTTTTACTAAAATACTAATACATACGTGTGTGAGTAGGTGTATAATATTTATTAGAATATTGATAAAGACTCTGATTTCCATATAATCTTCCACTAAATTCTCTTGCTTTTAATCTACCAGTATATTTACGACGTTCGCACGGCTGCAAATTGTCTTTGCAGTCAACCTCCCTGTTTTTGGTATCAAAGAATTTAGGTCGACAATGTCCGCATGGGTCTATTCTGCAAACAGCGAGAGGATTACCGGGGCAAGTAAGTCTTGCACATAGATTATAACTGCATTTTCTAATCGTTGTATCAGGTGGACAAACTATAATAAAATGATTAAATAGTATAATATTAAGATTTCGTTATTTAATTGGTTATATTAAGGGTAATTACTACTATCATCAGAAGTTGTAGAGTTACAATTAGGCCTTCCCCTAACTACTGTTCCTTTTATCTGCTTTCCATTTTTATCGACGCACCAACAAACTCCTAGTGAATCTAAGCATTGAATTTCCCCCCATTCTCCTGATAACTTGCATCGTGGAATCATAATTGGGGAACTTGGAGATGCTTTCAATACTTGAATGGCTGCTTCTTTAGCTTTGGCGCAAGAACCAGTTGAGTTTACTAAAAAATTACTATTATTGGCAAAAATTTTCATTCAAATTTTGAAGGTATTACTAAGAGGATTCATGCATCTTTGACCAAAGGCTGATTTACAACATTTACGATCTTCTTTACAGTCTAAATCATGACTGCATTCTTTTTTATAAGAGCGTCTGTAATAGTAATGGATATAGCTGGATTTCCAAGGACATATTCCAGGTTTATCTAACATAAGTGAAAAACAAGTGTTTGCATAAATTAACAAAATATGCTTGACAAGTTTGTTTGAAGCTATCTTGTTACCTTCACAATAATCTTTGCATTTCTTATAAGTTTCAAAATTGTTACTATTTCCATCACAGCCAGAATAGGAAAACGATTCACATACTTTGGACTTTGTATTAAAGAAGTAACGTGTAACATATTTGTTGTTATTATTACAGTTCCCAGGCTTTTTGGGTTGTTGACACTTCAAAAGCCTATCGTCGTTATCTGGTTTGAAATTACAAATTAGTACCACTCATAAGTTCCTATAAAATTCTCTCTTTTACCCGTGTTTGGACAACAAACACCTAACCCCGTTTTCTTGTCATAAAGACATTTGTATTTTTTGGGACAAACATTTGTCTGATTTTGAAAAGTAGCAGCTGGATCATCCTTTAAAATAGCAGCCCTGCCTAAGATACCCGCAAAAAGCGAATTTGGCCACGTAGAATCAGACTTATAATTGTTACAAGTTACAATTCTTGCGCTTTTAAGATCTCTATAAACTTCACCCTTTGGACAAGCAACGTTGCCATAATTTGGTTCAAAACAAACAGGTATTGGCTGACAATCTGTAGCATCATTACAGCTGACTCGAACTAACTCGCAAATGCGACCATCTTTACAGGGATAATTCTGAGGGAAAACTCTCATTGAGAAACGATCTATTATTAAAAATTCATGTATTTACGCTGCAAGGATTTTCTTTACATAGACAAGATGGACATCCAACATCATCAGTTTCAAACCCAAATTCACATTTTTTTTCCTCACGTCCGTTCTCCATCATACATGTTTTAACTTGACATTCATTTAGCGGTAATTCTATTGGATAAATTATACAACACATGACAATAAAAGTATAATATACTGAAAAGAAAGTCATTACCATCACATTTCAATGCTGTTTTATTAAAGCCAATTTCGAATTTGTTTTGTTCTCCAGTCCCTACGTCAACACACCAGCATATTTCACTATGCTTCAAAAAGTTACCTTTATTTCCTTTCCATCCTCTTCGTTCTCCACGACCTTTACCTCTCTGTCCTCTTTCGTCGGATTTATTTTTGTTTCTTCCAAATATAATTGTTCGGTTACCCCAGACTTGCCAGTGATACCCTCGTTTTCCAGACCCCTTGTTAAATCCTCTCCAATTTTTTCCTACACCTAATTTTCGACATTGAACAGGCTCGAAATTTCCCTCTTCATCGCATTCCGGAACAAAGGATGAATTTGTAGTGATAGCTTCTTCCCTTTGCACCTGGCAAAATGTTATATCTAAAGCGAATTAGAACAGCTAATGTTAGATAGTGCATCTCAAAGTATTTCAGTTACCTTCTAAATCAGGTATAACACACTGACTACCACATTCATTTTGGCAGCATTTTAATATTCCGGAGCAATCTATATCTGATTCACATTCCTGTGCACACCAGCTATCTTTTCCATCGCTGTCGTAGATATCAGTGGGATATGTTGCGTAGTCATATGTCAAATCAAGAGGACAGCTGCCTTTTTTGACTGTTGCTCTACAAACACCTTTTGTTTTTCGCAAAATGTTTTTGACCCATCCTTTCTTTCCTCTTCTCTTTCCTTTTTGTTTTCCCCAAACTTTACCTGGGTCTATATTTCTTAAATTTTTACCCCAAGCTCCTGGTCCTCCCTTTTGTGTTATATTACCGTGCAGAAATTCATTAAAACTTGTCGCATTGATGTAAAGATTATGTTGACTACAGAAGCGATTTCCAGCTTCACACAATGTTGACTCCTCGATGCACACATACTGGTCAGGACACTTGATTCCCTTTGAGAAAAACACATATACTGTAGAACTTTCTACATCATATGACAAACTTACTTTACAAGGATCTGTGTTGCATGAACAAATTTCGCAGCCTTTCTCATCCGACAAATAACCGTGTATGCATACTAATCTACACCTTACACGTGGGCAATCCTTATCCCTTGACAAGGGAGCTGGTTTAATAAAGGGTATATTTTAACAATAAAATCATACTTTTAATTATTATAAACCATAGCATTGCGCTGAAACTTTTCCACATGGAATTGATGCACAGTCATCAAGGTTTGCTTTACATACTTGATTTCTTGGACAAATCATATTTTTACATGGATCTTTTTCACATTGACATCTAAAACAATCAGTATACGGATCAACTTTATACCCATACAGGCATTGTTTTGTACAGTATGTAAAATCTGGACAGCTATTAGCTATATAAAAACATAGTTGTAATTAATTTGCTAGCTTCAGGAGAAAATTTTATAAATTTACAAATATTTCCTGTGGCGTATACACTTAATGAAGATTTTCCTCCACACTCCTCACTCTTGTCTCCTGGACATTGATAGTTGCATTTTCCTTTAAATTTTTTGGGCATTTTAGATGAACAACCGCACATACGGTATATTTTGCCCACCTAAACAATTATTGAATAACAATTTCATATTTCTATATAATATATATATTACAGACTAACATGAACTGTAGCAAGAGTATAATTACTCTTCTTACAATGAGAAATACACTGACTAGCTGTTCCCTTCCGTTTACTTAAACTTAGAATATTTTTTAGCGTGTTTTTAGCATGCTCATATTTAGAGCAGCCAATATATTCTCCAACTGTTTGAAAAATAAATAGTTTTATTAAGATTTGATAGGAAAATTATAATTTTTGTTTTACCAGATAATTCAGAAACATTCCGCTTTATCTCAATTTCGCATTTAGACCCTTTGAAATTCCTTGGGCAAATACAACTACTTAATAAACTTGGAACACAAGTTCCACCATTTTTACAATAGTTAACAGAACAACTAAAATAAATGAAGTAAATTATTTTACAAATAATATTCTATCAGAAGTAAGTTTACTATTTACCCTAAAATTCCATTCGGCTTTAAAACTGAGTCACGTAAGTCTAGTAGTCCGGTAGCAATTTTCCAGCTAGAAGAGGCTTTATATCAAGTAGGAAACAATGTTTTACTATAACTTGTAACTTTTGATAAGATTAATAAATGTATTAAAACCTTGGAGAGATAGGCAGAGCAAGAAAATGAAAAATAACTTCATTTTTAGTTACTGCAAGTCAACACCATGTGATTAAAACTTGTGACTCGCTTAGTATTATTCTAATACTTATTAAAATTAAATGGTAATAGGATACAAAATATTATTTAAAATCACATGATAGAATGAAATCAATAGACCTTTCAACTGGTCTCACGAAAAAGTGCACTATAAGTATGACGTATAATCTACAATTAGCCCCAAGAATGTTTCCTATTTTGTTTCTGGGAAAATTTCTGTTATCCAAGCTTTTAAGTCCTTTAGCTCTTTATAACACATTTCATGACCCATTTCGTAACTGTTAAAGTCTGTTAAAGATATACCCAGCGATTTCAATGTTTCATACGTTTCTTTACCCCAAGCTTCAGGTATCTGAAAATATATAATATTAATTATATTAAGTTGTATCAGTACCATATTCATTAAATTATATCAATTTAATTACTAGCTTGTCAATAGAACCATGACACTGAAATACTCTTGGACGTTTTTCATTTGGAGTATCGGCCAGACACTGAAGAAATGTATAAATTAGATTAAATGCGAGAATTTTTATTAATAAACTGACAAAAAAATTTACCTTGTAGACTGCAGAGTTTCTTGGAAGAAATGTTGATAGAATGAACATATTTTTTATGTCACATCTATGTCTTAAGCAATAATGCATTGCCATTATACCACCCATAGATAAGCCTCCTGAAAACATATTACTCTTTCATTTCATATGAATATACAAATTTTTTAAATGAATATACCAATTATTATATTCTCCACATTCAATCCAGAAGAAACTTCATCCTCGATAATTCCATCTATTTTCTTACACATCTTGTCGATACTTGACAAATTTTCAGAAAAATTTATATCAATTTTTTCCCAATCGAACCAAATATTGCACAACTGATTTCCAGCTGCCTTGTACAATATTTCAGGTGCAGTAGGATAAATAATTTTCAAGTGAGAGAAAGAAAATCTCTGCTTCATCACCCATTCCAACCATTCGGCTAGAGATTCTCCGCTACCTCCTTTTAAGCATGATAAAAGTTAATTGAGTGAATATACATCTATCGAAACTTGCCAACCTGCTCCATGTAAGAAAATTACAGTGCCATTATTTTGGCGATTTGTTTGAGATATCTCTAACGTATCTAAAGCGTCCATATTACAAGATAACTTATGATTACTATTGCGTTAAGTGGTGTTCGATCAAGAAAACGAAAGATAGTCGAAATGATATTTACGATGTCCAAGCGAAATATTCTTCATTCTATTAAAGAATCTTTTTTTGGTAAAGTTTAAAAACTATAACTTATTTCTAATATAAAAATTAAATACTATATAAAAATCAATTAAATATATATCTTTTTTAGAAAGAAATACAATGAAAAGTGTTAAGAAATGAATAAAGAGACATGGTAAATAAAAAATGTTCTAATTATATTTTGTTTTTGTTTTTACAAATCATTTAAATCCTAATAATTAGTTGAAAAATGAAAATTTCAAAAATATTATGAAATAATAAAAATATTCTAATTTTTTTAGAGAAGATAGAGAAATATTATTATGAATATTAAAAACGTTCTATACTTTTGTAATATTATTCTATGGAATAGTTTTTTCAAGTTTATAATATCATTCGAAAATAATAATTCCAAAATTACTAATAAGTTGACATTATTACTCTTTAATAATTCTCTTTCCGTGAATGATGAAATAGATAATTTATTTGTTAAATCTTTGTGGTATATATTCGATTTAGAACAATTTACAAGAATGAATTATATTCGCTTATATATAAAAAATTTTAGTAAGTATTTATCACGAAAAAATATTAGTTTTGTTATATTTCAGGAAAATAAGGAAAATAGTAATTCGTCCCTTTTGTTTGTAATAATTTGTAGATAACGAAACGAATAACATAAGTTATCTCTTAAGCATTCAAGATAAAATATCAAATCTTGACAATTTAATTGATAAAAGAGCAATTACACAATTTTGTAACGTTATATCGAATATAGATGAAAAAACTTTAAATAAATGCAAATTGAGAAAAAATATCGGTCGATATTTAATAATCAACAGTTTAAATAGTAGATTAGAAATTTCATGTATTAAATTTTCTTCCGAAAGAGAGAACACTAAAGGTAATTAAAATTAGCAATATAATTATTTCTATTTTTACACTATATAATATATATTTCTAATTATATTAATCCTTTTCAAGGAGGTGTTATAATTCAAACAATTCTGTTGCAAAATTTTGGTTCCTTATGTAGACACTGTAATTCCCCTAATGCTAAAATGGTTTTTGCCTTGCATAGAAATTTAACAACTAGGAATTCTGTCTTACACGACATTTTATTTTTGTCACCTTTGAAAAACTCCTCACAAAGAGTCTTTTATGATAGAAAATATCAAATAAAAAGTGTAATTTCGAAAGAGTTACTAACACTTAAATTTTCTTCCTGTATCATACCAAAACAAAAAGTAAAACTTTCAATCTTAAATAAAGCAACCATTGAGGAAGAAATTCAGATATTGAAAGAGAGAATTTTACCATTAATATTTAATTTGCATATTACCTGCTCAAATTTTACATACTATGAATATTCATATAATATGTTTGACTTGCAAAACATGCAAAATATAAATTCTTTATTGATTATTTTCAAAGGTAATTTAATTACAGCGTTGATAGAATTAAAATGAGTTTCTAATCAATTTCTTGATAATTTTATTCTAGAGAAAAGTAAAATCGAAAATTTGGTAATTTTTGTTAGTAATAGATCAAAGGTGGTGGGAGAAAAGGAAATTAGAAAATGCGTTCAGGTTAATTAGTATAAATATAAAAAAGATTCGTATCCTTTTATCCTTTATATCTTTCCGAAATAGGTAAAAGAGTATAGCGATTTATATTTGCTTGTAAATTGTGCTAATAGCGTTAGAGGCAAATACCTTTTTCTAAGAACTTCTCTTCCTCGAAAATTTGTACCCCCATGTAAAATAGAATGGTTCCCTTTTAAGTTTCATTCTACTTTATATTTCAATAATACCACACAATCTCAAATGCGTGTTATCAATTCAATAAAATTATTAAATGTAAGAAAGAGAAGAAAAAGGACAATCGAATCGTCCTTATTAAAACATAAAACGGAATCTTGTACTGAGATAATTGTAAAGAATAATCTTCAAGGGCATTGGAGAAGTGGGACTGTACATTGCCTAGAAACTAATGAAAATTTAATATCAGGTAGACCATGTGTCATTTTTGATTTGTCAGACACAAGAAATATAGCCTCTTTATCCATTGTGACAAAAGGTTTGTTGACCTTCCTTAATATTCAAAATAACCTGATACTAATATTTCGAATTATAAAATTAGATTATCCGGTTCCTAAAGTAAATGTTGCCATTTTCAATAACTTTTCTTCTGACATAAATGATAGTATAATTTGTCAACAAATTTCGGAAAAATCTAAATCAGGCTTATTCAACTGTGGCGAAAATACGCTGGGCCGTTACGTCGTCCTTTTTACGGACGATCCATCATTAGTTCTTTGTGAAATGACGATAAACAACAAAATGTTTGAAAAGCCAATACCATTCTCCCTCGAAAAAGATAAGAAAGCCAAATCATTTCTAGAATCAATAGGAAAAGCTGTTGATAAAATTCTATTTTCAAGAGAGACTATTCATTCGAAGACAAACTTGAAAAAAGAGAATTCAATAAAGGCTAAATATAATACGTCTATTGCTGATTATTTTTCACTAGACGAACTAACTGAAGATTTATTAGAATTAGGAATAAATAGAGCTATGAATAGGCCGTCCTATCAGAAAGATTTTACAAAAACTAATCCAACCGATCCAAATTTGGCCAATGATGGTATAGTTAACACTTGCACCTTTACAAATTACGTTGAAAAATCTTATAATTATCCATGGTGGATGGTACAACTAGACGACGACACAATAGTGGAAAAGGTTGTTTTAATTAGTCAACGTAAGTGATCCTCTTCATAAGAATTTTAAAATAACGTTTATTCACCTTCCTGTTAAAGGAAATGAAATAGCTCATATGTCAGCTTTCCTGCATGCCAAATGGCCTATCAATAATAATAATAACCATGTAGAAAAGGATGATAATACTGTTCTATGCTTTAGAGTTAATTTGTGGAAAGGTGTTAAATATTCTAAAAGATGCTATAATCCAATCATTACTCAATATTTAGTTGTTAAAACACTTCGCACGCAATTAATGATTTGTGAAGTGCAAATATTTGGCAAAGATGTTGATACACAAAATTTTAACAAATATAAATTGCAGACAATCTTAAGAAAGACGATGATTGTTAATATTACAACCACCTCATTCCCAGGGAAAATGTACACATCAAGTTTGTATATTATATGAATCCGTACAGAAATTCTACAAATTTTTTTATATTATCAAATAGGAAATCTTGCTTTTGGTAAAAAAATTTTTACTGGTGAAAACGTATCATACCAGTCTTCTGACACTGGCCCGCAGAAGGCTATAGATAATCTACTATTTACTTGTACAAACCTGGAGTTTCTAGATTATCTCTTTGCCTGGATAGCTATTGATTTACAAAAGAAAAAAACTGTTGCTCAGATAAGAATAAAAAATATAGATGTTATTAGTAATCAATTTTCCGCTTTTATGACTGACATTGTTAAATCATTACTCGATAAAAAATTTTCATTAAATGGTGACGCCTGCTATAAAGAAAGAAAATCAAATACTAGAGAAATAGAGGGTATTTGTATTACACCAGTGTCAGGCGTTTATGCCGTATTATTGTCCCATACTCCTTTTCTAACTATTTGTGAAGTAGCAGTGTTTCAGAAAGTATTCCAAAGTATAAAAAAATATTGAGTAAATGTTATCTATTACTTAGGTTTAGTGAAAAGATAATATTTAAACAGGATATAGGAGAGGGACATTATCCTTGAATTTGTTACTAGGTCATGATGCATTCCAGTCTAGTACAGTTGATGGTCAAAATGCTGGCTTGGCAATTGACGGTTTTTTAAATACTTGTAGTGTAACTGAATATGATATTAGCTCTTCAAGAAAAACAGGAGCTTGGTGGTTTGTAGATATTGGAAGGATAGCTAGTATTAAACGAATAGAGTTAAGAAGCGGTAACATATCTCACTATTTTTTTTAACAAATATATGAATGACTTTATATGATATAACTTTTAAAGAGCAGGGATTTTCTCTTAGCATAATGGTAGGACTAAGCGAATTAAATCCACCGACGAATAATATGTGGCCACGTTTTAAAGATATAATTCAATGTTACGTCAAACACAATCTACAAGCTTTAAAAACTGTTGACCAAATTTGTACTAATGATGCAGTAAAGGGTCGATATTTGATTGTTACAACTACAAATACTCAACTTGAATTATGCGAAGTGAATGCTTTCGAAATAGATAATATACCAGAGGATTTAAATAGAACGAACATAGAAAGAAATGTATTATTCGGAGAGAGACTCATTGATATGGACGAAATGAGATTAGTTACTCATTTAACAGATGGAAATTATGATACGTGTTTATTAACGAATTCAATGAGATATTTAATCAACTTGGAGCGCGGTCTACCTGTTAAAACTATATTGTTCGTTACTAGATCTTTATTAACAAGTAATGTATAATATTTTTAAAATGATAAATTACTAGTATGGGAATGTTTCTCTATTCCAAGTATTCTTTCAGAGAAAGAAGAGGATATCCGCCTCAGCACGTTCTCTGATCTTCCAATAAGCCTTAATGAAACTAATTTAAGAACTCAAACAAAATGCATACCTCACTCTATAAATGTTTTAGTGGACTCTAATAATTTCGTTTTAACAAATATAACTTGTGAGTTTACGCTGCATGGCTATTGGTTACTTATTAAATTTAACAGCGCATATAATAAAGAAATATGTGAAATACAAGCACATTCGGAAGAGCATTTACGTAATAGATAAAATATATAATTTATGACCTACTTTATCAGATAATTCTAAAAATAGTTACTAGAAGATCGATTAATTCATCAAATAGATCATTAGATAATGTGGAATTACTTGATCCTATTGATTTAGTAATTTTTGGTTCTTCCGTTAATAGTTCACTAAAAAGAAATGATATAGATCCCAAGACAGCTATAGATGATAGTTTCTCCACCTGCTTTATTGCCAGCACCATTGAAAAGAAATTGTGGTGGTCGATTGAATTCTCTAGAAATCAATTAATATTTAGTGTACTATTGAATAATACGAGTTAGTTTCATACAGCAAATTAGTATAAGGGTACTTTTAACAAATTTTCTCACTTAATAACAGATAAGTATGCTTTGCCAATTGCGAGAGTTCTTGTTGCCAAAAATGATCCTGGTAAGCAAATCGACTTTAATGTAGATGCAAAAGAATGTTTTACCATACGAGTGAGACAGGAGTTTGTGCATAGAAATTGTAGTCCTGAACCTCTTGAAGGTACTATACTTGCAATAGTCACCGATAAGCAAGAATTAAACCTTTGCGAAATTCGAATATTCGGAACTGGCCCAAAAAATATGGTTTATAAAACTAAAACTTGGCAGAGTTCAGTAGAGCAGGATCATAGTAGCGAAAAAGCAATAGATGGTTCTAGATCGACGTGTTCTGTGACGTCTTTCAAATTAGGTTTAATGGACTATGAAGTTTGGTGGGCATCTGATTTGCAAAGTAACAGATCAGTTCGATCTATCCTTGTTTATCAGGGAGAAAACGGCCAATCTCATTACAGGGTGGGCTTGATTGACAAACTTCCCTATCTCTTAGCTGATCCTGGATTAATGGTATGTAAATTATTCACTTACATTAGGATCGCTTTAGTGTTTGTTCGAATACAACTAGCTTAAAATATGCTACGTTAGTCGAAAGTTAAATGAAAGTGAGGGAAGAGGAAAATGCTTAAGGCCTATTTCAGGCCGTTTTGTTTTTATTGATGGTATTGGTCAATCACTTAGAATCTGCGAAATTTACGTATTCGGGGAAGACGAAGAAGATAATAACATGCAAATATCTCCTTCTAACAATGAAATTGAGAGAGAATTATCAGAATTTTCGGTCCAACCAACAAATCTAGCACAAGACCAAAGGGTAACTTCTAATTTTTTACCGCAAAAGATTGCTCAGAATTTAGTCGAAAGTAATGGATTCTCTTGCTTTGCTCGTTCGTCTGGAAAAAATTTATGGATTTCGATCCTTTTAAACAAACGTCACACGGTCCATAAAGTCACTGTTGCTTACCGATGTGAGATTATTATTTTATTCTTTTAACTCTATTCCATGTATATTTTTATAGCCGAAAGTTCTGAATTCGAAATTGAACTATTTAATCCAAATGAACAGCCAAAATTATGCGTAGTGTTTCATACAAATAATTCCTTAAGCAATGAAACAATTACAGTTAGTAAAAATTGTCTACAACCAGTCGATGGTTCCATCTTGCGAATTTCCGCTCGCGAAGGACCTTTTAGTCTGTGTAAAGTTCAAATATTTGGTACAAATCAGCTAAATTTGTTATATAAGAAATGGGCTGTACAAAATGTAATATCGAACTATGACGAAGGTGGTTTGGCATTAGATGGAAACACTGCCACTTGTTTGTACTCTAAACTAAGCACACCCTATTGGTGGATGGCCGATATGAGAAATATATATCTTGTTAGAAGAATAGTAATACTTTTTAACGCAGATATAAAAAATAATAGAAAAATAGAAAACAACATGATTATATTATCTTTACTACTCAAGGTAAAAGTTTGTTTATATTCTATGATAAGACAAAAACAAACAAATGGTCAAACAAACCTTTACACTAAGCTTTATCTAACAGTTTCCGAAAAATGTTACACTAGAAATACGAAAGGAGGATAATATATGCCATTTTAAATACATAATTACTGGTCCAAAGATAAATTTTTTATGCATTAGAGCGAGAAAAGGTCGTTATATCACCATCTACCAACCTAAGTTTATTTTGTCTATGTGTGAAGTTTGGGTTTACGGACCAGAATCAGGTTAACTTCTATAAGTTTTAAGGCAAAAAACAGATTCTTATTAAATAGATTATTACATCCTATATAGAATTAAGAATCAAAAGATTCGCAATTAAAGATAATGTTGCAAAATTTAAACCGGTACTTAGCTATCCATTGGTGAATAATGGTCAATTAGCGGTCGATGACGATGAAAGAAGTTGTGTTAATTTTAATAAATCTAAAGTAAAATATCATCGTTGGTTAGCTATTTATTTAAGAAAGAATATCACAATTGATAAAATATCTATTCGGGGTTTTACTAATGAAACAACATGGATAATCGTAAAAGGAGCTTTTAATCTAAATGGCAAAGATCGTTATCAATATTCAAAAACTAATAAGGAGTGTAATAAATTTAAAACTGTACCTAATAGAAGCTTTAACGAATTCATTTCATGCCCTGGATTGGTTGCCTCCTATATTGTAATCTATTTCAATTCATCAAGTGATGTCAAATTATGTGATTTACTAGTATACCGTCTAAATCTTCCAAATTTCAAACCTTCGTTGTCTTATGATCAGTCTAAATTAATTGTTCTTAATTTGAAAAATTCACCCGCCTATCAGTCGGATATTTATAACAATGATGGAAAGAAATATGGGCCTATTCAAGCTTTAAAATTACCGGGTTGCACTAGAACGTCTAAAACGTCAAAGAGTTGGTGGGCTATAGATTTAAAGAAAAAGAAATATCTTGGTAAATTAGAATTAAGAACAAAGCACTCTCACAATGGTCTAGTCGTTGAAGTAGGGGATAATTTGCCGGATAAAAGATGGCCAATTACTCCGAATTTAAAGCTCTGCGTTTTTGTCAAAAGAGGAATAAAGGAATTTAGTGGACACTGTAAAAGGCCATTAACTGGGAGATACGTTATTATACATCCTCTTTTTACCGATTCTATACAGTTATGTTCAATTAAATTGTATCAAGTGAATGATGGGCATCCGTGTTTGAAATCTCTATGTGAAAATGGTGCTTCTTGCTTGAAAGTATCAAGGAAAAAGTACAAATGCATTTGTAAGTCTGGTACGGAAGGGAAGCGCTGTGAAAGATTAACTGCTAAGTGTACAGATGTTAATCAGGAGCTAATTTGTTCCGGTCGTGGCTATTGTGATTTAGCAATTAAAGATATGATAGTGTGCTTTTGTAATGAAGGTTTTACAGGTGAACGGTGCGAAAGTGAGGTTAGGACATGCTCAAGTTCACCTTGCATGAATGGAGGAACTTGCGAAGATAAACTAAATGGTTTTAGGTGTAGATGTCATTCCACTCATAAAGGAGAAAGATGCGAATATTTAGTTAGTGAATGTTCTGACAGGATTAGATGCTTAAATGGTGCAACTTGTTTCGATAGTTCGAATGGACCCGTTTGCATTTGTTTACAAGGTTTTACGGGTGGCAACTGCGAAGAAGATATCAATGAATGCGAAAGTAACCCTTGTCAGCACGGAGAATGTATAGATGAACCAAATGGCTATAGATGCAAATGCTATGGAAAATGGACTGGAGCCAATTGTAAACATTTAGCGAAAAGAAGGACAAATTGCAGAAGAGAAATTGAGCAGACTGATGAAGATACGAATTGTTTAGCTGGTATTCCCGACTCTCAAAAACCATCTGTTTGTTCAGGAATATCTTGCGGTTACGGATCAGTTTGTGTACCTTGGAAATGGACTTACATTTGCTTGTGTGGGAACAATCGCTCCGGTCCCAGATGTGAAACAGTCAGAAACGTCTGCGATAATTATCCCTGTGAAAATGATGGAACCTGTTCCTTTATTAGAGACTCTTTTATTTGCAGATGTCCACAAGGGTTCTATGGAGAAGTCTGTCAAATGTCTATTGCCACGCTTCCTCCAGGTTTCACTCTATCGCCTCATCAAACTTTACCCTCAGGATGGCGAATAGGACCACCAATTGGGCCTTGTACACCAAATCCTTGCATGAATTCTGGAAGATGCCGAATAGTCAATGGTAAAGGTCGATGCTTTTGTCCACCTAATTGGACTGGTGATTATTGTCGGAAAGGTTTAGAAGTTTGTGGTACCAGACCCTGTATGAATAACGGTATTTGTCTTAGAGGAAACAATAGTACAAATCCCTCTTGCCTATGTCGGCCTGATTATACAGGAGAATTCTGCGAAAATGGAATTCTCCACAAATGCTATTCGAATAGTGAATGTTTTAACGGAGGCAGGTGCGATTCCGTAAATTATCAAAGAAGATGTGTTTGTCCAAGTGGTTGGGTTGGTGAAAAATGTGAAATGGTAATTGATCCATGTTTAAGTTCACCTTGTTGGCATGGGGTATGTGCTAAAGTACCTGATTCAAAGTCGGAAATAATTTGTGACTGTTACCCCGGCTGGACGGGAGAATTTTGTAACATTTCTCCGACAAATCCATGTAATTCCCATCCCTGCTTAAACGGCGGTGTCTGCGAGAGAATAGACGATCATTATAAATGCTTATGTCCAAACGAATTTATTGGACAATTTTGTAATATTAGAAAATCGAACGTAGATGAGGATTTGCTGGAAATCGAAGGATTTAAAATTAGACCCTGCCGAGAGCATGGTTGCGTATGCAATCAAAATCCTTGTCTACATAGAGGAATTTGTTATGAGACTAATCCTCTAGATTTCGAATGCAATTGTCAGGTTTCATGGTACGGTAAAAGGTGCGAAAAACGTATAAAAGGCAAAAATAAATGCTTACTATCTCATAAAAAAATTCCCTGTGGTCATGGTTTTTGCAAACATGATGATGATGCCTTTTATTGTATTTGTCCTAAAGCTTATAAAGATAGATGTTGCGAAAAGATGACCGATCCGTGCGCAAATAGACCTTGTCCCAGTGATCTGAAGTGTATCGTTTTAAAGCATAATTATTCGACTTCTTTCAATTGTATTTCAAATTCATTGTGGGATGGGTCTGGCTTTAATATTGAAACTCCTGGTAATTAACGATTAATCACTAAATTATATCTATTTTTAATACAAGTATATAAACTGTATACAATATTAAAAACATTTTTTCACAGCCTCATCCCAAAATAGAGACTTAATGTATTTCTCGTTTGCCTTTCTTATCCTACTTATGTGTATCGGTTTGGCTTGCTGCTATTTTAATTATGTAGAGGAAAGTATAGGAAATTCCTGCTGTAACTGTTTGGAAAATGCAATAATGGTCTGTGGACGTTGTTGTATAACTGAGGAAAGATATCAGGAACACAGCAACTTTGTTAAAAATGCTCATCAATCGCATTCTTGCATAGAAAAGAATTCTAACCAGTGTCAAGGCAATGTGAATAATGTATTTGACAGAAGATTTGATAATGAAGAAAGTAAATTATTATTAATAATGATATTGTACTTTTATAGATAAGCATACGAATTTCTCTTTCTTTTTTTATTTTTGCAGACATTTATACCGCTCCATTAGATGAATCTACATTCCGAGTACGGTAGAATTACTTCGACAACCTATCAATTTTTCCTGATTTTGTTTTAGCCATTATCATTCGTAAACCGGAGAAATCCTTTCAAATATTCCCCCTCTCCCCCCCTCCTCCGCCTACCAAAAAAAGACAATAAATTATTAGTATTACTGTCATTTTTATAGAAATTACTTCTTGTTTCGTTTTTTTTTGTTAACGTTATTTCATCTTTGTTTCCCATTCGCCTTCATGTCAATCTCTGTCTCTGTCTCTGTCTCTTTCTCTTTCTCTATCCAACGTTTTATTAAAACTACAATATGTTACTTAACAAATAGACTTCAGCTTGAAAAATTTTTTACTACTTTTACGCCTCAGAAGATTTTACTTATCCCTCGAGCATCGCTATCTTAGAATGCAGTATTCCGATCAATAGAGTAATGAAATTTTCAGTGTTTTTCTGGTATAGAAACAAAAAGTTACCAATTCACATAAATAACAATATTTTCTGTTTTTTTGACTTCTTAGGCAATCTAATAGAAAGTCTAAAAAAATTGCTATTTATATTTAGTACTTACTTATCTATATACTGTCTATATATGATATGTATAGTAATATATATATATATATATATATATATATTTTTAATAAGCTGGGTATACTATTTATAGCGCATATAGTATATAGCATCATTGGATTAATTAATATTGGATCAAACGATTATCCATTTAATTAGGTAATAGAAGGTAATTGATAATGGTACAAAAAAAATGTAACAGTAAATAATATCAACATGTAATATAATTAATTTCTTTGATGGAAGAGACGTAAAAATATCCTTTTCTCTTTAGTTATGGTCTTTAGATTCAGAATAGCTCCATTTGTATTCTTAACCAGACGTTGACAAACGAGAAATGAATGGAATAATAACAAAAAAATTTATAAATAATTTAGTTAAAGCTTCTTTTTCTCCTTATTTACCTGTTGAGTAATGTTGTAAAGATTTTCTTCTGCCTTCTTAAGCTTATTGGCTAATTACTTTCAGTTGATAGAGAGGGGATCGGAGGCAGGGAGATATTTGCATATATATATATACATACAATATATGGACAGACACACGCAAATTGGGAATGTTTTTTTGTTTAAAACCATTGTAGAATACTTTATACCGATTTAAATAAATATGAATTTTGTTTCTATATATAAAAAAGAAAAATGATTCTCATCTCCCCTTGAGAATTAGGAAATCGCAAATAGGCTGGCATTCATTAGCTTACGCAACACATTAAATACGATAGAGAATCAAATAAAAGTAGATTATTCTGTTTAGTTTCAAAGAAGAAGATTGTGTCCTATACAATAATGTATATGACATAAAGATTATTTGAATGAGAGCCCGTCGCGGCCTATCGACTCCTATTCCAATTTATTCTGGATTTACAAATTCAGTGTCCATAACCCTCTGGCGTCGAGAAACTCGAAACTTGACTCAAAAAGTTAAATTACGGCAAGCGTCCTTCGTGGCAAGAAACTGGAATTACATGCTGATGCAAGGTTAGTGGAAAATAACTTTCAAAACCGATAAAATCGTTATTTATGATAAGAAAGAATAATGCATTGATATAACCTACATCCCAGGAGCCCAAAAGAATTATTGACAATTATGACTTAATTCTCAATTGATTATATTTCGTTTTGGGAGATGTTATAAACTAGTATTTGTTTTAAGATTTTTATTGGCTTTATTTATGTTTTGCGTAAGCCGGAAGGAAAAAGTTCAAAATAGGCTTATCATTAAAAACAAAAATAATGAGTCTCTTTATTTGTCACGTGACTATGGTATAGGCAATTAAAACAATTAAATATATATATATATATCTATATATACATTATATGGCTTAAAGTATTGAAAATATAACAAAGCTTTCCATTTTAAACTGAAGGATCCAAAATCGTTCATTTTATTGTTTGGATTTGTTGACATTCCGATTCATTTCTTTCCCCAGAGCGAATTCTAAACTACTGACAGATATCAAATGGCGCGAAAGAAATTCTATATTCAGAACGTTTAAACGTCTGTTCCATTTCATCGTTTTTCATACTAAATCTATCTATATAAATGATATCATTGTGTTTTTGTTCTTTTCTTTTTGCTATATTTATCATAAATGCGACAGATGCCTTCAAAGCGTGACTCTCTTTCGGATTTTGCGGAAGTCGAAGATAGCGAACGGCTCATTAACGATAAAACAGAAGAATTGAGTATAAGCGAAAAAATTTCAACGGTTAGTAAAAATTATTAATAAATACGTTAAAGGAAGAAAAAACAAAGCCCCAAACGTTATGTGAATGGTTTTTTTATTCTTTTTTTGGAAGGAAATTTGCATTCTGCATTATATGTAACGCCCTAGCCATTGGCATACATATATATATATATATACTGTATATATATACATAACTATTCGCCTGTGGTATGGGAATCATTCATCTCACGTAACTTATCAGGTGACGTTCGTGACGTTGAACAAGAGAAACTTAAAAGCGTCATTTTTTCTTCCGAGGAGGAAAATTTCCGATAACTAATAGATGGCGCCAAATGTTTAACCTCTTGTTTTTTTTAAATGCTGATGCCTGGATAAACTGTACACTGTTCATATACCATATATCACGCTCCGCCGAAATAATAATCCTTCAACGGATTGACAATCTAAAGAAAAAGCATAGAATCTTTCAATGATAAATTCCCTTAGGCCTGAGGCGGACCACAGAGGTGATTAGTTGCTTTTGTTTCCCCAACTTCTCTCTTCCGATTCTCATAGATCCATCGAAAGTACATTTCCACTATGTTATAGTCTTAATAAAGTTAGTGCAATTTCCGACAGCAATTTTTATAGTATCATCTTTTATGCGTGTACTATTCTACTTGATATCGTTTGGATGTCTGGTCTAAAATCTAAAGCAAAAAATAACGGATTTACATCATATTGCCCCTAATCAAGTATTTTTTTCGCCGTAATTTCGATAAGCTTCAAACACTATCGAATAAAATATTTCACTGATATTTCTGCTTATGCTGCAAATTTTAACGACTCCGTTCCATTTACTATTATTTATACTGATTTGTACTGCAAATCGATTTATACACGTTCGTGCAATATGCACAGATGTCTAGAATCCTTTCACTCGGACATTTCATCAAATGCATAGTCAATATCGCATATCAGTTTGTAAAGGCCTCTTTAACTGTTCCCCCCTTAAATAAGCGGTTTATTATTTGGCATTTTACTGAAGATTGTCAAGATGGCTAATTAGGGACGAGGACGCCTAAAACGATTTCGTGCCCTGAATAGTTTGGAGGTAATTTATATTCTATTTCAAATGTTTTCTGTGGAAGATTCTATTGTATTTAACAAACGATGCTACTACATCTGGGACGTTGCTTATCCAAGCTAACGACGCTTGCCAATAGGAAAATCAGGCCACAGTCTATTTCCTCCATCACATAGACACTTGACGGAAAGTGATGAGAGATAAAACTAACCAATCAATGTTTGCATTTTGACTAATTCTTCTTGTTGCGTATAGTCTTTAATACTATTTTTTCATTTTTATTTCGTAAATCGATCGAGGTCGTTATAGGTGTTTTATCGACAGATGGAGCACTTATCAAGCCCCACTTAAGCAGTTGTTTATATTTAGATAGCGTCACTACTTTATTTATTTAAAAATTAAAATTACAATAACGCTTAAAAGAGTGTAGGTTATTAAAGGCTAATCTTCTTTTTATTTCCGATTTATCTTTTCACTCAAGTATAAACTAGATCATATTAGAAATGACGTAGTCACCTGTAACCTGAGGGGATAATTTGTTGGATAGAACAAGCTATTTTTCATTTTCTTTTGAAATAATAAGCCTTTACTTTATTTAAAAAGCATACCGTGACACCAGCGCCTTACTTTCGCGACTCTCGGTTAACATGGTATAGTATAAATAGGTGTTAGACGTGTCTCTTTCACTCTCTCGCTCACTCACTCTTTCTCCCTCGGCTCGGCTCTGCTCTGTCCTCTCTCCTCTCTCTCTCTCTCTCTCTCTCTCAGTATTGATGTGCGTGCCTGCGTGTGTGTATCTTTCTCTTTCTCTCTCTCTCTCACTCAGTGTCGTCCTCTCTATCTAATTCTCACATCTGTCTCTCCTATTACTTCTTTTATCCTCGGCTCAGCAAATTGTCTTCTTCCTTTAGTTATTTTTCCATTTATACAATAGATGAAGTCGAGTTGTAAGAGCACACTTATCCGTCCACAATTCGCCAGTGCGGATAGTCTGCACGAAAACCAAACGGACCAAGAACAGGTTCCGCTGATTATTATCATTAATATTTTGTACTTTACCTATCATGTAATTATTGTCTAATTCAACTTCTCGTATTTCTTTATCTTGCAGTGGATTGGCCAAACTAGGAATCCAGATACAATGACTAGTAATAAAGTCAATGTGCAGATGATTGTAACCGATCAAGCAGGAGTTGATGTCGATAAATTGCAATATAGGAGACCAGCTTATGTAGCCGTTGGATTTGTTCTAGCTTTAACTGCTTTCGTAGTTTTATTTCCAGCATTAGTTAACTCAAGAATGCTTGGAATGAAATTTAATGTGTTCACTAAGCGTATCGGTCCAAGATGTGATGACTCATACTGCAAGTAAGTAATTAGTTTGAGAAATTAGTCGGTACTGTAAAAAAAAAAAAGAAAAGATAGAGGACTATCTCTTACTAAACAAGTTTGATGTTGTAAAATCTAAAAAGTGCTTGACTTTTATTAGCCTGTCAATTAATGTCTGTATGATTGGGAATAAGGCTTCGTCTATATTTATCCGTCCGTTTCATTGCAGGGTTGAATTAGTGGAAAGCATTCCGGAAAACGTGACTTTTAATGAAACCGTAGCACATTTGTCAACATTCAACGCTTGGAAAACACTGATCACAAAAGCAAATAAAACTATAAAAATTGCATCTTGCTATTGGAGCCTAACTAGCAACGATACGGGGCACTTTCACTTTTCTTCAGCTTGGCAAGTAAGATATAAGTTTTATTATTATAACTAAAGATTCCTTAAGGGAATAAAAGGTTAAAAAAACCATTTTCTACCGAAATCTTTGCTGTTGGCGTTTAATCGATAGTGAACGCTTTACAGTTGATACATATAAATACAAGCTTCTTATTTCTATAATCTTACCTATTTTCTTATCTTAATACGAAAAGGGAGAAGAAATATTAAAATTATTAAAAAGAAGTTTGAGCGCAAGAAAGATCAACGTCGAAATTGTCACAGACGCGCAAAGTTATAATAAAAGTAGAAGAAATTTAGAAGAGCTGGCGAAACTCGGTTTGTAACGAATAAATCTCAAGTTATTTAGTTATTCTTTAGGGATATAAAAAAAGAGAAAAAAATAACATATAGAACTTTTTATCTTAATTCGTAACGCCTTCGGCTCCCTCTCTGACTTTTCCATTTCTCTTTTTGTTTAAAGGTGCGAAAGTGAGACGTTTAGATATGAAAAAGCTTCTAAATAGTAGTGGTATCTTACACACAAAAATGTGGATTATTGATGATAAGCACGCATACGTGGGGTCGGCCAATATGGATTGGAGGTCGTTGACAGAAGTAAAAGAATTAGGGGTGCTAATTACAAATTGTTCGTGTATGATCAAAGATTTAGTGAAGAATTTTATCGTTTATTGGAAATTGGCCGTTAAGGATGCTGTTATACCAGTTACTTGGCCAACTTCCTTGTCAACCTTGTATGACATAGAGTCCCCTATGGTTGTGTCTTTAAGGGGTATGAAGGATATTGCCAGACTGTTTTTTACAGTAAGATGAAAAGAACCTTTCTTATTTCGTCTCGCGAAATTACTTCTTTCTTGCTTTGTCATTACTAAAAAAAAAACGATTGATTTTCCCCTGCAGAATTCCCCACAGTCTCTCTGTCCACGTGGTCGGACGAATGATATCTACGCAATTGTATCCGTAATCAATAGAGCTCGAAAATTTGTCTATATATCCGTTATGGATTATCATCCCCTTATTGAATACCGTAAACCTGAATTGTAAATATGCCTTGTCTAATTATTCATGTACCAATGAGAAATAATACTTAAAGATTCTAATAGGATATTAAATTAAATCTACCAATCTCCTCTCCCTTTTCCTTTTACTTATTCCTCTTATTGCCCCTCTCTCCCTATTTCTTTCCTTTTAAAACTAATCTTTTTCGTTTGACCAACAGATTTTGGCCAGTTATCGACAATGCACTTAGAAAGGTAGCTTTAGAGAATTTCGTTGAAATTCGATTACTAATATCCAGATGGAGGCATACGAGAAAGGATATGTACCATTTTCTCAAGTCTCTTAAAGCCCTCAATGGAATTGAAAATGGTGCTGATAAAGTGAAATTTGAAGTAGTAAGTCTTGTTTTCTATTTTCCTATGAGTCTTTTATGCTATTCTTTTTAACAAAGGCGAGACACGAACAATAAATAACAACCTGTTTTTATTTTAGAAACTGTTTGAAGTTCCGGTAAGCAAAGCTCAAGAAAAGATTCCCTACGCCAGAGTTAACCATAACAAGTATATGATCACTGATAATGCAGCTTTTATAGGTATATAACAATAGAGAAAAATAGCATTTTTTGCCATTTCAATATATTTCTTCAAAGGCTATTTAACACTTCCATCTCGTTTAATTTTTTTTAAAGGAACCTCAAATTGGTCTGGAGATTACTTCACTAATACAGCAGGTACTTCGCTTATAGTCAATCAAACAAGAGCCGATGGTACAATAGATGTCACTACAGTACAGAAACAGCTACTCGATATCTTTACTCGAGATTGGAATTCGCGTTATGCCGTGTGGCTTTGATAATACGAGCATAACAATGCTATTTATCTTTTGTTACTGAATTTTTATCTGATTTATCATAAATAAGAAATATAAATAAATAAATAGGATAAACCAACTAAATTCTTTCAAATTTTACATCAAAGACAATAAAGGAAGGATAAAAGAAAAAGAAGAAAAATGAAGGAGGAAAAATACATTATATTTAATTCATCTAGAACGAGACCAACAAAACTCCGGCGGTTTATGACACTTTAGTGTTACAGTTTCTTATTCTTTAAAATTAATATTGTTGCTCACTATTTTCCTTATCTCATCAAATCAGGATCATTTTGGTAGGGGTATATTTTTAAAACGTCACCAGTTCCTTTTGTCCTTCCTTCTCTGAAAAGTAGCCTTGAACCAACGCTAATGAATTCAGGTCTTTTTAAGAAACGGAAACGAACAACTGCGCGGCTATTAGTTGGCACACAAGCTTTGTTACACTCTTCAATAATTGCTGTCTGACACACGTTGTTTATGTGTACAACACATTGGAAATTCTTAGTTAAGCCTTTTCCATGATGAAAAAGAACCCTAATATCAGCGTCAAACGCCATACAACAAATCGGGAAGGGATTTTTCAATAGCACCATTCCTTTTCGCACTGTTAATGGTACGTTGCCCAAAGCAAGTGCGACGGCTTGTCCAGCCATCGCAATTAGTGTTGGAACTCTACTGCGGTGTATCGATTGAACTTTTACTGGGAAGAAATTACCTGAAGAATCAGGTCCGATATATAATTCTTCTTGTTCTTTTATAACACCCTTTACAAGAGTTCCAGCTACCACAGTTCCACAATGAGCAAGATCATATACAGAATCAACTTGATGCTCCACTGAACCATCAATCTCCTTGTTTTTACCAAATACGGATGGAACAGCATACAGAAATTTTGTAAGAAGATTTAATCCTCTTCCACTCACGCTCGAAGCAACAAAATATGGGCAAACATTACCATTAATTGACGAAGCAGCCATAATGGCATCATCTTCATTGACTACCCTAAAAGGTACTTTTTTGATTCCTGGAGATTTTAGTGTCTTTTCCAAACACTTTATCAATTTCTCAAGTTGCTGCTTACCTACAGCATCAGACTTTGTTAATACAACTGCAGTTGGTAATTTTAAGGCTAAAGCCAAACCCAAGTGCTCTCTTGAAGTATTAGTTATTCCAGTTGTACAACTAACAGCTAAAATGGCATAATCAGGCTGTTGGGACGTTAAGGCACACATCGTTGTTTTTAGATATTTATCATGTCCAGGCTGATCTATTAAAGTGATGATTTTAGATGCCAAATTCAATATATCTTCGATATTCGGTTTCTCCGCATAGTTCAAAACATTACCCTTATCATCAAATCCAAATATCTCTTGACTAACCGAAGAAGTTCTTCCACTTTCAATTTCGTGTACATGACGGAAAAGATTCAATCTCGCTCTTCCATCAGCATTGTCTAGCTGACCATCGGTCAATACTCCAACTAAAGTAGACTTTCCAGATCCCCAACTTCCCAACACACTTATTCTAACGTCAATGAAGTCGTGACTGTCTGGAACTTTCCTAACGAGTACTTCAACAACTTTCCTATGATTCTCTAATTCTCTTTCTCTTACAACTGTAACAGTTGCTCCTAATCTGTCGAATAAAAAAAAAAAGATTTAAAAAAACTGGTAAGTAATACACATAAAAAAACCAAAACAAAGCAAAATCTCTACTATCACTATACGCTTATGTGTTTGTATACACATAAAAAATTTCAACACAGAAAAGGCCTATATGAGTAAAAAACAAAAACAGATAATACAAAAATTTCTCTGTAAACTAACCTATCAGCCATTTTATGTAAAGAATTTAATGATTCTTCTAAATCATCTGCATTGAGTCCTTTCAACATTCCTGTGTCGGTAACTCCAATTTCATATATAGCTTCGCCTCCTCCTTCTTGTAAACGCCATTTCATTTGAGATATTAAATGTTCTAATCTTGTTACTGATATATTGACTAATTGTCGTTTATATTCTATATTACCCTCTTCCACCTGTAAATTAGAAATAATCTTTTCAACTTTTATGGTTAACAGCTGATAAAAAACGTACCTCTGGTGGGAAAGTATCAGGAACAGGCTCAATTTCTTGGCAATCAGGTCCAAAAAATCCTATTAATGACTCCGACATCGCTTTCGATGTATTTCTTATCAAATATGACTAAATTCTAGATGGATACTATATACTTATATAAATAAATCAGTCTTATGCAATTCGTACGAAATATCTAAACAGCGGCCATCTTGCGTCAGAATTTCTCTGCTCTCCCCGGATGTTAGGATTTCCCGCAAATTCAGAAGGCCTATTTATCAGCTGACAAAAGTATATATTTAATCATTGAATTAGACAGGGCTACGACCACAAACTAATCTTATAAAAATAACCCAAAGATCAATTCGGCCCACTAACATTAAATATAAAAGCAGAAAACTAAAGAACCATTGTAAAAGTTTAGCTACTAAAAGTATTTTCGTATAATGTATACCAACTTTTTCTGTTGCTTAGCGACGCGTCATTAACGACGCTGTAAATCTCTTTTATTGAGCATTAATCGTAGGCGAAAGACCTTTTTCTTTGGCCTAAAACACTATCCCATTCAATATCGTTCGTTCAGTGCCATGAATTTTAGCTTGAAAACGGAGAAATCCTATGATGTGGATTACAGACCTAAACTTGTCGGTTGGAAGGACAAGAAAAAAAGGAAAAAAGCAAGAGAAACGCCGACGTCGTCATTTTTGAAAAAAGCTCAAAAGGAGTTACCAACTGCTTTTTATAAACCACTGCAGATAGTTATAAAAAGATTATTCTCAGAACTTTCAGAATCTGAACGCCTACGTCTTATTGAACAAGCCATTGAACTGTGTGGAAGCAAATTTGAGCTCATTTACTCTCTTAATAACTTTTTACCTGAGAATTATGTAGTAACTATTCAGAGAAGGGGAGTAGTCCTTCGCTTATGTGACGGAGGAAATGGTCAATCCCTTTACAGAAGTGAACATCTCCGCTTCATTAAAAGGATGAAGAGTCTATTACCACCTTCTGTATTTAATTTAGCCATTGAGCAACTCGATATTATTATAAAGCCTCCTTTGGATTGTCGCATTTGTGCAATAGAGAAAGTGATCTCAATTTTGAGCCCATTTAAAGATCTAGCTTTGGAAGTAAACAGTTTTCTACCAGCGACCTATAAAATCAAAAAAGTTGGTAGAGCAACTTTTATTTTTACTCATCCACCTAGAATGGGATCTGGCGTTACAACTGATTATTATGCTGATTCATGCCATACTGACACACACTATGAATGAACGAAACTTGTATTGAAATATGGTTAATGTTTCGTGACTGTTTTGTTTTAATATTTATATCAAACCATTTACTTTACTGTATGTAAGAATAAATCGAGAATCATTCGTCGTTACACCAAACATACAAAACATTTTACAATCATGTTCACCGACTTCTGCACTTTACAAAAAAAAAGTTCATGATTATTTCTTCTTTGGACCACCACGGGGTGGAGTTACAGGTCTGCCGCTATTCATTCCGCCATATTGATACTTCGTCTTTTTCTCAGAAGGTTTCAAGATTTGGAATGAGCACATTAAAGTCTCGTCTACGGACATCATTCCTCCAGCATTGTCGAACTCACCGCAGTAGTTGGGAGCAGAAAAAAGTGTGACCAACTGGCGTTTGGCGAAAAATTCGTAACCGTCCTCTACAACCTGATGTGCTCTGCAAATCAAATCCATATCGTGTCTGTTCAAAAATTTGCTAACTACGTCGGCTCCAAAGGTAAAAGAGACCCCCCTATCATTTTCCCCCCAGCCCTGAACTTCTTTATCTGGATCAGACCATAGTAAATCGCAAAGTAGGCCTATGGGAAATGATTCATCAAAAAAATTATATTTTGAGTAGTTTTAAGTCAGCTTACCAGTATCGGGAACATCAGTTGGTCGCATAATACGACGGATCTGTTCCATCGACTGTAAATCGGGTGATAGGCCTGTGGGATGATAAACATTTAGTGCAGCCATAAAAATATTTAGCAAAGTAAATTTGGAACTGAAATATTTATTAGCAAAAAAAAAATCTTTGATTGAACAAATTTTTGTCAATGAGTAATGTTGTCTTTTTAGATATATTTACGCAATTTTGGGATTTTACAAAAAAAAAACGATTGTATTGTTTGGGAAATTGATTTGTAGCCGTTTTACAATTTACTGCTTTTGACATACCTCCATGACAGCAGAAAATTTTCTCATCGACAATAGCGGCGATTGGTAAGCAATTAAAGCAGTCTGTGAATGTTTTCCATAGTTTTATGTTGTATCTTCGTTTACCTATTAAAATGCACGAGTTAGAATTCGGAGCAAGTGAAAATACTATTAATCTTACATTCGTCGTAAAAACCGTATATTCTATTAATACTAGCGCACTCGTGATTTCCTCTAAGTAGAAAAAAGTTTTCTGGATATTTGATTTTATACGCTAGTAAGAGACAGATTGTTTCGAGTGATTGTTTTCCTCTGTCGACATAATCTCCTAGGAAGAGGTAGTTAGCCTCTGGTGGGAAGCCGCCATATTCAAAAAGGCGTAGCAGGTCCGTATACTGACCGTGAATATCACCTAAAAAAAATAGCAAAAAGTCCATGTGACAGAACTATTAAAGTTGTTAATAATCTGCCTTACCACATATTTTTAACGGTGCTTCGAGTTCGAGAAGTATAGGCTGACTTAGAAAAATTTCTCTCGACTTTAGACATAATGCTCGAATTTCAGATTCTGTCATCTGAACTTGTTTTCCAGGTCTGGAACCTCTGACTGTTGGGAATTCATTTATGCAAAACGTGTCAAAATCCTATTAAATTCATTAAATAAATTTATGTAAGGCTATAAAGCGAATTAATACCTTATTTAAAGCTAATTCGCGCGAAGAGAATTCGAAAAAGAACGAAAAATGTTCGATCGCCATTTTCCGTGTTGGTAACAACGCTAATGTTTTCAAATTCAGTAAGAACTCAAGCGATTCAACGAAAAGTTACACTATTCAATAGTGCTCAAATATGTGAATTAAAGAGGACTTTATTAATAATAAAAAATCGTTTAATACCTTCTAAAAGTCTAGAAATGATGCTATCAACATTCAGACTATCTTCCGCCATTTTTGCACAAATGACGTCACTATGTGACCAACGAAAATATTCCCAGCCGGTAACTTGAATTAAATGATCCCTGTGTACAAATTTGTCGAAAAACTTATTGATATTGACTTAATAATTTTAATAATTATTTCCTTTATAAATATAAAATTCAAAATATATTTTTAATGACTTTTCAAAAGATAAAACTGATCATTTGTAAATGTTAACGTATTAGGGAGCATGTTAAAAAGTTGAATAAAAAATAAATTCTTAAATATTGCTAAGAAAACGAAAAATAAATTAACAATAAATAAATAAACCCTGAGGAAGAAGAAGCAGGAAAAAAATTAGTTAATTAAATTATAAATCTCGTTCAGGAATACAGTATCGTGCGAATAAACGTGATTTGGCCCGGTGTATCTGTGATCATGGCGGATGAACGCTGTCGATTTGTATAATGGAAACAGCCTCTGATTCACGAAAACGACCATTAGATAGTGAATCTGAATCAGGCATTTTGAAAAAATCACTTCAAAGAATGGGTAGGTTTAAATTATGATCGATGTGCTTTTAGAAGAATGGATAAAATTGACTAGAAATTGTGACCTCGATGCAAAAATGGCTCCTGTTTACTGCCGCTCAATATGGTTTCGTAATAAGATTTTAAATAGACGCTTTTTACATCAATTTTAACTAGTCAATGTTAAGTTATTAAATTTATGTATGTCATCAAAAGATGAAAAAGTGGTTGTCACCGTGTTACTACAACATAAATCGTGATTTTTTATCTTTATACTATTTTTTAATATAACTCCAACGACAGATTGTACCGGAACCGACAATATCTACCTCAAAGTATTGGTGCCTTCCGTAGCAGCAGGTGCCATTATTGGCAAGGGTGGAGAAACGATAACACAGATACAAAAAGATACTGGGGCCAATATCAAAATGTCGAAATCCAACGATTATTATCCAGGTTTAATCCCTTAAATATATTAATTTTTTGACATTACTGATTTCTTTTCTGCTGGCAGGCACGACAGAACGAGTCTGCCTAATCACAGGATCACCGGACGCCGTTCGTACTGTACATAACTTCGTTATGGAAAAGATTAGAGATAAACCTGACCAGGGTTCACGTAGTGAATCATCTGACGGTAGCCGACACACGGAACGCCACAAACAGGTAACGCTGGCTTTAATAAAATAGAAAGAGTGAATATTGTATTAAATTGAAAAGATCGAAGCAATTGTTTACACTTGCAATCGGTCACTTAATCATTGATCTGATGTTAATAATAATATAGAAAAGTATCCAAATAAAGGCGTACAGACTTGTTTTACGCTAAAAAATTTTTAACGATTTAAGGTATTAACTGACTCAAATAAAATACAGGTGAAAATATTAGTTCCAAATAGTACAGCTGGTATGATAATAGGAAAAGCTGGTAATTATATCTCTCAAATTAAAGAAGACAGTAACGCTTACGTTCAAATCTCTCAAAAATCTAAGGAGATGAATTTACCTGAGAGATGTGTAACTGTTGCCGGTGATTTATCTCAAGTAAAAAAGGCCGTCGATTTGATACTGCAGAAAATCATTGATGATCCTCAAAGCGGAAGCTGCCCAAACATAAGTTATGCCGATTACAGGGGTGAGTTTCTTGTGAAAAGATATAAACATCTTTTCACATAATTTATAGAGGCAAAACACTTTGTAACTTTATAAAAATAGATGATTTTCTGCAATTAGGTCCAGTAGCTTCTGCTAATCCAACTGGTTCTCCTTATGCAACTAGTCATCAAGGCCCGTCGGCTCCCGGTCCTACTCCATCTCATGTATCTCCTTTTCAAAACCTTGGAACTGGCATAAACAACCTTACATTATCATCTGGAAATAATTCTTTATTCGATACCATGAAAACCGCCTTGCGTAACGCCGGATATAGTGAAGTAGCTGTTGAAGAGATTAGTAGCGCTATGTTGACATTATTGAACTATGGGTTTTTTGGAATGGCTATGCAACAACTAATGACTCACATTACAACTCTCCAGGCAGGCGGTGTTCCTCCACCGTTAATGGCACCGAATCCAGGTCCCCATAACACAGGAACAATGCCTGGTATTATCGGCCAAGGACCTAATCCGGCAGCAGCAGCAGCAGTTGCCGCTGCAGCGGCAACATATCCTGGAACTGCTCCCAACGCGGCAAATGCTACTACTGGAGATGGTCACAGTTTCTTCGGACCTATGGGCGCCACGACCACTTCGTCCATGACTTCGGATACTCCTGCAGATTATGTTCATGAAAGGCCCGCTTATGGAACTGCCCAAACCGGGGGCACAGTCACACAAGCAGGAGTTTCGGGAGCAGGCGGTGGAGACGCGATGTTTATCGGTCAGAATCAGAATTCATTCGGTCTCGGTATGTCAATAGCAGGAAACGCGTCCGGAACAGAAGAAGAGGATAAAAAAGAATTGGAAGTTGGCGAGCATATTGTTGGGGCAATACTCGGTCCAGGTGGAAGAGGAATTGTGGACATCCAACAACAGACTTGCACAAATATCCAAATATCGAAGAAAGGTGTTTATGCACCTGGGACTAGAAATAGAATTGTTACTATCACTGGAACGGCGTCAAACGTTCAAAGGGCTCAAACGATCATCGAGCATCGCATTGGCGTGGAGGAGGAAAAGCGAGCACGAACTAGCCGTTAGCATCTAGTTCGACTCTTCGCCCCTTCGTCATCTTTGTTGGCCAAGCCAATACTGAAACATATATATACATATATATATACATATATATATATATATATATATGTATATGTATATATATATATATATATGTGTGTGTGTGTATATAAATCTAATATATATATATATATATATATATATATATATATATGTATATATATGTATAAATATGTATGTAAGAGATGTAAATTTATATATATCTTACATATATATTTATGTGCACCATTCAAACGTTCATATAAGTTTTCATGTCTACGTATATATATATATATATATGTATATATATATATACTTCATGTATATGATCTTGTTCCACGCTTCGCACTCTAATTCATGCAACGGACACGATTTTCTTTATTTTTCCGAAAAACGCTGGTCAGCCTGCAATTAACTGCAGATTTTTAGGAAAGTGATTTAGTGAGCTTAATATCGAACACCGATTTTGATATTCTCAGATGAATTTTCTCATTTGAGAGGAAGAAGAAAAAACATAAAATGGTCGGTTGGTTTTTCGTTCGTGTATATGCTCGATCCCTGCTGAGTCGCCATGTTGATAGTGTGATATTTTTTGTTGTGCTTAGAGAAATTAATTATTTTTTTTTAATATTCTATTTCTTTTTTTTGTTCTTATTTTCACGAGCGCTATAGTGTTAACCCGAAAAAATCATAGAGGAAATAGTTAGTTTTGTGTTTTATCTATTTAAAATAATTGCGAGGTGTGTAGATTTGAATTTTTGCAATTTCTATATATGTCTAAAAATTATGAAAAAATGTTTTTTTGGTCAGAAAAGAATTGTATAGAAAATTGTGAAGAAAAAAATGTGAAAATGTTTGTTTTCGAATAACGAAAATTTGTGTGTAATTGTACATACATTAATTATTTAGGAAATTCAATTGCGTTGGTACCGTTTGAATAGAGAGAATATAACATTAATGCAACTGTCGTCTTCTGGTTCGTGCTATATTTCCTAAAAATACTGAAAATTTTCTTTAATGGATTAGTTTGCATTAGATATTTTAAATGAAGTTTTATTGCGTGCATCGAGTTTAGGTTCCGTCGTTAGCCAAAAGCCAATCTTATACTCCTTTTTTTACAAAACTAGTCACGCCTATTTTACTTAAAAGATTGTTCAAATCGAGACGAGCGGCTTATTTGAATAGACAGAATTTCAATACGGTATTATACGACATATCGGGAGTCGATTGATATCAATACATTTCTTGATTTTATTAGTTTTAACACTCGATGGAACAAACTAATAAGTGTAGGCTAATTTCCGAAGCTGATAATTTACTCCTCTCCCTATTCCAAGAGAGTGTTAGTTCCTCAGGAATAAACAGGGAATTAATCGAATGTACTGCTTATTCGGTGGATGACCTTTTAATCAGATTTTACCCGGAATTAAAACCTTATCGTTCGCTGGAAAAGTGTAATTCTGAGTCATATATTCCATCTTTATCTTTTTTGTGCAATTTGGAAAAGTGGCGGCAATTTTATAAGACAGATCATTTGAGAACTGCAAAATGGATGCATAGGACTAGATCAAGTGTTTTTCAATGCTTTAGCCTACCGAATATTCTGTTGAATGTGAGTAATTTTTTCTTGTATATATTTTATTTACATTATGCGATTTCGTATATTTTTTTGTTTTTTTTCGCGAAAAAAATCGTTTAATTATCACTTTAGACGAGACAAAAAGAAAAAAAACATAACAGTAAGGCACTATGGAAGCCAAAACAACTACACTTAGCCTGTATAGAATATCAGATTATATCGAAGACTTACTGCGTGTTAGATAACACTAGTAGTAGAAAATTAAGGGTAATTCCTTCACCAGATTATCAAACTGGAAATTTAAAGCAAACAGCAATTAAACCGTCACACATCAATCTTCGTATATACATATTATTTGTTTTGTTTTTTTTTTAAAACAAACTTGAAAGAAGCTGTACTAATCTGTTTTATTGGAAAAAAAGCAATTTTTATTTTTTATCCTTTTCTTTCATAACACATATTTGCTTGAACAACCAATTAGCCAGGAAAGACAGGGTATATATATATATATATATGTCGTAAGTATCGTATATAATGTATACATGGACACATACACATATATATGCATATACATATATAAAATAAGACGCAATAACAATATGAATGAAATATGTTTTAAAACGATATATATAAATATATATATAAATTTATATATATATATATATATTTAAAATGTCCGTATGTAAATTTATTTTTTGTTATTGATTGTTAAAAAATTATGATTTAGACGATTTATTTAATGGAAAGATCTCGTGCTTCGACACACCTTTTTGTCCCTTCTCTGTCCAAATTTCCAAGTTATGCTCTTTTCGGTAAAATTCCCATCGTTCATCATCACTTTCATGGGTTACGTATCGTTCACCGACGTGCTCTTCCAATTTTCTTAAATCGCACCAACATTGATAATCCTATAATAGATAAATTGTTTTTTTTTTGTTTTTTTTTTTGAAGAGAGGGAGAAGAAGGAATGGGATGTGGGGAGGGAAAAAAAAAAGAAACAATAATTAGTAAAAGATTGCATATAGTTATACAAAAATTTATATATTATAAAAAGAGGGTTAATTTGATTAATTAGTGATAAAAAAAAGGTAAGAAAAAAAAACATCTATAAATCAAAGCAGCGTAGCCAAGGATTTATGCACGGAAAAATGAAAAGATACAAAAAAACTAGTGCAGAAATAAATATTAGCAGCAGAATAAGACAAAATAAGTAGATATATTTGTTTTTCCTTTTTTTTTTATTTAGACTCTATCACATTCTCCTTTAAGTAAATAATATACAGCATACACTTTTATACATACAGTACATTCTATATACAATATATACAGTATGTATATATTGTTAATTGTAGTTATATATATATGTATGTATGTGTATATACTGTACATCTGAATTTTAAAGAAGTCCATGCAGCATATACTCTTCTTGGCAAGGGAATTGAACAAAAACTAAGAATAAAAAAAACTACTCTAATAATAGGTGAACATTCGTCTTACCTTAAAGAATATACATTAATATACTATATATATATATTTATATATTTATAGATATATACAGTATATACTATAATGCATATTCAATAAGATAAAATATTGAAACTAAGGAAAAATATAATAAAAAATAATTCCAATATTCCATCTATAAAATAAAAATATAATGCAACTAAGGTCTCTTTTCTATCTAATCTTTTGCAAAAGTAAGTGTAAAATAAAATATAATATATTAAAAAAAAAAATGTGACCATAATATCTATTTAGGTTCTTTTCTATTTCTATTTATTAGTATACCTGCAGCCAACCGTGAAAGAATGTTTTCTCCACCGTATATCGTCTACGCATTTTCACTTGCAGTAAATTATTTATCATATCAATAGCTGTAAGAGACAAAAGCACAAAAGGCATGATACAGTTTTCTTTCTTATGCTTAATATAAAGGGAGCAGGGGTAGGACAAGGGCTAAGATATGTTGGCGTTTCAAGGAGAATGGAGAATAATGAGCAAAAGTTCATAAGAGTATTTTGTATAGTTTCAATTAAATTAATATGTTTTTTCTTTGAAAAAAATTAAAAAAACTATTTTTTAGAAAAGAATAAAAACATAAGACAAAACGCGAAGCGCATTTAAAAACTAAAATCCTTCGTAGTTATTGTTTGTCAATTATTAAGTACATTCTTTAGTCTTCCATAGAACGACATGTAATACTTTAAAACGAAATAAAGCAAGGACACACACACACACACACACAGAAAGAGAGAGAGAGAGAGAGAGAGAGAGATATGATTAGTACTATCAATAATACTGTTATAACTTTTAGTTAACAAAAAGCATGTTAAATAGCAAGAAAATTAAAAAAATTAAAATTATTGTTTTTTTAAAAAAAAATAGTGTGGATTTTTTTTTTGCTTTGTTTTCTTAATTAACATGCCAAATATGAAATAGATAAGAAAATTTTTGTTTTGTTAAGATATGTAGGAAAATGACCTCGTATATCCACAATTCTCTTAGTGCTTGCGAAACACCTAGACGTTTCGTCATCTCTACTTTAAGTAGGCGTTTGATCATGTCAACGGCTGAAAAGTTGTAAAAAAAAAAATACTCTTGCAAGAAGAAAAATGATTTATGGAATAAAAAAAATGAAATAAAATAGAATACAAGAAAAAAGGGAAAATATTGCTAAAAAGGAGTAAATAATAACTATATATAATACTCTCTTTCAATTTAAAATCTTAAGTGAATGTTGTTAATTAGTTAACTAAATAGAGTATTAAATTTAGATCGTACCGTCTCGAGAGATTTCATTCCACGGTGAAGGAGGATACATAAATGCAGCATTTTGTATTTGATCGGATATCTCTTCGTCCTCGTTAAATGGGAATGTACCGCTTAAACTTACGTAGATAATGACACCAACAGACCACATATCCAATGATCTATTATATCCGCGATTTTTGAGAACTTCTGGAGCCAGATAGGCTGGCGTTCCTACAACCGATCTCCTAAATGATTTTTCCCCGATAATACGAGCAAAGCCAAAATCGCAAAGTTTCACTTGGGGAAATGGTGTTTCAGAGGATAAGAGTACATTCTCCGGTTTAAGATCGCAGTGTACTATACTTTTGTTATGTAGATGACGTAACGCGGCTAAAATTTGAGAAATTAAGAATTTCGTAATACGCTCGGTTAATCTGCCTTTTGGGCTGGAAAGTATCATTTCCAGCATATCACCCTTCAATTTTTCCATAACAACGAATATTCTTTCAGGTGTCTCAAACGTATGCTCTAAATTAACAACTCCAGGATTATTTATGTTATGTAGAATAGAAACTTCATTCTTTAATTGTGCCTCCTGTTTTGTAGGAAATCTCATTTTATCAATTACTTTTATGGCCACGTCTCTGCCAGATTTACGGTGTTTGCCTCCGTATACGATACCAAATTGGCCAGAGCCTAAAACGTCATCGGGGCATATTTGATATAGTTTGCTAATGTCTTCTTTTTCCTCTTTCTTTTCAACTTTTACGACTTCCGACTCCTCTTTCTTCTCCATACGAACGTTAGTAAAAGGGATTAAAGCTTGTCGTATTGCACTCTCCCAGTATTCAGCTTGTTCCTTACCCATTCCACTCTCAGCGGAGGTAATATCAGTTTCGGCCAAGGCGCCAACGTAAAAAATGGTTCCCGTTGAGACATGTAACTCAAAAACATAATTACCGTTAGCCATATCATCATTCATTTCCATTGAAGAAACGTCAGAAAGAGTAATTTCTTTATAATATCTTTATGAAAGAAACAAAAAACAACAAATAAACAAACAAGAATTTTTGTCTTATTCTTGTTAAAGCTTTCAAAAAATATTATATAGATTAAGGAAAAACCTGTTGGTATTGTCATTCGGAAATAGCGTGATGGCATTTGGATCCAGTTGCCAAAAATGTCGCTTCCTTTGATTATCTCGATTAGTATAATGCACCATCCAACCTTGGCGGATAAATTTCGAACCAGTTCTCTTTGTATGTTTCACAGATTGAACAACTCTCATCAAAGGAATATTTGAACTAGTTGTCGGACTTTGATTTTGTACAATTTTTTGAATTTTTTGGTTTGGTTTGGGTTCAAATATGAAAAAAAATATAATACTATTAATTAAGGATAATCAAAATTATTGTTTAATTAAGATATATATATATATATATAAATGTCTAATTAAAAAAAAAAGATAAAGAACATGAAAAAAGAAAAAGTGGGAACGGGAGTGGAAAAAACGATGGATTCGGAAATGCTTTTAAGCTTCGTTTACACAAAGATTACTAGTGTTATATCTTTTTCTTTTTCTTTTTATATACTTTTACATATATATATATATATATATATATATATATATATATATTATACTGTATATATTTATATTTATATAATTATACAAAGGATGTCACGGGGAGGATTTTAGGCGGAACAAGAGAAATCCGCTTTCATTTTTTCCTCACCTCCTTACAGTACTTGCTAGTATCTAGAATAGATGAGTTTAAACTAAGAGATAAAAAAGAATAGGTTCTAATCACGACAAAAAGAAAACAACACCTTATAGCCGGTTTAAGTGGGATGTATTCTTCTACATCTTCCTCGTTGTCCTGCGGCTGTTTGGTCGGATCGAGTTCCTCTGAGAGCGTTGAACTCTGATCACTAGTATCACCGTTCGAGTCGATCGATTGCGTTGAGCCAATGGCTGAGAGAGGAAAGGAGATAAACATGCAGAAAAAAATACAGAATCGAAAGTATAAACTATGAGAAAGAGAGAGAGTGAGAGTGAGAAAAAAGAGCGTTTGTATGGTCTATTTTTTTTGTCGATCTTATTCTACACAGGACGGCGACATGCTTCTCCTTTTACCTTAGTGCTAACTTTGTGTCAACCATTTCATCGATATCTTCATCAAGAGTAGCATCCTCGGAATCGTCCGGTAATTCACTTACACAGACCATGTCACCGTCATCTTTTATCGTTAATAAATCAAGCCAAAGGGGACCCGTCTATATTGCTACTCGAAAAATTAAAAATAAACAATACATACCTCCAGGAACCCAATTATCCTCTCCCAAACAGTTCCTCGCTACCTTTTCAGAACATTTTTTGTGACAGTTGAATTTGCAATCTATTAAGGAAAGCGTTTATCATAAAAGAAAATCGACTAAAACTGCACCCATTTAGTAATAAATCTCACCTTTACACTGTACGCCTTGTCTAAATAAGCCCTTCAATAATTTATTACAAAGCATACATTTGGTTGGTCGAGTATAATTATGAACAATAAACGTATGAGGGACTTTAATACGTTTGCGAAATTCATCTTCCATCCATAGTGGTCTTCCGGACCAAGAGCTTGATCTTGAACTCCTTTCAATTCCCGATACCGACTGTTTTATAAGGAGAAAATTATAAAAGGATAAAAACTGTTACATTGAGACATTCTTCTATAAATAATAAATAGGTTGGATAAAAAAGTGATTAATACAAAGATTTTAGAAACAACTTACTCGACGACCCAAATATTTCGAATTCAAATTAACAACACCGGGATTAGGAGGACGAGAATGCCGCGAAGAGGACAGCTGTATATGCAAAATACGACATGACGACAGAATAAATCATGCATTCGAATGCAAGCGTCCTGGAATCGATAAAAGGCGATCGACCCCGTATAATTGACAGAAACCATGCAGGAATATAATATCTATTACATACCGATTGGTATATAGTATTCATATATAGATATTTATATAAAATTTCGTAACAAATATATGGGAAGGAATGAAAGACGGAAAGGAATTTTGATGGGGAAAAACAAGGGATTATGTTGAAGGAAGAGAGAGAGAGGAGAGGGGAGTAGAGAGACAGACAAACAGAAAGAGAAAAAGAGAAATAAGAGAAAATGGATAGAAAATATATACAGTATATGTACAAGTACATATCTATATATATATATATATATATATATATAATAGTACCGAGTGGCTGTCGTCTCTTTGAAGGAACTTGGCTGAAAATGGAGCAGCAACTACGCCGATCGCCGCGTCCTTTATTTCGCACAAAATATTTCCATAAAAAAGATTTTTAATGCGTATTAGAAGGAAAAAGGAGTAAAAAAAAAGATGGATAGATAGTGTATAAAAAAAAGAAGGAAAAAAAGATAAATACCTGATTCACAGATGGGTTGTGAGTTAAGCTGACTTGCGTTGAAGTTCTTCTTATTTTTGCTGCTGTACAGTTATTAGGAATCTTGTAGGCACAACGTTTATGATAATTTTGGCCACAGTAATCGCATTTTAAACCCTGTTTCACTAATCCGAACAACATTTCTCCGCAGAAATCGCAAAAATGTGGCGATTTGTATGAGTGAATGTTCAAATTATGCGGTCGAATTGACAATTCTTCAATAGTTGTAGAAGAAGAGAGAACAACCTCCACTAAACAATTTGAAGTCACTTCTGAGGCTTCTTGAATAAGGCGCAAAATATTCGAATTTGAGTTATCATGTTTAAAAAGAACTAATCTTTCTTGTAAACTATAAAGGCCATGTTCCGGAAACTGGAACAATCGGAAGAAAAAAAATGATTATAGATTATGTCACTTTTTTTTGTTGATTTTTATTTATAAAAAAAAAAAGGAACCATAGAATTAAAGGTAAATTATTGATGAGAATTCTAATTACGTACTTGTAGCTTTAGATGAAGCCAAGCTAGTCAAAAGACCTAAACCGAACGTTGCCTAAGTGCAGTATGGTTTCTATGGTAACCATCTACCTAACATTCTTCACTTTATTACGATTACGGAAATTAAATGTATTCTTTATCTATAAAATCTAAAACGGAAGATGGTAACCAGCGATGTATAATTATAACCAGAATTAACTAGATTATATTGAGAGTTTAGCGGCTCGTAAATAAACGTGAGAATATGGTGATATACTCCAACATATATAACAGAAATCTAATAATTCTGAAACGTAATCAAACCGAGAAAAACGAATTGTACTCTATTTGGAAAGAGCGCGTCTCCAAAAATGAAAAAAAAATAAAATATAGATAATTTTCATTCTATTATATCAATTTTTACCGTTAAGAGAGAAAAAAACTAAGCCTCTAAGACTCTATCTACTTGTACCTAAAGAAAAAAAAAAAAAACACGCTCTTCTTCGCTCATCTTAGGAGGTTACTTAGTTCAAATGATGAAGGGAGTAAAAGATAAATAACGATGAGAAAATTCTATTTTGTTTATTTTACTACGCCTAATTGCGCGTTTTATGTACAGGTAAATACATTGTATTATTAACAATTGAAGCGATAGTCAGAAAGCGATGACTCAACTATAGAAAAATTGAATACGAATGAATAGTAGTTACTTCTCAAAAAGAACTATACTAAGAATTAAAAAAAAAAGAGAAAAACGGAAGGATAAGTAATACGCGTAAACTCTTATGCTATAAGCTATTTCTTTTTTGTTATATACATAAAGTTGTCGCTTTTTATAAATATACATAAATAAAATAACAACAGGATAACTAAAAAAGAAAGAAAAAAAAGCGCTGATTAGTCATTTTAACAGTTAAAGCCTTGAAAATAAGGAAAAAAAAAAAGAAAGTCTTTTAAAAGCTCTTTGACATTAGAAGCCGTTGGTCACACTTCAAAGTGTTGGTTATTTCAGTCAATAGAATTAAGACATTAAGATACCAATTGTATTTAATACGATTATAGTTTCCTAAGTAGAGACTGTCTATCTATCAAGTATAATAAATTTTAAAATGATTCAAGATTATAGAGTTATTTTACATAGAGAGAAATATATCTATATGATTGGGTGGGGCGCTATCACGCGTTCAGCATTCAACTAACTTCGAGATGTATACATTTCACCTGTAAATATATGCTACTGTAACAGTTTTTTGATTATTATTGTTTATATTATTACATATATCTTTATACTTAGATAGTTCTAAAAAGTACGATTTTGCGAAAGTAAAGGGTGTAAAACGACGCTTCTGCTGTTGACCGCAACAGGTGGTTCGCTTAGCGCTTTTTACCTTAGCATCGACGAAACGGCAAGCAATGTCTTTCAACGTTTGCATGTTCATATTTGGCTCCAGTTGGTAAACTTCTCTTGCCAAGCCGATTTGAATATAGAAGATTGGACAAGAACCATTATTATCTTGCTGCATCTTTCTCTGTCGGTATACAATGTTTTTGTGACGTCAGTGTTTTTAATGTGCACGTACTTATAGCGGGCGTCTACTAGGCGTCTACTTACTAGTCTTGTATTGTCAGTTTTGCATGACGCCGTCTGGTGGTTACGAATTATGTTTAACGATCAAACAAATCTGTTATTGTCATTTAAGTCTTACTCTTTATTTATATTCCACTAGTCTTCGAGCTCCTTTCGGCACGTTTCGACGATATAGAAGAAGTTTAAAAGTGGTCCTAAAAAGAGATTTGGGATTATACTTCTTTTCTCCTGGACGTATTTCGCGTAAAATAGTAATCTATTAACCAGTTTATATTGAATAATATGGTTCGTCCTACTATAAAAAATTGTGTTTATTAGCTTTTGGTAGGACAAATCAGACAAGGTTGATTCATTGATTATCGTCCACCATATTTTTCTTGTTCAATATTTTAAATTATAAATCTATATATAGCGCCGATAAAGGAATTATATTTATTTTGTTAATACATAGGAGGGTCTCACACATCTCTCCAAAGCTAATAAATAGGGTTCATCGCTCCGAATTAGTGTCACGTATATTTAATCATTATACAAGAAAAATTGCATAATTATATATATTATCAAAACTTATACAATTTCGTGTGAAAGGTTAAAGTTGAAATTTATACAACTTTTAAATCGAGTTGTTTTATTTTACGTTTTATTCTAATTAACTTTAGTCTATTAAATTACTATCCCCTCCCCTTTCCCCACTCTTCCTTTTCTTCATCTTTCTAGCTAATATGAAATGAAATAACCCAAAGCAATTTTCAAATTCTTTTAAAAGCTATTTAAAGAAGAAGAGGGGAAATTTTTCATATGATATTTATGAATTTTTTCCTTAGGGGTAAAAGTTAATAATTATGTATAGAGGTTCTATTACTATTTTTAAAATAGTTTTTTTTGTATTTTAACAAGCAACAGTTAAATAAAAATTTATATTTATTGATATTTAATTATTTCATAATTGTAATATTAATGAATTGAATAATCTTTATTATTATTATATTTCTCGTTTTTTTTTAGATTAAGAGATACATTGAATTTGTTTTAAAAGCATAAAATTTCCTACCTTAAATATTCTGTTCTCTCTTTCCTCTTTTTGTAAATATATATAGATATAGACATATAGATGAAAGAAAAAAAGTTGTTCTTGTATAACAGAGGCGGCGCTTCTGTTGGTTGAGCGATAATTGGGAAACCAACCTTGTATTCTCTTGTCTATTTTTTCTGCTAAAAACCAGTGGTACGTACCCGTCGACTGACCAAAGTGCTGAATTATCGTTTAAAAATTATGTTTATTATGATCGCAACACTTAAGTAGAAGGGAACGGTATTTAAGGTATTTAAAAAAATGTTATTATCACAGTGATATTCTGCTAAAGAGTTTTAACAATATATGTTCGTCTGTTCTATCATCGAAATTTGTAACATAACCATTAGAGAGGTAGATAAATTCCATAAAAGATCGTAAGCAAATAATATTTCTTTTGTAAGAAGATTATGCTGACTAAGATTTCGCTGTAAATGTGTGTGTGTAGCAGTGGTGATGATTATTTCGCGTTCTAGTAGGTTTGAACGGCAGTTTAAATCGTACAAAACTACGAGAATGATGATTCATCGAACGTCGTTGTTAAATCAGGCCTACAAACATTCAATCGATTGACGACGTACGTTTGCAGGAGAGGCTGCAAAACCGATTATTATTCATAGCATTTAAAAATTTTCCCAAGCAATGGAATCAGTTCAGTTCTACAAGAGTTCTCTAACGTTAAAATTTTCACTGAATTCTGGAGAGAAAGGTTGGTTAATTCCAATGGAATCGAAGAACAAAGAAAATATACACGAAGCCTCTGATGCAGACTATATTAAGGCTTTATCACCAGTCAATGAGGTAGCCATTGAATTACGATGAGACGAAATTTTCTCATTTATTTTATGTCCAAATCATTTTTGCTTACGCTGGGTTTGCTGGTCTTTTATTAAAATTTCCCATTAATAGTGCAGCATTGTCGGTTCATTTCCCCCTGGCTTTAAACCTGTCTATGGCGGATTGCGCTTTTCCTATTCAAACAAATATTCCTAAAGTAAAATGATTAAGGGAAATATTTATACTTGAGGTAAAAGAACATTGGAAGAGAAACATAAAAGACAGATAAAAAGGGTAGATATTAAGTTTAATCCTATGGACAATGTATGTAAATATATATATATATATATATATAAATATATAAATATACAAATATGAACAATCTTATAGGTAAAGAGTAAAACTTTTTTGGGCTAAGTAATAGTGAATTTAGTAAATCGTAAAATAATTTATTATTCTATTTACATAATTTCTGAACAAAATAAATTCTCTATAAAGATTTTTCTGCAAGGATTAAATGGGGCTTTTTTTTTATTATTATTATATTTCTAGTTTGTTATTGTTTATACTGTTCCTCTCTTTTTCAACAATTGATGGTGAAAGAATAATTTTATATATCTTATTATATAAATCATTTGTTTATTTTCCATTTTCCAGCGGAAATTCTTTTTATTTATTCTTCCTTTTATTTCTTGTTATTTTTTTTCTAACCTAAAAATCTCCTTCCGCTAGGAGGAAGAAGATGGACTGATGCCGGAAGAATCCGATTGGTTTCTTGTCGATGTTGCATCGGCCGATCGCCGAGGTTTAAGATTACCTGTAGATCCTCCCACTTTATTATTCCTTGGATCATCACCAAGTTGCGATATCCAATTATTAGTAAGTAATTGATTGTAGTTTTTATTTGAGGTGAGAAGTTTCCAAAAAATGGCAGAAAGAAAGGTTAAACGGTGAAAGAATGAACTACTGTATTCAAATTTTAGCACGTGTTCGATTGATTGTGGATAGTGAATAATAGTTTCGCGCGCCCCGGATACCGTCGCCCTATAGTATTATATACCTCGTGTGTCTGACTCTATTGTGTGAATATTCTCAGTTCGTCGTGAATATTTGTCCTGAATGTCTTGGCTAACGCGTGGTTAGCGTAGTTTAGGATTCATTCTTTTACCATTGTTTACCTTTTTTTTTAATTTACCTACTTCTCGATTTCCTTAAAGTTTCATTTAAAAGATGAAAAGACTAAATTCAACCGAATATTTGCTAACCTACTATTTTCAATATATTTTAATAACAGACGGAATCTATTGAGAAGAAGCATTCCGTTCTGACATACGATATTTACCATAGAAAGTTTAAAGTTAAAGATCTCAACAGTAAAGCCGGCGTAAGTTTACCTTAAATAATAATACAAAAATAATATGAAACTCTTTTTTTCTCTCAAATTATTAAAAAAAACACCTCTAAAAGATACTGTGAACTTTCAATTTTAGACATTTGTCAACGGTTCGGCAATCTGTTCTTCTACATTCTCTCTATTGAATAATAATGACACACTCCAGATTGGTAACGGTAAGCAGTCTTTTGTTAGATAAACAATCGATATATACAGTGGATACTTATAATTCAACTATATTCTATAAATCTTTATAAATGTAGAAAAAGAAATTTTGATAAAAAGTAACTCTTATAAACTTTGTAAAAATTTTCGCTTTTTCTTTTTATTAGAAAAGAACTTTAATAAAAATGTAATATGTAAATATATCTATAGTATAGTTGGCTCCATATTTTACGGCTCTTTAATAAAGTTGAATTACCGATTTAAGCGCTTGACAGTCAATAGGATAAATATGCTTTTTCTATATATTTTTCTTTATAAAACTTCAATTCATTAAAAATCACTAACAAATAATTTCATTGACGCTCACAATCTATTCAATATTTTGTATACACTTATATATTATAATTTTCTGGCGAGTTCATTATTATTAATTTTTATTAGAACTAAAAGAGAAGGTGGAGAGGGTTCCTTAACAAAAACGATTTTTTTTATCTGAGAGAGTAGGAATGTTCGAAATAGAAGTCTGAACTTTGAGTTTAAAAAAAAAATACTGAAAGTGTTTAATATTGATAATAAAGAAAAAAAAGTGGGAAAAAAACTATTTAAAGCATTCAAACATAGTGGAATCTAACGTGACTATAGCAGTCGTTCCTCCTCTTTCAAACAAATTATGCTTTCTTGAAATGGAATACTTTGAATTATAAGTGAATGAGAGTTTGAACTGTATAGCATTGTGCATAGAAAACTGTCAGCTCTGTTTTTTTTATATCAATTTGGATGTTTCTTTTTTTCTCCATTCAAGAGCAAGCTGCGCTTAATTTTACGATATTTTTTACGACCTATCTTTTGAATGGAATGTAAACATCTGTATTTCACAGACCCATCTTTATTTAGAATGGAGCAACATATAAGGAGAGAACAACCAAAACCGTCCGAACAAGAGACTCATAGTCGTCAAGTTTGGACTAATCAGCATAGAATGCATCCAAATGTCCAATACCCAACCCACTATTTTACTCAAAGGCCGGCTGAGTGTTCTGTAAGTAATAAATTTTCTCGAATATAAAAGAACAATATTACCTTGGTATTCTTTCTTTCTCCCCTCCTCCCTCTCTCCCCCCCACCTGGTTTTCCACCTGGCTCTCTTTTCTCTCTCTTCTCCCACGCTGTAGGGCTGTTTAGCTGAAAACAGACTGCAGCACACCTGCGGAGCAAACGACGATTATACCGCATCAGTTTGCTCATCAGCCTCCTCGGCCACTGGTTCCCCTTTTTGTGGTGACCTTCATAAAGAGCAAAGAAATCATATCCCTCCCTGGTCATCTCGTAATTCCTCTGGTGAAGCAGGTCGAATTATAGTTAAATATATTCGTCCAAACCAGGCAGGTGGAAGTCCAACTAAAGGAGAATACTCAATTCCTACATCAGTTGGCAGCATCGAGCAACCAACAAATATCTCAAGTAATCGGCCGATAGAGTATATTCCCCCATGCTTCGAATCATATGACACTCAACATACTGAAGAAGCCGACGGTGGTCACTTTACTATTGTTGATCAACACGTTCCGTCCAGACCGAATAAACTATTAAGACACCGACCATCTTACGACGACAAGGTCCCAACACCTCCTTCATCGTCTAGATGTAACAGGACTTATCAACCTCCCTTTTACGGGTCACCGGAAAGGAGCACTTTTTTTTATTCGGCCAACCGTAGCCCTTATTACGACCAGTCTATGGAAAGGGCAAGACAGGTTGAAAGCAAGCCACCCGAAAACGAAATGGATTTAATACAACGTCGAATACACAATGCAATTAGTTCTTTGAATGAAGAAATTCCTCCTACGAGAAAACTACCACTTATTCCGGATGATATATTGTTCAGTCTAAATTGTAAAAATGACGGAGTAAACGTGCAGCACGTAAAAACTACGGAAAGTTCAACCGAAAGTAAAGCTGTTACGAAAAGTATGGTTAGTACAGTCGACGCATCAACGAGTCCAGGGGAAGAATTGAGTTTATCGAGTTAGTTTTGTTTTTGTTTTTTATAATTTCTCTTCTATAAAATCTTAGTAGGATTCTCAATATTTTAAGATAGGAATAGTTTTCGTAGTAAAGCCTTTACCTAAAAATATCGGCCAAGAGGCGCGTATAACATTCCTAATCTCGCATTTCGTTCTATTTTTCTTTTTTCTCAGTCTAGGCAGCCTCTCGATTTTTTTAAGCCTATTATTTGGCGCTTGTAAATTGGCCGATGCGTTTAGCAATGCTGTGTACAGTTATATGCTATATACTATATAATGCTGTATAAGTAGGCGGTTATTTTCGGTGGTGTTCTTTTTCAGTATTTGATTGTTGTCTATTATTTTACCCATCGAACGGGTCTTTAAGCCGGTTTTTTTCAAGTTGGTACGGTAATTTGATTTTTCTTAAGTAAACTCCGTAATATTTGTTGAGATTTAGTGACGATGGCTAATGTTATTTGAATAAACAGGTTGTGGCGGTGTTATTACGCCTGCTTGCGAGCAGGACGAAGAGGAAGAGACACCTACGAAGGATAAGGAAGCCATTTTCGATAATAACGATAATATTACATTATCCAAAGAGGGAAAAGAAACAAAACCTCCTTCTCGTAGTCCACCGGAGAAAGATTCGAGTCCTATGGCGGCTACGTCTTTTACTATTAATTTTGATTCATCAACCAAGTCGAAGAAGAGTCCACCGAAGAGATTCTCTCAACCCCGTCAAAATGTAGATGCATCTCCAACTAAACCGGTCAAAATGGAAATTTCGCCTCCCTTGTCGCCGGTTCTTTCACCTACGTTGCCACCTTCTAGCGCTTTTGTAATTAGTTTAAATGAGAGTGGTACTGATAAAAGTTTGCAAGATTGCGTTCCAGCTCGTTTGAAAAGGCGTTCTCGTCCAAAGAAACAGGAGGATGAGCCTCCATCTCCAGAAACGAAAAGTATTTCAAGGTCAAATCAACAAAGAACTGGAACTTTCACGAAGAAAAAGTCTGTACCACCATCGCATGCCTCCGATAGTGAATACTTAGTGAATAAATTGCTAAAGTCGCAGCCTACCAATCGCTCGGTTGTATCAGAGCCCGTTAGTCGAAAATCTAAGGGACCGCCGACCGAACGTGAATTGTATAGTGAATCGAAATTGTACGACGATTCAATGAGTGACGCAGGCCAGAGCGAGGCTGGTACATATACAGTAGAAGTGAATCGCGACAATACAGACGAACAAATAGCAAGAGATAATATCGACAATATTTTCGGTGTCTCTGAACAATTGGAAGATTTGTCCAATAGCTTGCAGAATACTATCGAAGAAGTTTTTGTTGACGATGACGGAGAGGCCACGGATACTGACGTTTGCGACATAGATCCCGATGAAGTTCCTGCTCCTCCTTTGTCTCCTCGAGTTCCTCTCCCCCCTCCACCAGCTGTTAAACAAAGTATGGAAGTCAATATAGGTACACCTAGAAAGAGCCATAATAAAGCCGCACAACAAAAAAGCGAGTATAAATCTGTTACGACTTCAAAAAAGACAAACGAAGTCCAGAAAAGACCGAAATCGTATAATCATAAGGCGTTAACGCCCAGGGAATCTTCTACTGAACCAATAACTAGAGTGAAACCAACGCCACGAAAGGAACAGAGTAGAAATTCGTGGAATACCAACTCGTCCAAAGAGTACTATAGAGGACGGTCTAGAGAAGAAAAAAATACTAAGGTCACAAGGAAAGCGACTCCAGTTCTACGTAGTGAAAGTCAGGACTCGTCTTCATCAAGATCACGGTCTAAATCTATTCCTCCAAAGCTAAATCTTCGCCTTAGTGACTCTGAAGCCAGTGACCATAGCCCCCGCTTACACAGACGAGCACGACAAAACAATGATGTCTCGAATTCAATATCGACCAACAGAACTTATGAGTTAAGACGGAAAAAGAATGAGCAGCAACAACAGCAGCAACAGCAAAAAACGCCTTCTAGGCCTAACTCAGCCAGGGCATCTGCTAGAACTGACCTTTCAATGGGGGCTAGAATAGCTCAGAAGGCTGAAAGAAATAGCACAATATCATCTAGACCACCTAGCGCCAAATCACAAAAGTCTTCCAGGGCACCTTCGGCAAATAGCCAATCTAGATCGCAATCAAACAGCAGATCAACGTCACCAAAAACTCACGAAAGAGAACTATGGAATCGTCGTAAAAGTTACGATCCTCGCCAAGCAATAAGAGAAGCCAGAAATCGAATAACACCTGATAACAATACAGAAATAAAGACGCCGAGAAATTTAAAATTTCAACATTCTAATAATTCATTATCATCTGATGAAAATAATTCAGCATTCTTGGAGCCAGCTGCCAAAGTAAACCTAGCTGACGGTTCAACGTCTATCGGTATGTTATCAGCAGAAATTTCTAATGGTCTATCGAAACTTTCTTCAAGGGATTCACCCCTACAAATATCCACTCAGGTATGTTTTACCTTCTACTCTCTCTGTAGATTTTAGCATTTTTTATAATAACTTCTTTTTGTCATTCATTTTTTTATTATTATTATTATTTTTTCTTGAAGTGTCACGTTTGTCGTTTTTATTACTTGATGCTTTAATCGTACTACCTTCGCAACGGCTATAAACACTTATATGAATTATCATTTCTCATATAAAACAGGCGTCAATTCAGAGCTTACACAGTATCAGTTCGACGTCGTCTGCGTTTAGAGCGCCCTCTAGCGGAGCTAGGCGTAGCCTCTCGTCTCAGGTTTGCAATAATGAAAGAATTTTTCAAAACACATGCTTTATGCGTTTATAAATATATATTAGTATATATATTAGTATAAATAAATATACATATATATATATATATATATATATATATATATACAGTATATATATATTGTATATGGATAAAGTCATGTACGCGTACAATAATAGTAAATTGTATGCGGGTGAAATTATAACATAGGCAGAAAATGAATTAGTTAATTGTACAATACATAAAAAAAACTATTATTAAATAGATTAATAAAGGATATTATGGCTCGCTTCTAATTTTTTCATTATTTAGATTTAGTTTGCTAACATAGAAAGCGCTTTATGCTGCTTCTTAAAATTTATACTAATTCAGTTGGCTATTGTAGAAATATGTTGATTATATTATGACTATTTATTTTTGGTATTAATCAGATTTATTTCGTTTCTAATTATTTATTATGGGGAAATAAAAATTGGGCATTTTTTTTTAAATTATGTGTGGAGAGGAAAGGCAGTGGTGGTGGTGGGAGATTTAGGGGGAGATAGGAGCAAAGATTGGAAAAAGAAAAATACAAAAAAATATTTTTCTAATTTCAAAATATTCTACATATCTATCTTTTGACCTATCTTGCCCCCTCCCTCCCCTCTTTTAAAGTATTTCTTTCTTCTTCGGTTCACCACCAATACAACCGCCACCTCCTCCCTACCTCCCTTTTTTCCACTTTTCTTTACTTTATTAATTTGATAAATTTTCTTTCTTATAAAAAAAATATATTTTTTTGATAGTATTTGATAAGAAAAGAAAACTTGTCAATTCTCTATTAATAATGCTCCTTGTACAAGTATAAGGCACTTGATTCTTATTCACTGCAAATATTTAATACGGAATTTGTACACTGTTTGGCTTAAAGCTTCTACTTTTTTTAGTGAAAAGAATATATCATATATATTATATTAAAAAAAAACAAAAAAATGACCTACCAAACTCTTTTATTTCCCATACTTCTCACTAAAAGCTGTATTTTTTTCTATTTTATATTTTTGCACTTTTTTTATATAATGATTACTTTAGTATTACCTTTTCCTATTAATGACTAATGTTTGTACAATATCAATAACTTTTACTTTTTTCCCTTCCCCTATAATAGCCATCAAATGAAACTACTATAATCTCGTCAATTCAACAACTGTCTCTAAGATGTCGAAATAAAGCTGAAGTATTAGCTCAAACTTTAGAGTAAGTATTTTAATTAGTTCAATGAGTGCCTTTTTTTTCTATACTATTTCAATTTTTTAGAACTTCTACTTCTCTTCTTAAAACTGAAAGTACGAATGATTTGCCAGCTTGGTGCTCCAGCACCGATTTACGCCTTTCTTCCGTGCTGGCCCACCTTAAAGATACTGAGCACTACTTGAACGTAATTGAACAAGTGGCACAAACAAAGAAAGACTTTTCTCCACCTATTACTAGTCCTGTTGATGGTAATCGTCTACGTTCGAGAAAAGAACAAGTTCACGAAACAAGCACTTTCCAACCCATTCCAGCAAATAAATTGGAAAGGTCAAGTCAGTCAAAGTTTGGTGCTAAAGAAGAAGACGATGAATATTGGTAGCTTTTAAAGCCGAAAATAATTTTCATTTAATTTCAAAATTATTTAAATCTCTCTTTATTCAACTTAATTTTTTAATTGTATATAAGTCATATTTACAAGGAAATAAGAAAGTCTTTTTTTGTTTTAATACTGTCTCCTTTAATGCATAGGATTCTTTGAAGGGATCTGTATTAAAAAAGACTATGAAAATCAACGCAAATGTAAAATCGGCAGTTGTTTCTTCTTTAGTTGATTTTTATTATGTTATTCTCCTCATTTTCGCTCATATCCTAAAAAGTGAATTGGGTAATAGGTTATTGAAAAAGTTGAAACTGATTTGATGGATATAGTTTTTTTTAAAATATAACTTACCAAGTCGTCTCTTTTGAGCCACTGATCGTTTACGAAGTACTTGTATTCATAAGTTCCAGGTTTAAGATTAATATTAACAACAAATTTATCATTTCTATAGATTTTAATGGAATATAATTAAATTTTTAAATTAGTCGATTGCTAAGAATTCTCATATCTGTAACTTACTCTTTTTCCAAGGGTACTTTTGTCCATCCATTGAATGAACCGGCTACTGAAACCTCTTCCGCTTCTAATTCCCAAGTAAATTCAACGGATTTTGCCTATATAAAATTATACAAACGCTTATTTAAATAGTTCAATTCAGGATTTAACTTGTTAATAAACCTCTTCTGTGATTTCATCACAAACGTCTTCTATTTTTTCAGTTTCTTCAGTCGCTTTTCCATTTGTATTTTCATCTGCGTCGTTCGATATTTCCTTTCCATTAAGGCCGTTTTCTTCTTCAGTACCGTTCGTGACCTGGTCCGATGAGACTTCTTTTTCATCGCCCTCTTTTTTTTGTTCTGATACATTTTCAAGTTCTGGTTCCTTTTCATTGTCTTTTTCCTTTGCTTGTTCCTCTTCCGATTCCTTTTCTTTCTCAGGTTCAGGTTCAGCTACAGGCTCTTGTTCAGTTTCAGGTTCAGCTGCCGGTACTTGCTCGGTTTCAGGTTCAGACTCCACTTTCTGTACAGACTCTTGTTCAGGTTCACTATCAGGCTTGTCGGAAAGTTCTTCAACTTTTTCCTCTTCCTTAACGGTTTCCGATTCAACAGTCATTGGCTCAGCTTGTTCATTAGTCTTTTGCGGTTCTTCCAGTTTAACATTTGATAATTGTTCAGCAACATCATCAATATCACTGCTAGTAATTGGTTCCGGTTGTTTTTGTGATTCAGCTTGTTCTTTTTGCCCATCTTTAACTTCTTCTGATTGTTTTACTTCGACATTATCTTCTTCCTTTTTAGTTTCCTTGACTTCAATATCTTCGGATTTTACTTCAACTTCCTGACTAGTCTTCGGTTTCTCCTCTTCCTTGACAGGTTCATCGTTGGTAACTTCAATTTCGGGTTTTGTTTCTTCTTTAACAGGTTCATTTTCGATAGGTTTCGATTCGAGTTCAGGTTCGCTTACATTTTCTTTTTTCACTTCCGTGTCTGATTGTTTAGATTCTTGAGTCGTACCTTTACACTCACCATCTTCTTTTACTTCAACACACTTTTCAGGTGATTCCTCAGTATTCTTAGTAGATGGGGCAACAATTTCTTCTTTTGGTTTTTCTTCCTTTTTATCAACACTCGATTCTTGCTTCGAAGCATCGGAGGGTTTAGCCGTCTATTTCATGCGAATAGAAAGATATAGGAGAAGAAATTTAAAAAAAAAAGAAAATTACAATCATTTTAGAAATCAAAGAATCATAAAAAATAAAATTGTAATCATTAAGTATGTAACACATAAGAGTGCAAAGATAGATATATGCATATAAGAGAGTTATCAAAGACGAGAGAGTGATCAATAGCATCTCAAGCTGTTCGCTTGAATACAATATTAAAGAAAAAGCTTAATTAAAAGGTTTTAGACTGCACAATAAAAAATCTAAAGAATCATATATCTAAATAAAGATATACGATATACATAAAGTATATTGTCAATTGTATGTAGATTTTATGGTTGTTCAATAATTCAACATTTATATATGATTGAATATTACAATTGAAGAAAGTGATTCATTACTGAAACGTTTGTTGCTTTGGCCTTTAAACAAAAGCAAGTTAACAAAAAAAGACCTAGTTGAAAGATAATATAGGAGATTTTTTCCTCTCTACATTTTATAAGAAATTTAATAGATAGATCGAATTCATTTCCTTATTGTTCTAAATAATATTAACTACATATAGGGAATGAAGAATGATTAAGCAAAGATGAAGAGAGGCGTAATAACAACGAAGTAGAACAACTAGGAATAGGATATTACTACAATTATTACATATATATATACATATATATATATACCTTCTTCTTACTTAGAAAACTTCCTCTCTTTTTAATCTGTACATAAATTTTAATAACAAAGTACAAAAAATAGTTGTTGTGCTTTGAGCATCGTATACATTAGCCTATATGTATATAGGGCAGACATAATAGTTAAAAGTAGGCCAAATATACGGAGTACTGTCAGAATTTTTAGGTGTATTTTTTTCAATATAACTCCAATGGTTGGTTTAAAACTAGTTCGAAATAAATAAGAAAGAAAAATCTCTCTTCCAACTTACCGACTTATCTTCGGCCTTTGCCTCTGAACTTTGCTTTCCACCCATTGTTGTTCTTTTTCAAGCAGTATTAATCCTATTTGAATAAAATTAAAGATAAAATATAACAATGATAAAAATACCCCTATAATTTGTATATATTTAAATATATTGTTTATTCTAAACTATTAACTTTTCCAAGTTAAACAGAAAATTAGTAAATAACTACAAAAGAAAACCAATACCGATATAATAAAAAAAGAAGAGCTAAAGAAACAAAAAGTCAGTACGTGCTTTGCTGCAAAACAGCAATATATTCAACACGGTTACAGCTGTGTTATTTTAAGTACTATTTCTCCTATATAATTTTAACTATAAAACTCATATTTATTTCATTTTCAATAGGATAAAATTCAATTAATAATCTATAAAATATAGAGAAAATAGAACTTAAAAAAATTATGTATAAAGAGTCAACATATAGATTATATATTTATATTTTTATATATCGTCTAAAAGCTATTAAGAGGCAAAGAAAATGATTCATCAACCTATGATGTTTCTACTTTCGACGGTTAAAGGGTTAAAAGGTCATAGGGTTTAGTTAAAAAGAGAACATTCTTAAAAGAACATTCTTTTAGAATATATTCTAAAAAAGAGGTATAAATAATTAGTACATTACCTGCTATATTTTAAGTTGTACTTCTATGTTTAAAAATTAATGAAAAATAGATAATTTTTGCCTAAGCTTTTATTTAATACCAAACCGCTAACTGAGAGTAAAAAACACATGTATATATATTACTAACTCACTAGATCACATGACCCTTGATTAGTCTTGATTGGACGAAATACCCGCACAAAAAAAGTAGAAAGGCCTATTTAGCGGAAATAGGAGAACTTAGGAAAAGCGTACAGTACAAACTATATTAATACGCATTATGGTATTGTGGTTATTTCTTAGTACAAATACACAATATAACTACTCAATTAGTATATTATTAACCAGATTGTTAAATAAGTATTATACATATTATATTTAGTATAAATATATGTTTTTAAAACATTATTATATTAAAAAAGTATATAATTCGTCAATTATTAGTTAAAAAAAGTTTAGAATTACGTAAAATTCAATTAATGTTGACCTTAATATAAATTTCCTTAATACTTTATTAAGAGTATAAAATTTCCTCTGCAACAAAGTTACTAATAACGCTGCAATATAAAAAAAAGTGCAGTGCAGTGCAGAGAGGGAGAGAGAAACTTGCGCATGCGCAAATACAGTGGAAAGTGTGAGGGGGGAGAGCAGAAGGAAAAGATAAATAATTCTATTTCCATACTATTCGGAGAGAGAGGGGGGATTTGCGAAGTAGGTATAGAATATTTGTCGAAAAACGTTCTTAATCTCTGATGAAACTTTTTATTACGAAAGAAATATGATTCTGAGGCAAATTGGACTTTACGTTTGAAAGGTTTTTGCTTAGGTAATTTACAATAAAAATTATATCCTAGAAAATCGACTGCAAAATTTGTCAATGTTATTGATGCTTGGAAAGTTCTCTTATTATCGCTCATTGTTGCTTTATTATAGGATGGGTATTCACGTTGATGTTGGACCTAATCAGAGAGTAATTCTCAATGGCAACTTTCTTCCTGTAACATTTCGTAACCAATCTAAAGAATTGGCCCGAGATGTTGTTCATTATGTCGCATGCCCCCAAGACGCTCCTCAGCCTCGCAATAGAAGGATACAAATTATGCGGAATTTGGTGGACGATATGATTAAGGATCGCGAACAAATGCTTAAAGATATGGTTAAAGCTTTAGATATTCAGGATGCTAGTCAATTAAAACTTATACATAATATTGCAACACAAATGTTCGACGATCAAGTTGTCACTTGGGGCCGAATAGTCACTTTGTATTCCTTTTGCTCCTATTTGGCTAGAGGTTGTCTCCGGGTAAATATTGATGATTGTACAGATGCAATTGCCGACATTCTTTCCGATATCGTCATCAATCGATTAGGCCTGTGGATTGTTAGCAACGGTGGATGGGTTAGCTGTTATAATTTTATTAATTAAGAACAAATTTAATAATTATTCTTTATAGAAAACATTCGAACAGCAATTCCCGGTTATCTGTGCGTGGATTCCAATGGGAGTATGGAAAGGCTTATTCGTTGCAGCAATTCTACTAGCCACAATATTTGGATTGTACATTTCCTTTACAACGTTGAAGCCAAAAAAGGTGTAAGAAAAGAAAATGGGGTGACGGGGAAGAGAGAACTAAAACGAAAATATATTCAAACATTAAGGAGGAATATTGAACATTTTCATGATAAACAAAAACACGTCTAATTACAATTGTATACCACAGCCTATTTCGTTTAATTTATAGCTTTTATTTAGCTTATCATCTGTGAGAAATCATCATGTTGCGAAGTCTATAGTATTTTAAATATTTGTTTTCTTCTTTTTGCTTTCTTATCTCACTCGTTCTCTTGTTTTCCTCCCTCCTTCCCCTCCTTTTTTCTTTCTTTCCTTCCTTGTCTCAGTATATTCTAGTGAAAAAAAAGCCAAAAATATTAGATAGCGTATTGATAAAAAATTTAAATAAAGAATTGAAAACTTACAAGGTGAACAAATCATCATTTAATTAATTATACACATTAATAGAACGACGTAATAAAATATGAAGTTTATATTCATATTATCACTGATCCTCTTGGAACTTGGTTCTTATGGATATTGTCTACTTGGACCTTGTATATAAATATATATTTATATATAGATTAAATTCTACACTGTGGCTGACAAGATGTAATCAGACATATAGGAAAAATATGATATGTTTTAGAATAAGCTTGTCTAAATTTTGTTACTGTCCGATTACTTTTTATCTACCACAATATATGCGTTTAATTTCAACTCTTATCGTCTATTTTATCTATAAGGTATCAAGAGTTTTCCGGAAAAAACTACCATTAAGGGTAGGGAAGTTAGCTGTAAAACTTTCACAAGAGAGAATTCTACTTGCGGAGATGAGAATATGGAATCGTTTGGTTGTCTAGATATTCGGTAAAATTAGATTATATAAAGATATATAAAGCTATTTAATCTCTAATCTACTCTATAAATTACTAAAATGGCTTATATGTATATATATATACCGTATATATTCATATATATGTATATATTTTGTATTGATAAGGGTTTCTGAAATTCGAAAGTTGAATTATGACGGCGATTCCGACGAAAGGACTACCGATGCAGATAATCTATGTGAAGATTTATTACACGCGATGAATAGTGAATACGAATTAGAGGATAATGACGTAAGTCTAGACTAAATAGAGAGGTTTTCTTAATTCTAATAGGTTGTATTAAAATATTCTTGTATGTATAAAAAAAACAAGGTTAAAAAAAAAAGAAAACATGATAATCTTTAAACAAAAAGCATTTGCAATAAATCATAACTTGCTCGTTTACTCCATAGGTATATTACAATCGAGATGAATTCGGTAGGATAATATATACGAGTAACAGAGAATGGGATTTTATTGAAGATCCAGGAGATTGGAACGCTCATATTGTCTTCCTAAGATGCTATGCAAAATGGTTGAATTAAATGGCGTATAATAATACAAACACTACAGAGAATAATGCTAATTTCATCGAATAGTTAACTCCTTTAGGCGATGAATTGCAAGCGTTATAATCATTACAAAAGCAGTAGATAACGGATTTATCTAGTGGCGTCCACGGGTCGTCATTTCGAGCGTATTCACAATAGCCGTGTCGCTGGATTGTAGGCATTCTTGTTCGATGTCTAGTGTCCAATCTAAGATTCATTAAGCAATCCCTAGTTATGTACTCTTCTCCGTCACGTCTTTCTAAAACCTTGACGCAAAAATTTTCACCTCCCCCTCTTCCAGTGCTCTGACAAGATTTCCAGCGTTGAAAGCGTATATTTACATCCTTTCCGCAACCAGGTTGACTACTATGACATGAGTAGCATTTAATGGACGAAGCTAAATTCAATATGATTGAATCCGTTATTATTTTTTGATTATTTTTTGGTAATTATGACCTACTCACCTATATTTATACTCAACGCAACTAAAAGCAGGGTAAAAATCCAACTGGACAATGAATTTTGCATATTTAAAAACTTGTACCTTTACAGGTAAACGTCGTCTGCTTCCTTGCTCAGGTACCCGATAGATGGCGATACATGTCGTTGCCTATAGTTACGAATCAAAATACTTCTTCCGGTTGAATGTAAGACAAGTTTTTAACAAGAAATTCTCTAAAAAGGCGTTACTTTTTCTTTGATAGTCAGTATATTGTAACTTAAATATCAATTTTGAAGTGTTTTAATTACAAATTTTAATGAATCAAGCCGTAAAATTGAAAAAAATTTGATAGTTTACCACCCGATGGATTCAAATTGTCTTTTGTTATTTGTTTTAGAAATAATTTCACTAGATTAAGACGGAATAAAATTATGTCGGATGTTAAAGACGGTAAAGCTATTTTTTCTATTACACTGAAATTCTATTCATAACAATTCCATTTAGTTGTAACTGAAGACAAAACAGAAAATGAAGAAGGAGCAAGGCCTACTTCTGCTAAAGCGGAAAGTGTTAAGCAGACATCTAGACCATCCAGTGCGAAGCCATCTTCTAGACCATCTAGTGCGAAACCATCTTCTAGACCTCAAAGCGCCGGAAATACTTCCAGACCACAATCAGCGGCCAGCAGAGGTTCACGAGGCTCGGCCAAAGCAGATAAACAGGAAATAGAACCCGTCTCAGAAGAGCCTGAAATACAACATGATTTAAAAGATGATACAGAAAATAACCCGGACAAACAAGAACCAGAAAGTGGACAACCTGAAGAAGATTTAAATCATAAAGAGTCCAATAGTAAAAATATTACTGAACCTGCAGAAAATCAAAGTGAAAATGTTGACTCTCTGAAGAGAGCTCCTCAAGAGCCTCCAGGTAATGAAACTGAAGGAACTGTAGAAAATGCAGACAATACACAGGAAGCACAAATTGAACAAGAAAACAATCAAGAAGAAAAGCAAGCAGAAGCTACAGAAGGTGCAGAAGTCGAGGAAAATAAGTCAAAGGATGAAGAAAAACCGGATGATGATACAAAACCGGAGGAAGATATTAAATCAGATGATGGTAATAAACCAAAAGAAGAAATAGAGGTAGATGAAAAGAAAACCTCAGAAGAAGGTGAGAATGTAAAAGACGAAGAAAAAGAAGGACACGAAGGGGAAAAATCTGAAAAAACTGCTCCCGAAGAAACAGAAGAGAAAGTAAAAGATGAAAAATCCGCAGGAGCCGCCGATGAAAGTGGAGAAGCTACAAAAGAAGTAGAATCAGAAGAAACTCAACAAGCTCAAGCTGGAGATGAGTCTAAGCCAAATGAAGATAAGGAAACTAGCGAGCATGGTCATCAGGAAGAGAGTAAAGAAGAGAATCAAGAAGAGGCTGTAAAAGGTAATCAGGAAGAGGCAAGAGAAGAGACTCAAGAAGAGGCTGTAAAAGATAATCAGGAAGAGGCAAAAGAAGAGAATCAAGAAGAGACTGTGAAAGAAAATCAGGAAGAGGTAAAAGAAGAGAATCAAGAAGAGGCTGTAAAAGATAATCAGGAAGAGGCAAAAGAAGAAAATCAAGAAGAAGCTAAAAATGAGGGAGCGGAAGGTGATAAGCCGAAATCTCCTCCAGCTAAGGTGAGTTAAAGTAATCGTTTATTCTTCATTATGTCAGTAGTCAATAACAAAAGAAATATAGGCAAGTACATCCTTATCAAGACATCAAGATCAAGAAGATGAATTCGAAGAAAATCTCCCGAATATTGTCATGTCCACGCCAATGTTACCGAAAAGTAATAGATCTAGTACTCAACCCCCTAAAGCTCTACTATCAACTAGTAATGAAGATATTCAAAGGGCAGTTGACGACCACTTCCTATCAATATTTAATAGAGACAGAGCGTCTTGTTACCTAGACTGTATGTCTGGTTTAAGCCAGACAGAAGTTGGTATGATACCAGCTGTAGATGCTGTAGACGTTGGCCTCATTCCACCTACTTTAGCCTATTTACGATATGTTTCTAGTTGTTATAAGGAGGCAGAAAAAAGAGTTACAAAGATGCTAAATGAATATTTAGAAATAACTATTACAAAGCAAATGAAAATAACAAAAGATTTAGGTGCAAATATGCCATGGTTCAACCAAAGGAAGGAGTTAACCTTGAGTGATAATATAAACGACCTAGAGAGAGAATCTGCCAATAATTCAAATACTTTTAAAAATTCCCACAATTCAATTCAATCAAATAGTTTAAATATTAATGAATTAACAATTGATAATCAACCTATATTTAATACGGTTTGACCTAGTTGTGAAAAAAGCGAAAATTCTGTTTAGACGAGAGTAATTAATTGTATAAATGTATTACGATAGGAAGAGAAGCAGGATGAGGAAGAGGAGGAGACTAAGAAGAAGATACCAACCCCTCCACCACCTCCCCAACTAGAGGCTGAGGAAACGTTTGAAGAAGAGGAAGAGGAGGATGATAAAACCTCGGCAATGGTAAGGGAACTAATAACATAAAGTATGAGTAAGTTATATAAAATAGTTACTTAATTACTAGTCGGTTCACTGGTGTTTTGGAGTAAATAAGAATGTGAAATTACTAAATCTATCAACGAATAAAAGAAAATTAATAGCGTACGCCTGTGGTCATTCATGCGTTCTCTATGATGTGGTTAATAATAAGCAACGAATTCTTCAGGGTCACGTAAGTAACGGAAATTAGAAATAGTTTTAATTAAATTTTTAAAATTGATCGTTATTTTACTATTTTTTCATTCTCCTTTGAAGGTCAACAATATATCTTGTACAGCAATAAGCAGAGATAAAAGGTGGTTAGCCACCGCCGATAGCGGAAAACAGTGTATGATAATAATATGGGATACTAACACTGGGTATATTATTGAATTTATTATACATCAATGAATTATATAAATTATTAGTTCTTTCATCTATTTAGAATACCAGTTCAAACGATATTTGATGCTCATCCAGACGGCGGGGTTGCCGCTTTAGCCATAACACCCGATTCTAGGTATATAGCATCCTTGAGTCATTCACACCCGCAAACATTGGCTATTTGGGATTGGACTGTTGAATCTAAACAAGCTGTTTGTACGGCTACACTAGAGCAAACTTATGGATTGCAAACATTTCTCTATTTCAATCCTTTCGATGTTAATCACATAGTATCCAATAGCGAAACTCAAGTTATCTTTTACAAATGGGTAAAAATAATCCAACATAATAATTAATAATCCCTGTCCTCTCATGCTAACCTCTCAAACATACAGGATAGTACGGAAATCGTCTATTTCGCTCCACCTTTGACAAATGATGACTTTAGAAAACCTGTTGGTAACTATAGTCAGTCTATATTTTTGGAATCGTCGACCAGAGCATTGACAGCAACCTCTATTGGTAATCTAGTTGTTTGGGATACAAATGCTCCAATTACAAAAAGTATAATCTATTTAAAATATTCCACAATACTCATAACCAATGAATAAATTAACTAATTAGTGACCTACAAACCGACACCAAATAAAAAGGCACTAAAATTAATTAAATTACAAGAAAAGGGAATAACCGTTATGACACTTTGCGATGGGTACGTAATTTATTTTGCTTTCTTATCATTCAAATACTAAATATTATATAATTTGCATAATTTATTCACTATAAATATATTCAATATATTCAGGTTATTTAGTTATAGCAAAAAGTAAGTAATTAGTATTTAAAAAACCGGAAAAAGAGACAAAGATAAACATAAAATAGATCCCTAATAGTTCTCTTAGATGATGGCTTAAAGATTTAATTAATCCTATTTTTTATATATATATGATTACGAGTCTAAAAAGAATAGATTAAGCTGATTAAAAAGAGATTTTTAGTTCTTTTTTTTGGTAGATTAACGTGATGATAAGTAAATTATCTTAATCCATTCATGACATCTTTTTCCCTATAATTCTATCCAGATTTATTGTTATTGGAGATCAGGCTGGTCATGTGAAATTTTTCGATAATAACATGAAGCTAATGATGTGGTATTCGAATTTCGAATTGGGTCCCATATTATCTCTCTCATTTGCATATTCACCAGATTTTAAAGTATTGTAAGTTATAAATATCTACCTGTATATATTATCTATTCTTATTTTTTATTATTCAATAGCGATCCTGAAGATGAAAGATAGTAAGTATAATATAAAGAAATAAATTAATTTACTATGTGTAGTTAGCATAACTAAGAGATTTACATATATTAACATATCATTTAAATATGTATAATAATCATATTTTAATTCAGTAAAGTATTTTTCGGAAAAGAAAAAGAACCGTAAGTTAAACAAACAATCAAAAGCAGTAAAGCTATTTGTGAAACGCACTCAAAATTACACTTAATGTATAAAAAATAGTAAAGAAAAAGGAAGATAATTTAGCAATATTCATGAGCACATGATTTATTATTGTAATTTATTCACATTTTTTATGATTTTCTATAATTTATTCAATTTTTTATTTAGATTGATGGCTTATTATTCTATTGTATCACCTATATACATATATTAAGTTGTAAAAGTGCAATTTGCTAAAAGATCATTTTAAAGGCCTATTTGTATCATTTCATTCACTTAGATTTCTCTTGATACCTACCTGTAGAAATATTTGCAATCGTCCATTTTGTTTATTTTTAAATATATGTGTATACATCTTTATCACAGTGCTGAGCCTCTTGGCAACTTTCCTCCGGATGCAACAATAGCTGCAAGAAAATTCAAAACAAGAGATTTTTCCATTTCCACCTACTCAGGATATATGGGTATGGTAGAGGCGGAAGGATCAAAGTTAAGAGTAATATCTAAAGAGGCCGAAACGGATATTAGAGCTATAGCTACTCACCCGAAAATGTAAAAAAAAACGAAAATTAAAGAGTATAAGTATTATTATAAATTATTATTCATTTTTTATAGGCCTTACATAGCCGCAGCGTGCGATTCCGGCCTTTTAAAAGTGTGGGACTACGAGACAAAGTAATTAACCTAATTAAATTTATTAAAAATTCTTAATAATCGAAATAATCGACTCAACAAAACAGAAAAGTTGTACTTAGTCGTCAATTTAAGGGAAGTAACCCCGCAATTAAATGTATGGCCTTTCACCCTAAAGGTCATTTGATTGGTAAGTTGTTAGCAAAATCAATAATAATTTGCATAATAATTAATAGGATTGTTATTAAAAAGCTTTGGGATTTGCCACTGGTTATGTAAGACTAATTGAATCAAGTAGCTTGGACGATGCTAGCGCGGATAAATTGCGTCTTTGCAAATGCCAAATAACAAAGGTGGCATTTGCTTTGGATGGATCTTATCTTGCTTGTATAGATATTAATTATACAACAACTGTTCTAAAAGCAACACATGTTCAAGAGTCGCCTTATAAATTAATTGGACGATATAGAGCTCACCAAAAACCCGTTGCCGATATCATGTTTGCCGAACATCCTGATAAAAATGAGGCGCGATTATTTACTTTAGGAATGGATAGAAGATTGGTGGAATATGATCTTGAAAATAGTAAAAGGGACGATTTAAAGATCCTTAGTATAGATAAGATTGAACAGGATGCAAGGGCTCTTTGTTTAACTGAATATGCTCCGGTTACAAAAGAAAGATTCTTTGTTACCGCAAACGACCAGTTCAAATTCAAGTTATATAATGTCACCACTAAAATGTGCCGTAAAACGATATTAGCACCCACATTTGGGTCGCCTGTTGAAAGGATGAAATTGTTGCCAGATTCGAGATTTATGACTTTTATGTCCTCCGATAAATTAGGTATTCATATTGTTCCTTTAGACGGTAATCCTCATAAAGCAATGGCTGTTGTTGCCCACCCGCACGGAGTCCACGATTTTTGCTATAGTATGGATGGGAAATACATCTTTTCATGCGGCGGTGAAGATATGATAGTTCACATGTGGAGAGTGAATTACGAGTAAGGAAAGCCTATCATTTACTGCAGCATTTTAACTAATTACTTCCTCTTTATAAAGCGCTTGTGAAGCTCAGCTATTATTAGGTGGAGAGCACCTGGATCCGTTCTACGGTTTAATTGACGGTGGACGAGAAGGTCAGTTGTTTAAGGAACTTGAAGATTATTTCTACTATGCACAGATTAGAGGGTAGGTTAATCAGACTAACAACTATATTCTATTAATTAACTGATTATGGTTTATAGAGAAGGAATTAATAAGATGGAAAGGAGAAAGATAACAGATACAATACCCTTATCAGAGATACCATACGTAATGAGAGCAATGGGATTCTTTCCAACTGAACAGCAGATAGAGGATATGGTTAACGAATTAAAATATAGTATGTATGTCGAAACTGGAAAATATAAGGAGAGATGCTCACTCGAAGACTTTATACTACGTAAGCGTCTAATCTCTTTTAAATAGACGTTTAAACTTGTAATCTCTGTATTTTTTTCTTCAGTATACGTCAATCATAGACCAGCTTTCGGGGTAGAAGCGAACTCCCTATTAAATTCATTTCAAAAATTAGAGGACGAAAATGAATCAATAGCTCGCCGTCGTCTTATCGATTTATTGCAAAAGAGAGGAGAGCATATGACGGAAATGGAAATAGTAGAATGTTTCGTTACTTTATTAGGAGGGGCAGCAGAAGGTGCCAGATGCGAGGCGAATCCTATCGATCCCGATGTCGGTGGAGATTTTATGGAAAATTATTTGCCCGAAGAAATAGACGCTCATTATTTCGCTAATGATCTACTTAATTTAGAATTTCATGATCCGAATTTAATGGTTGAAGAGATCGAAGATACAGAAGAATTAAAGCCAATTGACAAAAAACAAAAGCAAACAACTCAAGTTTCTTTCCACGAATAACTGCTTTTATTAAAACTTGTTATTATTTTAATTATGACAAACATAATTGTGTTTTATATGAAAAGAAAGTATATACAAGCATCTCTATATTAATATACTCTATTTATATAAGAAAACCTTTTCCAAGTAAATCATCGTCTTCTAATTGGAATTCGCAGCGTCCACTATAAAAACCACGCCCTTCAACCTTTACCCTTACAGCTTCGAATTTACCACACTTCATTCGTTCTATAGCTTGTCCTATCATTTCGCTCTTTGTCAGACTATTGCGAAAAATTACAGCCTCTTTTAGACCTATATTTTCTTTTGCCACCAAACAAGCGATTCTAGCCGTTACTCCACTACCACATGGGGATCTATCAATACTTGATTCGGCGAATATACAAACATTAGACGTAGACTTGTTTTCTGATAAAGTATCGATAATAATGGTACCATAGATGAAACTTAAATCGTCTTCTTCCGGATGAGTAACCTTATAGTTTTGGCGAAGATAATTGGTTATCGTTGTGCCTAGAGCACGTACTTGTTCAGTATTTGCTGTTTCCGGTGTCAAATTTAGAGAAGAATAATTAACTAGAGCGTAGAAAGCTCCACCGTAGCTGATGTCAACTTTTACATCTCCAATAGAACCTCCAACGGGCACTACGACATCCTGTTCGTAAAGGAAAGCTGGCACACTAATGAATGACGACCTTCCACTGTTTTTATCATAGAATGCATTTACAAGACCACAAGGACACTCTATACTGACTGGGGTAAATCCACTTTCGGAAACGCTCACTAAACCCTCGTCAACTGCGTAACGGGCAAGAGCGATTGTTGCATGACCACACATAGTGCTATAGCCCTCGTTGTGCATAAAAAGTACTCCCAAATCGGCGTCAGGGTGATTAGGTTTAACTAAGAGGGCTCCATACATGTCTGAATGACCTCTTGGTTCAAACATAAGATATTTTCTATAATCGTCGTAAAACTCCTTCATAAACTTCCTTTTTTCAAGTATAGTTGAACCATGGGGTTCTGGAATACCCATTTTAATGATTCTTACAGGTTCACCACCCGTATGCATTTCTATTGTTTTAATAAGAAAAGATTTAGATAACGACATTTTCTTGTTTTGTATTTCCTTTAAATTCTTCACTACTACAGGCACAAACTTTGAATAATATTAAAAAAGAAATCTTATCTGCAGAATCGATAGATGGCGCTAGTTTCATTATATTAAAGTGTAAAAAACATTGTCTAAATTTTTAAGATTTAGAATGCTCTTAAGGGTATAAAATAAAGGAGAGGAAGAAGAAGAAAAAGAAGAAGACTATATAATAATAACAATAATAATGATAATGCTATAAGCGATAGGAAAGTGGAACATTTAAAGTATATTAAAAATCAATATTCCGATCATCAGCGTCCACAAAACTATCAGAATCTTTCTCAGATTTCATTGTCATCACTTGTCGCAACGACCTCACTGACCCAGTTGAGTCTAACCGTTTATATGCCTTGCCCACTCTCTCCTCGGCCTTTTTTATCCTATCGCTCGCAATATCTGCCTCGTGTCTAGGATCGTAGATAGGCGAGGGTAATTCATCTTTAGGTTGAGGAGGAGGAGATCTTGCTAATTTGGAACTACTTTCACTTAGGTGAATAATTCTCGGACGATCTACCTCGTCTTTCCCTCTATCAAATCTCGAACTTGTTTTCACGTGCTTTACTTCCAATTGTCGTCTTGTTTTCTCCTTAAAAGAAAAGTTAAATTTGTTTAACCTTATTAAAAATTATTTTGTCAATGTCGTTAAACAAGCGAATTTAAAATTATACCGAACGTCGGGGTCTCGTTCCAGAACCAGAGGATTTTTTTACGATTTCTTTCACTCTTGGAGTCGAGTGTTGAATAAAAGTCTCCGCCCCATTCTCTCTCGGATTTGGCGAAGAAAGTGGTATAGGCATGGGTGCTGGAGATTGATATGGGCCCATCTGCACCGTTTGTACGGGATTCTGTAATATTTGAATCGGTTTCAGTACATATAGAGTATTCAGACTCGGGCTTGGTGTTAATTGTGCAGGTGATTGAACTAGGTATTGGTTGGATTGATATTGGTATTGTTGTTGAGGAATGCCGAGTACTTGCTGTTTAGGCAAAGTAGCATAAGTGGTTTGAAGAGGAGGAACGTTATTCTTCTGTACATATCTCGGCAATGTTGCGGATTCCATCCTATTCTCAACAACTATGTTCGAAGTATGTATTTTACCCATTTTACTTTCATTGGCCATTTCTTCCGTGTTTACTCCTCGATCAGTTGTAGGCCTATAAACATCTTTAGAATTCATTCCATTGGCCTTAGAGGAAGTTACAACATTTTTATAATTGGAACTTTTTGTATTATGAATTTCAGCCTGAAAATTCTTTCTTATTTGTCCATTTCCCACATTTCTACCGTCGGTATCGTCTACGCAAATTCGTTCGCTTTCGATAGTGAGAACAGCTAATTCATTAGCCGCTTCGTCGTTATGAACATTTTGCCTATTTCTATCATGATAATTATGAGTTTCATGATAATTGAACACTTTCTGATCATAATTTGAATTCCTTGTTAAAGTTGATTCGTTGTTACCATTTTCATCAAATACCGTATTGTCGTTGTCAGTGTATAGGCTATTCGACGTAAGTGTTGATATATGAGGCAACAAAATATCTAAAATCAATAAGTTTACATATAAAAAAAGTACTTTTTATGCAATTGTTATATACAAATATATGTATATAAATATTGTGTGGGAGAATGCATACCTAACGTGCCAGGTAATTTAAACCAATCCGACTTTAGCGTCCTCGCTAAAGTCTTCGAGTGGGTAGAACAAAACGACCTCCAACGAAGACCATTTTCGTCGTTTTCAAAACCGTCCGCCACTTTTAACATAATGTTGGTTGTCGTTGGTATAATAGCAAATTTTGATATGTTTAAGAAGGTATTTTCTAGAAGAAGAACAAAGGAAAGGAGAGAAAGTTAATTTAGTTAAGTAATTATTACGTAATAAAAAAAATATTACGTTTTAAAATAAAAAATCCTTTCAGGAAATGCTCTGTAACCAGAGGTCCAAAACAACCGTTTGGAGTTTCCAAATTTTCAATGTAAATTGAACCATAATCTCTACTATTTGTTTGTTCGCCACCGACCCGAAAAATCCAGGGATCGAAATAGTCAAATTCAACTTCTAGTCGCTTACCAGTAAAAAAGCTTTTAATTATATGATACAGCTTAGTGCTGGGACATGGCTTTAATGCTGTATACATGAAATTTTTCAAGTTGAACCTTAAATCCTATATTTATTACTAAACAAATATTATACCTCGACGATTATTCTTCAGTGAGCTTTCTTGAATATTTCGAACTAGAAATTTCATCGGAAAGTCACGTGGTACTGATACATATCTGTTACGCTTATCCTTAATGATTATCCTCTTTTGCTTGTCCCAGCTGTCTATCCGGATTATCTAGTAGAAAACATAGGGATATATTCGATATGCTGTATATATAGTATATAGATCATACGTAAATGGAAAATTTGCCTGTACAATAGTTTACAAAGTTATTACAAAGGCCTACAAAATTTTTTTAAGAGTAGAAAGCCATGAATACCTGTCCTTTTTCTAATCCTAAATCAGCGTCACCTCCATTCTCTACCAAGATATACATTGGACAGGTTAAACCTATTAAATCATGAGGTCTAGCTAGTTGATCACTCCATTTGATATCTTTAAGATCTTCTTCTAAGAATGAAGAGCCCATCTTAGAAATAAACCTTTGGTTATTGTCTATATGTATCTTCCTTTCTTCTTCTTCTTCTTCTTCTTCTTCTGTTAGCTCTGTGTTTTAGAATTTTCTATCCTCCCTCTCTCTAAATACTTGTCAAATTTCAATTAGAATATATTTGCCATTAATACATTTATATAATGCATAGATTTACAAAAGAAATGAAATTAAAGTAATTGGAAAGTAGAGACAAAATACGCCTTATCACTAAAACTATTGACCTAAACAGTGTACAAGTCTCTACCATTGTCAACAAAGTTTTTCCCTTGAGTTAGGTCTTCAAATTTCAATTGCGATAAGACCTACTTAGCAATACCATTTTTCAAAATAAGTTCGATCTATGATAAATGATTGATCTAACGTCTACAGTGGCAGAAAAAGCATAGTCAAAACGCCTACAAATATATTTATATATAAAATCGAATGAAATGAGTACCTTCAAAAAGAGACAGCTTCACTAGCTTGCAAAGAAGAGTTAGTTTCGGCGAATGATCAAAGTAGCTTCAACAACAATAGCCCTTTTAGAGAAGAAAAACTAAGATATATCTATCTATAAACCGTATATATATATATATAATATACTGTGTATACTCCATATATAAAATACATATGTGATTTTCTAACGACGATAGGCCCCCCTCCTTATAAGGCAGCTCTTATAAATAAATAATAATGATCACGTGACCTATTCCATTTATAAACAAATATCATATTGGCCGGGCCTAAAGGTGGCACTTTCAATGCTATGAAACACGACCCAAATACGACAGTTATATGATACGCCATATATTTATAGCATGTAAAATTTTCAAAATGTTGAAGATATATAAAAAGCGGAGAGACTCTTATCATAGAAGTCATGAAATACAAGTATAAATTTATACTGTAAAAAACTACAGTATTCCTTAAAAAAATCTTTCAATAGTTCTATTATATATTAGAAAAGGATAATAAAAGATTTAACAACATAACAGACTACTCCCCTCGATCTCTTGTTCGATTTTAAGCTATCTGAGCCTGAACTCTTCCTCCTTCTCCAAGTAAAATTTATAATATAAATAATTTTAATTAACTTCTTTATAATTCTTATAGTTTATGAGAGAAGAAATAGAATATAGTATATACATCTATTGTCTATTTATACTTCTGCTTCCTCTTCGTCTTCTTCTTCTGCTATATTTCATATATTTTCTTTATCAATTATTCTTTATGAAAGTAGTTCATTGTGTGAATCGCTACATTGAGAAGAGGTTATAGTTAGGGTTGTTTTTTTTTTACTATATTATTCTGTTGTCATTAAATAGTTATATTATAGACTTATAGCAGAACAGTAAAAGTATTGTTTAGATACTTTCATTCTTTAATGTTTTTATCGCAAGATAGAAGAAAAGTATATTGACTATAAGAGAAACTTAAGTAAGAAAGATAAAAAAAAAAGGAGGTTAGTGTTTGGAAATGGAAGATAATGAATATTTTAAAGTCTTTCGACGCCTACTAATGACTATGGGAAGATGCATTCGGTTCGTTACTTTTATGTATAATGCATCCTACTCTAAGTAAGCTATCCTTATGACTATTTAGATTTTTTTTTCAATGAATGATATTAACTGTTTATAATAATTATCTGAATACAAATATATATATATATATATATTTTTGCTAATCAGATAAGGGAGATTATTCAAAAGATTAGGATGTGATTGATGTACTAATAAGGAATATTTATGTTTCTATTATAGGGATATGAATAATGTTGCAATACTAATTTTTTTTGCTTTCCTGGGCATTTGATAATCATATTTTATAATAATGAATCATGCATCCACTTCATTAGGCCTATAATCTTGAATAATAAGACTCGTGAACAACTAAAGACTCTTCGGTTTGTAATTCTCTCACGTTCCGACAACCTATTGTAAGAAATAAGGGAGAAAAAGTTGATAAATTTATCAAACGCCATCTATGGGGAAGATATTATATTAACTAACCGGCTAAAGCCATTGACGTATTAAACTCTTCTTTCAGTATGTTTAATAGTTTTTCAACACCTGCTGCTCCCTGTTATCATTGACAAGGTCGATTAAGAAAAAGATAGGAAGTATACGGGCCACAGGAAGTTGAGACTTCCTATTTGTAAACAAATACTAACATCGTACGCTAAGCCAAAAAGTGCTGGGCGTCCAATGAAAACGGCCTTCGCTCCCAACGCAATGGCTTTAAAAACGTCAGTCCCCAAACGAACACCTCCATCCAAGTAAACTTCAACGTTCGACCCTTGTACAGCCTTTACAACTTCCCTAAGGGCGTCAATCTGTAAATACATAGATGCTTAGTTTTTTATTACAAGCTAATGATATTAATGGTTCTAATAATAATAATGATAAAAATTGTGACGTAGGCCTAACCGAAGCAGGAACACCGTCTAATTGCCTTCCACCGTGATTCGAGACGACAATTGCGCTCACTCCAATTTCGACTGCCTTTCTTGCTTCTTCGGCTGGAATGTGCGAAAATCGCCTGTAATCGTCGCTTGAATAGGAGGGCGATAATTAAACTGACCGGTCAAAATTCCTTTTAGTACAAGAGGTAATTTAGTAAAATTTTTTAGCCAAATAACATCTTGCCAGGTGACAGAAGAACTAAATAACCTCCTAGAATATTCACCTAGTCCCGACCCACTTCCGGAATTTTTGCTAACACCGTCCCTAGAATATCCCTTTAATGACTCGAAATTGGCCATTCTAATAAATTATAGTAGATAAAGATTATTTAATTTATTTCTATTGTGACTCTTATTATAATTAAAATTCAATTAGAACTTACTTTAGATGGGCTGGTGTCTTGAAATTATTCTTTTCATCGGCTATTCTCTTACCGAAGAATGGCGAATCAACAGTCAGAAAGAGAGCTTTATAGCCGGCTTCTTCTGCCCTCCTGACAAGCTCCTCCGTTACGCTCTTATCCTTTTTGAATATGTATAATTGATAGAACTTTAAAGCATTTGGATTGGATTCGGCAATTTCCTCTATTGAAGAATTAGCTATGGTACTTAGTGTATAGGCCGTTCCGGCTCGAAACGCCCCTTTGCACGTTCCAATCTCGCGCTCGTCGTGAGCTAAGCCGTGCATTGCTGTTGGAGCGATGCAAACGGGAAAAGATATTTTATATCCCAATATTGTTGTACTTGTATCAATGTTAGAAACATCTCGTAATATTCTTGGTCTTATTTTATATCTCTTGAACGCCTTAATATTATCATTGACTGTTTGCTCGTCATTTGAGCCACTGATGTAATAATCTAAAGCAGATTTAGGTAAGTACTTATAGGCGTAGTCCTCGAAATCTTTTACACAGGCCATTATAACCTTTGGGGGAACTTCCGCTAAAAACCTTGTAGAAAAATAAACAAAATAAGCTTCGTTACGCTAAATCAGGTACAAATTAAAACCTAACGCCTCAATTACCGAAGATCATCAAAAGGACAAGCAGCCTCGACCTTCGGAACAATTGAGCAACCACGTGATAAATGGGTCATGTGATTCTTATATTTATATTTAATTTTTTTATCAACAAAATAGCTATAATTAAAATTTATTGTGTATTTCAGAACATCTCGATCCGTTACTTTGAATAAAAGACGAACTGAGTGTTTATGCGGGAATGCAGTTTATTTAGTGAATTATACTCAAAATTGCTCGTTTTACGCTCGATTTCGAAGAGTATCGAATTTCGATTGGGAAGTTTTCCAAGCGGGTTATAAAGTCGTTAAAATTCCAATGAATTGTTGCGTAATAAAAGCCGACGATGCGTACAGATGTCAGTGTTGATCTGCAAATTCGAGCACGCAAACGTTACATTGTACATGAGTCACGTGTTTAAACATCTCGACTGTCCGCAAATTTCCCGAGTCGTCCGGAGAAACGTGCCCAACAAGAATGGAAATGATAAGGAAAGAAAGTGAAAAAAAAATATGGAGAAAATAATAAAATAACATAAAAATAAATTAAAAAGGAAGTAAAGCATATATGAGTATTGGTTGAATTTACGTGGCGGAACGTCGGTTAAAGACGTTAATTAACCAATTAATCATTTATTTCATTTCAACCTTTTACGCATTGGGAATTTTAATTACTACTAGGTTAATTTAAAAGAATGATAATAAAGAAAGAGGAAAAACTTAGTTTACCTTATATTTTAACTATTTTGATTGTTAGATGGCATGCAAACTCCTTATCAAAGCCGAATAAATAATTAGTTGGTATAGGGAGAGGATTTCGTTTACAATATAATTTTTTATAGGAAATAACACCGAGTTTCTTCGATTTCTATCGATCGTGCGTGACGACCAACTCAAACTTAATGTTTATTCATAAAATATTGTTTTGAACGCGCAGCACATGGTGTAAATAGCACTTTAACCGCGTCTGACGCGGGTAAACATTCAAGAGACGTCCTCTTATTGTTTACTTATCGAACGGGTCTTATAAACCGCAATAAAAATGCATCTGCTTCTATCTTCCTAATTATTTTCGCGCCAGTTCTAATAGGCCTATAATTTAATTATGGTTTCCCGGCGCCGTTAGCCGGACGGAATCGTTCAATGGGATCCGGTGCCCGCCTAATAAAATTGTCTCACCGAATTCTCGCCAGGTGGCGCGACGGTCAACAATCGTTCGCCTATAAGGTTTCGGAGAGTGACGTTTAAAGCGCGAAAAGTAAAAAATTTACCGCCGGTTCTATTCTACATTATTCTACTCGTTTGAAGTTTCTCTCCCTTTTCATTCAACGCTCGACAGGTGCAAGAATTGTCCGAAGGGGAAGTCTACCTTACATAAACTTTTTTATGTAAATCTATATATTAGGAGAAGAAGAAGAAGAAGAAGGAATCAAAGAAAAACATTCTTATTCCTTTTTTATTTAACTCAACGGATTAATACATTTTTTAAAGGAAAAGACTATTTATATTTCATAGAAGAAAAAAGGAGTGTTTTTGTAAGGTTAGTATTTTATTCTATCTATATTTTATCCAGGTACTATGAAATAGAAACAGCAAACTTAATTTAATTGCTGGCTTCGACAGAACGTCTAATGGAACGTTCGATAAAAACTGATAAAGCTATTGCATGTATAAAACAAGTTGACTACCAATTAGGAAACATACGCCTAATTTAGTGTAGACGCTTTTTCAATAGAACGTCTAATCGCGCACTGATACCGTCTTAATGATACGTGCTTTAAAAAAAAATGAATCATAGCTTTATTACAAAATTCCCTAACGTCAGATTTCCGTCATTTAATAATAACATAGTGTGTACAAAAGTGACGCATGCAACGTGCAAAATTTTTTATTATTCATAATTACATTTCACATCAAAACCGAAAGGAAGATATTCTTTTTTTTTTTTTACATAAAAGAAATAAAAGGCTGTAAAATAACAAATCTAACTTTGGACGTTTTCAAATAGAAAGTAATGCAAGCACATAAATAAACATCTAATTGATAATGTAAGCGTTGATATATGTATGTATGAATATATACAAGTATATATCTATATATATACATATTAATTCGTTTCTCACCTGTCGGTATATTAATAGGGAAATGCACGCGTGAAAAAAAAACAACAGAAGAGCCGTAAAAAAAAATCAATCGCATATACATTGAGAAAACTATACTAGTATCGAATAATTGAACGTGATCTTGCTATAAGTGCGCCTTGTTAATTGTTCTATGTGTACATGTAGGCGGCATGAGAAAAGAGCACATGATGTAGAAGGTAACGTGATATGTCCACTTTTACTCTCGTGGTTTATATATAAATATATATAAATCTTTGGAATATAATTTCCTATAGTTTGTAGATGTTAAATGGCTTCGGTCAACAAAATTTATCAATGGAAAAAAATGGTGTTCATACGTGTCGCGTTCATAGATAGAAGCTGTCATCCGTTTTTTCTATTTAAGCTCATTTCGGCCTAGGATATCTTTTCTACAGAGGATCTGTTGACAAAAGTGCTTTACTTGTTGGGTGGGCATCATTAAATTCACAAAAGAGTATATAGAAAGATTATTTTTTAATCTTTTCTTTATAAGAAACATTAATCAAACAGCCTATAATAATCGAGCATCACTCACTCAGTTACCAAATGATAGCCCTCTATTTCGAAGCCATGCAATCAAACTATCAGATAATGTTGTTTATGCACCTTGTGCCAAATCTTATAAAAACAAACTACGAGTTTCTTTTGCGAGTATGCAACTGATTTTGTGGGGGTTGATTTTATCAATTTTTTACATTCGGCCCTGGCCCATTAATTCCCATGACTTGTTTGTACTTTCCTACCTCTCTCACCCCCTAACTCTCTTTCTCTATATGTGTCTACCTTTCTCTTCCTTTTTTTCTATCATTAGTAAAAAGGCGTGAGTGGGCGGCGGCCTTTTGCTTTAATTTTTTTATTCAAAGGGCGAGAAGCTTTTAAAAGTTTTAAACTGTTTAAAAAATAAAAAAGAACCCAGCCCTTAAAAAACTTAAAACACTTAAGTGCGGTATTACTTTTACGGAAATATGCGCTTTTTACGTAATCCGATTGCTTAATAAGTAGTATGTTAAAGGTTTAGCGACTATTGGTCATAATTAAAGTGATAAAGGATATAAATAAGTTGAACGGAATCACTTTAATCCCTTTTATTCGTTAAAAAAAGAAGAATTATTTCTTCCACCTTCCTGCCTCCCGTAGTCGATCATTTTCTCAATACCATTGTTTATTATCACATTTCGGCATTTGTATAGTTTACTTAATTACGAGCATGTGTCGCTAAGATAAATTTTCACTCAAATTTCGGGTCCAGAAGATAGGCAATTATCATTGGGAAAGGTTATCTTGATATATCAAAAAGGCTTTATTATACAGATATATATACATAGAAAACACCTTATTTTAGTTATTCCAACATCCTCCCTTCTTTTCTATCATGCGTCAAACTAATTCCAAAGGTAAATATTCAAAACGGGAAACCGAATTGAATACTATATATAGCAGAGATATATATATATAAATATATATTTTACAAATATATTATGTAGGTGCGTTTTTAATGTCTCTGGATATACATTCCACTTTTATATTTACTCATATACATTCCATTTTCCATTATATTCTATCGTTAATATTTGAGGAAGTTGTTTTGTAATTTATATAAAACATGGTATTGAGTTAAGTTATGAATGAGGGTGTGAGATTCTCTGACATTTCATTGTTCATACTAATAATACCCAATATTATTACATCGAGTACGTCTGTAACAACTGTATCGGATTAAGGACATTGATTATGGATCAGCGGCGTTTTATAGACTGACTGCACGTTCGTCATAATCTTTTGTATCTGCTTAAATATAGACACGGTCGATAATGTGCAGTATAAAGAGGTTTTAATGTTGTGTATAGTCTTTTTATTCGCATCTCGCACAAAGAGAGAGAGACAGAGAAAAGGACTTAAGATAAGGATACGGAAAGAAGGAAAAGCTGTTTTCAAATTTGCGTGAACAGTTTCGCACCATCTGTCCGTATTAGCTTAATCTGATTAATATCATATATTAAACAATACTCTTCTCTTTCTCTCTTTTCCTATCGCTGCGGGAAAGAGAAATGTAAACATGTATATGCTAGTTATATATAAATATATATTTATACACCTACACATTTTTGCGGTGTATTACAAATAATGAGAATTCCCCTTTTCCCCTTTATTTTTTATTCTTAATTGTTATTTTTTCAATAATCTTAATTAAAGTGCTAGGAGGGTTCGTATTGGGTTAGAATAGAAAATTTTGCATCCCTCGGCGAGTCAACAATACTCTGGCCTTAATCCGCGTCATTTCGCACGAGATTTTAATTCCACAAGATTCTGAAAGGCTTCGCTACGGGAACATTTACTTTGCTTGAACAGTGTCAGATCGTGAAAGGCGATAGAAGTGATTTAGTCCGTCAATTTTTGAGTGGGGGCTTTATACTGTTCGAACACTAATCTACGTATTGAAAACTCTTTAACAATTAGCTACGTATGCAATCAAATTTTACTTTTATCTCCATTGCTACGTATTGTCTAATCAAGTGTCATCGCTTTCAATTTTACCACCTTGAAGCCCACGTGTGACAAGTGACGTCTTGCAGAGATAAGTTAAAGGCTTTTCTCATTCTCTAAGCACAACGGAAATTACGTAATATTGAAAAAAAGAAAAAAAACTACGAACGTCGATATAGCGTGACGTAATTGTTTGTGTTTATCGCAACGCCAAGTCGGCTTTTATCAATTGTAATTTGACATTGCCGATCTTTAATTCAATTAGACGCCTTGTAGTGCGTTATTCGCTTTCGAACGCTAGACGACCTTTTGCTTTAACACATAAGATATATTTTTTGAAAAAAGCGGTCGAACACCTGGCAGGTGAATAGAAAAGCCGGTGCTTGACGGTTTTCCGGTCTTCAAATCCACATCACTGGTGCGAGACTGGTGCTATGTTGACATTGGCATGCGGCGTTATGTAGACGCACACCAAGGATAAAACGAAGAAAAAGAAGGACAAGAGAAAGGGAAGAAGTAAGGATGAAAATAGAGACTGAGAAGGAAATGAAAAAGAAGAAAAAAAGCACTCGAAATTTTTAATAACGTTCCCATATATTACTGCTCGAATCGTGAATTGAATAGATCTATATAAGAAAGTCTAGTCAGGTGTAAATAATACCTTTCGAATTTTTCAGTGTAGGTCTTTCTAATATGTGTAACCTTTGTCTTTGACCGGTTAAATGTAATTCTTTACCCTTCGCCTTTACCCCTATTCCTTTCTCTTATACTTGAAGGGCACGCCATAAATCTCTCCATCTCAACTGACCATATTGAATTGTAAAGAGGGGCGTCAAACTTTACTGACGTTCGAATCTATTTCCGGCCGTCATAAAGCGTCTCGAACGTCACGCGAGCAAATCGTCAAAAAGTAGACGCTAATCATACACAAAGGAAGCGTTCGTTCAAGCGTTCTTTTCTTTCTCTCTGTTTACTATTATGACATTTTCAATAGGGATAATACATTTACGTGTGCGTATATAAACATTGCAAATATTGAGGTAGAAGAGGTTGCAAAATGCGCGCTGAGCCCCTCTACTTCTCTCTTATACATTATGTTTTTCTTGTTCTTCTATCTTCTCTCCCTTTCTTCTCTCTTCTCAACTCTTTTAGACTACAAAAAGTGAGAGAGCGAACGAAGGAGAGATAAAATTCTTTTTATTCCTGTGTTTAGTACGAAACAGCTGCGTCATGTTTCGCATCCTCTCCTCTTTTTTATTTTAGTTTTCATCCTATACTCAAGCAATTTTTTTAAATCTTAGCAGATGTATGATTGAATCATTGACATATGATCTATAAATGTATAGGCTGACAAATCGATACCCTCTCCATGACGAAAGAATAGAAAGAATATTTGAACGTCTACTAGAATCAACTTTATAGATTGTATTGACTATTTCTCTTTCACTCTTCTTTACTCTTGTTTTCTATTGGTCGGCACATACTCTTGCACTTTTTTTCACTAAGCTTCCCATCTTCTATTTTTCCTTCTCATTTAACGCCCTCTATGTGAGAGAGATCAATCGAGTAGCGTGTTTTATGTCCAGTTTTATTTTCTTAAATGTGTATCGATCGGTAATTATGATTTAAAGGCGGCCTTCTACGACCCCATTGTTTTTCTTAAAAGCCTTGTATTACATCCGCCTCGCGTGCCGTGCCATTTGCATAAATGCACGAAAAATTATGAATTATTGATAATTTGTGTGACCAGTTCACTCGGCCGTAACCAAGTATTGTTTGGTCTTTGAACGAGCCGCTTTTGTACTTTTGGAAATGGGATACTACTGTGAATTATTAAGGTAAGGGGGGATAGTGAGAAATAGGGAGACAGAAAGGTGGACAGACTAGCGACTAGTCTAAAGAAATGATGGGA